CCGCTAACCCAGAAATAGTACCTTGGGTTAAGAACTTTACCTCAGGATGAGAACAGAAATCATGCCTTGGCGGCGCGGCAGCAACAGGAGGCCCCATTAGCTAAAGTGGTACCTCAGGTTAAGAACAGTTTCAGGTTAAGAACGGACCTCTGGAACGAATTAAGTTCTTAACCTGAGGTACCACTGTACTGGGATGGGCCATCGCCTTTTTGCCTTCTCTTTTTGGGAGCAATGTGTTTTCTCTCTTTTGGTGGTATGGATTTGGACTAGCAAGTTATTATTACTTTTATTTCACCTCATGTCTCATCCGCATCAACATACATTTGAAACACTCTTGTGCCATTTTAACAGCCATGGCTTCCCACAGAGAATCCTGGGAACTGTACTTTGTTAAGGGTGCTGAGAGTTTTGTGAAGTGTGGGAGGGGCTTTACAGGCAATCATCTAGTCCAACCCCTGCTCAATACAGGAAATCCAGAGTTAAGGGTATTCCACACAAACAGCTGCCCTGTCTCTCTGGAGATCTCTAGCAAGCCGCTGGGTAATTGGAAGGCTGCTGAAACCAGTCTGAAAGTGGTCCAAGGCCCACACACTGCCCAGTTACCATCCACTGCTTGAGAAATGCTAGCCTTCTATAAATTTAGGTTTGTGCAATTAAAGCAGCTCTGGTGCAACAAATCCACTTTAAAAACAAAAACAAAAAACCCCCTAATAACAGAATCTTTGGCCTAAAAAGTGTGGGATAGCTAGCTCCCCACAAACAAATCAAAACAAGTGCTCAGTAAATTGCTGACATCATATAACCTCCCTGTGGGGAAATCAGGATGAACGCTCAACCTTTTTTATTTGGGAAATGGAGCTGTCAACAAGCAATGGTCTCTGCCGCCCCCTGCAGGTGAACTGCCTGTGATCTGATGCAATGGACTTTATTCCACAAGCAATTGTGTCACAGTCAAGACGCTTTGTTGTTTTTGTAGCAGCAGACTTCCCAGCCTTTCTGAAAGTTTACCATGGAAGCCTAATAGGACTAGGTAACACAAAAATCTTTTTATGAATCTATACTTTGGTGCTGGGGATTGCTGTAACAACTCCGTATATAATGGAAAGTGCTTTGGAGACGTGCATAAACAGTTTTCAAAATTAATTTTACTACGTACAGGGATTAAATTTATTTATTAACTACATTTAACCTGGTCAGGTACTATAGGATCCTTCCCAGCTTTTACAGCTTAAGAATATGACCAAGAGGTTTGACCTTCCCTGTGTTCCCTCGACCTTTGCTCTTCTTGCCTGATCAGGAGTAGCCAGAAAGGGGCAGCTAGGGGTGTGTGTGACAAAAGTGTCTTTGCCTGAGGAAGTGATTTCTGCTGCACTCAAAGGAGTTGGTGGTGTGACCACTGCTTAAGAAGTCCTCCTTGGAACTGACTGTTTGGAAGCACTACTGCTTAGCTGTAAATAGCCCCTTCTTAGAGAAGATTCTTAAAGAGGATGGTGGTTGCTCAGATGCTGTGGTCCAGTAATAGCTGGGCTTTCTCCACTCTGGATTCAGACCTGGGTTTGGGACTGAAGTGGCCTTGGTCACCATGTGTGATGTCCTTTATGGGGAACGGGACAGGGGAAGGATGACCCTATCATTTCTCCTTAATCTCTCAGAGGTATTAAAGAGCATTGGCCATAGTATCTGTGGGCAGCTGGCCCAAGATATTGTGGAACCTGAGACGGACCCCCAAATCGCACCCCCCTCTTTGCCATGAAAGAAAGGCTGAGGGAAAATCTACATCATGAAATAAGGAGGAATAAAGATTGACATCGGGATCTGCTGCCCTGGTGAATTCTGCCACCTGAGGCAGTCGGCTCACCTTGCCTCATGGGTGAGTGGGCCCTGTCTGTTAGATTAGCTTTGTAGACTGGGTGTGAGAGGCAATTTGGTAGTTCTGATCCTACCTGCGAGACCAGCTCCAGAAGGCAGCATTGGGGGACTGTTGCTCAGTCCCATAGAATCTGTGCCGTGGAGTCCTGCAAGATTCCATCTTATCTCCCATGCTGTTCAACAGCTATATGAAGCTGCTGGAATTTGGAGAAAGGAGCCATCAACATGTGGATGACACCGACCCAGCTCTATTTCTCATTGTCATCTGTCTGGATGAGAGACAATAAGCTGAACCTTCCTGCAGCTGTTAAATGCACAGTTCTTCCAGCAAAACAGACAGCCATCTTAATCCCTAAACCAGTTAGACAGGAGTGTCGAGACTTAAATTCATTTGCAATCTATGTAAGATATGTTATGCTCTAGTCTTAAATATAAAACTGAAGACCATAGGAATTGCCCCTATGCACTCTAGAGCACGCATTAAAGTGAATCGGGTAAGGATTCTGGTAGGGAGATGCTGAGCGAATAGAATGTTGACGCCATTTTTAAGAGGAAGCACCTTTGAATAACTAACAAATAATCTATTCATACAAGACAATAAACATATAAAACATATGATCAAACCATTGTAAAAGATCTTCTAGCAATCTAGCTCAACAGTTGTGCAGTGTAAAGAGTTTTTCGTCGATTTAGTTGGTGCCCAGAGACACCTGGTGGCGGAATGTTGCCATCATATTTGAAAGTCAATGAAGAATTATGGATATTGGCAGAGATTAAAAACAAAATCAAGCATGGTTGATCAGTCTGTTTGGTATCATTCTTCACGACAATGAACTGCTGATACATGAGCTCAGATCATCTGGTTGTTTGACAGTGAAATATTATTTCTACATTTTCCCACTATGTAAGTTTTCAGCATACAACCTCCTCCCCTCCTCTTCGCCATTGGAAAAGACTGAAGGATTGGACATTGTAGCTCTCTTTAAATACCAGAAGGTTGTCATGTAGAAGAGGGCACTTTCAGAGAGGAGGATTAGAACTAATGGGCTGAAGTCACAGGACGATAAGGAGAAAAACTTAAACAGCCCTGTTGGATCAGGCCAAGGGGCCAATCTATCACATGACACGGTACACACATAGCATCTGAGTGGCAATGCCCATCATCTTTTTTGGGGGGGCTAACCCCCTCAAATATTTTATTGTGAGGGTTAAGTTACCCCTGCCTCTAGGAGTTGGCTCCTATGCCCCCAAGTCTCGTTCCTGGTCAGTCACCACCAGTTCAGACCCTGTGACCATATATATGAAATTTAGATTATCGTGCCCCAATTGAATTCAGCTGAATATCAGGAGAAACTTCTTAATGGCAAGAGAGTTCAACACTAGGCTCAGTTCCCTGGAGGAGTGGTGGTCTCTCTTGCTGGAAGTCTTCAAATAGAGACTGTTGGAAATGCTATAGCCCTCTGTTTCCTGCACTGAGCCCAGGAAAGACTAGACAGCCTACGAGGCCTGTGCCTACTCTATGGTAAAAGAAAATCATAGATGACTACATAGCATGCCCTAGGGAACCTTAGCCTGCAGGCCAAATGCAGCCCTCCAGGCCACTCCATCTGGTCCTTGGGATGCTCCCTGTGCCATGTCCCTCACCAGTCTTGTTCAGTACCCACCTCAAGAGTTTTTCCATGGTTTAAATGTTTCCTTCAGCTGTGACGGTGCTTCATGCTTAACTGGATTGAGAGATTTGAGGGCAGGGGCAGAAACCTCTGGCTTTTGCACAGCTGGAATGGAACCAACTGCACAAAATCAAGAGTCGCATTCCTTGCTCCACTCCCCTTTGCCTCTGGCCCTCCTCAACTTGGCATGTGGCCCCTGGAAGATTCCCCATAAAGGAATGCAGTCATTGTGCTAAAAATGCCCCTATACAACAGTGTCATGGTGTGGTTTCCCCCTCCACGGGTATCATGACAGATGAAGGGTGAGCTATAATCAATATTTTTTAATAATAAACAAGGATACAAATAAATCTCTGCTGAGGTGCACCCACAATTGTGAGGCTTTGCGAGCTGTTACCATTGGCTAAGGACTACTGTTACCATTGGCTAAGGACTACATGTGATGTCACAAAAGCACATGGCCCTTTCCTCTTCCCCAACAGAACCCAGTGGGTAACAGCTGTGATGTCACTGAAGGACATGGTGGTTGCAGTGGTGGAGCTTCATGCTCTGGCACCGGGGGGGGGGGCGGAAAGCAGGCGGGGCGGGGCACCCAGCATGGGTGGGGGGGCACCCTGGGGATTGCGCTGCGGGGAGTGGTGTGCTCCCCCCACACTCCTCTTCCTCCGCCAGTGGGTGGCTGAGGGGAAAGAGGCCCTCCCTCTGTGACATCACTGGGCCACCCCGAGGTCTCAGGTTTGGGACCGGAAATCTCAGGGTCTGAGGAGCTGCTGACATGGCAACCCTACGTCTAATAGACGAAAGCAACTCCACGCATTTACATTGTAAGAGAGCATACATAACGTATGGACAAGCTACTTCCATAGTTGAACTCGCCTTCTTCCCCTTCTACCAAACGATATGGCTAATCTGACTCAACAACACCCACCACTCACAAACAAACCACACTGAAACCAACTGAACACAACTAACCGAGTGGCACTGTGGGTTAAACCACAGAGCCTAGGACTTGCCGATCAGAAGGTCGGCGGTTCGAATCCCCACAACGGGGTGAGCTCCCGTTGCTCAATCCCTGCTCCTGCCAACCTAGCAGTTCAAAAGCACGTCAAAGTGCAATTAGATAAATAGGTACCACTCCGGCAGGAAGGTAAACGCCGTTTCCGTGCACTGCTCTGGTTCGCCAAAAGCAGCTTAGTCATGCTGGCCACATGGCCAATAAAACGAGATGAGCCCCGCAACCCCAGAGTCGGTCATGGCTGGACCTAATGGTCAGGGGTCCCTTTACCTTGTGTGTGTGTGTGTGTGTGTGTGTGTGTGTGTGTGTGTGTATGACCTACCCATGTGATGCTGTCACAAAAACCCTGCACAAACAGTACACAATAGAATGATTATCCCCCTCCCAAACCACACAATGCAAATGTCTCATACCGAATGTAAATGGACTGTGAAAAAGACTCTGAATTGAGAATGGAGACACTTTTATTTATTTGTCTTGTTACACAAGAATATTTAATAAAAACTACCGGTAATTAAATAACAACTTGCCTTCCAATGATCTAATAAGAGGACATGAATATTTTCAGGGGCTCTGGAAACAGTGATAGGGAGCGATCCAGCTTCCAATCACACCCACAGAGCAAGTAACCACTCTGGGCATAATAATCCTTGCATTATTAGCAGTGGCTGGGAGGAAAGAGCTGGCCTCTTCGCCATAGAAAACCACCTCTCAGTCCTTCCCACTCTATATTCAGCAAAAGTACTCAATTAAACATTATACTTGACAGCAGGGCTCTTGCAAGCCCGAGACTTCAGTAACAGAAATATATTTTCATGGCATTCTTTGGAGGTTCATTGCTGGCTGGCTAGAGCGCTGAAAAGCTAATGGGGAATTTTGCTCTCAGAGTCCATCTCTTTGGGAACCACACCTGTAAAGACAATCATTAATTGTAATTGGGCAGTCTAAGCTTATACAAATAAAGTAGTAGTGTAGACAGCGGTCCCAAACTCCTGATGGGAGGTCCCAGCCCTGGAACTGCAGGAAATGTACCTGTTTACACAAGTAGTTTCCCATATAGCAAGGCATACAGAGGCTCCCCTCTTCCCCTCATATCAGCCTTGCTGGATGAAAATGGAAGTCTTTAGATTATACCTGTGCAAAATGCAGATTTCAGCAGATATCATTAGATTTAAGCTGTGCATCAGGACATTTTTTTGAGGGAAACCCTTCTCGTGACAGTCCTAGCACCTGCTATGAACTTTAACAACATTAGAAAGAAACCTTGCTTAAAGCCAGGAAATTCCAGAGGCCATAGAAAGGGTTTGGAGCAGTGCAAAAGTGAGAAGTGTTATATTAAAGGTGGCATGGGCAGCAGGTGAGAGATCACTTCCTATCCAGCTAAGGCAATAATTATAAAAAGGAGGGGTTGGTCTGTGCCTGGATAGGAGGCCACCTCTTTGGGTTTGGTAGAAGGCAGGCAGGATGTAAGTGGAATCTATTAATAAATGGCAAATGCACTTGTATTTTATATGATTTATTGGTGTAGATGAAGCTTCCTTGTGTGTTTCTTAAAATAAATGGTAGAGAAAAGAGATTAGAGGAGGGAGAATGGATGAACGGTTAAGCTATGGTTATGCAAGTCATTTAGCCCATGGATAATTTTCACAGAAGGAAGTACACCACTTTGCCTATTTCTACTTACAGATGAATTAAGGTTTTATTTATGAAATTAGTAGGCCTTGGCATATCTGGTGTTCGTCAGCAGTTAACTCAAACCTCAGCGTTGGCTTGTGAAAAACATCTAAACAATGTTTGTTCCCAAAATGGGCTTGCTGCTATAATAGATGTTGCCTGGAAGGGCACGCTGCCCCGGGTTGATGAGTAACAGCTCTCACATGTTTGTCGGTATCCTTGCAACAAGTATTGCATTAAAAACACCAGTCGCAAAGACAAAATCAGGTTTGAGAAGATTCAACCCCCAGTCCGTAGCTTTGGCTTTTATTAACTATTCATACAACCACATACAGCATTTCTTTCCTATCATTCATTTTCTTCTGTATCACCCAATGCCATGCTTAGAATTTTATTTTTATTTTTAAACGACTTTATAGCATTTAAAACATTTGCCACTCACTACTCTTAGCAAACAGGCTTCAACGTAAAAAAACAAAAACAAACATAGCATCTTGCTATGATCTTGTTGTGCAAAAGCTATCAGGACTTGCACAAAAATCAAGAAGGCAACAATGAGTCAGCAGGCAAAAACTTTCGCTCCCCCCCCCCCCAGTTACTCATATAAGAACTGTATTTAAAGATTGAACAAATTTGCCTCTTCTTTCCTGGAAAAGAGATCACTATACAAAAACAGCAGAATATGAAGAATCTCGAAAAATAAAAAAAACACAGTTTTAAAAATTATTTCTTTTTCCCTTTTGAAGGCTTAGCAAACAAAGCAGGATCTATCTGATCTCTCAGCAGACCCCTCACTGAGAAAAGCCGCGCTGCTCTTTCCTGCAGGGTGCCCCCACATTTCAGTCCCAAAGCCGTCAGCTCAAACTTCAGCTTGTCTAGTCCTATGGCTTCCAGTTCGGCAACAGAGTTGAATTCCAAAAGATCTATTGTTGAAGTCTCCTAACAAAAAACAAAGGGAAACAGGCAGTGTTTTAAACGTGTGTCATGAATACCCGAAGAGACAAAAAGCTTTTCAGCAAAAAGGAAAAGGAAAAAACAACGACATGTTTTCAATCTGGGATATTGCAGTCATCTAACACGGTGCGTGTTGAGTTTAAGTTATAGGAGCATCCTTATAGGACTCCAAAATCCTGTATATATATGTTTCAATTTAACCAAAGAGGTTCTGTGGCAGGGTTGGGCAACCTATGGCCCTCCAGATGTTGCTAGATGATGTTGTCAGATGTTGTTAGCTCCAGCCAATGGGAGTTGCAGCCCAGCAACTTCTGGAGAGCCACACTTTCTCCACCCCGATCTATGGTTAAGAGTTGTTGTTGTTGTTTAGTCATTTAGTCATGTCTGACTCTTCATGACCCCATGGACCAGAGCAGCCCAGTAAATGGGACAGCATTTTTCTCAGGGCCCAGCTGAGTGTGTGTGTGTGTGTGTGTAGGTCAGTAGAATCTACTGATTGATTGATTGATAGATAGATAGATAGATAGATAGATAGATAGATAACAATAGCCACCACCATCCTACCCTCCCACTCCCAAAAATGTATCTGGAAGGATGAGACGTGACATTGCAATCATCACATTGTGAGTGAAAATATAAGCTATGGGGAATGGTAGCAAGTTGCATTTCAACTGCATTTCAGTTGCATTTCAATATATATATTTATATATAAATAAACTTCTAGTCAGACATAATAAGCATCATACTTACTGTGCTCTGTAACTGGCTCACAGGTTCCTGCGTATCTGAGGCATGCGCCTGATCTCTGTCCTTTGTTGTCCTGGCTGTTTCATGTTTCTCGACAGCTGCAGCTTCAGTGATAGGTGGATCCTCTACCAGATCCTTTCTAGCACGCTTCCCTTCTTCCTGCAAATTCTCAGCTGCGTCAGAGGCTGAAGAGCAGCTTCTAGAATCTTCAGAACTGTTGGGACACTGTTCTGTACTTTCCACCATCTTCACATGGTTGCCGGATGACACTGTGCAACTTCCTGATGTGCCAGGTGAGTCGTCATCTTCACTGCTACTGCTGTCTTGTGAACTGTCAGGGTCCTCCAAGCCTTCCACCCCCAACCTACCACAATCAATGAAAATCCATTTTTTAAAAGTGTGTGTTTTTACAAATAGCGTCAGCAAAGCACAGAGGTTTGGCAATTTGCCCAAAAGCCTTTTGCCCCAACAACTATGAAAAGTTCTGGCAATGAAGAACACATTTTCCTACCCAATTTCATATACAACTGGATTTTACTTCAGCATCCTTCACTGTACCTGAAGGCAGCAGGCTAGCTTACAGGGTGAAGAATAGGCTGCATGGGACACAAACCCACTCACTACCTCCTCAACATCTGTCACCTGAGGCAACCAAGTAGGGCCGGCCCTACCAATGGAATTAATGCAAGACCAATTCCAGTGAAGCTCTTGAAGTACTAAAATTCCATAGAAGTCACCAAACATCACGGTAATGGTATCAAAAGGGCAAGTCTTTCTAAAAGTAGAGTAGAAAATCGGAGACCATAAGCGCCCAAACAGGCACAAACCCTCCAACACACTATTCCCACCCAATTCCAAGGGGCTCATTCAATTACTCTGCTGAAACCATGGAGCTCTGCCATCTTGAATACTTACACAGAATATTGCTATAATAAGCCGCCTTCTAGTTTATCTGCTGCATTCTGCAGTGAACTTAAAGGGTTCAACGTGCTGAGCTGTTGTAGAGGATTATTAATTTGGATCCAATGGATTACTTGCAAGCAGAGGCAGTGAGAAACCTAATTTAACGAGCAGATCAGTGCTTATGGTTCTTAGGATCCATGCCACTGTATTTAAGGCCACCTGCTTCCTTTTAAAGGAAGCAATTCTGTTCCTTTTCCTTACAATCTTTATTCACGCACCTTCTCATCTAGTTAGAAGGATCAAACTGTAATGCTCACCAAAAGCACTTCTTCTTCTCAGACGTGGCTCCCTTTTCAGAATCAGCTGGCCGTTTCCGGCTCTCACTGCTCTCTGGCGAGACCATTGTGCTAGAAGACGCTTGCATGCCTGAAAAGGAGCAAAATCAGTCAACTCTTCCTTCTCCATTTAATCCCTGGCATTTCAAATCAAACACAGACAATGACATAATAAAAAAACAGGTATGAGAATTAAGGAATGAAAGCACAATTTCTATTCATCTCTAATTTCCCACTAAATCAGAGTTTCATTTAGCTTACTTTTCAGCTCTGGCAATGTTATTTAAGGCATCACCAGTACTCAGTGCAGATGATAGCAAACAATAGTGGTTAGTGTTGAATTTGAACCTGGGTGACCAGGGTTCAAATCCCCACTGAACCATTAATCTCACTGGATGATGCTGGGCCAATTACCATTTCTCAGCCTAACCTGCCCCAGAAGGTTGCTGCAATGATAAAATGGAGAGGGGGAGAACTGTGTACCTTGAATCCTTCGGAGAAAAGGTGGGATAGAAATATAACAAAATCAATAATTTGAAAATCCCCTTTGCTTTGCATTTTATTGCTCTTCCACAGAGTAATGGGGAGGGGGAATGTTCCACTAAATTATCTCAGCAGCCTTTTAAAATTTATCAAAATCCAACTATCAAAATAAACACCAAGGAATTTAATTTTCAACAACCATTTTCCAAAACGAAATCTTAACAAGCCTATTCATATTTACGAGCATTCACTGTTGTTTTCATCACAAGGCAATGATATCATTGAACCAATCTGCATGCCGAGGTGCCATTCCAAGGCCCGCAGAGGACTGCCACAAATAAGAGGTTTCAATTTCACTTAGATTGTTCACAGACCCCATAGTTCAAACTCATAAGGTTCTACAAACTGTTCTGTATGCCTGCAGGTTAAGTCTTGCAAGTCGCGATGATTCCGAAGCAGCTAATCCAGTGACAGCAAGGAGGACACCATGGCAATACCTGCATGGTCAGAGCCACTGTAACAGAGCAGCTCAGTCACTGAAAGGTAGTGATCATGAGAGGTCAGAGACGGGAAAGCGGACCTAGACTTGCCTTCAGCAGAACTCCACAAACTGGATGCTGATGCAGGCAGAAGAGGAAGGAGGCACATTTCGGCAACCCCACATTCCACCCACTGAAAATCTGCTTTGGAGGGTTGGGCAAACCCTTCTCCTCCCCTGGGACAGTGAGGGATGTAGAATGGAAGCTTCAGGAGAAGAGGAGAATCACTGACATTCTCTTTTCTCTTCTGCCCACAAGAGCATCCAGTAAGCAGAGTGAGAGACACCTTTGGATCATAGTCCCACCTATAACAGAAGAAAACTTTCTATTCAAGGAGAGAGCTGTCCACCCCAGAGTTTGAAAATTCAAGGCAAATACACAAACACACAGGCACACGCTTCAACACCAGACCATCATAATGACAGGCTATTTAGCTGCAACTAATTAAGGGCCCAATTGAGATATGTAATCCAGCATAACAACCAATGATGCTCTTTGTGCTACCTTTGAGAACGGAATCCTCCAGCCTTTCTGCCATCTCGTGACATTGCTGCTGGTAGTCTGGGTTCGTGAAAAAGTGTTTCGGCTCCGCAAGTTTACGCTTCAGTCTTTCCACACGCCTTTGCTCCTTGTCCGCTTCACGTTCCGCTTGCTGCTTCACCCATTCAGCCATTCTGTTAAGAGAGAAGAAACCACATGACACTACATGCACTTTCATGTGTCCACTCTGCCATTGGCTTGATAGTTTCAGATCAAGCACTCTTTCCGCCTACTGCTGGGAGGAAAAGCTCCAGGTGGAACAGAACAGAGGATTAGTCTGCTGATCAGACTAACAGCTATCTAGTCCAGCACCCAGTTCTTGCAGTGGCTGGCCAGATATCTGTGGGAAGCCTGCAAGCTGGGCATGAGTTTGCCCACCTGCAATTAAGAATGTAAGGAGATCAGGCCAATGGTCCATGTAGTTCACCATCCTGTTCTCACAGTGGCCAACCAGATGCTTGTGAGAAACCCGCAAGCAGGATTCAAGCACAGGAGCACTCTTTCCCTCCTGTGGTTTCCAGCAACTTTTATTCAGAAGCAGTGCTGCCTCTGACTGTGGGGGAAGAGCACAGCCATCATGCCTAGTAGCCTTGCCTTCCATGAGTTTGTCTAATCTTCATTCAAAGTCATCCAAGTTGGTGGCCACTACTGGGAATGAGTTCCCTAGTTAAACCATGTGCTGCGTGAAAAGCTGTGAGTGTTAAAAACACCATCTTCCTACAAAACACAAGAAAACATCTTCATGTGCTTCCTTCCAAAACACATAAAAAATTACTCTTGTCTTTATTAATTGATGGGGTTTGGCAGGGGTCACTGTCAATGAGACACCAGAAAGGAAAATAAAAATCCTCCAGATGTTTAACTACTGCAGAGAAAGCCAGGAAGGGTAAATACATGCTTTGTCCATGAAAGTTATTTTAAGTAGCATATTTCTAGTTTGCCCTTCACAAGAGAAGAAATATGTAAAATTAGCAATTAAAACCAAAGTTCAAGCCAGACCAATCAAACTTCAGCAGAAATAAAAATCCCACAATACTTATCTCAGGCTCACTCCAAGCATTTGTTCTGCAATTCTACATGTGTTGCTCACCTCCTTATATATAATGTAATAAGGGCGTCTGAAGGGGCTAACTGCTTTAACCAACCTTGTAAATAAGCACACAAAAGCTACTAGCCTGCAAAAAAATTTACTAGTCTGCATTTCTGTGGAGAGGAATTTTCTGTGAGAAATAAATGACTCACGCTTTTTCATGGTTAACATCTCGAAGTCTCCTTCCACTAAGATCTCTGCAAGCTTCTCGATTTGTTGTCTTCTCAATTTGAGCACCAAGCGCTCGGAGCATAGATCCAAAACCTAGGAGGGAATTACAAGCTGTCAGCAGCATAACGGTAAGAATAAGAGAACACTATAGCAAGATTATTTGGTAATGGAATGTTAAACTGCAAGGATGCCTACTCAAAATCAGCCTTTTCCAACCAAATGCTGAAGCTGATGGAAGGTGTAGTCCGAAACAGGTTGACACCAGGTTGGGAAAGGCTCATCAAGACTGTGATCTCACCTTTTTGTATTTATATTTGTCTTCTTCCCACTGCTACATGCAGAAATTTAAGATAGATCTATGTTAAGGATTTTTCACTACCATATTTTTTGCACCATAACACTCACTTTTTTCCTCCTAGAAAGTAAGGGGAAATGTCTGTGCGTGTTATGGAGGAAATGCCTACGGGTGGCATGCCTACGGATTTTCCTCCTCTAAAAACTACGTGCGTGTTATGGTCGGGTGCGTGTTATAGAGCGAAAAATACGGGTAAGTTTATTTTGCATCTATGTAGTTAAGAAAATGTTTTGTGCTTGCATAGAATTACTCTTAGCTCAGTTACACACAGGGAAGGTTAAACACTTTAAGGTTGGCAGAAAGCAGCTCATTCTGGGAAAGCTTGAGAAACCAGGCTTGGTTCATAGCTACATTTACAAGCTCCTTGCAATGAAAGAAACATATTATAATTTCCACTTTCAGAGTTACACAGTATTCTAATTATTTAGCACAAAGTTGCAACCGTGAACCCACCTCCTTTTCCACCACACAGTCTTGGTTCCAGGCTGTAAACAGCTCCTTCGTGTAGCACATCTTCAGAATTAACAAGTCGACCATTACACTTTATATAGAAGTGTTCTTCAGGAAGACCCTAAATAAAAACAAGTCAGAAAGAATTAAACATATACTGTAGGTTGAAATGCTACAACAGTTTAATATGTAGTAACTGGCAATTAGATTATTTTCCAATAAGTTATTTAAAACTGTATGCTGGTGAAAAGATGGGTAAGAGATCTGGTTCCTTCTCTATGTAAAGATCCAATACTTGGTGAAGTAAATGTATACAAATATGTGCAGCACAGAACACAATATGAGTCACATCCTACTGAGTCACAAATTGGTAGTGCCACTATTAAAATTTGGAAAGATTCTGTAATAGATAAGACAAAAAGAAAGAAACTATGAATGCTTATAAGAAATGCTTCCAAGTCACAGAACTGTGAAACTCCATTCACCAGAATCTGTATACTTTCTAAATGAGCTGTAAAACTATCTTTGGTCAAGAGGACTTTGGATTTAACAGGGGGACTTTAGTCTTTTTATCATGTACCATTTTGTTATACTTTTAATGCTGTTACCTGCCCAAGCTCTTGGGAGGGGGCAAAACAACAACAACAACAACAGAAAACACATCTACTTTGAATGTGTTGAATTATATATACTGTACACCTCAAATAATTTCCCAAATCAGTTAACATCAGCCCCATTAATAATCTCTTAACTGCCATGCCGTACTTGACAATGTCTGTCAAAAACACCACTGAGGGACTTTCTCACTTTCCCCAACGGCTTCACAGTCATTGTTTTCGGTGAGTGTCAGCTAGGATGAACCCTAGTTCTAAATTAGTCAAGAAAGTGCAAGATTCTGTTATGTCCGTGCGACCTGAGATAGCACGATGCTTTCGCTACGTAAGGAAAGGCACCAAATCCCTTCTCCTTGGCCCCCTACCCAGCTTTTAACGCAAAAGGGAATTATGTCAAGCTAAGCTGGGTAGCCCCTTGCCTCCAGGTGCTTTTGGGACTACAACTACCACCACCCCGAGCAACTAATCACGCTAACTGAGGGTGGCGAGGGCAGTCTAACAATTCCAGCGGGGTGCCCTCAGCTCCCGCGCCCCCAACCACAAGCAACCCCGAGGGATCTCATTTTGCCCCTCACATAGGGACCAAGCCCCACCCGCTTCTTTCACACGAGCCCATTTTTTTTACCTGTACCCGGCAACGAGCGCGGAGTAAACCACAAACCGATCGATCTTCGGCCGGCAGAGGTACCGGCTGCGCTCCAGAAGCCAGCAGGTCCCGCACCCACAACGCCATTTTCGCCTTTCCTCAAGCAACACCTTCCCACACGTCGCTTCTTCGGTTTCCCGGAAAAGACGCGCGGCCGCCGGCGCGCACCAGTGACGTAATGGACGCAAAAAGGAAGTCGGGCACTGGAAGTTCCCTGGCCAGCAGCAGAGTTTCCTGGCCGCCCCCTTCCCTCCCACGTGACACGGAGGGTGGGTCTGGGAGGGATGTCTGGTGGAGGCAGATAAAGCTGGTGGGGGCTGGGCGGCAGGGTTGGAATTGGCAGGCTGTCAGGGGAAGGAGCAGGAGGCGGCGGCGGGAGCTTGCAGCGACTCCTGCTTCATGGCGGCGCTTCAAGTGATTTACCCCTTTGGAGCGAGAGCAGGATACAGCCCGCCTTGGTTTTTCGTTCCCTCTTGGCTGCCTCTCCGCTCATCGGCCTTTTGTCCGCACTTACAGTATTTCCATTAACCCAGAAGCTTTACACGCTCTGCGGTGCGTGGAAATGCATCCGCGCTGCTTTCCCACCACGATGAGGGGGCGGGAGGGGAAGCTCCCCTGTTGTTACAGGAGTGTGCACTTCCTTTTGAAAAATGACGAGTCTTAGGCGGGGTGCGGGGGGAGCTGAGTGGGAAATGTTGCAACCTGGGCTGCATAGCAACATTTGCAACTCTCCTTCCCCTTATTTCGCCAGGCTTGGTATATTTTTAAAACCCGCAAAGGAGAGCTCGCCTTTCCTCCTCCTCTCCCCCCCCCCCCACGCCCGCGCTTCTCTTCTCTCTTCCACACGGTTTATTGTGTTCGCAAACGCCATATTCCCTGACAATGCCAGCTTGGGAGCAACGATCTGGAGAGCTCCGGGGCAACGATCTGTGTCCTCTCCTCTCCCCCCCCCCCCGACTCTCCAGGTGGTAGCATAGTAAATGCGACTGCCTATGTTACCGTGCCAGTGGCAACAGCAACGAGACAGGAGTGGCTGTGCCCGTTTCGGAGGCGATGCGCAGCCCTCGGTCTCGCAACAGCTACCGCCTCACTCCCGGCCTTTCCTGAAAAGGCTTGTGCAAGCGGCGAGGAAGGGAGGGAGGAACTAAGGCAGGGGAAATTGAGACTTGAATTACACAAGACTCCAGCAACACCACCAGGCTCCTTCAAAGCCATCCCTTTTCTACAAAGATGCAGAACATAAATGCGCGCACACACACACACACAGCGCCTGGGTCTTCAGCTTGTAAAACAAGTATGGCGCAAATCTGAACAGATCTTTTTGAAAGGGGAGTGGGAACAGCCTGAAGATATGGCAGCAACCCCGAGTAGACCTCCATAATGAGTGCTTATGTCGAGGTGTGGCTGGATGTTTCATGTATGGCTCACGCTGTAGTTGAAAGCCAACCTCAAAACAATGAAGGCAGTGTTGATTCAATGCAAGGAAAAGGCCCTGTTGCACTACTAACTCAAAACGCACTCCTCTCCAGCCAGTCTAAGGGTGCAATAAATGTCACCAGGCATTGTACAAGAGATTCACATTCTAATGCCAAAAAAACAGCATTTCGAATCCATCCCAACGTGTCAATGTCCACTCAAATGGGAATCATGAAAACATAGCTTTGGATAAGGACTCTGCATAACTTGATCTGCTATTACTGTACAGAGAAACTGATGTTGTCACTATCCAGCATAGTGTGAAGGATGGTTTTGATAATAGAGATCTAATTATATGGTCTAGCAAGAAGGGTGGTTAAAGCAGTTATAGTTTGAGTTTGAGACCTTGGAGATGATAATTCAATTCTAAATAAAGGCAGCATTGTGCAAGTATATGTGGGAAGTAGTCCTGTGAACTAGAATCCCTGGTTCCTAACCTCAGAAATGTAAAAGCTATTGGGGGTCTCCAGTGTGACAAGATGCATATGCTCAGGAGCCCCTTCTGCTATTTTCATATTCTGAGGGATGATTTAGGATTTCATAACAGGGGCTGGGGTCTACCTTCTAGGCATTTTCACTGGTGTAAATGTTGATGTCAGAGTTACTTCCATGGGATGCTATCATGTTGGCTGTAAAATCAGTTGGTATGTTTTATTGCCTCCCACTCCTCAAAAAGCTCAGTTAAAAAATTGATGATGAAATATTTAATTGAATCTAAAACCTAATTATGACAATAAATGCGCAAACAAAAAACAAAACAAAACTCCCATTTCAATCCATAAACATTTATTCTCCCCTCTCAGCCCATCTGACTATCTTATGAGACTATGGTTCATGAACAATGTTTAATACAATGCTAGCTTCTAAACACAATCCAACGTGCTTGTTCTCACCCTTAGTACCCTGCATGCCTTGGGACCTGGATATCTTAAGGACCTCCTCTGCCCATGTGTACCCCCACATGTTATCCATTCAACACTGACAGTCCTGCTCCATGTGCAACTGAAGCTTGGCAGTGATACCTAGGAGCAAGACCTCTTCAGTTGTTGCACCAACTTTATCCAGTGCCCTCCCCTGCGAGTGTCAAATGGGCCCCAACACTGTGTGCTTTCAGATGCCTGACAAAAAACATTATTTATTAATACCTTTGGGATCAGTTCAGTTGATTCTAAACTGCTCTACTCCACCCCAAGTTTATTTAGGACTATTAGACCCACCTACTAGCCAGAGTCCTCTGGTGGCTTCCAATATATTTAAAATACAGTAAAATAAACAAGAGTTACAATGGGTGGTATTCAACCATGTTTTATTCAGAGTAGAACCACTGAAATTAATGACCTAACTTAGACATGTTCATTAATTTAAAAGGGTTTACTCTGAGTAAAACTTAGTTTAATAGCACCCTGTGTGTATAATCACAAAAAGGTGGCTGCTGATCTTTATCACAGCTTTTGGCTCTGCTGGCAGATGTAGGGGGTGCTGGGGGAGTAATTATGTTAGTATGCCCCCCCTGCCGCCGCCCCCCCAGTGCTCAGATATTCAAACTGCCACTCTAGAATTGAATCTCCTGGCCTGGAAATGGCTGCCAAAGGAGGCAGATGTTAGCCCTTGGCAGGCCAGGACTTCATTGCTGAGCTGCTGTCTCTTACAGTCTATAGAGCTGGTACTAGCAGATGCAGGAAACACTGAGGAAGCAAATAGCATAGAATCAGATTCGTTGATTTGGAAGAGACCCTGAATGATATCTAGTCCAATGCACTACAATGCAAGGATCTCAACTATAGCACCCATGACAGATGGCCATCCAACCTCTGCTTAAAAACCTTAATGAAGGAAAGTCCATCACCTTCTGAGGAGTCTGTTCCACTGTTAAACAGCTCCCACTGTCATAAAGTTCTTCCAGATGTTTCGTTGGAATCTCCTTTCTTGTGAGTTGAAGCCATTGGTTCGAGTCCTAGCCTCCAGAGCAGGAGAAAACAAGTTTGCTCCATCTTCCATGTGACAGCCCTTTAGATATTTGAATGTGGCTATCATACCTCCTTTCAGTTTCGTCTTTTCCAAGCTAAACATACCCAGCTCCCTCAGCTGTTCATCATAAGGTTTCTCAGATTGTGGTGCCCAGAACTGGGTGCTACTTGTCCTTTATTTCTAGGATGACAAGAAACTATTAGGGTGCACTCTTTGGGTCTGGTCCGTCAACCAGCTACAAATCCATTTAACAGTTACCTCATCCAGCTCACGTTACCAGCTTCTCTGCAAGAATATCATGGGGACTTGGTTAAACGTCTTGCTGAAATCAAGACACACTACGTCCACAGCATTCCCCTGATCCACCAAGCTTGTAACACTATAAAAAAAAATATGAAATGAGATTCATCTGACATTAGTTGTTTCTGAGAAACACATGCTGGGTCTTAGTAATCACAGCATTATTTTCTAAGTGCTCACAGACCAACCATTTAATTATCTGTTCTAAAACATTTCCTGGTGCTGACGTCAAGCTGTTGGTAGTTACCTGGGTCTTCTTCTTTCCATTTTTTGAAGAAGGGAACAATATTCACTCACCTCCAGTTTGCAGGGACCTCACCTGTTCTCCAGTAATTCTCAAATTTCTACAGAGGCTCTGATATTACATCAGCAATCTCATTTAGTACCCAAGGGCACAACTCATCAGGCCTTAGGCCTAGAGATTTGAATTCATTTAAAGTAGCTACGTCTTCCACCTCTTTTAATAGCTTGGGCTTCAAGTCCCTCCTTGCATCGTTTATTCTGTTCTCACCAGGTTGGCCACTGCTTTCCATTTGGGTGAGAGAGAGAGGCAAAGTAGGTGATAAACAGTTCTCTACCTTCTCTCTGTCACCCATCAGCATTTCTCAGTCTTCTCCCCACAGAGGACCTACTACAGTCGTACCTTGGAAGTTGACTTCCAAAACAACTTCAAAAATGTTCGAAAACCAAATCACAGCTTCTGATTGGCTGCAGAAAGCTCCTGCAGCCAATCAGAAGCCGTGGAAGCCCCATCAGATGTTCAGGTTCCAAACAAATGTTCACAAACCAGAACAATCATTTCCGGGTTTGTGGCGTTCGGAAGCCAAAACGTCCAAGTTCCAGGGCATTCGGGATCCAAGGTACGACTGTGCTGTACTTGCTTATTCTTCATCTTACTTTGAACATAGCTGAGGAAACTGTTATTATTTTTAACCTCTCTTACAAGCCTGAGCTAATTCTGAGCTTTGGCCTGCCTGACCTTCCCCCTGCAACTGTTGGCTATTTGTATATACTCTTCCTTCATGATTCCCCCCCCCCTCCATTTTTTATATATGTCCTTAAATAGTGGCTATGTCCGGGAAATTCTGGACGTATGGCAACCTTATTGTACCTACTTGGATCAGAAGGAGAGGATTGTATTCAGTGGACTTATAAGACTTTGCAACCTCCCCCCTAGTCCAGCGATGAGAAAGCTCAGGCTCATGGGACCTCCACTAATTGCTAATATGCCACCCAGTGTAATTCAGGGCGTTGAGATTAGCCTATTAAACTCCATAATGAACTAGAACCTAAATACATGCAGGAAAACCTCTGCGTATATCAATCTTCTTCAGCTCCAACCTGCTGCGGACACATTTATTGTCTCTTGTCCTTTCACTTGAAGATACATATGGCACCTTCACTAGTGGGTTTTCATCACTGACTTGCCTTTTCAAACAGGCCTTGCCTGGGGGAGGGGGGAATTGAGTGCAGTTATTTGGTGAGACCAATTAAAATTTAAGTGTTCTGGATGACATGCAATGAGGTCCACTCACTCAACAGAAATTCAGCTGCATGACAGTACCTCCAATTTCTTTTATCCCCCCTTCAGCCCCCTCACACACCCCAAATTTGCTTGAGAATGTCTCCCAACCCTCTGGAACAGATTTAGGAGTCATGGGATGTTGCAGAGCTGGAGAGTAAACCACTATTGCATGTACGTATGCTTGCTTGCACTACATTGGACCTCACCTTTCATTTGCTGTAGGAATGCAGATGTTGCGATTGGTGTAATTATTTTATGACTGTTTTGATTGTTTTAATATAAATATTGTAGATCACCCAGTGATCTTGACAAAAATAGAGGTTACACAATGAAATAAACATATCAGGTTTAAAAGAAACTAGATGGAAGAAATATGTGGAACTCACTGCCACTGGTTCAGAAAAGAACTAAACACATATATGAATCATAGGAAAAACAGCAGTTACTGGTTAAACATGTCTGCACACATCTGAAAAAAATATTTGGGAATTTTAATTCTTCCTTGATTTGGAGGAAAGACCCATAGGTAGCTGTGTAACCACCAGGTTCTATGTGGGGTTAGGCACAACTAACTGCATAGGAAATAATCCTCACTGAACTAAACATGCATAGGATCAGATTGCACTATCCTAGCCTGTTTTTGCATTTGAACTCGTCGTTCATGTTTATTCTACCATCGCGTGGGTTTATTTATTTTCCCCTGCGGCGCTTAAATACATTGTATTGCAATCAGCCCCGCACATCTGGAACAGGCAGCTGTCACTATTTCTGGTGGTGACAGATCTGTCTCTGAGGCTGCGCTGACTGACTTGACTTCTGGAGGCCAGTGCACAAAAGGAAACTCCTTTTCTCAATTATTAATAGCTCAAAGGAAAGAGGCCGCATCGCCGCAGAAGAAGCAACTTCCACCCTGGGAAGATTTCTCTGCTAAAAATGGAGGTGAAATCTTTTGGTGATGGGTCCTTTCCCGCTCCTGCAAAACGAGCCAGCTTCTCGCCCTTTGCTGGGAAACCTAATAACAGCGTTCAGGTTGCAGGCCGCATGCAACCTCACACTGTACAGCCTGAGTTTCAAGGGCAAAACTCAAGTTGAACGCTCGCCTGGCCGCGAGTCTGTCAGCCATGGCCTCTCCCCGCTGTGTGGCAAAGCGGCAGCTCGCTGCAGAGCTAACAAGGCGCCTGCGCGGGAGCAGCAGCCGTAGGCCCGGAGCAGCCAAGAAACGGGAAGCTCCGCCCAAGCTGATAGCCATATATGGCAACTAGGCCCTCGGGGGTGACGTCATGGGCTCGCTGAACTCTAATATGGGGCAGGTTTTCTCCTGAATGACTGGCTGCCAGGCAGTCGGGAAAGACGCCTCTAGGAGCTTTTGACAGCTTCGCTGCAGAGGTCAGCCAAGGGGAGGAAACGAGGGGCCTGCAGACTGGGAGAGAAGTCTGCCTGCGGAAGGGGGATCTCGACTAGAGGCACCCCCTCGATGGCTGCAAAGGAAAATCACGTTGCCTGACAATAGGAGGAAAGGAGCTCCACTCACAGGCAGCCTGAGAGCTGTAGTGGGATGTCCTCCCACAGGAATCCTTCTATTTTTAAATCTCACTCTTTACTACAGCTTTACTATGAGCATAAAAAGCAGAGCAGGGACTGCAGCAAGCAAGTCTAAGACCGCCGTTCTCCTCCTAAGCATAATCAAATTTCGCTGAAATCAGTGGGCTTTCAAAGTAGATCAAGATGGAAGGCATACTGTTTTTACAAAGTGGGTTTCCACCATCACTAATAAAAAGCTACCGAGGAATGTGGAATGCAAAAGGAAAAAGGCTAAGAAACGGCTCCGGCTTACACAACTGTAATTAGGCTTGTCTTTGCAGGGGCCTTCAAGAAGCTGCAGCTCTCTTTTATTTTGCTGCATTTAAACCATTAGCCTCATGTGCAAAGATGTTAATTCAAGCTGCCCCCCCCCCAATTTATTTTTTACAGTCATCAACTTGCACACCTTTTCAATGAATGCATTTATGATCAATTTCAAAGAAGAAATGATTGGTGTGTTTAGAGATAACATTTATTATGTCATAAACTCTTGTGGTCTACAGACCACTTCCTCAGATGCAAAAATGCTTTTACAGTAATAAATGAATAACAATACAATCCTCTACATATTTACTCAGAAGCAAGTCTCTCATAGTTTAATAGAGTTTATGCCCTTGTAACTACACTCTTGTGTGTTTACTGCAGCTTAAAACTGCAATTGCACAATCCTAGACATATCTACTCAGAGGTAAGTCCTATTAAGTCCAACAGGGATTTCTCCTGGGAAAGTTAAGATTATAACCAAACTCTATGAGGACTACAGAATTTTGTTTTGTTTTGCGGCAACAGACTAACAGGACTACCTGTTTAGATATTAGTCAGGAGACGTTATCTTAAGTACCTTTGAAATATTTTTACATGTAAACACTATAAATTTTATTTGGTTTATGGTGGAATAGACATGGCATCTCTAAGGTGGCATCTCTAAGGTTACTTACAGTTGTCTACCTCCCTTTCTAGCTCCAAACTCTGAAGGAGGGCTGGAGCTCATCCCTGACATGCTCCTCCGCCTCTGAGGCACTTGGAGCACCTCCACAGCACAGCGCTGCACAGGTTAGTCCTCCTAATCTTGGAGTTGGGAAGCTGAGACATTCCTGTCATCACACCACATTTCGGACATGCTCCAAGCATCTCCACAGTCCAGCATGACATAAATGATCCCCATCCTGAGCACTGTTTGTGGACTCCTTGCCCTTACAAGTGTTCAGCAGCACCTTTCACCGAAGGGTTGCTGTAACCCATGCATTATAATGTGCATTCTTAGATTAATACTTTAAAGCTGTATTACCTGAGAATACATTTTTCCATCTTAAGCTGCTATGACATCATGCTAGGTGACAAAAATGTAATTAAATCAAGTGTGTTGATAGGCTTCTGCTCTTTGACATTAAAATGTGCAGGAACATTGTGTTACACTACTGCAGATTGAAGGCTGGAAGGATATATGGCTTTTACATCAATATTATTGCAAGTCAACTGAATCTTTTCCAGTCAGGAATCAGTTTTTCAGCCTTTTTTATTAACCATTTCTAGATAACTCTTCAATGTGCCTTAGAAATTCCACATCATTTATCTCCACAACAGCCCTGTAAGCCAGTTGAAATTGAGGAAAATGAAACTTGCCCAGGACCACAGAGCTAAGTAGATATTTGAATGTGGGTCTCTCACACCTCAAAACAACACTCCTGGTACTGCAATACACTGACCACCACTGTCTTGATGGAAAACAGCATTCTTGCCTTATCCCAGGTGAAACTGTTGGTCCATCTACCACAGAATGGCCAATTCTGACATGAAATGGTTCTCCAGCCTTGAGCAGAGCTATTTCAAATCACCTGTTACCTAATCCTTTTATTTTAAATAGGAGATGCCAAGAAAGCTGGGACCTTCTGCCAATAAGACAGAGGTCAACCATCTTTTTGTGTGGGCCAGTGAATTGTGGCATAACACAAAATGGCTGCCATGGAGCATGGCATAGCACAAAATGGCTGCCACATGGGCACAGCATAGCACAAAATGGCTGCTGTAGAGGTGTAGCATAGCACAAAAAGGCTGTCAGATCTAAAAGAGTAGAAAGGGACAGGCCCACAAAATGGTACGTGTATGCATCAGTGTGGGTGAAAGAACCTACATCAGCCATTACTACACTCACTAACAGAGAGAAGCTCTTTGCACCTCTCCATTATTCAGAAGGTGAGTGGGTGTGCAGTACTGGAATCACATGAAATGTTTAAGGCAGGTGTTCAGTGTAGGAGAGACCCAGCCAGTGCAAACAGAAACAGAGCTGGAAGAGCAAACATCCTCGCATACATTGTGGATTTTTGAAGGGGTATTTACTGAGGCCTTTTGCAGGTGCCATGGGAGGTAGTGGCAGGCACACTGGTGCCTAAGGGCACCACATTGGCGATTCCTTGAGGGTATCTGCTCTACTACTGAACTAGTCTAATGCAGGCGTGCTGACTCTGGAAAAATATTGGGGTAGAGGGGCTGACATCGTGCACAACACCACACCCAGATACTGTGTGTGACGCTCAGACGTCTGATGCGACAGTGTCACATGTCACGTTCAGGCGTTGCACGGCAGCTTGGCTTCCATAACCGGCAGCTCCTCCGCCTCCTCCTGCCACCTCCTGCTTCCCCTCTGCAGCAGCAAGAGGAGGAGCCACCACATTCCTGGCTCGTGCAATTGTGCAAAGCCTCAACATCATGCACAACAGCGTCATGTTTGGGCATTGCACCCAGACAAACATTGAGGGGGCTCAAAGGGGTTCAGCCCCTAGGAGTCGGTGCCCCTGGTCTAACCTCATCAATGGACATAGGCCTGAGACGAATTATTTATATGAAATTAGTATATACACAATTAGTAGTAGTTCAAGGACTGAATGGCAAAATGATCTAAAGACTGGATACATAGTTAACATTTTGCATTGCAATGTAGTTTTATTGCTATGAACAAGGCTGGTTCCAGGTTTGAGGAAACCCTAAGCAGGCTGCCTTTTGGGTCCCCAGCAGCACTATCGGTGGCTTACCTTGAAAAGCAGGATTCCTGCTACCACTTTTCTCAGTGCCTCTCTAGTGAGAGTCTGGCAGTTTGGCTTAACAAGGCAGGGACAGAGTCGGGCAGCAGCTTACCCTGGAACAGTTGAGCTAAAACAGCTGCAATATCACCATCTTTATTACCCTATGGATGGTAACTGTCCAGCTTGGGGGGGGGGGACTAATTTAAACAAATTAAAAGAAATGATAGCACTAACCCTGAATGGGTTCCAGCATTTGCTCCTCTGTGCTGGGCACTGACATGGGGTTGGACTACAAAACTCTGTATGTGGTTTCGTTCAGTGGATTTGTTGGGTTCAGATCCCATTTGAGCTACTTAAATCTCAACCTCTCAGCAATCTGTTCCATTGGATGGAGTCCTGTTTTGATCTCCACCTTTTAGATCAGGAGTAAGGAACCTTATTCTGCTCAAAGACGGCATTCTTTTTGTTCAGAGGCTACGTGCCAGTGGTGGGACAGATGAAAAAGTGGGTAGAGCAAAAGCTATGACTCTTACCTTTGTACAGAGTAGACTACATTCAAACCCTCCCAAAAGTCAAGTAAGAAACATTATCAAGGATAGATTCTAGTCAAGCACATGAGGGTGGTTCGAAAACAAGGCCAGTGAGGGATGTGATCGTTTGTGGTCTAGGAAGGGGGCACAGCCCTGGAAGAGTCCTATGGACTAGAAGGGCCTGTGGGGGCCACATTCAGCTTGTGGGCCTGAGGTTCTGAACTCCTGCTTTAGATGCTTTTACTCGTGGCTTCTTTCCTATATTGAGGAAACTTCTGGGTGTCCTTGGGCAAGTCATATTATCTCACCCTGACTCACCTTATCTTGCCTGTAAAATCATAGTAGCAATAGTAATGGTTCTGCATTTCACATAATTTTTGTGAAGATTAGCAAGGATAACATGCCAGTGAGTCACTACCAACAATATACAAATAGTATTATTTTTCTCCCACAGCATTTATAAACTGTTTAGTATTTTTAAAAAAATCTCAGCAGTGAAATATAAATGTGGAGGATGTTTCGCTTTTGGTTTTGTTTTTTAGCTCAGGGTTTCTGAGAAGAGAGATTACACTCACACCCTGAAAGCAGACTCTGAAAGTCTGGCTCTGCTGACTGGCCAAAATAATAGTCAGGCATCTGATATTTACAGCCAGTCCAGGCAATCTGGAGGGTTCATATTGTCTGCCAATCACAAGAACTGATGTTGCACAAACCTCTTCCCTTCTCTACCTTCTCTCAAAGAAGCTTGTGGTAATTTACTAGCCTCAGACACAAAGATACTATTGCCTGCCATGGCAATCTCTAAGCAGTGCAAGATTCCAGGGGTTCCAAGCAATTACCCAGGACTCATGTTTCCTTTTGGAATGTGGCCCAGCGGAGACTGTGGTGTCTTTATGATATATGGTTTATTTACAAAAATATACAACTTGAGCCTACAGTGGAGGGGTTCACAGCATTAACACCCAAGGGTCTTGCTTGTCCCTAGCTGCAGCCTTGGATTCAAATAGAAATCAAACACTGCTCTGAAAATATTGTTCTGACTCTCTCTCCAGCTTGCTGCTTTCCTTGTAGGTGATATCACTCCAACTTTCAACTCTAAACTCTGGCTTTGTCCTTCTAACTGACTGAGGGCTTTGCGAGCTGACTGGGGGAAGGGACCCATCCATTTGTCATCTCACACAGAGCCCCTTTCCTTTGTCTTTCTTAATGGCTGTCACCTCAACACAGAAGAGGAGGAGTTTGGATTTGATATCCCGCTTTATCACTACCCTAAGGAGTCTCAAAGCGGCTAACTTTCTCCTTTCCCTTTCTCCCCCACAACAAACACTCTGGCTTATATTTTAACACTTTCTGGATCCAGGGTTTAGAAGGGTCTTGCATACAGCCTACTTCCTGTCTCAATAAACTCAGCATACCAGTCCCAGACTCAGACACAGCATTGCAGTCTCTGATATAATATATTCAAACTCAGGCAACAGAAAAATAATATTTTTATTGTAGAGTATTTTGACAAATTTACACTGCTCTACCAGCTAGGCCTCATCCAGGCTGCTTCTTTCCAGTAGTGTTAGCTTGCTTGTTGTTTTGGTTGACTGTGTGTCAGAGCAGGAAGAATTGGCAAATCCAATGTACAGCAGACTTGGAGAAGAAAACAATTGACAAAATAAGTATCCACCCCTCTTTGTTTTTGCTCTCCCTTGACAGAGGTTCCTGAATTTAATTATAGCTCACAGAGAAGTATTCTGCTGAATTACTGAAACTCTCAATAAGGACTAGATTCTGATTTTCCTAATTAGCATCTGAGCATTTGGAAACCTCGCCAACATCCTCAGCCTAAAAATGAACATACAGGCTGCAATGAGTCTAGTGGTTATTTCTGCCAGCCAAGAGCTGCCAACCAAATCTATGAATATAAAAATGTATAGGAAATGAGAGGGCAAGCATCACATGGCCTTGTAATATGCTTCCTGGAACAGAGCTTGACGCCATTTGTAATCATCTGAAGTTTGCAAAACAGAGCTAATGATGTGGTGACCAAGATGATAGCTCAAGAGCCTGAAGTAAAATAAAGCAAACATTAAAAGAAAATCATTGTTTTACTAATGGGATGAGGACTGGTTTGTAAACTCATTCTTTGTAATGCCAAGTTGAATTTCTAGTAACTGGGAGTAATTCCCAGGATACTGAAACCTCACCTACATCTGCATGGTATTGGCTCACCTAGAACACTTACGTATTATAAACGGGCAGCAACTGAGGAGGAATGCAGAAGACACTTCAAAGTAGGGAATAGTTTAAGGCTTAAAACCTGTAAGACTGGAACCTTGATTCTGAGTTAAGTGTATGTCCTGTCAATCAGGATCTGGAAAAAGCCTTTTAGCTCAACATTAAAAGGCTGAACAATCCCTGAATATATAGTTGGTAGAGTGTTGTGTTTGGACCAGGGTGACCTGGGTTTCAAAATCTTATGCTCATCCATGAGACTCTGAGTCAGTTCTTCCACCTTTCAGCCTAACCTACCTCACAGGGTTGTTGTGAGAATAAAATGGAATAATTGCCTTGGAGGGAAGGCAGGATACACATATGCTTAGTAAATAATGAGTCATTGACAATGCTCTTTACACAGCAGACAGGTTCTCAAGAGTGACAGAACCACTCTCTGTGACTCCCCATTGCACCATCAAGGGAAATGCAGGAAAAGGGTGTGACTAACAAAAACTTGTCTTTTGCATGCCATTACTTTCTGTTGTTGGTCAGCAGGCCAGGGAGCAGACTAGTTTCGCTAAAAGTTAAAGAAAGGGCAAACTTCACCAGGACTCAGTTTGGGGCAAGTCACATTAAAAAGAAAGGGGCAGGGCTTGAGCAGGATCATGGATGAGCTCTTGCATGACTATAGGGCTGTTAGAAAGGTTTATTTAAGCAGGAAACAGCAACAGTGCCCCACTGTTTTTTTGAACATTTGCGCTATGGTATGCACTATGCATCCCTAAAGCTTGGAGAGGTCCATGATTATAGAATCATAGAATAATTAGAGTTGGGTGGTCTATAAATCTTTATACATAAAAAAGCCAGCTAAGCATTTGGCTACACTGTGCCATTTGTTTACTTTAAAAATACAGTAGCATTACTAAAATGCTTTCAGGGCTTCTTTACCCTCATTAGGCAGTGGTGGCTGGTGCCCAATGGGGCTGGTAGGAAGGAATGTAGGGAGGTCAACAGTAGGCGGAGCCAGAGCCAATGACAGATGGAAGAGCTGATTAATTCTAATTTTATTCCACCCAGACCTTGGACTGCTTGTAAATAAAACAGCAGGTGAGATAGGTGGGGCAGTGCCCTATATGCCCTAATGGTCTACCCTCTACTGTAATTACGGTTGGAAGGCCCCCTGTGCATACCTAACATCTTAGTATCTGTACAAATCAGTTTTTAAGTATTTTTACTATCATGTTTTCTCCCTCCCCTTCAAGGAACCCAGGGAATTCGTCATTCTGAGAGAGGCTGGTCTCTAGCAGAAAACATTCTGCATCTTTACAGAACTCGTCCTTAGCTTCCCTTTGGGTAACCAATGCTAATTAAACAGGTAAAGCCAGTTCTTATAGTAATAGCTTCATTACAGAGAAGAATCTCTTGCAGTGATTTTAACAGTGGTACTCCAGCACTGTTTCAAGATCTGTGTTTGCATAATGTCAAGGACCAGACATATCATGGAAGAAACATGTCTGATAAACTCTTACATCATGATTCTTTGTGCTGCCCAGCTGTGGCAATACACTGGTTTGTGGCAGTATAGCAATAGCAGCATCCTGTCTGAAGCAAGAGACATGCCAGTTCTGCTACATTGTCTGTCGGTTCTAATCCCATTATACTAGTGCATATCAGGTATAAGGTGCAGAGCTGACATAGTTGGTTCAGAGTATAGCTACACATCAACTGAGCTAATAATTACTACTATTCTCTTTAACAAGGAAATGATTTCATTAAAGGTTTGTTGCAACACTGCTAAAACAGCCAAACATAAGTCATCACTGGATTTCCCCTTCAGGCTGATTTATTTCTTTAAGGGTCAGACATTTTATATTCAAATATCCTAAGAAGAGAGCCAGTGTGGTGTAGTGGTTAAGAGCGGTAGATTTGTAATCTGGGGAACCAGGTTCGCATCTCCGCTCCTCCACATGCAGCTGCTGGGTGACCTTGGGCTAGTCACACTTCTTTGAAGTCTCTCAGCCCCACTCACCTCACAGAGTGTTTGTCATGGGGGAGGAAGGGAAAGGAGAATGTTAGCCGCTTTGAGACTCCTTCGGGTAGTGATAAAGCGGGATATCAAATTCAAACTCCTCCTCCTCCTCTTCTTCTTCTTCTTCTTTCATAGGAAACTGAGACAACAATGGGTTGTATCCAATGTTAGTCATAGACTAGATCCATTCAGATGAATTGACATGATTAAATCAAATGGTCCATTAATGCCGAAGTTTCACTTTTTGTAGGAGGCAACCCAATAAAGATCATGACTCTTAAAAATGAACCACTTTGCTCCTTCATTAATTATTATTTATGCATGATAATTAATGTTCACCTATTGTTGAACCAAAAAAGGGGCGCGGTCTAAACCAGTGAGCCTCTTGGGCTTGCTGATTAGAAGGTCGGCGGTTCAAATCCCCATGACGGGGTGAGCTCCTGTTGCTTGGTCCCAGCTCCTACCAACCTATCAGTTCGAAAGCACGCCAAAAAGTGCAAGTAGATAAATAAGTACCGCTCTGGCGGGAAGGTAAATGGTGTTTCTGTGCACTGCTCTGGTGTCAGTGTTCCGTTGCGCCAGAAGCGGCTTAGTCATGCTGGCCACATGACCCGGAAAAACTGTCTGCGGACAAATGCCAGCTCTCTTGGCCTATAAAGAGAGACGAGTGCCTCAACCCCAGAGTTGTCCACACTGGACTTAACTGTCAGAGGTCCTTTACTTTTACCGTTGAACCAGTTTCCTGGATATCATAAGGTGCGGACAAGTTTTAATAAAAATGTAGCAAGTAAAAGTAAGCCAGAAGAGTAGGAGTTCTATGTAAGAAAAAATATGAACTGGGTCTGCTTGTTTCTTCTTACTGTTTTAAGAGTCTTTAAACACACAATAAAAGTGTGAGATTTCCACACACAGAGAAAATCTATTAGACTTGAGGCCAGGGTTATTTAGTTCCTGCCATGGACTGTTCCCTACTACTTGCTGTTATGCACTGTGATCTAGTGTTAGGATGAGAATCTTGTGTACTCTCACTCCCATTTCCCATCACCCTGACTATCATGACCAGTTATCAGGGATGATGGGAGTTGTGGTCCAACAATATCTGAATTGTGGATAGAGTTGATTCTTAGGGAGGTATTCAACCAAGTTTACTCAGCATAGGCCGACTAAAATTAATGAACATGGCTGTGTACATACTATACCTTTAAAGAACATTCAAAGCACATTCTCCACCCCACCACCGAATTCTGGTCACTTTAGTTTGCCAAGAGTTCCTGTGAATTATAACTCTGTGAGGGGAATGGCAGCCTGTCCTGCTTTGTCGCTTGAGGCGAAATGGAAAAGTGCTGCCCCAGCACCACCTAAGCCTCCCACCAAGCAGCAATGGCAGTGGCAGGTTCTGGTGAGATCTCATGAGATCTCACAGAGCACACAATATCTCGTGAGATATTGCCAGAAGCCATCACTGCTTCTCCTTCAGTGGTGGTGAGGCAGGCAGGCAAGGCGCCCATAGAGGCACTTTGTATGGGGGTTCCGCCACTGAAGTGTCTGTCTCAGCACACCTCTTAGGCTGAAGACTATGGATTCTCAACCAAATGCATTTAAGTTCATATCCTAGCTGGATAAGGAACCATGCACAGAGTTGGGTGCTAAGATGCCATCTGCCACCTATCCAGATGTCAGGGCTGCAAAGTCCCATTAGAAAATCCAGCCTGCTGTCTGGGAGACAAAGCGGGGAAATGTGGATTCAGATCTGCTCCCTTCCCAACCATTAAAAAAACCAACTCTGATTTTAGCAACCCCCACCTTTCTAACATAGCTCCATGAGTGATGGAACAACTGCAGCTACATAAGTACACAACCAGATAAGGACGGTAGTGTAGAAATTTTTTCAAGGTTCAAAAGCATTGCAAAAAATTATTTTTGTATCCTATAATTCAGGAGTTTTGAGGGTTGGCACATTTGGACACCTGCTGAGGGTCCGCACTCCAGAAGGCCCCCCGCAACAACAGCTTCTTGGATTGGTTCCTCCTTACCTCTGCTTCTTGTTGTGGCTCTGGGGGAATGAAGAAGTAAACAACAGCTGTGGTGAGGAAGTGTGACTGTCTAGGCCAGGCATAGGCAAACTCGGTCCTCCAGATGTTTTGGGATTACAACTCCCATCATCCCTGACCACTAGTCCTGTTTGCTAGGGATGATGGGAGTTGTAGTCCCAAAACATCTGGAGGACGAATTTGCCTGGTCTAGAAAGTCAGCGGTAGCAATGATGAGGCAAAAGAGCAGCAGCTGGCAACAGTGGCAGAGAAGAGGCAGATGTACTGAGAAAGGAGGCTCCACCCTAAATCCACAGGCACAACCTACCATTGTTTCTCATTGCTTCTCTTCAGTGCATGTATATGTATGTGTATATGTATGTATACCGTACTCTAAAAAGGTCATCCATCAGGGCGAACAATTGCATTCAATCCCATTGGCCTGAACTGACTGGAAAGGATCTAAATAATCTGTGTCATCCAAGAATGCTTGCATCTGAGTATTACAATTGTGTTACTTTATAGAATGTGAAAATACTTCATAATTCTAGACTTGCTACCTTCTTTATATATCTTCATTCTGATACAAGCAGTTCAAAGTGCAGACCAAGACTCTTATAAAAGCTGATGAGCAGAAGAAAGGTTATATGGGATGCAACTGCTTCTTTCTGTGGAGCTATTCCTTTCCTCCACAAGATCCTTGTAGCCACTGGGTAATATAAATATCAGGAATTAGGTAATGCTGCTTCAGGCGGAATTAACTGCTCCCTCATGATTTGCAACTCTCAAAAAGAAGTTGGGACAGTCACAAAGTGAAAAGCTGTTCAGAAGCTAGTTGTGCATGTTAGTATGTTAATGACAGGGAATCATATTTTTTAATATTTATACACTCATATGGGCCCCCAAAGCAACTCACAACATAATAAAACAAGCACAATAAAATCAGTTTACAAACAACCTTACTAAAGTTTGCAGCAACATATACAAAACACTGGCAGCAAAAAAAGCACATCTAAACAAAACTGTAATAACAATCTTTCTGAAGCCAGGGAGGTAAGGGACTAAATAAACTTAATGAGGGCTCAGTTGGTTGAACATGAGACTCTTAATCTCTGGGTTGTGGGTTCAAGCCCCAGATTGGGCAAAAGATTCCTGCATTGCAAAGGGCTGGACTAGATGAACCTTTTGGTCCCTTCCAACTCTACAATTCTCTGAGTCTATGAGTTCCAGAAGTAAGATGCCACCACAGAGAAGGTCCTATCCTTATCATGTACACCTCAGATGGTGGAGGGATGCAAAGCAGAGCCTCCTTAAAAGATCTTAAGCAGTCATGCAGGAGCAGGTGGTCCTTCAAATAAAACTGGCCCATGCAAGCTGGCAGGATTTTGGAAGTGGTGGATCATCTGCCACTTCACTCCCACCCTCACAATCCTCCACTGGTTTGGTGCCAGTATAGAAGCAGACCTGACTTCAGGAAAAGTGGAAGCTTTTTTTGCGGCAGGAAGGAAACATCAAAAACTTCCCTAAACAGGGCTGCCTTCAGATGTCTTTTAAAAGTAAGAAAGTTGTTTATTACCTTGACATCTGATGGGAGGGCATTCCACAGGGCGGGTGCCACTACCAACAAGGCCCTCTGCCTGGTTCCCCATAACTTCACCGCCAGAAGGCCCTTGGAGCTGGACCTCAGTGTCCAGGCTGAATGATGGGGGTGGAGATACTCCTTCAGGTATACTGGGCCGAGGCCGTTTAGGGCTTTAAAGGTCAGCTCGGAAACATACTGGGAGCCAATGTAGGTCTTTCAAGACTGGTGTTATGTGGTCTTGGCGGCTGCTCCCAGTCACCAATAAATGCCATCCCTTGACCAATCTGACATTAACAACCATCAGAACTATGGAATGAGATAATCTCAGGTACACTAAACCATATCATTTACACAACATGCATCTTCAATAGCCTCAGAAAGCTATTGGGGCCTACAACATGCTGCTTTTATTGGTGAAGGTGCTCTTGCTGAGAACCCTGCTCCATTATATTCTGAGGCACCTAAACATTCATGAAAAGCCATCTCATGGAAGACTCACACCAATTTTCTAGTGATGTCAGGAAGGTATAAAAGGAGAAAATCATAGTCTTTTACTATGATAAAGTCAGGGCCCCTTCAAATATCCTTTTTATTGTACATTCAAGATGATATGTGCTCCTGATGGGATTTGAAAAGTTTTGGGATGGAACTATTGCTTCATTTCCAATCAGTGCATGTCCCATAGCTTCCTAATGAATTCATGCAACTTTTAATACCACAAATGTTCAGGATGGGATGGTGGTTTGTCCTGCTTCAGTTGTGCTGTAGTGCAAAACTGCCCTTCCACGCAGCAATAATGTGGTTACATTAGGAAAGCATTGCAGAACTAATAAAGTGGAATGATGTGTTGATGGTCCGGTATAAATCAACCACTTATGCCCTATTACTGAGTCAATGACAAGTTGCAGAGCACGCCCACACACAAAAACACTAGTCTGGAGGGGCACTTAGTGAAAAGTGTTCCGGACCATCTGGAGTTTTCATCCTATGACTACAGCTTCTGAGTTGAGAGGCACCTGTTGCATAGAAGAATGTGTATGAGAGATTAGAAGGGGAGGATTGGGGGACCACAGACAAGGGTCACCCGAACCTAAGGCCAGCCTTGGCTTGAGATTTCACAGATCTTATCAGCAATATATAGTGTCTGTCAGAAAACAGAAATTGTGGAATGAAGTTTTTATTCCTTTAAGCTAGCTCTCATTCTTTAAATCTGGGCATTACAAATCTCTCTGTGTGTGTATGGTCCAGAAGTTCCAGTACAGTCAAACCTCGTTTTTTGAAAGTCTCAGCTGCTGAACGTTTCGTAAGCCAAACACCGAAAACCCAGAAGTGAATGCTTCCGTTTTCGAATGCACCTTGGAAGGTGAACGGCTTCTGTGGCACATTTTTCTTTTTTCCACATTGACTTTGCAGCCAGACCTTTGATCCTTGATTTTTGAAAGTCAAACAGATTTCCGGAACGGATTACATTCGAAAACCGACGTTCCACTGTATTGTGGTTTTAACAGATGAGCATAAAAAGAGTAAGCTGCCAGTCACTGAAGCCACCTAAACTGGTGGAGCTAGTGGTTTAAGATTGAATGTGAATATTCTGAGGAAGGCAAGCTGTAGAATTACTGGAGAAGCAAAACACTGAAGTTGGACTTCATGAGGGCCAGTTCACCAACTCCAAACACCTCACTTTCTGCTCACCACTTGTTGACTTGAAGCGTAATCTGCGCATTGCATAAAAATCCGCTGCAATGATGTCAGTCCTCTGACAAATCACATTTTTAAAGGCCTTAAACTTTTTAACACCCCCACCCCCACCATCGTACTCCACCTCATTCATTGCAATCAGGCTCCAATCCCTCTCTCCTCACCAATGAGTTCCCCTCCACCCACCCCATCGAGCAGCCTCAAACTTCTTGGAAAGTCCCTTTGCTGTTGGATCTCAGTCGTTCATGCTAGTACTCCTCGCCCCCGAGTTTGAGGCTTCATCAAGCGGTGGGCGTGTGAAGCGCCTCAAGCAGAGGAGTGAAACTCCTAGGGACCGATGTCCCTTCACCCCCGTAATAAAATATTTTAGGGAGTCCCCCCCCCCGCAGTTGATGGGCATTGCCATTCAAATGGTGTCCGTGTGCCACGTCTTGCGACCGATTAGGTGGGACGGGGCTTACCTTGTGCCCCCTATATTTTATTCAGGTTGGCCCCCCTGGCCTCCAGAGTCTCACAGGCTTGGGCCACCCTAACCTGGGGGGCCCCCTGAGAGTTCAGTCCAGGAGCAGCGAGGGAGCCCCCAAGCCATCCCCTAATGCCCGAAGCAACGCAGAGAGACCGTTGGCCCTGACCTCGCGCCGCCGGATCCTGACGGTTAGGGGTCTCCTCCCGCTGGACCGTTGGGCGCTGACTTGGGGCCTCGTGCTCCCCTCTGGCAGGGGAAGGAAGCCAGGAGGGCCAAGGGGGGATTCCCTGCTTCGCTCCCTCGCTCGCTCTCCGTCTGCGGCGCGCGCGGCGTGTCTTTTGTGTTTGTACACACAGAGGCGGCCGCGGGAAGCCGAGAGTGGGCAGGGAGGAAGCCGCGCGGGCGTGGCCTCGCCTTCCCTCCATTGTGCGCCATTGGCTGCCCTCCTCGGCGGGGGCGGGGCCTGGGCGGGGCTAAGCGGCGGAGACGGCCCTCCCGAGTCAGCCATCTTTCAATTGTGCTCTCAGCCGCCGTCGCCCGCAGCAGCTTTAGCGCCTCCTCGCTCTTCCTCGCCTGCTCGGCAGCCGCGCTCAGCCTCAGCGGACGGGGGTAAGTCGTCAGCCTCGCTCCCTCCCGCGGCGGCGGCGCCCCCCCTCCCGCCAGCTTAGCCAGGGACCCCTCCGGGCTGCCCCCCGAACCTCTCCGGCAAACTTCTGGGAAGAGCTGCGGTTGGGGGGCAGGCGAGTCCCCAGCGCAGCCGAGGAGACGGCTCCTTCGCGCAGGGCCCCCCAGCCCCACTTCGCGCGGCTCCTGCCCCCCTCCAGCGCCCTCCCCGCACCCCGGACCCCCACCATCCTCCTCCCCAGCCCCTCACCTGCCCCCTCGGCCCCTCGTCGCCCCGCATCGGAGCTGGGAAGCGGCTGCAAACTGGAGCCAGTTGCCAGCCCGGGGAAACTCGCCTGCCTGCCTGCCTTCCCTGGCTCCCCACAGTTGTTGCTCAGCTTCACCATCTTGTCTCTTTTCTCTGGTCACCGACCATATTTTTTTCTCTCCTATTGCATAAAAACAATAAAAAGGGGAGAAATGTGCCCAGGAAACGATCCAAACCCAGCGCGATTTGGGGGGATTCTCGGTCCAAACTTTTCCTCTCCCCGGTAGCCCGTCGGACCCCACATAGTTTGGAGCTGCTGGGGGATTTTTTTCCGGGGGGTTGTTATTGTGTTGCTATTTTATTTTTTTATTTTTTCCCCCTCCCCGTCTCTCTCTTTCTCTCCCTGCAATAGGGAGTCTAAGGCTGCATTTCGTGATTGTTTCCATTTTGTTGGGGATGAGTTTGCCAGCGAGAGGCGCTTGGGAGCGAGGCAGCCTCAGCACTGGCAATTGGGCAGGCGGGAGCAGCACCGAAAAACCTGACCCCCCAAAAGTTCGTTGCTTTCTTGCACTTAAAATCTGACGTGGTATTTCCCCCCTTCCTTTTGTGGAATAAAACCTGGCTCGTCTACGGCTTCCATTTGTTTTTCCTTCGCGCGCACGGCAGGGCGAGGGGAACGGTGGCTGCTTTGCAGGAGAACACTTTAAGGCTTGGGAGTCCCCCTGTTTTCTTTTCTGTTTTTAAACGGATTTTTGTTTTTTGCTCAATGCAAGCCTTAAATCAGCTGCACGTCCCCCGGCGTTTTCGGCAATTATTGGCACTTTTTCTGAGCCCACGGGAGGGGGTTAGGAACCGCTTGTGTTGTGTTGGAATCGCCCCTCTCTCATCTTTTTGACTGCTGCTGCATCGCTCCAGTTTTTTGCCCTGGGCAAGGGCTGCATTTTAGCAGGCTACTACAATCCTAGGCATTTATTTTACTGTTAAATAAATTAGATCCCCCCTCCCTGACCATTTTACCATCCAATCCAGCACTTGCAAGGGAAAGGATTTCTTTATGTGGCAAGCTCGCAGGCGGGGAAGTCTGCTGCTTGGCTTGCTACCGGAGGTGTGGATCCGCAGCTTTTTAATCGCTTAAGGTTTTGGAGGTCCTTAACATCGGATGCATTGTTGTTGTCTTTGCAAAGGCAGTTTTAAAAACAAATAAATCTGCATTTTCGGAAACCCTTTCCCCCCCTCCTCTGGTGGCTGCTGTGTGGCGGTATAGTGATCGCGTGGGTGATTTCTTACCGATAGGTGTAAGGAAGAGAAGTTCGCGGGAACATGGCTCGTACCAAGCAAACTGCCCGTAAATCCACCGGTGGGAAGGCGCCCAGGAAGCAACTGGCGACAAAAGCCGCTCGCAAGAGCGCGCCCTCTACTGGTGGGGTCAAGAAACCTCATCGCTACAGGTATAGAAATGACCGCGAACAAAAGTATTGTGATGTTATAGTCCCCAAACAACGCGGAAATGTTTATCGGAACGCAACTTTTTGCTTCGGGGATTTTTATTTTTAAAATCTTTCACATTGAATCGGATTATACTGGCAAGGTCTCCGTTGTTTCTTCTCTTGACGGAAAAAGAAAAATGTCAACATAAAAATATTTTATATTGAACATTTCCTCCGAAAAAAGCTGTAAGATCGCCTTTGATAGTAATATATCAATGGTATTGATTAAATGGATTTTAAAAATAAAATCTGAAAATCGCAATATTAAGTTTTAAAAAACAAATCTGGTTCTGTCGTGTTTAGGATGTAGTAATAGGGCTTGCTGATTAATGAAGGTGTTGGAAGAAGCCTGCTTTATTTAAAACTTGCCGAGCCTGATAATTTTTCATTTATTTAAATTAGTTTAGCTCCTCAGCTGTTACTGTAAAACTGATATAATTTGTTCATAGTACCACTAGAGGGCAGTAGCTGCCTCCAGATAAGCAGGTAAATAGCAGGCTTTACACTTTTAAATGTTGTTTTTAAGACTGTGTATACACAAATTGATAAATTGTAATTACTGATATTCTTCTAGTAGCCATTTTTCTCATCAGTTTCATAATATTTACATTGCATAAAGAGGACATAAAGAAAAATGAGTACTGAGAAGAGACTCTTTAATGGTTTCTAGCATTCTGTTTTGGACCGTTCTTTTTAGCTGAAACCTATGTGACTTATTTTAGCATGTCACTACTTCGTTTTGTAGAAGTTGGTCTTGCACAAAATGTTCTTGTATGCTCATGTCTCTTGAATGGAACAGTTATTCAAACTTTCATTTCTCTCTGGAATTTTGTATGCTCTATTTTTTGGAGATGAAGACAAAAAGCTTATTTGTCTTGTTTCTTCTTCTTTGTTTGATCATTTAAAGGCCAGGTACTGTGGCTCTTCGTGAAATCAGGCGTTATCAGAAGTCAACCGAACTTCTGATCCGCAAACTTCCTTTTCAGCGCCTGGTGCGTGAAATTGCTCAGGACTTCAAAACAGATCTGCGTTTCCAGAGCGCAGCTATTGGTGCTTTGCAGGTAAAAATCATATTGTATCTTACTAGCTGCCCTTAACCCCCCAAATGGCAAGATGCCCCTTAATAGAACTGATAATGCATGTCTGAACAATATAATTTCAGGTGAGTACTTATCAGTGTTTTCCACCCCATAACCTTATATATGAACTTTGTTTTCAATTAGCCATTTTGTGTCCCAAATTGTTTCTTTCTAAGTTACAATTATCTAGCTTTTAAAAAGACATGGGGAAAGGTGCTTAGAGGTAAACTCTTTCTACCAAAGTAATTCAGCTGACTTTTAAAAATATATACATGAGACTTAATTTACAACTGTCTCAGACAGGACACATGTGGGTATAGCTTTACCATCACAAATGACATGAAAAGCCCTTTCTAGAGTGCAGCCATTAACAGCACTGTGCCGTTAGTACGTGAGGGAGTATGTGATTGGTTACTTCCATACGCTCATCTTATTGGTTGAGCTGTTTCTATGGTTAGTCAAAACTTCACGCAATTGGTGGGTTTCACAAGTAAGCATCCATGTGTTTGTAGGTGCGCAGATAACTACCAGCATTTGGGAGAACTAAAGTAATTCACCTCCTTGAGGAAGATCTTAAAACTTGAAATGTTGGAACATAAGGATTTCAAAAATAGATCTACTAAAGGAACTGCAAATGAATCCATTATTTCTTTCCACTACCCTTCAAGATTCATTTTTTTATTTTTACTCTGCACAAAGGTTGACCCAAACCATTTCTGAGATTTGTCAGGAATATGATCTACGTTACGCTGCATCAGAATACTTAGCAGCTTCTGCCTTTGTCAAGCCTCCAAGTAACTTCCACATACCTTTCCTCTTTCCACACATCGTTAGGAAGAGCAAGGGGTACCTGTTAGGATGTGGTTGGGATACACCTGGTATGTGAGATGTACTTTTTGAGCCCTTCTGTAAGATAACCAATTGAAGACAGAATGCTGCAGTGGGAGGACCTTGGTCTGATCCGGCAAGACAATTTGTATGTTCTCCAACGAAACACAAAGCTTGCATTAGTGTTAGATATGGTGATTTCCAAATATGGAGAGGGAACTTGTGCTGTTTTCTAATTCTCTTTCTTGGTTTATTTCCACAAATTACTGATGTGTAAGTAGCTATATGTGAAGAGCATGACACTACCAGTTCTAGGCAGATCCAGTGTATTTTCCAAAAGCAGAAAGGCACATTATCCTTTTCCATGCAACACTTATGTGCACAAGAGTGATGTAAGCATGGCTAGGTTGTGGTGAGGACAACAACTTAACAAGGGAGAAGCAGCCCTTAGTTTGTAAGCGCTACACTCAGGGGGCAGAGAGCATTTAATACTTTACAGACCTATTTGACATTCTCAGAAGCAGTTCCCAGACAGAACTGATTTGTCAGTCGTGGGACTCACATAAACCCAAATGTTTTGCAGCATGCTTTGCCTGCTCTGTATGATGTAACACTGTCACCTCCTGCTCTAAAGGGACAGAGGTACAAGAAAGAAGTCCATTAGCCATCCTAAGAATAATGTCGGCATATCACAAGATTTGTGATTGAAACATGTACAGTTCTACACAGCATATGCAGAATTCAAGCTAAAACAGGTGTCTAAAAAATTCAGCACAGTCTAGAATCCAGACTCTAGATGAAGCCTGCCTTATTTGTGGCCCATCGACTCTTAACACAACCCACCATCACGCTGGTGCATGACCCCCACTATGTTTGCAGTCCCAGACTGATTACCAAAGAATAGGAATTTTATTGACAGCCGTATAGGGTCAACAGGCTGCACTTGTCTTGTGTACGGTCCTCCAGCCAGGGTGCTATGAGGTTTCTGGCTACCCATTGCCAGATTATGATTTTTAAAGCAACACTGAATGGCTGAGAAATCAGAGTGCAGCATGGACATCAAAGAAATCGCTTTATTGTTGGTAAAAAGTAGCAGTGGTGCTGCTGCTTCATAAAACCCACAATACACCTATGTTCCTTGGCCAGATCCTTGTCCAATCCTGACCTTATTTTAATCCCAGGATGAGCAGGCATTAGGCTTTAATTTTTATACCACAACCCTGAGACCTACCAGCCTTAGCCAGGTGCATATAGTGGCTCAGGAGGGATAACATAATGAGAATTAAGGACAGCGTACCTCTGAGCATATGCCTGGTCCATATTAAAAATCCACATCTATCTTCCTTTCTTTCAGTATCCAAAATTAGGGTGGAGTGGGAAATACCTATTAATTGTTGGTTTGCTAGATAGTTCGGAGCCAGAAAACATGACCGTCATACTGTAAATCCCCCAGAGATGTATCAGTAGATCCTGATCTCCCTTCTGCCTTTCCTGTGAAGATGGATTCCAAAGTTTTATACAGTGCTTGTGCAAGCAGAAAACAGCTTGCACAAACAGCCTTTCCTCTTGCCTCCACCTGCAGAAGGTTTTTTCCCTTTAATTTGGGGGGTGGGGAGCATCTCCTGAGCAGTGGGGCTTTCAGTCATGGCTCTGTGGGAACATGCCCCAAATCGGGCAGAAAGAGTCCCTCTGCCTGATTTTGGATGATTCTCCACCCATTTCACTTCAGTCCTTACAACATGGCCCCCATTATTCAGGAGGGCCCCCAACCCTCTGAAGAGGGTTTTTGGAAGTTACAAGTAGGAGGACGCGAATATCTGTTGTGTAAAGAGCATTATGCTCAAGTAACTACTTGAAACAATCCTTTAACCGTTGTTGCCCCTGTGGAAGAGTTAACTTGCTACAAACCGCCTTAGTGGTGGATTAGGATCCAGTAGGGGCTTTTGTTTTGCAAGCTACAAGAACAGAATGCTTTGGAGAAGATAATACATACATTAATTATGATGGTTAATGCCCAATCCAGGTGTGGAATCAATCAGAGACAGGATTTTATAGTTGGGTGTATCAGAACTCTAGGGCTACAATACCTTTTTTTCTGTTTACCAACATTTATATACCACTTGATTTTAACACAACCTCTAAATGATTTACAAGGAATATCTTGTAATTAAAACATGGAACACACATTTAAAATCAGCAGTAAACTAACAAGAGATTAAAGCATGCCAAGATCTATGTGTGGATAGGCTTTTTGGCAGGTGCCAAAAAGGATACAGCAAAGGTACCTGATGTCAGACGTCAATAGGCAGAAAGCGCCAGATTGTAGGTGGTATCTCACCAAAAGATGTATTTTCCCCTCCCAATTGCATAAGACAATTTAGAAGAGAGACATAGCGAAAGTGTGCCAATGTTTGTAATTACTTGAGAGTCTGTGCGCTATGGTTAAAACATCCGAATTATTTTCTTCTCTCAACAGGAGGCAAGTGAGGCCTACCTGGTTGGCCTGTTTGAAGACACCAACCTGTGTGCTATTCACGCCAAACGTGTCACAATCATGCCAAAAGATATCCAGCTAGCACGCCGCATACGTGGAGAGCGTGCTTAAATTCTTCTAAGATGGATTTGTCATTCTCAAAACAAAATAAATCTCTTCTTCCTGTTATTGGTAGTAATGAACGTTAGATATTTTTTTCCATGGGGTTAAAAGGTACCTAAGTATATGGTTGCAAAAATGAGGGGGAAAAAATAGAGGACAGAATCGGGTATTGGCAAGATCTTTTTCATTTTCATTTGTGTGTGGATTTTTAATATAAATGTGGGGACATATAATGCATTATTGCTATCAAAAACCATTTCAGTGAACATATTTCAGCAGTTCAACTTTATAACAATTATAAATATGCCAGTCAAACTTTTCTGGACAATGCCAGCATTTGGATTTTTTAAAAAAATAGGTAAATTTCTTATTGATGGCAACTATATGGTGTCTGTAACATTTTTATCATACAGTAGATTCCATCCATTCGCTATACTTTTCTAACTAAGTTGTCCTACATGCAAGTACATGTTTTTAATGTTGTCTGTCTTCTGTGCTGTTCCTGTAAGTTTGCTATTAAAATACATGAAATAACATTTGTTTTTTGCCTTTAATTTTTAACCCTGCCACATTGACTGCTAGTTTCTGTAAGTCAGCACCAATAGAAATTCAAGAAACATGCATCTCTTGCACTGCTTCCAAACTAAATGTAGGAAAGTGAGCATTTCTGACTCGTATTGAGAATTGGAGCCATATCAAAATTTATATGTGGTGGGGAAACACACATGGATGTAGTTACCAGTTCACACATGTGCGCATCCACTTCAATAACGGCAGTAGCACTTTCAACGAACAAAGCTTCCCTTCCAGCCAATTCATGTGAATTGATCTTTTGGATCCCTCTTTCAGTTTACAAGTATAAAAGTAGCACAGTTACTACATGAATTGGCCACCACCAGAAGGAATGAGTGTCTCGCATCTCCTAGGTGGTGTGTGCCTGCAGCTTATGGTGTGGAAATTAGGAATCTGTGGTCATGACCCTCTAGTTTGAAATTACTATTTTTCTATCTTCACTTTAATCCTATGGGGGGAGGGAGGGAATCTGCATCCTGCACAGACTGAAAAAGTCCCTAAATGTAGCTGTGTGTGAATCTTGACTACTGAGTCGGAGCTTCCATTTTTAGTGTTCTCAACCCCTTGCCTTCCTTCTTGCTGTTTCCAGCCGTTTTCCAGAGCGTATTCAGTGGTACCTCAGGTTAAGAACTTAATTCGTTCTGGAGATCCATTCTTAACCTGAAACCGTTCTTAACCTGAGGTACCACTTTAGCTAATGGGGCCTCCCGCTGCCACCGCTGCACAATTTCTGTTCTCATCCTGAAGTAAAGTTCTTAACCTGAGGTACTATTTCTGGGTTAGTGGAGTCTGTAACCTGAAACACCTGTAACCTGAGGTACCACTGTACTCTAGCTAGTTGGGTCAGTTTCTCAGATTCAGCTGATGATCCATTTTCTTCTGCGATTCTTACAATCATGCTGCAAACTTGCACAAATCAAATTGCACTTCCATCCTACAGAAACTAATATACAGTTGTACCTTGGAAGTCGAACGGAATCCGTTCTGGAAGTCTGTTCGACTACCAAAACGTTCGGAAACCAAAGCGCTCCTTCTGACTAGCTGTGGGAAGCAAATGAACAGGCACTTCCAGGTTTGCGGCGTCAGGGAGCCAAAATATTCGAGAACTAAGCTGTTTGAAAACCAAGGTACAACTGTATACTCTTCCCTTGCCCCCAACATGGTTACACTGATGCAGACCTGGTTTATGGGTCACCCTGGGGGAATGCTCACAGTTCATGCCCCCCCGCAAATGGTTACCCGTTTCTATATGCCCCATATATGGAGTGGAGGAAATACATTTTTCACTTTTTAAATTCCTAAATCTAATCTTGTGCATAGTTAGGAATATTGAAAGAATCAAAACAATTCATATTTGGTGAAGGTTTTGCTTGACTTTTATTTAATACAAATTCATTTGGACCCTATTTTCAACAGTCAATCAAGTCACAGTGGATAGAAAAATAAACCTTGAAAGGGAAGGTTCTAAGAGCAGCGCACCAGAAAAGACTGGTTTTGAAGCAAGTGGGTTATTAGATTTAAGATGGTTTTTTAATGCCACCATAATAGGTGAAGGAACATTCACAATAATGTTCGTTAAATAATTAAATGGCTTTCTTTTAAAAGGAAAGAAGTTCAATGTAATTTTATCTCAAAAAAGCAGAAAACTTGGTTGTTGGTACTGCCAATCAATAGAAGGGCAGTTATATTGGAACTTGAACTGTGTTGGTTTGTGGAAGGAGACAGTAATACAAAGAACAGAAAGCACTTTGCCAGCACGCAGCAGAGTATTAATTTATGCATGGGAGTCAATTCACTTTGTAATTGTTGGCATCCCTCTGTCTCGAGAGACAATGGAGTGAACCCCCAGGGGTGAAGTCAAACAACGGTGTTAGCAGCACCTTAAACCCCCCACCACCTTTGTTTTGGATCCTGTGGCCCTTTAGATGACATCAGCTCCAGCCATCAGGACTAATGATCAAGGATAATGGGATTTGTAGTCCTCTAATGTTTAAAAGGTTGCAAGTTACCCATTCCTGGTTAAGGACATGAAGTTCAGACAGTTTAAATCAGCAGCCATACAAAATTCAGCATGTTCTGTCAGTGTGGAAGCTATAGCTCTGTGACACAAAGTAATCCAAATCTCATAAACTATTTAATTGATTCAGAAAATATGAATTGCATTGATTTTAGTTGGTATGTGTGTATGAGAGAGAGATGTTTTAATACGTAAAGGTAAAGGACCCCTGGACAGTTAAGTCCAGTCAAAGGCGACTATGGGGTTACGGCGCTCGTCTGGCTTTCAGGCTGAGGGAGCTGACATTTGTCCACAGACAGTTTTCCGAGTCATGTGGCCAGCATGACTAAACCGCTTCTGGCACGACGGAACAACGTGACGGAAACCAGAGCGCATGGAAACACTGTTTACCTATTTATCTACTTGCACTTCTGTGCTTTAGAACTGCTAATTTGGCAGGAGCTGGACAGAGCAATGGGAGTTCACTCCGTCGTGGGGATTCAAACCACTGACCACCTGATCGGCAAGCCCAAGAGGCTCAGTGGTTTAGACCACAGCGCCACCCGCGTCCCTTTTTAATATGTCCACTCTTCTGTCAGGTGCCACTGAATAACAGGACATCTTCAACTAAATAGTTGGTCTAGAAGTAGCCAGTGCTGATAACACACTAGGAGCCCACATTCTTTAATCAGCTCAAGGGTAGGAGGAACTCAGAAAAGATTTTTTTTGTGGGGGAAGGGGAAGAAGGTTCAATAGCACAAGGATAAGCCTTTCACTGAGAGAATCTTAGTGCTGTGTTGATTACAACCCATCATCAGAAATATGGACTTACCTATCAGGGGTGTGAGGGAACAGAGATGACTGACAGAGGGCAAGCAGCCTATTCTTGGGTAATTCTGAGGTTTCTTCTGGCTTTAGTAGGTTTGTGATTATGCTGTGAGAAATTACTAACTGCAGATTTGTAAGATGAGTTGCACACATGCACTGAAGGTATGAGACGGCAGGGAATGGAAGAGAAATGGGGATGTGCGCCAACTAGAACAAGAAAGGAAGGGGCAACTCCCTATGCAGGGAAACTGGGGAAATCTATCTGTGTGTGACAGTGATGTGAGTGGCTTCCAGATAATTTCACTAGATAGCAGCTGTCTAATGAGATGGGCATTAAATGGAATGTCAGGGAGGAGAGCAAGCTCTTGGAATAGGTTAAATTCTCCTCTGCAAAAAATGCAATATCCACTGGTATCCAGGCGATTGCCAGATGGTATCTGAGCATCTGCAGGGGATAGTGATTACTCTACATAGCAAGAGGAGAAAAGGGAGGGTGAGGGGCAGGAAAGTAGGGTGAAAACACAACAGAAAGATATTTCAGAAAGGCTTCTGTGCCACCCTGGGAGGCTTCTCTTTTTATTTTGGGAATTTCCGTTCCACCCCTTAAAAAAAAAAAGTCCTTCAGGTGAGAAAAAAGTAACAGACCAAATATACACCATCATAAAAGCATAATAATAAAGCAATTGTAAAACAGCTATTTTAAAAGCAGCTGAAACCATTTTAGACGGCTGAGGAGATCCCCCCCCCTTTAAGCTTTTATGTAATGCTGAAAGGAGAACAGTGCTGGAACTAGTCAAGTCTCCTTGGGGAGGGAATTCCAAAGGTGGAGGCCACCACTGGGAAACTTGCTCCTTTAGGCACCACCTGCATTGCCTAAATCCAGAAAACCTTAATAGATAATTTCATTCCAGGGGCAGGTTAGTGTGGCAGCTGGCTTTTATTATTTCACGTGCTCAAATCCAATGCCATATACGTCTTTAAATGTGAGCACCAGCATTTTGACTTCTATTCTGAATCAGAGTAATGAAGGTCTCCAAGTAAGGATGGTGCCCGTGCCCTGCCACTTTTAGTAAAAATATATAACAAATAGGTCAGATTCAGGTGCTTTTTCATACAGCAGCAAGGTGAGGGGGAGTGACCTAGCTAAGCCTGGCAGAACATCTTACTCTATGATCTTAACCCCTTCATGTATTAATTAGAGTTGAGCACACTGGTTATAAGAGACTCGATATCCCATAATGTGCATCTGATTTAGGCCGATGTTTGCCAGCCTACCAGATATGTGCACATGTGATTGCTTCCACATAGTATAGGAATCTTCTTAGTTTAACAGAGGGTCATGGGGAGGGGGGTAAAAAAAAACAAAAAAAAACAAGGGACACTCTAGAGTATGACTAACAGCCTTACCCTGTTTGTTGATTGATAGCTACATGGGCATTTAAAGCCAGGATGATCACAGATATTTAAAAAAAAACCAAAACCCTGTTTTTACACCAACAATCACTACCTAAGTGTCCCCACCACATCCACTATTCTCATTCCCTTTATTTTGATATTCAGAGTCCCATTGCTTATTTATCCAAAATGGCACCATCCACTCACTGGATGGCAGTATCATAAGACTTGTGGGGAGCCCCAGGGTTTTCAGAAGCACAAAAATATTTAGAAGAAAAACTCAAGTGTGTGGGTAGGCAGGAGGAAAGAGACGGGGAGAGAATCAAAGCAGCCCAGTGAGGACTGAGCATGCTCAGCGGCCGTAGACTCACAGGGGGGTGGGGGTGGAATCAAAAATTTGGCACATGGAAAATGGAACAAAGTGACTGGAATATTGGAGATACCAGCATTCCACACTGCAACCATTTGTTGCCGGTCCCCCTTACATCTTGTCGAAGACTCTTTTCTACCTGCAATATAACATATTAATTTACCCAATACTCATCCTTCCTGCACTGGATTCTGCAGCAGGTGTTCCTGACTGGCACTGTTGTTTTTATTTCACCTACACAGGCACGGTTTAATAGAATGTCTTGATATAACCACAAGCCTGAAACTCAAACACATTCTGCATCTGGGTAGGTAGTTATAGGAGAAATGATGGAAAGGAAGTGACTGCATATTTTCACACAACAACAGATATTGCAAAAATGGGATCTCCAAAATATCCCATGAGACAAAATGGGAATAATGATTTATGAGGGAAAGAGACCAGAAAAAAGGTGGGAGGGCTATTCCTTGTACATCAGTATTTATTTAAAACATTTCCCCTCTTCTAAAAGTATTCTAGGTACATAGGAACAATTGGGGTGATGTATAGATTATTAAGTACTGGGGGGGGGGGGAGCAGATAGCATATTCATATTGCTAAGCCATGCAGAGTTCAGCACCTTGTGAAACAGTCACGACTGACTCTTCCAGAGCACAATTCAACCCAGATTTAATGTGCTGCAAACTGAGCATGCGGTGAAGGAATCCTACAGCCACGAGCTACCTGCTTAAATTCTGCCGTTTGAAGTCTGGAAGGAATGTCAGGCAGCACTAATGTGGACACTCACTGGCACATATACACCCTCCATTATTGTTTCTACAAACATGGGAGTGCCTTTATCTCCAGCACTGCCTTTGATCAGAATGTGGGACCGAACCGAGAGCCAGTGTAGATGCAATTAGTAAAGAGAACATGGATGGTTCTCTACTGCAAAGTGAAGCGAGCCAGCAAAGCTGATTCTGCCCACAGTTCTTAGTCACAACCCCTCTCTAAATGCATGAGTGCCTGGCAGCTGTGACCTTGTCAAACAGCTTGTGAAAGGGGTCTTCCCAGACGAGTGCATGAGCTGTATGTGGGGGACTGAGCGGCTGTCACGTGAGTGCTGTGAGCAGTCTTGCCACCGAGCGAGGCAAGAGGTCCCATCTGGAAGCAGAACTCAGGACAGATTAGGGAGAAAAGCTGCGTGACAATCCACGTCCCCGGCTGGAGCAACTTCAAACAATTTCCGTGTGCCAATTCATTTGAGACTTTTCAATCTGGTGGCTGTGTGCTGTATGTTGTAGAGGACAGTCCTCTGTTTCGGGCATCTCCTCTTTCAGGGGTGAGTGACCAAATACAGCCGTCTAGGCCTCTGGTCCCTTTGGACATGAGACTTAGCAAGCACACAGGCCACATGCTTACAGTCTATCCCACTGTGGCGACTTATTTTTACATTAGAATAATTAATTCTAAGTTTGCATCTAGGTGTGTGCATTATCCTGTGTAATCTTTATGCAAATCTGTGCCCTCTTTTGTGGTTATGTGTAAGAGGCTGCCCTGCTATACTTATGGGGACAGGCTGAGCACACTGGAATCCCAAAGATGCCGCCCCCCAAGTCTCTACAGTATTTGGTTGACTGTTTTTGCTTGAGTGTTGTCACCCTGTGATTTGCATGGCTGCCACCAGATGGCACCATAAGAGAAAAGGAGGGAGGGGGGAAGTGTAGGAAAAAGGAGTAAGGTGAAAATGCAGGGTGCATTGTGGTACAAATTTTAGCAATTGGGAGGTGGGAAGGAGGTAGTAAATGCATGAGGTGGGGAGATCTCAGGGATTACATAGGCATCTGTGCCCAAAGGAGGATATGCAAAAATGGAGCAAGGTGGAGACAAGACTATGGGGTGAAGGGGAAAATAGGGTGTACAAAGAGGGTTCCAGAATAGGAGGGGTGGTGGCTTCAGAATGGAGGGGGGGGGATAAAAAAAAGGGCTTAGTAGTTGCAATGTGTGGGATGAGGAACATCCAGAAGGTTGGTCCGTGTGCAAGTGGTTGGTTTTATTGTATATGCAACGATTGTCGATTTTTTGGACGATGCCATGGCCTCTGGCTAGTGCAGTTAAAGTTTATGATGATGGTGGTGGTGGTGTACAAGTGGGGTGGCAGAAAAGAAGGGGAAGGAACAGGCATGGTGATGAGGGTGAAGGTGGAAACAGGGGTGCAAGCAGGGCTGAACAATAGAAGAAGAAGAAGAAGAAGAAGAAGAAGAAGAAGAAGAAGAAGAAGAAGAAGAAGAAGAAGAATAGACATTGCTTCAGAAATGCGGCTGGGAAGGTTGAAGAGGGGCTTAGTACTTGCATGGTGTGGGAAAGAGTTGGTCAGCAGAGCGAGTGGGGGAGCAGAGCCCCCCAAGTTTGTTATATCTCTTGGGAATGCTCTTGCTTTGGATTTCCTGCTTTGAGCAGGAAGTTGGGCTGAGTGTTCTACAAGCCCCAACTCTATGGTTTGATGAGTCTGATGGCCTGCTTGTCCAGGTGCCATCTTCAAACACCTGAAGGGCTGTCCCATGGAAGATGGAGGAAGCTTGTTTCTGCTGTTCCAGAGGCTAGGACCTGAACCAATGGAATCCAATTACCAGAAAGGAGATTCTGACTAAACATCAGAAATAACTAGCTGTTCATCTATGGAATGGACTCCCTAGGAAGGAGGTGGACTCTCCTTTGCTAGAGGTTTTTAAGCAGAGGATGAATGACCATCTGTCAGGGCTCATTTAGCTGTGATTTCTGCAGGGGGGTGGGACCAGTTGACCCATCATAAAGAGCAAATCGGTCGAAAAAGCATCATTAATTTAATTCCAAGGAGAGAAGAAATGTTTGAGGGGAAGAGAGGACTATCGCCCTTCTCTCACCTCCAAGGAAACAGCAACCCATTGAGTGATATATCCAAAGTCAAGAAGAAAATTGGTGGGAAAGCTAGGTACTTGCTATATATCTCTACGAAGTTGCAGCCAGCTGCTATTTATCTGCAAGATCTGTTTAGGAGAATAAGGCTCAGCTCTTCTGTGAAAACAGATGTTGAGGTGGCGTGAGGAAGTGCAACTCTCTGAAAATGGTCAAAATTGGATGAGGAACGGCTAACTTTCCTGATACAAAAACGATGTTTGCTGAAAAACCGATTGAGCGGCAAGATGTCAACATAGATGGCTGTAATGCTGGTGAGTTTCAGGCAGCAATATTGTTACATCTGGAACGTGATTGGGAAGTGGGGGATGGGATGGGAAGCTGGAGACGCATGTTTTCGAGTCTCATGTGGAATAAATCTGCCACTCAGGAGAAAAGCTTTAATCCAGAGATCTGACATTAAGGTCGTTCCCTCGCCCTGACTCTGCCCTTCCATCAATAGCACAATACTGAACATAATACACGTCCTTAGCAAAAAATGGTTTTGCAGCTGCACCAAGCTAAAGGCCTGCAGTTCACAGCAGTGTGGCATTGACAGGGGTGATTAAAAAAAAGGTTCAAAGAGGGTAGTGACACCCACTAAGTTCACAGTAGAAGGAATCAGGCACTGCTTGCCTTAGTGTCATAATGCTGAACTTCCACATCTTCCCTTCATTCCAGAGCAGCTCACAGGCAGATCGGGGTCATGTTTGGTATTGTTCCTTTCAAATATGGGCTTTCCTTGACATGGAAGCAATGCAGAGGAGGACACGAAAGGCCTGGCCAACTTTAGCCAGTCTTTGCTAGCCTGATGCCCTCCAGATTGTTTCGGAGTACAACTCCCACCAGCCCCTTCCTGCACAGATATCGGGAAAAGTTTTCAGAGAAGGGAAACCAAAATGATCCAAGGGGATGCGGCAACTGCCCTAGGAGGAAAGGGTAGGACATAATGGAGCTTTTTAGTTTGGAGAAGAGGTGAGTAAGCAGAGACTTGATAGAGTTGTGTGAGGTTATGAATGGTGTGGTAAAGCGGATAGAGAAAAAGTTTCTCTCTCCCTCTCCCTCATAATACTAAAAATACTAGAATGCTAGATATTCAAGAAAGCTGAATTTTGGAAGATTCGGGACGAAAGAAAGAAAGAAAGAAAGAAAGAAAGAAAGAAAGAAAGAAAGAAAGAATTGTGGATGGGGAGAATGTTGCTGCACTCATGCCCTGCTTGTAGGCTTCCTCTAGCCTAGACCATTTTTAAAACAGAGTGGTAGTTTAGATGGGCCTTTGGCCTGATCCAGTACAGTGGTACATCAGGTTACAGATGCTTCAGGTTACAGACTCCGCTAACCCAGAAATAGTACCTCAGGTTAAGAACAGAATCGCACAACGGCAGCGGGAGGTCCCATTAGCTATAGTGGTACCTCAGGTTAAGAACAGTTTCAGGTTAAGAATGGACCTCCAGAACGAATTACCGGTAAGTTCTTAACCTGAGGTACCACTGTACACTCTTCTTATGTTCTTCAATAAGACTTAAGCCTAGTTTTAACAACATACATGTAATTGATATATTTGTAAAATATATTACTGGATAAATGTATTTTGTTCTTTGGGAAGAACTCATTATGATGAGTTATAAACGCACTTGCATTTCATATTTGAGATGCTTCTCAGTTAAGGTATTTGCAAATGAACTCAAGCATTCAGATTTTGCCCACTCTATATATTCCTGTAGAATAATGTTGCTATAGTGATTAATCTTCCCAGCATAAATGAATAAGACATCTTCTCAACTGCACTGACACTGTATAGTTGCTTGCCTCTCACTACCTTGAATGCCCATTGTAGAAATTCTTCTGCTTTCGCTTAAAAAGCCTTTTACTTCATGACTTCAAGGATTTTCATACTGAAAGTCATCTGAACTCAGTAACACCAGGCACTGAAAGCAAAGACTTTACATTATGTGTTGTAGATCGCCACCTGCTGGCATGATGTCTACATTGCTACTAATATTGAGTTTTGCTTGGCAATAATCTTTTTTATTTTTTTATTTTTTTGGCAGGGGGATATACAGTCAGCTTCTCATCTATGCTCAGTTTTGTGAAGTGGAATTGTATTTGAAAGTTTCTGATACATCTGCAGTGGCTTTTAGTTGGGGAGACAAGGGGATTTAGTGATTAAAACAATAGTGTTACTTTGGGTGAAAATAAATGTCTTGGAGTAGACAGCAAATATTTCATCACTAATCTAGCACAGTGTTTCCGAACCAGGGGCCATGTAGGCCCCCAGGATATTCCAAGGGGGCCACAGGTGAAAAATGCATAAATAGGGGGCACAGCATGAGGCTAGGGGGCCACAGAGAGAAGTGAAGGGGAAAAATTGCTGTAAGGTGACTGAGGGTCAGGCAGCAGGCCGAAGTCAGCCCCACTCTAGCCTTTTGGACTGACTCTGTAGGTTTCCCCCTCTGTGTCAAATTTGTTGTTTAGCCGTTTAGTCGTGTCCGACTCTTCGTGACCCTATGGACCAGAGCACGCCAGGCACTTCTGTCTTCCACTGCCTCCCGCAGTTTGGACAAACTCATGTTAGTAGCTTCGAGAACACTGTCCAACCATCTTGTCCTCTGTTGTCCCCTTCTCCTTGTGCCCTCCATCTTTCCCAACATCAGGGTCTTTCCCAGGGAGTCTTCTCTTCTCATGAGGTGGCCAAAGTATTGGAGTCTCAGCTTCAGGATCCGTCCTTCCAGTGAGCACTCAGGGTTGATTTCCTTAAGAATGGATAGGTTTGTTCTTCTTGCAGTCCATGGGACTCTCAAGAGTCTCCTCCAGCACCATAATTCAAAAGCATCAATTCTTCGGTGATCAGCCTTCTTTATGGTCCAGCTCTCACTTCCATACATCACTACTGGGAAAACCATAGCTTTAACTATATGGACCTTTGTCTGCAAGGTGATGTCTCTGCTTTTTAAGATGCTCTGTGTCAAATAACTGGGTTCAAATAAGTGTTGTTTACTTTTTATAATACATGGAAGATGGATCTCCCTCAGGAGGTTCTGGACTCTCCTTCCTTGGAGGTTTCTAAGCAGAGGTTGGGTGGACATCTGTCCACGATTCTACGTTTTTCTGCTTCAACAATATTTCATTATGTTCCTATCATTTGATGTAATTGTATTTTGTATATTTACAAACACAACATTTAAATAGCTACCTTTCTACCAATAGGATGGGGGACATGGGCGTAGCCAGGGTTTTTGTTAGGGGGTGCAGACTTTTGTTAGGGGGGCAGAACCTCAGATTTGTATTGATTCGTGTTGATTTTGTACTTTTGAGGGGCAGCTGCCCCCCCGGCTACACCCGGGGGAGCACAGGAAGAAAACAAGGTCGGAAGGGGGCCGTGGTCGGGAAAAGGTTGGGAAACAGTGATCTAGCAGAACATTCAATCATCATCATACATTTAAAGTACATTCATTAGGAATATTCTCCTTTTTATCATGATAGATAGATGTCATTCTTAAAGGCACAGGCAGAGCAGTCCTATGCACCAATTATGTTGCGGGGTGGAAATAAGCTGGTGAAACAGTCACCGTATCCTATACATTCTCAGCTGTGGGGAGGAATACACGGTAAGTAAATACAAAATAGCAAGAAAATACACCCTGCAGCATCCCTCAAAACACATTCTGCTTGTGGTACAACAGTCATATTTTTAATTATATATATATATATATATATATACATATACATATATACATATATACATATATATATATATATATATATATATATATATATATATATATTATACCCCACCCTCCCCGGCCAGAGCCAGGCTCAGGGTGGCTAACACCAATAAAATTACAATAAAAACATAATAGGGAAAAATGAACTTAAAATATAGGTTAAAATACAATTTAAAATGCAGCCTCATTTTAAAAGTAGTCCATAGATCAAAACTATAAGGGGAGGGAAATATAAGGGTCAGATTGAGTTCAAACCAAAGGCCAGGCGGAACAGCTCTGTCTTGCAGGCCCTGTGGAAAGATGTCAAGTCCCGCAGGGCCCTAGTCTCTTGTGACAGAGCGTTCCACCAAATCGGGGCCAGTACTGAAAAGGCCCTGGTCCTAGTTGAGACCAACCTAACCACCTTGCGACTTGGGACCTCCAAAGTGTTGTCATTTGTGGACCTTAAGGTCCTCTGCAGGGCATACCAGGAGAGGCAGTCCCGTAGGTACGTGGGTCCTAGGCTGCATAGGGCTTTAAAGGTCAAACCTAGCACCTTAAACTTTAAATGTCCTTGAGGAGGCAATGTGTCTTTGGTTCCCCTGCCTTTCCTTCTTATGTTCTCCATCCCAGCTGTCCATCATCAATTTGTAACATATGCAGTGAGTGGTGATGGTGGAGGCAGAGGGATGTGCAATCTGCATAGCAGGAACTGTTTTAATAAATGGGGAGCGAGGGGAAGGTACCTGTCTTTGCAGTGTCCCAAACTTGTTTATTTTGCTCATTTCTGTCTTAGTGTACAGGTTGATGGCCCCCTGGTGAAAGATGTGCATTCTGGCATGATATAAACTATTGGGGCTCAGAGGTCAGAAATTGTGCCTCCCCACATACTGGAGTCGCAATGTAGTTTTGTTACTATTAATTTTTATTATTCGCCAAGTGTTCACAGCCTCATTTCATCATCTCAAGGAATTACGATAATTCCCTCCCACCTCCTCACCCTTGGTTCTATAGCAGTGACACAATTTCAGGAAGTGGTGGCTTTTAATATTACATTCCTGGCAATATGGTTAAGATCTATGCGTGGGAAATGTCTGCTTTCAATAATGCCAAGAGATTCAACAGCTGAGTTTAATTAATGTATGGAACCTAAGAAAGCTATTGGATAAGTCCCAATCTGCACTATACATCTAAAGCAGTATCATACCACTTTAAATGGTCATGGCTTCCCCACTCCCAAGTAATTATGGGGAATGTAGTTTGCTAAGGGTACTGAGAGTTGGTAAGGTAAAGGTAAAGGGACCCCCTGACCATTTGGTCCAGTCGTGGCCGACTCTGGGGTTGCGGCGCTCATCTCACTTTATTGGCCGAGGGAGCTGGCGTACAGCTTCCGGGTCATGTGGCCAGCATGACTAAGCCGCTTCTGGCGAACCAGAGCAGCGCACGGAAACGCCGTTTACCTTCCCGCCAGAGCGCTACCTATTTATCTACTTGCACTTTAGCGTGCTTTCGAACTGCTAGGTTGGCAGGAGCAGAAACCGAGCAACGGGAGCTCACCCCGTCATTGCGGGGATTCGAACCACCAACCTTCTCATCAGCAAGTCCTAGGCTCTGTGGTTTAACCCACAGCGCCACCCACATCCCACTGAGAGTTGGTAGGAGACCCCTATTCTCATAGTGGTTTGACAATCAATCTCTCTTCTCAGAGAGCTCTAAGAATTGTAGCTCTGTGTGGGGAATAGGGGTTTCCTTTTTCAGGGAAGGCTATGACTGTTTGAAGTGTTATAATCATAGCATTGTAAATGTACAGTGCAGATAGGCCAAAGTCTACCAAAGGAAGAACAGAAGAGGAGCTCCGTGGAAAAGCATCCCAGCCTTCGCCAACCTGGTGCCCTCCAGATGTTGTCAGGCTGCAACTCTGACAATATCTGTAGGGTGCCAATTTGGTGAAGCTGTTTTTAAAATTGTGCTTTAATGTTGTGAAGGGCAGTGAATGAATGAATGAATGAATGAATGAAAGCAGTGGCTCTCCAGCATCTCAGAAACAGGATCCCTTTTGCATCATCAGCTAGTTCATACCCTCCAACATTTCTCCGATGACAATAGGGACTTCCCATTCCATAATGATAATTTTACTATTTATACCCCACACATCTTACTGGGTTGCCCCAGTCACTCTGGGCAGCTTCCAACATATATAAAACATAATTAAACATTAAACATTTTTTAAAAAAACCTTCCCTATACAAGATTGCCTTCAGATGGCTCGGGTGTTGGATAACTCCATACCCTCCAACATTTTTCCAATGAAAATAGGGACATCCTAAGGAAAAGCGGGACATTCCGGGATCAAATCAGAAACCTGTGATGGTAAAGAATGTGTGTTGTTTCTGTGGTGATTTTTTTTAATGTGAAGAAAATGTGTCTAGCAAAACCAAATGAAAAACAGATTTAAAAATGATTAATAAGGGCCAAGATATAGCCTAACAGTTATATATATTATGATGGCTAAATCAGGGGTAGCAGAAGGTAGATAAGAATGTCCTGGTAAATCTCGCGTTGGTTTGAAGTAGATTAGCAAGGATTTCTGACTCCCCAATTATCAGTGACAATGGTGTGTACTCAGCAACAACAATTCTTCTATATTAGTAAATGTCCCATAGGCAGGAACAGACTACACTACCATTTCAGAGCCTGCTTAAACTTTCCTGTTCAGCCAGACATTCCTGGCTTGATAACATCTTGATAACAAATGCTTCTGATAACTCTGTAAATTGTATTACATCAGCAACTGGTGTGTTCTGTGTTTTATAGTTTTCTACGTGGTTCTTTTATTTCATTATTGTTGACCACCTAGAGATATTTTAACATACAAAGCATTCTTACAAAATTCCCTAGAGAAAAATATAAATAACAGACTCTAAATGCCAAAGCAATTAAGTTAGCTGAAACCAGGGTTTCTTCATAATTATGACAGGTATGAAATCAGCTGCAATAAGAACAACACAAAGATCAATTTCTTGATGGACTCTGAAAATTGTAATTTGTTTCAGGTCTAGCAATAATTAGCAGTGGGCAAGGAGGGGGTAGCCAAGGCCTCTGTAAGCTCTAATAATAAGTTTAGTGCCTGTGAGCCCTGTTTTAAAAGCCTTTAGCTGCAGGCCAGTTAATAAAACGGAAATGCAGATTCTGTTGGGGAAGATGAGGAGAAGAAAGGGTCCTTTTTCATTCAGGATGTGGAGGGAGCACAAAGGCAAGCTGAAGTGAAAGGGAAATTATGCTCCCGGATTAACTGCAGGAGAGCTGTGTGAGTGTGTGCGTTCCTGCACAATGCTTGAACTTCAAGTGCCAAGAAAAACAGGGCACAACCTCTCTGGGGCCTGTAGAAGCAAAGCAGCTCTCTGCCCAGCAGGCCTTCAGCCTTTCCACATTGTATATGTTAAGGGGAGTGGGGAGAGAAAGGATAATCCCCCTAACCAGGTTATAATGTCAGGTCACCTGCTGAAGCAGAAGATAACCACACCTGCAGCCAAAGTGTTCATCCCACTTGCCTTGCTTCTGCCACGTATCTAAAATACAGAGTCCTTAACATCAGCAGTCAGGAGCGCTTCAGCCGTGTTTTTGAGTTTGTTTGAAACCTCAAACCTCAATTTCTTATCACTACTGCTGGATTCTCTTAAATAGGGCTATGTTTAAAACTTGTCATTGAGGTTTTCATACCTTTTTTGTAAACTCAAGGAAGCATTTTCAGTCCTGCTCTTGAACTTGTTTGATAGCACTTAAAATCTTATAATTTCTTTATTTCCTTCTGAGGAAACTGATTAGTTCAGTGCAACGAGTTTTGTAGCCAGCATCTCGTAAAGTCTTTGTTTAAGTCTAGTTTATTTTTTGATTATTGTTATTCTATAGTTGATTACTTCTCGTTTCAGGGATTTTCACAGTAATTTTTTGTTTTGTTTTGTGTAACGTCTCTAAAATACAGCTGTTAGAGCATCTCACAATATTAGGAATGTTTTATTAATACAAACACGAATCAGGAGCTGCTGTTGCAATACACCTAGCTTTAAGATCCCATCACCTTATTATACAAGTCATCCAAGAGGCTCAGTGGTTTAGACCACAGTGCCACCCACGTGCCCCTCTTGGGCTTGCCAATCAGAAGGTCGGCGGTTCGAATCCCCGCGACCAAGCTCCCGTTGCTCTGTTCCAGCTCCTGCCAACCTAGCAGTTTGAAAGCATTCTGGTGTAAGTAAATAAATAGGTACTGAAAACGGCATTTCTGTGCACTCTGGTTTCCGTCATGGTGTTTCGTTGCGCCAGAAGCAGTTTAGTCCTGCTGGCCACATGATCCAGAAAGCTGTCTGTGGACAAACGCCGGCTTCCTCGGCCTGAAAGTGAGATGAGCGCCGCAACCCCATAGTCACATTTGACAGGACTTAACCATCTGGGGGTCCTTTACTTTTTTTATTCTTTTTATACAAGTGCTTAAGAGCAGTCATCTTCAGCCTTTTCAGATCTGGAATCCAAACATTTCTTTGAAGACCTACATAAACAGCAATCCAAACTATGGGAACCTGGCGCACAACATGTCCATTGGTCTAATTTTTGCTGAATCCAAAGTTCATCTAGTATCTGGGGTTTGGGTTATAGGTTTCTTTAAAAAAACCAACAAACCCTAAATAGATGTGTGGTTATCATGCTACTGTTGCACCCTGTATGAGGGCTGACTTCAAGCTGTTGTGGGTCCTGATTCACCGGTTGAAAGTCGTTCTTTCAGCGCATGCAAAGTGCTTCACAATGCTACATATTCCTTCCTATTACCATATTGATTTTATTCATTCATTCATTTAATATTAACATTTTAGCTCCCTTACTAATTTCCTTCAACACCCCACAGAGAATCCAGCATATGGGGAGGGACTGTAGCTCAGTTATAGAGCATCTGCTTTGCATGCAGAAGGTGCCAAGTTCAATCTCTGGCACCCTGGGCAGGCCCAAGACATTTTGGCACCTGAGGCAAACCACAGAATGGCTCCCCATTCCCTACCAGGGAAGAAGGGCTGAGTGAAGGTCTACATCAGGAACAAAGGGGAAGGAATAAAGATCTACATTGGGATCTTCTGCCCGAGGCAGTTGCCTCACCTTGTCTCATGGGAGGACCAGCACAGCTGGTGTCTCCAGGTAGGACTGGAAAAGTCCTTGTCTGAAATCCTGGAAAGCTGCAGTCACTTCACGTAAGCAATACTGAGTTTGATGGCTCCATTTTATAAGCCAGAGTTTCCCAAACTTTGGTCTCCAGCTGTTTTTGGACTACAGTTTCCATCATCCCTGACCACTGGTCCTGCTAGCTAGGGGTGATAGAAGTTGTAGTCCAAAAAGAGCTGGGGACCAAAGTTTGGGAAACCCTGTTCTAAGCGGTTCCCACTCCTTATTACACCATTGCATTCAAAATTGTTTTTTCTTTGCCACCAAATGCTAACTGTGTTGAACAGCAGTCAGCTTCTGTAAATCAAGGCCACTATACATATGGGGTAAATTGGGAAAGGGTCACATGCTGGGAAGAATCAGCTGGAGAGAGAGAAAGAGAGAGACTTTCAAGCACACTTGGCCATTTTTAGCCCAACGGTTCCCTTAGCCACCAACTGTTCTTGCGTGGCTTGATTCAGATGAGAGAGAAGATGGAGTCGTTTGCCGGCTTTACATTATTATGTAACTTTAATCTCTGCAAAGCTGAATGGAATGAATACATTTTAGCCCTCGGCGTGTTTCGTTAAGTAGTGGAGGGGGGGTATATGGAAGGGGGGAGAACAAGACACAAGAAAGCAACAAAATGAGAAGCAACCCGGATGGAGGGAGACATGTTTCAGAACTTCAATACCGGCAAGAACTTTAGGACAAGCTCAAATGTGTTTGCAAGAGTATTAAACCTGATACTGTACCGTACAATGTGTAAGAATTTCTCTTCAGTTTTTTAAAATTGTAAACCTGAAACATAGTTCTGCATGGGAAAACTACTCTTCCCCCACCAAGGTTGAGACAGAGAGGGTTCTTGCCAGCACAGTTTGCAGTAACCTCTTGTGCTTGTGTGTTCTGCTTGGGTTTGCCTCGGAAAGCAACCCAGAAGCTGTGGCTAGTGAAGATTCTCTGCAGCTCTATTTCCCAGGCAAGGCTGAACCACAAGGAGCATTTTACACCTATTCCATTTCAGCTGCCTATTAGCTTTCATTTTGAAGTGGAGATGCTATAAATCCCTCAAAGGCCTGAGCCTTTCTGGATCTGGGGCACATTTGGTACGATAGCCACCTCACAGAAGAAAATGATGCTCAGGATCTCCCCAGACCCAATAGGCAACACACCTGCACTCCCATAAAACATATAAATGGTCACAAACAAAAAGGTTAATGTCTTTCTTTTTTAACTGGCAGAGGCAGGTGGTCTTGTTGAGGACCCATCGTAAGGGGGTCTACTTCTGTGTGAACCTCCTTGTTCTCAGAGATGCTTTCTTCCACAACATTGCTCAGAGGTGGGGAACACTGTACAGACCAAGGGCCACATTGCCTTCTGGGCATCCCTGTGTGGACCACGTGCTGCTGGCTGCTGGCATCAGAGGCAAAAAGCAGGCAGAGCAATGAATATACTTTTCACCTTGGTCCAGTAGGCTGCTTTTGGCACATACACAGACTTCTCTATCCTCCATCAAGACAATCCTGGGGAGAGTCCTAAGGGCCAGATGGAAAGGCCTGGAGGGCCACATTCAGCCTCCAGCCCTGAGGTCCCCCGCCCAGTCCTTGCAAAGACCCTCGAGGGGTCAGTATTTTTTCTGCAGTGGCACCCACCCCCTAGAATGCTTTATCCTTCTGATGCCCTGAAGCTTCTCCTGCTTAATCTCTGGTCACGTTTTGTCACCAAGCAAAATGAAGCCATTCCTTGGCAAACTCTTTGATTTGGTTGCTGCTGCTTTCGTGGTTGCTGGGAGTTCTGAGCTCTGTCTTAACGCCTAGCTTTGGATTATTTTACCATTTCTGCTTTTTTCGTGAATTTTCCATTAGTATGTGGATTGCAATTCACTCGTGAGACCACCTGGTGGCTGAAGGCACAGGCCACAACTTGCAATAGCATGTAAATCACCATCCCTTCCCCCTCCAGATGCGCCTGGGAGCTACGTGCCTACTTATAATCCTTGCAGAAAGCATAATGTACACACAGCTGTTCCTTTCTACAGGCTTGGCCACAGTGCCTCTTGTCGCTCCCACTATTATTCTGCACCTCTTTTTCAGGATGTGGCCACTGTGGCTCAGCTATTAAAAAAGAGAGTAAGTGGTGGCCCTCCGGATATTGCTATACTACAACTCCCATCATCCCTGATCACCAGTCATGCTGGCATGGGCTGCTAAGTGTAACTGCTGCACTGCCTCCCCCTCCCAGAAAAGGTTCCATATTCCATGAAGTAATCTGAATTCTGGAAGCAGGAAAATATTCACAACTGTAATACGCCATGCAAAGTTGATACTAGACGCATGTCTGCAAACTCATTTGCATGCTGATGAAACCACTAGTCCCCATCATCTCAGTAGAGGTCAAAATTTTGCTTCTGTAAACTCTCCGTGTTCCAAATCTTATTCTTCAAACTGTAGTGATGCTGGTAGTGCTAAGAAGAAGCCAAGCGATTCCATATAAGCAATTTTAATTCAGATTAAATATATTATTCCAAGGTATTTCGAAAGCGCACTTTTTCTGTACTAATCAACAGTCAGAGGCATTTTTCTGGAGTTTGGATACCCAAAGCTTGACAGTAAAAATTACTGCTTTTTACAAGAAAACATATACCGCTTCCCAACAGTTGTTAAATCATAATTTTGTATGGACAAAAAAGAAATCTAATGTGTTAAATGGAATTAGTGCCTTCCTCTATTATTATTTTTTAGAACCTTTAAATACAGCTTTAAAAAAGAAGCTACATCCTAACTCCATGTGTTTATGTACATGTGAGAATGAAACATGTTAGAGCAGAACTGATCCGAGTTGACTGGAGCAGCACTAACTAGACAAAAGCTTGTAAGGCAATGCTAAAATCAAATGAGCTGGAGCAACTTAGTGCTTTTTGGAGAACCACCTCCATAAGGTGAAATAAGGGGGGAGGGAACCTCAAATATAAATGTATGTACAAATATTCAAACATAAACCCCGCTGAATCCCAACAGACCCACTTCTAGTAGAATATATATGCTTGCAGCTAATCCATAGATATTTTGCTGCAAAACAAACTTTTTTTGGGGGGGGGTTGCATTCCTCATGCATCACACACTTACACAAGTCATTTCCGAAATACCTGAACTCCACCTTGTTTCTCAGAAACATGGTTCTATACAAAAGTTACGTTGCTGCAAAGGCCCAACCCCCCACCGACCTTAGTCACGGCTGAGCAAACACACAATTTTGCAGTTTCGCTCTAAACTCACTATGCAAATTAGAACAAAGCTACTTGTTTATCTGAAAGAACATCTTACATTTCTTTTCAACACGTAATTACCAACTAGGATTAAAGGGTGCTAGAATGAGTGCACAAATGCAACCTGAATAAAACTAAAATGAGTGTGTTCCTGGCAGTGATTTCCATAACATTAGTGCAACATTAATTCCTACAACAGTTCAGACATTCTTTAATTATGTAGATGCACAAAAGTGCCAACTCGGGTTTACAAAGAAGGGCCCCAGACAAACTTGAAAAGCTGTGCAGACAACTGGTTCTAATTTGAAGCCTACCCATATGATTGCAAGAGATAAGTACGGCAACAGAATGTCTTGTACACATACCTGACTTTTCACCAACTCAACAATAAATTGCACACAAAGGGAAAACCCCTTTATTTGAATGTGATATGTACAGGAACGCTTCTGGGGGATTATCCAAATGTCAAGGTACTTATGATCCAGCTCAGAAGTCAAAATCCTGCACATAACTTGGTCTCAGGATCTGCAGCAGATATTGGGGAAACAAAGTCTCGTGTAGTTGGCGCCCTAAATTGTTACTTTTCTCCAAATTTTGCAATTAAAAAATAGTAATTCCCTGATGTGTACATACAGACTTGTTCTTTGCTTGCACGCGCATACATACCTTCTATGTCTCATCCAGCAGCATGATGTTTGGCCAGAGAGGTGCCAGATAACTTCTTGAATGAGAACACAAGACAAATCAGTTTCTAAACTGCATCCACTAAAGGTTTCAAGTTTAATGGTGTAAAAATCTGGACATTCAAATACAGCTTTAAGAAACTTGCTTGCTACAGTGCAGATTGCCTCTGGCTCCCCCTCCACATACACCCTCCACAAATAAGGCGGATACCCTCAAATGAACAACTAACAGGTTTTTTTGTTTCAAACGGTCGATGCTTACTAGGGCAGGTAACATCATACTGACTGCCCCCAATGAAACATTTCCTCCTTTGTGTGTGTGTTTAAGAGTTTGAGGGTTTTTAAAAAGTCCATCTATGCCATTTTGCATGACCTTCTGTCTGAAAGCTCTGGCAAATAACCAGGTCACCAGAGAGGACCAGGGTGGGGTGGGGTGGGGAGATCCTAACCTCACTAGCTGCATTAACACTGAGCTGCAGAAGAAAGCTCAACTCCCAGTTTCCAAGTTCACACACACACGCACGCCATACCGATATACATCAGACAGAGTAACAGAGTCAAAAAGTCCAGTATGCTTGACCGAAGTTCCAAACAACATGACGTCCTCTGCCCAGCCTCCAACATGACATGATGATCTTTATCTAGTATAATAGACTCTGTAGTAAACTGTTTTTGACCTCCATAATGAATAGGAGTTGTCAAATTTAAGGAGATAGACCCCTCTTCCTGGGTACTGATGGCTGCCAGCATATACTTCTTCATGACAGTCCCGTCTGTACACAGGCACGATTTCATCTAGTTGAGGCTTGTTGGCATTCTTTTTGGCTTTTTCTTCACTACTAGCGTTTTCTGAGAAAAAGAATCAGAAACAAAGCATTAGTCACTAAATGCAGCAGGCCAAACAAACTCCGCAACCAATTCTTCATGGTCAGTGCGGATTAATCCGCAGGAAGCACAGCAAAGACACGAGCAACTTGTTTAATTTAACAAAAGCAAAACAGCACATTTTCATCGGGGCTACAACTATCAAGAAAACAGTGATGACCAACTGTTCACAAGGAGGATTTTGAGCAAGATTACCAAGGCACAATGCTTAACACATCAACATTTTGATAGAAGCAACTGAGGTTAATCCCTTCTTTCCCCTCTTGGGAAACCTTATCCTGAACAAGCTGGGCTGCTGTACTGCAGGCTTCGCCAACATGCCCTGAGAATGGAGGTGTTAGTTTTGTTCCATCACTTCATAGCTTATTTTTCCCTTCCAAATCACGCATTTCTACCACTATCAGGGAGCAATAAAATTATGCTCTAAAGGTCATGGCTTTGCGTCTTCCTTTACTACTAAGAGGTACCATACCTTTGCATACATGGTGGACTTTTTGTAATAGTTGATGCTAAAGGGGAATTTTAAAAATTGCTTAGGTGACTTATCAGCAAACTCCCAGTTACTGATTCTAAGACCAACTTGATGTCAATAGGAACAGAGGTCCTCAATCACTTGGACAGAACTGGTCCATGCTACAGCTTGTAGATATAAATCATAGCCTGTTATTCCTACTAGGAAATAGCTGAAAATGGGCTACTATTAATTTCAACACTTTATTTGTAACTAAACTGGGACATGAAGTACGCAAGAGCTACTGTCAAAGCTGGCAAGTCAGTCAGCCCAAGTGTCATGTTATATGGAAGCTGATAAGATCCTAGCATGAAGTTGGAGTGAGCAAAAAACAGGTGTACAGCTCCAACATCCACAGATGTTCTTTCCTCCCACACTACAAGGACCAATACTTCCTAGTCAAAGGTTTAGAATCTAAGCAAGGTGCAGAGACAACAAAGCACAGCATCGCTCAGTTGGATAATGGTCCCGCAATGCAATCTTCCCCAGTTACAAGGAAGAGATGCCAAACAGGCCCTTTGAGTGAGTAAAAGCTGAGGAAACAGAATATCTGCAAAGTCACACATAACCACAAAGGGTAAGTAAGAAAAGTTACTAGGCAATTACAAGACAGTAAAATCTGAAAGTGGGACTTGGAAGCAGATTAAGGGCCTACACACAAACCTGTATTATTGAGTTTAGAGCCAGGAGCGTCATGGCAACTTGAACAACTGAGCTCTAAGCACTGAGACTTCATGCTTCAGGGACATACATGAAAGTGTATTGCAATAACAACTTTCCAATTAATTTTAATTCTGCAGTGGTTTGGAAATTCCCTCCAAGTTGAGAGGTCTCCTGTTAAGGCTATATAGCAGGAGAACCACCATCATCCTGGAACCTGGCTGTCAATCAAGGCTGCATAAAAACACAGCGAAGGCCATTTAACTTACCTTAAACGGCTCCTACGAAATATTTCTTTTCCCACACTAGCTAAACCCGCAACATCCCAGGGTTTTCCGTCACTATGTCTCACTTGCCTGCACACACTGGACACCACCTTTCTAAATTCCAAGATGACAGAAAGTGTAATGCAAAGCCTGCTACAGCTTCTTTCACGACTCAAAACCCCTACGAGGTATAGAAAATAAAGATACCTTCCTCCTCTTCCTCGTCCTCACTGGATTCACTAACATGTACGCTGACTGCTGTGTTAGGGGAGTCTGTCCATTCAAAATATACCCCAAAACCAATGTCATAATTGTCTGTAGCAAACTCCCAGAAGAGATAAGAACCCTCTTCATGAGTTGGTACACGAACGGTCACGACTTCTCCTCTGCCAACCGTAATCACAGAGTCTGCATCCTGGCGGATCTTCTCTTTGAAGTCTGCAATCTGGGGTCGTGTCCACATGGATGGTGCTGCTATGACTGGAACAGATTCTAAAAAAAAAGGAGACCAAAAAATGCCCAGTTTTATAGTTCGGACAGATAATTGTGTTGCAGCATCCTAGAAAATGCCTCCTGCAAATAAGGGGCAACATGGCAAGGCCTCCCTCCCAAAGAGGCTCCTTGCAGATTACTCTGAAGCCGAGGAAAATCAGCCTCATCTGGCCACCATCTCATAGCCGCTCTCACTTGAAGGCTGGTTTAACCAAGTTTGTTTTTAAATATTTCACCATATACCATATATGCTACCTTTCAGCCCTGCAATAACGTGGACACAACAGGAAAGTGAAATACCCAAATTTTTCTTCCAATGCTCCTTATTTAAGCAGTGGGAAACTGCTGATTGTGTGTTTTGAATGCCCATACTAAGTTGGGGTCATTAGTTGCCAAAGGCTACAAAAGATTCAGCCAGAAACATGGAAGTAGTTTCTTTCAGAATAGAAGAATCTTTACTCTTACCTTTTGGTCCATTCTCCAGTGCTTCTTCTAAAGCATCAGTTTCCGGGTCTTTTTCAGGGCTGTCTGTATGTGCACTAGCCTGTCCATTAACTGATGGGATTTCCCCTATGTTAGGTGGGCTTGCTTTTGATACAGAAGTAACTGAAGTCCCCGCTGTGGCTGCTGCTTCCTGCTGCTTTTGTAAAGCTGCCTGAAAATTAAAAGCCAAAGCAAAACATAAGGGCAATGAAAGATGCAGAGCACATTTTGGAGAAGTTTGCAGAGTGCTACTGGTGGGAAATATGCAGGTGGAAGTTGCACAAAATCTACTACCATGTTTGGACAGAACAAAATGAGGCAGCCAGATTCCAGTAAGCCAGTTTGAAGGGGATGGAACACCGGCAGAGTTAAAACACTAGGCAGGAGCATGACTTGTCAGATTGTTTGAGGCATATGGGACTGAGAGATGAAGCATTAAACCCCCTGCTGATGAGAGTAGCAGTGCTTAATGCTATGCAGAGTAGCAGAAGCTGGATTTCCACTTGAGAACTGAGCCTGAGTGCTAAGTTTAACACAGCATAACAGTGATCCACTCCAATCTCTGAATGCTTTTTTTAAAAAGGCAATCTCTCCAGTAGTTGTTATATCCAAGGTGTTATGTGTTTATTTGCCTGAATTGTTTCTGAAGAATATATAGTTCAAGCTAGTCTTTGGAAAGTGCCTATTTTACACTGAAGTCAACCAAACCCCATCTGGGATGTGGCTAACTTGTGGCGCATGGGCTGGATCCGGCCCCTCAAGTCACATGAAGTAGCCCTCAAAGTCCCATAGCATTTATCTCCTGATCAGATCAGGAGATAAATGCTATCTCTCTCTGTTCTTTAGAGAGCAATCACTAAAGAGCAGACAGGGTGTTCTATTTCCTGATGGGCACATAAAATCTCTCTAAACAGCAGTCAGAAGGGTATTTTATTTCTGATCTCACTACGTTTTTCTAGGAGAGCGGTGGGCAGACTTCAGTCTCGCCAGATCTATTTTGCTTTTTACTAGAACCCCAAGATTTACTAATCAGAACCAGGTGTGAAATTTGAATTAAAGAAGAGGGTGCATCTGAGAATATTCTGAGTTCTGAACATTGTTTTCTGTGAAAGAACCTGGTTCAACAGTACTTTCACACAAAACTTTATTTTGTGAAGGAAGTTACTTTGCTGTTTGCTACTGTTTAGCAATTGGGAGTCAGTAACCCTTGCCAATCTACTACAAATCACCCTAGAGATCCCTCAGAAAAGACCCCCACTCTAGTACAAGATACCTGCTTTCAAGATTTTTAGAAAGGTCTGAGTAATAAGGTCAGCACAGTCAAATCAGTGTGTGTATGTTAACAGATTCTTAACCTTCTTCAGAAAGAATGCAGAAACACTGGATACATTTTTCAGAAAGAATTTTATAGACCCGATACACCATTAGAATTTGTATTCCCACCTTCACCATTAACTGCAATATAGACGAACGGTCTCACTGACGTCTCCAAAGTCAGCTATACATCTATCATTCTATAAGCTGCACTGCCAAGATGGTGCAATATACCTGTTGCTGTGCAAGCTGGACCTGATATAGTTGCTGCATGTACTGTTGATAGTGCTGTTCCTGAAGTTGCCGAATCAGGACCTGCTGCTGCTCGTAGTTGCCTGGGTACTGCTGGGCTGCATACTGTTGGAACTGAACAGCCGTCTGAGAGTTCAGTGCTGCCATGATCTGCTGTCTAGATAAGGGACAAAGTTACCCTGAAATGCAACTCTGAAGGCGTATTTTAGGAGTCAAATTTTCAAACATAACACATTTGTTAGTGCAATTAAACTATGAAACACTTGGCATTTATTTCGGGAAACACAATAGCTGAGTAAACATGACACGGATGAGGGGAGTGCTAGGGGACACCAAATCATAAGGCAGAGCTTCGTTAGCTATGAAAGACTCCTTCCTACGCAATGCAAATCCACAGATCAAATGTTCTAAACACGGCTGATTTCTAAACAAGACGGATTCTAAGGGGACTTACTGCCAGAATGCGCCTTCTGTCTAACACTCACTTGGTGGTTCCAGCTTCTGTCAAAATGAAACTCCCTTGAGGTTCTGCATTACAGTCATTTCAGGGCCCACTTCTGGAATAGACAACTCAACCATGAGAAAGTGTATCACTCCATAAGTGGTCCTATCCATCATTTGGAAAGTTCTCTTGTAACCAGCCAGATAAGGAATTTCTACTTCATAAGTAACCCAACCTACAATTTTCATTACTTTTTCAGCGTGATTTTTCGTATAATTATAGCCCTAATTAAATACTAATTTTTATAAGCAAATTGCCATGTAGGCAAGTAATATGCCCCTTTTAGGATTTAAGGGGAGGGAACAACTGGACTCATCACCGAGGAAATGCTTTGGCTATACTAGATGGGAATGTTAAGCTTCTGATAAACAGTGTTCATTTTAAACTACAAAGATATGGAGGCAAGGCAGATGTTAAACCACTGGCGTAGGATATATTGCACAGACAGCAGAATTTGATACTGGTTCAAATCCACACTCAGCTGTAAAGCTTACTGTGTGGCCTTGGGCAAGTCACCACTTCCCCAGCCGTAGATTACTGTGAGAATAAAAGGGGATAACCCCATGCACAGAGGTTATTTTCAGCAAGATGGGATGGAAGGGTGATAAATGAACAAGGGATGAGTCCTGCTGACTCCTTACTTCTGCTGCTCCATTCGGAGCCTCTCTTCTTCTATCCGCCGCCTCTCTTCCTCTTCTCTTCTCAGCCTCTCCTCTTCTTCTCGTCTGCGTTTCTCTTCCTCCTTTTGCAAACGCTCTCGTTCTTCTTCTTCACGTTGCCTACGTTCTTCCTCTTCCCTCCTGTAACAGCCATGTTTACCAGACATTTGGACACCAGGCAATAGGAATCCTGAAGAGCTGCTGTTTTACCCTCCCATTTAACGCAGTTTTCTGCTTCTGTTTTATCTTCTAGGCAGAAATTCGAAAAAGTTAAGCCTTTTCTCATGCCACACCCCCATGGCAGCTGTTTTGTGACTGGCACCCCGAAAAAACCTCAAAATTCATTAAGTGTTGGTGACCCCTGTTCTAAACTCTTATAGAAAGGAACTGTTTCCATGCAATATGAAATATTGTGAAGGATGGCACCAGCATTTAAGCAAAGGAACATGACTGACAGGAGGTACAGTGTAAGGCACAAAGTTCAACTTTTCAACAAGTATCCAAATCATATACTGATATCTTCCTAGAATTTCAAAAGTTAAACAGATGAGGCTCCTAATCTAAACCACATGTAAACGTTAGATAAGATTCACCTATAATGGTAGAAAAAGTAAAATATCCGGGTATCACGTAAAAACTTTAACCCTGCATTTTCCTGTAAACCTATTATTTTCAAGACAAGAAACTATCTGCCTGCAAAGCTAGGAAAAACTGCACCACAATTCACAGCTCCATAAAAAGATTGTTAAAAAGCAATTAAAAACAGTTGAAGAACTGTATCAGAGATGGGGAACCTCCAGTCCACAGGCCAAATTATTTTTAACAAACTTATTTAATGCAGGTCCCAATTGGGTCCACAAGGCTGTCTTCCCCAAAACATGCCCACCACCCCACACCTGAAGTCATACATGACATCAGATGTGGAGCAAGTAGAGATGTGGCTGCATGACAGAGTTCATAACTGCACCAGAGAGTTCCATAGCAGAGTCGATCCCTGTCCAAACTGGGCTTGCTGTCAGCACTGACAGCAGGCCCAACTGGGCTTGGTACTAACAGGAAGTCCAGAGCAAGGGTTGCTGTAAGCACAAATATCCCTTTGTTTTACCAGTATGAATTCAAGCTGGTGATATAAAGGATGTTGCTCTGCAGACATGGCTGGAGCTGTACCCACAAAGGATAAATGTAACTCTGGGTCACCTCACATCACTGTGATGTTCAGTGATTGACAAGAATGGCCTACAGGGATCCAACTAAGTGACTGTAAGATATGAGAGCTGGAACACAAACACACTTTAAGAACTCCCACCCAATTTCAGAGAGGCACAAGAGCTTACCTTTTCTTTTCCTGTTCTTCTTTCTCTATTTTATGGGAGGTAACATATGTTGAGAAGAGATGGCAGCACCTATTTAGGAGCTTTACAAACTCTATCATGGAGTCTTGCTTTGCCATGTTTCCAAGGGCAGCCCATTCTTTCCTGCAGGTAGGAAGGCAAGTAACATTGCATTTTGTCTAGCAAGCAGCATGTATAAACACAGAATGAAAGCACTGATTTATCAAGTTGGGAGATAATACGGGAACTATGCTTGGCTTCTGAAATCCTGCACTCTGTGAACTGAATAGCAATCTCTCCTTAGTTTAGCCAAAGGGAAGAGAACCCAACAGAAAGTTGACACACAAGCTATATCTGCAGAGGGGATTGGAAAAAAGATTCCAGTCAAGTAAGCCAAAATGTCTATTCTACAGACAGATCCATAAAATTCAATAGCTTTTTACCTTCTGTCATTCCCCAGGACATCAAAGAATCCAACTTCAGGACATGTGTCTGGATTGTAAGGTCCCAGCAGAACCTGCTTATGCAGCGCCACAAGTCTGAGTTTTTCTTCGTATGTTGGATGAAATGCTTTGCCATCTTTTTCTGAAGATAAATGATAATATTACTTTAAAAACAAATATGGCCAAAGTCTGTGTACCAGACCCTTGATCATCTTGGTCACCCTCCTCTGCACAAGTTCCAGCTTGTCAATATTCTTCTTAAATTGTGGTGCCCAGAACTGGACACAGTATTCCAGGTGTGGTCTGACCAGGGCAGAAGAGAGCAGGACTATTTCTTCCCTGGACTGGGACACTAGACTTCTGTTAATGCAGCCTAGAATGACATTATTATTATTATTATTATTATTATTATTATTATTATTTGCTGCTGCATCACACCGTTGACTCATGTTAAGCTTATGGCCTACTAAGACCCATAGATCCTTTTCACATATAATACTGGGCCAGTGCTATTTTTTCTAGAAAAAGAGGTGCAAGAACTCATCATGAACACCTCCCTTGTTCTCTTAAAATGGCAATGTGCCAACCTGAGAGGTGCCAGAACTGAGTTCCGGTGAGTTCTAGATGAAAAAAGCCCTGCTACTGACAATCCAGGTGTCCCCCATCTCATATTTGTGCAGCTGGTTCTTTCTGCCTAAGTATAGAATCTTACATTTGTCCCTACTGAAATTCATTCTGTTAGGTTTGGCCCAGTCTACAATCTGTTAAGGCCATCTTGAATCCCAATTCTGGCACTGGCTACCCCTCCCAGTTTAGTGTTATCTGCAAATTTGATGAGCATCCCCTTGATACCTTCATCCAAGTAGTTTATAAAGACATTTAACAACAATGGGCCTAGGACAGAAACCTGTGAGGGAATAAGTCAACTCATTGGGATCTACTTCAAGTAAATATGCAGAAAATGTGGCTGAAATTCCTACCCTGACACACTTGCTAGTTAGCCTCACTGAGCTCCGTGGGAAGCCTTCAAAAGGAGTTGCCAAAAGCCTCAGTACACATAATAGTAGCCTGTATCTTATGCTGTCTGTGCTGAACTGAAGTACTGCTTCACAACGACAAAAGAGAGCCATTATGGTGTAGTAAAGCACAACAGGGGGATCCTGGGTTCAAATGCCCAATCAGTCATGAAGCTCACAGGATGACTTTGAGCCAGTCACAATCTCTCAGCCCATCCTACCTCACAGGATTGTTGCAAGGATAAAAAATGGGGTGGTGGTGGTGGTTATGTATGCCATCTTGAGCTTCTTGGAAGGATGGGATAAAAACATGATAAAAATAGAAAGAGAAGATTGACATTGTATAGACAGGGCCATAAAGAATGAGTTCTCGTTTTCTATAAAGGTTCTCTATATCACATTTTTGTTCTCTATAAAGGTACCTGTCTGCTGCTTTATGGTTTCCATTACTTAAACCCTGATTTTGACTATTGGCTAGACTTGAAGCTTGCCCAGAAGTTAATTCTTCATGTTATTTTATATTACACATTCCAGAATGTGATTTAGATAGTAAAATTACCAAAATGTTAGTGGAGCAAACAAGTGGTTTTTACTTTCAATTATTAAAAAGCAGCTTAATGAATTATTCACAAAAATGGCTGCTAATTCAGTTGCAGAGAGTCAGAGACGGGCAGACCTGAAAGGGCTTTATTAAAAGCTGTACAGCAAATAAATAATAAATAACAACCCATTCTGCAACTTTAACCTCGCTCTTCTGTACCAGGACCAAGAGAAATGCCACCCGTTAAGTTCTGAAGTGTCCCACAATTATAAATTCAGCCTCAAAAGGTTGACGACCTCCCCCAAGTGTACACCAAATGAAACTGTTTACACTCCACCAGAAAAGAAAGAGCATGCTATAATTCTGTTTCAGTTCTATTTTAAACTCTAATCTGGGCTCAACTTTGAAACAGCAGTCAATCTCGCCCAGCTGTAAGAAAAACAAACTTTGGTTTTGATGAACGTTAAAACCAATGCTAGCACGTTTAATAAGCCCCCAAAGTACATGCAGAAGCAAACGCTGGTAAAAATGGACCAAGACCACAAAACATGGATCAATAACACAAACAACTGGCTTCCTATAGCTACCAGTTGGTCTCCTATAGCTACCATATGAAATAATCCCAAATGTATCAATGATAACCTAAATGAAACAGATATAATTCAAGGCCGGTGACAGATGCATGCCCTTCCTCAAGTGAGCCTCAAACTCACCACCACCAAAGGACAACTTTACAGACAGCCCTAGAGAGGAGGTCCTCCCAGCTAACCCAGATGCCAACTCTGTACCTTACCCACTCAAGCAGCATTCTTACAAGACCTAATAACATTGCCGATTCATTCACCATGGCAGCGTTCACCACGCTGCAACTGCATCCTCCTGCGCTGAGCAGGTCCCTTCCAGCAACAGGAGTATGCATCACAATATTATTAGTAGTGATAACACTAGCAATAATACAAGCAATAATGCTGTTCTTATCTTTTATAAATTATGCTCTACATGGAAGTGTCACTGATAAACAGTGGAACCCAATGCATTGTATGATCTATTGCCCCTCAGCACAGTGGAACCTCGACTTACATCCGCCTCTTCTCGCGGACGTTCCAAGTTGCGACCGCGGCAAACCCGGTCAAACACCGGGTTTGCTGTGACTCGTGCATGCGGCTTCTGCCATCTGCACGTGCGCACAAGCGGCTGCCACCATCTACACACGTGCACGAGTGCACAATGGCCCCTCTACTAGCATCCAGTTTCGCCAAGCAGACGGGCCTCCGGAACGGATTATGATCGTAAGCAGAGGTTGTACTGTATTTACAGACTCCCTCTCTGTTCCCAAGAGAGACTACATTTTTTATTTTTATCAAAAGATCACACAAACACATATAGGCATTTGGCAATACTTTCATGTATTAATTTTTCTTTTTTTTTTAAGAACTGTTCCTCAAGCTCCTCTAAGAATTGTTTTGGTGTATAAGGAGAGGAAAAGCAAGTGCCTTGCTCATCATGGGCAGAGGTGCATATAACTGTCAGAAACAGGCACAAATCTACTCGGGTAGTGCTGGTCATACTTTTAGTGACTTGTTTCTAGAAAACAGCTTGAAGAATTACAAGAACTTGAAAAGAATGAAAGCACACATTGAAGGCAAGGCAGCTCTACAACACAGCCACCCATCCCTGGAAAACAGCAACTGTTTTTACCATCTTAGATGGGGACCTGCTAAAATGCATTAATAGCTGCAGACGATGTGGCTTAATTAAGGCAGACTTTTCTGGGACATATGCCTGAACAGTGTTTGCTGTCACCCAGATGGTAATTTCCTTGTGGCAAGACGCACAAGCCCATTAACGATACCAAAAAAATAAATAACTAAATGCAAATGCCACATTACAGATTCAGCGTAAGAATCAAGATTAAAAGTGTGCCTGTACAGAAGTTCGTTTTCTGTCATATGGTGTCAAGCTTTCAACCGGGGAGTTCTCTGTAATGACCAAGTTAGGCGTAGATCAGATTCCAGTGCTCAATGGAAAAAAGAGCCTGACTATCTATCTGCTCAAGGATGCTGTGGAAAATGCAAGAAAGAACTAAGCAAGTGATTCTGGGGTGAGGGCTTGGTAAAATTACAAAATCCACAGTAAGGCAATACGTTAATTCGGCCAATCAAAATGTCAATAAATCGTGAGCAAGCTTCTAAGTACTCCAGAACCCTTGATAAGGCTAGATGTAAAAGAAAAGCAAGAGATGAGAGAAAGAAAAGCCATTTCCTCCTGCATTGGTCTCAGGTTGGAAACAAGCTGTCAAGGTTCACAATGCAACTGCAAGCAGAGTTTCAGAAATTTCTCAAGCCATGATGGCTTTAAAGGGCTTAGGAAGGATCTATAAAATATGGTAGCTACTTACAAGTTTGCAGCCGTTTATTTCAATCAGGCAAATTAAAGCACAGGACTGTAGGAATGTTCACTACTCTGAAGAAACTCCCCAAACTATCCTTTTGTCTTAGGTCATATTTGAAAATAACTGTTAACTGCAGGATGACTACCAACATGAGATCCTGAATAACCTTGTCATACTAAGCTTGTACTGAACAGTAAATTAGGATTTGGATGGCAATAAAGAGGCTTCACTCTCTTTGGCCTGCATCATGTCCTCTATTGAATTCTTTGCTTAAGCAAAATTTGGATTAACTCACTAAAGTTTTATTTTTCGAAGAATAAATATCATCAGAACCAACACAACTGAAAGTTGCAGTGTAAACAAGCTCTACAAAGAATGTGAGGTTCAGGTTCTTTTTCACCAGAAACATGCTTGAGAGGAGGAAACAAGAGACAGAATCAATTAAGAAAGGAAGACCTTCACTGAGAACAGATAAAGGTAATCTGATGAGAGAGAATGAAAAGTTCAAGGGCTTGTATCAAACAAAGTGTACTTTCTAAATGGCATCCTTCTGTGCCCCTTAGGAGAAGAGGCTTCTAGATTACAACCTACTGTATATTATTTGAATTCATTAACACACATGAATCTCCTAAATGCTCCTGTCTCCAAAAGTTCAGCATTTTAATGCAAAGATACCTCATGTGTTTCTGGAGACATTACACTGCATTGGGTTTTTGCAGGGGACAGACGGGGGAATCAAATTTGAAAATATCCTCATGTCCTACAACTGACTCTGATCTCATCTAGAATATGTATTTTATTTAGAAAGAAAATACAGTATGCTTATTTTATATAAATTTTGAGTAATTTTTCAAACAGTCAAAACTACGTAGTAGAAATGACATATGTGATAGCATGTCTTTAAAAAAAATCTGAATTACCGTACATGTAAAGCTTTCTTTGGAAATTTGGTTTCATTAGAACGCTTGTAAATATTTTAAGGCACAATTCCTCAAATAATGCTGTTACATTTAAAAATAATAAACTAAGGCACTGAGATATGTTAACATACTGGTTTTAGGATGCCCAAAGCATCGTACATGGCCCATGTTTCATTGGCATAATCCGCTTTAAAAGGTTACAAGTTTGAAACTGCCCAATTTCGGAATGAGTCCATTCGGAATGAGTCCATTCACTGTTATTAACATTATGAAGCAATCCATATTTATAAAGCAGCCAGTGGAAAAATTTCTTCCCTACATTTCATTTCAGTCCCATTCAGGTCTTCCCCAAAAACTGAGGATGCCAAAACTAAACTGAAATATCAGAGTCAGGCCTCTCACTCACACGTTTACAGAAACACCAGCTTTACCTTGGCTGTTAAAAATCAGCCCCATCTAAGAATGGCCCATCAGTGCCATTTCACTTACAGAGGTACCTCGGGTTAAGTACTTAATTCGTTCTGGAGGTCCGTTCGTAACCTGAAACTGTTCTTAACCTGAAGCACCACTTTAGCTAATGGGGTCTCCTGCCGCCACTGCGCCGCTGGAGCACAATTTCTGTTCTCATCCTGAAGCAAAGTTCTTAACCCGAGGTACTATTTCTGGGTTAGTGGAGTCTGAAACCTGAAGGGTATGTAACCTGAAGCGTATGTAACCCAAGCTACCACTATATTCTATTGTGTTCACTGAACAGTGACCATGCCTCATCTATTCAAGCTTGCTTACGCTGTAGCTGGTTTGTGTATTAAGGCCTTGTGCTGATTTATCCAACTTGTCCAAATCTAGGTTTACTTTGCTGTCTCCACAAAGTATAGAGAGTGTTCTCAAAATGTTGGGAGCTCTTTATACCTAGTTCAATATTTTTAGGAACTAGGTCAGATGAAATTAGAAAACGCCCCAAGACAATTCTGGGAGAATGATGGCAGCAGCCTCCCCCCACCTACCTCCTTTCCTTGCCCTAGTACCAGAGATTTTCTAAGTCGGACGCTCCAGCCAGCATGGCCAAAGATCACAAAGAATGGGAACTGTAATCCTTAAGAAATGGAGGACACCACATTTGGCTACCCCCGGCTCAAAGTGGAAATGGCACAGTGCCTAAACTTGGGACTTTACTGCTGAGTCATGGAAAACTACCCTGGCTACAAACTGTAAATCCAATTTTGACTCTGTATGAAAATAGAATGACAAGTGTCTATTTAGTACACAAAACTATCTAAGAGAAGATAAGGAATGTTTTATACATACACTGCATTGTGTTGATAATATGTTATCAAGGAAGTTAAACTAATGCATTTCCAAACTCCCAATGACCACACATACACTGTTGGTTAAAGCATTGATAAGGAACAAACAAGGTATCAGAGGACTGTGTCCTTTTCAAATACAGTGGTACCTCTAGTTACAAACTTAATTTATTCGGGAGGTCTGTTCTTAACCTGAAACTGTGCTTTCACTGCTGGCACACCATTTCCATTCTCATCCTGGGGCAAAGTTCTCAACTCGAGGTAACTCTTCCAGGTTAGCAGAGTTTGTAACCTGAAGCATTTGTAACCTGAGGCGTTTGTAACTCAAGGTACCACTGTAACTTTATTTACACCAGAAAAGTATTCATATTAATTTCTGTAAAAGCAACACAGGATACTAAATTAATTTAGTAAAGTATGAAGTTTCAAATGCAATAGCCTATTTGATTAAATGCAATAGCATTTCTTATAAGATCCCACCCTGCTATATTGATAGTAGGGTAGGATCTTATATTGTTTGAATTATAGTATTAATTAATTCATGACAAATGATCTGAAATGACAGCTCAGGCCATGCTGCTTCTGAACAATACATACTAATGCATCCAAAACCCTCATCATGGAGAGTGAGGCAGCTGACTATTGCTGTGCAAATGGTTAGGGCAAGCAAAACTATTTTTTTGAGTTCAGCAAGTCACAGTTGTGGCAAGATCATGAACATTTATACAAAAGACAATATCCCAAATGTGACCATCTGTGGAATGTTGACATATTAAATAAATGCATTTTAAAACCATATTTTTAAAGAAATAGCATATTTTCTGTCCAGGGCTAGATCACGGTGGCAATCCTGTATCCGTTCTCTGGTAATTTGCTTTTCAAGTGAAAAGGCACAGGATTGTGCTGCCTCACAGAAGAACACTATCTAGAAAGAAGATGAAAAGGGCAATTCATATTTCTTGAGTGTACTCATGACTGTCTTAACCTGGGATGCCTAACATTTTTTGGCCCAGGACCTTGGCCAACCTTCTAGAAGCCACATGCCAGTGGGTGTGGCCACTCCACATTCTTGCACACATATATTCATATGCATGCATACACAAACATGCACACCCCTTTCCACTCACCCCAACACCAATAGTACTTTTTTCTTTTTGAAGTTCTCTCTGAAAGATATTGCAAACTGGCATCTTCTAAAAAAAAGATTTTGCAGATCACTTGATAACAAGATGTTGACTTTCCATTCCTTTAGAAAGAGTCTTTCTTGGGTTTCATTTAGATATTACAAGTGCATTCTATTAATCATATCTCCTGGGAAGACAACTATTAATGTGAAAGCCACAATATCTATTTCCAAGAGACCATCCAGGAACAGCAATATAGCAGAAAAGGCTGCTGTGCTTGCAAATGTAATATGAGTTGCAGAAATGAGTCCACAACAGTAATTTGTTGTTAGGTATGCTGTACTTGTGGTTTTGATGCTTCATTTTTGATTCTGTGAGCTGCTTTGGGTCCATTTTTATGTAAAAGGAGAAGGGAAGAGAAGTTATTAAAATTAAAATAAAACAAAGCAGGGCCTAGAGAAGGGTTTTTTTATTTTAGGTTCTTTTATCCACCCATCAGATGGGCAAACTCAGTCTGAAAAAGGCAACCCACCTTGCCTTTATTTTCCTCATGATCAGCTCATCCACACTGTGGGAGAAGTGGAGAGCAGTAACACTTCAGCAGAGTAACACTCTTTTGCTTTTCATGCAAAATAGGAGGCTCATGAGTACAAGAAATTTGTTTTTTAAAAACTTAAGCTGCCACTGACAAAATGATATTTCTCCCCATGGCAAGTTAGTTTAATTGAGGGCAGAATCCGAACAAGAATGATGTAAGTAAGCAGTGCTTTTATTATGAGCATCATAGCACCTTATATTGTCTTGATTAGCACAAAGATGCTTCCATTTCACAAAATAATCTTAAGTGCTTTAACACTAAGTAGTGCAAATCACTGCCATTAGTGCCTTGAATAAAAGCTAAATTGAGCAAACAAAATCAGTAAGTAAGCGATCCCTTCTGTCATTGAAACATGTGCTTATCTGACTCATCCTCATATTTATATTACCCACTGCACTTCTCATGGTTTCCTTCAACTTTACTTAAGGGCATACTTTGTCATAAAACATCCTGGGGAGACCGAGTTGTTGACCAGGACCACACAGAACCAGTTTCACCTGTGATGACGTTTTCAGGCAAACAGCCATCAAGCTCTATGAATGAATGAATGTTATGAGGCCCTAAGCTACCATCTTTCATTAAGAATAGACCACGTCTCCTAAAACAGAGTTCATATTCCACATACCACTCAACATACCAGAGCCTAATTTCCAAAGGCTACTCCTTCACAGAAGAAACACGGTTTGCAACCACAGCTCATGTCCTATTAACAGCCCCATAGATAGATAGATAGATAGATGTGTGTGTGTTTTAAAAATCCCACCAACTCATTCTGCAGAAAGCAACTCCCCTTTTACTGCAAAGTAAGACGCTGTCGTTTCTTCACAGCAACCCTTTGAAGCAGGCCTTCTCCTCACCTCAAATTTGCACAAGGCACAGAGAAACGAGGCGAGCCTGCAAACCAAGGCTCGAGGTTGCAAAGAAAGATTTAAAAAAAAAAGACTTTGGAAATTGACTCTGTCAAGCTTCGGGGACCGGGGTGGTGAGGGAGGAGGGAGGAGAGAGAAATCTCCCAAGCCTCTTTCCCCCCACCCACCCGCTCCTTGAAGGATGGCCGGGAACGGGGGTCGGGATCGGGGGGGATCGCAGACTTCCAGCTCCCTTCCCGCCTCCTGCGCGGTCACCTTTGAAGAAGCGCAGCGCCAGGCCGTACAGCTCTTCCAGGCCGAAGCCCCAGCGCCGCTCCAGGCTCAGCACCCCGCCCTCGTCGTCGCCATCGCCGCCGCCGCCAACCTCCCCGTCGCTGTCCCCGCCGCCGGCCTCGTCCTCCCGCTGCTGCTGCTGCTGCTGCTGCTGCCCCGGCTGGGCTCCGGCTGCCCCCGCCCGGCCTCCTCCTCCTCCTCCGCGGCCCCCCGGGGCGAGCAGCGGCCTCGCCTCCGCCTGGCCCGGCCGGGCGTCCTCCGAATCCGGGCTCAGGGTCAGGCCGTCAATGGAGACCTCCAGCCGCTCGGAGCTCAGCGCCGCCGCGGCCGCCATCGCCTGCCTCGCCCCCCGCTGCTCCGCAGGGCGGCCACGTCTCGACTTCCTGCTGCCGCCCGGCGACCCGGATCTTCCGGCACCCGAAAGGGCCTGGCGGGGCGGAGGCAGGGGAGGAGCAGGAGGAGCCGAGGCTTCCGGCGGGCCTCGCGAAAAGGGGGAGAAGGCCTCGGCCTCCCCAAGGGAGCGACGCCAAAGGCTGCTGCGCCAGAGGCCTTAGCGAGGCGCGGGCTCCGCTGAGCGCGGCGAGGCTTCCTTGCGAGTAAGCGCGCGCAGGGCTGCCCTCTTCATTTCCGGGAGGCGGCGGCGTCTCTGTGACGTCCGGCAGCCGCGTGAGAAGCAGGCATTCAACAGGTGCTGCTGCTGCTGCTGCTGCCCTCGCCGGCTCTGCAGAGAGGGGAAGCAGCACCTGTTGGTTTGCTCCACAAAAGCACCGGGAAAGGGAGATCGGCGGCAGGGCGCCTGTTTTGCATGCAAAATGTCTCTGGTGCATAGCTGTCAACTTTTCCCTTTTCTTGCTTGGAACCCTATTCGGAATAAGCGAATTTCCCTTAAAAAAAGGAAAAACGTTGACAGCTATGCTCTGGTGCAACACGCACACGCACGCATATTCAGGGAGGGCTGGAACTGGGAGAGATTCCCGCCCGAAGCCCTGGGGAACCGCTGGAGGCAAAGCTGAGGTAGAGGGGCGAGTGAAATTGACTCCAGTGTAAGGCAGCTTCCTTTGAGGAGGGGGCAACATCTTAACACTGGATTTGCTTCAGAAAAAATCTTGCAAGAGCTGGATGCTGCCAGGGATGGGGAGATCCGGTGGCCCTCCAGATGTTGCATCCTTCTATATGTCAGCTCCTATCAATCCCAGTAAACAGGGCCAATAGTAATGCATTATGGAAGTTGTACTGCTGCAGCATCTGGGAAGGAGCACTCTCATTCCTCATCCCTGACTTCCAGATACAGTGAAATAAATAACCTTTGTCTCCCTGCTCCGTCACCCAGTACTGATAAAAGCTTACAGCCCAGGCTACACATCTCTTAGTCTGGGACTTAAAATATTTATCTTTTTTACCGCTCCGTGCTTGGGCACTGGCCATATATCATCCATGTGACAGGGGTGTTGTTAACAAACTGCACTGCAGATCCTGCACTGAGTGAGGGGGTTGGCCTGGATGACCACGAAGGTGCCTTCAAGTTCTCTGATTCTAAAGCCATGCTAAAGCATGCTGTGGAGCAGTGAGAAGCAGATTGGCAATTACTGTGAATACATTCAAATATCATCCAAGTGGATAGCTCAATTGGGTGGAGCGTGGTGCTGATGAAGCCAAGGTTGCAGGTTCAGTCCCCATATGGGACAGCTGCATATTCCTGCATTGCAGAGGGCTGGACTAGATGATCCTCAGGGGCACTTCCAACTCTACAATTCTATGATTCTAAGCTCTTGGAAACTGAGATGTCCCACTCAGGCCAGCTCCAGGTTTGAAGATGCCCTGGGTAAAGAGGGGGTCCCCTCCTCTGTTGGTGGACCGCCCTTGGTCTTAACTGGCTGTCGTGGCAGCTCTCTTGATAGCACCAAATAGATGCATCTAGTAATCTCTTAATTCCCCACAATGCTTTAGAGCAGGGAAACTTCCAGTCTGCGGCCTTAGTTAGGTCTGCCAGGCCTCTCTGTCTGGCCTGTGAGGCCTTTGGCCAAGCCAAGCCATGCCCACCCACTCTACACATGACGGTCTTGCGGGCCTAATTTGGCCTGGAAGAAATTAAATGGATGGCTAGGTGCATCTGACCTTCAGACATAGCTCACAGAGGCTAGAGGAGATAAGGATCCAGTTCCCCATTCCTGTTTTAAAACTGATGCATGCTAGATGGAGGGCATGCTGGTAAACTTTAAAATGTGGCTAGGGCCAGCTCCCTGGTACTGACTGCTTAGAGGTCTGGGTTGGGGTGGGGGGAAATGAAGGGAAACCCGGGCCAGGCAACAGCAGTGGGCTCTGAGCTCTAGCAGTTGCCCAAGAATATCAGATGTTGACGCCTGTCCTGCATTCCAGCAACAGAAGTGCTATACAAATGTAAGAAAAGCCTACTGGATCAGGCCAACCAGATGCCTATGAGAAGCTGCAAAGAGGACCTGAGCATCTGCACTCTTCCTTCTTGTGGTTTCCAGCAAATGGTGATCTGTTGGGATAGGGAATCTGTACCTCATGCAAAAACAGAGCAAAAACTATAGTACTTACTGTGTGGAAAGACCAGTGGTCTTTAAACCACACAGCCAGTTTCAATTTTGACAGGATTTTTTTTGTTTTGTTCCAAGTTCTTTCCAAATTGAGAGCAGTGGCATGCATCCCATGGGAACAGATCTTGATGGTAGTTAAATGCAAACCCTCCCCAATTAAAGCATAGCTATAAAACCAGTGGCTTGATGTTTCCAGTTTCATTCTTGCCGGTTTGTCATTGATATGAAGGCAATCCTCTAGAAAGCTACAGCTTCTGTTATTGTTTCTGGGTGATACTGCAGTGCCTGGGGAAAGAGTCTCTCCCACCCCTTTTCTCTTTTGTACAAAAACAAGCTTCAGGCTTTATGGAGGTGATGTAATGCCATCTTCAGCTCCTCTGGGACAGTTTATTAAGTCTTCTGTGTAGTATCAGTTTTATGATTCAGGAAATATGTCCTTCATATCTCATGCAATTAATCCTGGACCATCTGCATGAAAGCAAATAAGGGAGGAAATGAGTGAGACAAAAATGGCAGTGCAGATGTTTCAGACAAAAATATGTTTACACTATTTCACTCTCTTGTGACTGAAAATCTACAGCCACCGCCTTCCAGTTTATGAATTGTTTCTCTGGATATATTGCTGGGCTATCCTGAAATGTGTCAGCCAGACTGAAGTCCTAAACTTCACAGTGGGAGAAATGTTACCCAAATTACTCATTTGAAAGTCTGGCGCTTCCACCAACACACAATGCCAAATATTTAATGCTTCACCCTTTAAGCTCCTGCCTACCCTGTGGCTTCCCTTACATTTTCCTTGTTTGTCTTCAGTTGCTGCTCTTTGGGCTCTTCCCCTTTTAATTAGAATTGGATTATACCTTCTTCATGGTTGATTTTCAGAGACAAGAGGAGCAGTTTGGGGTCAGTGTTGCCAAGATTAATAACCATTGTGGTGCTGTGCTATATCCAGTACGCTAACTGCCTGCAAATATCCTATCAAGCTGCACTTTTAAGTCTTTAGCTAGGCATGCAATTTATTTTAGAAATAAGTAGCAGCATTTCTAATATGCTTCTAATGCTTTACCCTTTCCTTTACCCTTTCATCAGCAAAATGTTCTCAGGTTTTGGGTTGTTGTTGTTGTTGTTTTGTATTACCAAGAGTCTGGTGCTTCTTGTGGTGCTAGAAGTTCAGAAGAGGAACAGAAATGGCTGCTGGAGAGAACTAAGGAGAACTACGTACTGGGCTGTACACAATATTTTGCAAAAAGAGTTAAAATTGCCCAACATTTTCAGAAAGCCACATGTACTCTTCTTAGATACTGCCTGCTTTCCTTTGTTGGTGTCAGGGCCGTCTTAAGCATATCTGGTGCCGTGGTGCAAAGATCACTCTGGCGCCCCCCCCTTCCCATAGACCTTTTTTAAGGGCTGGATGAGGCGGGCAGCGGCTGGAGGATGGCTCCTCTGGCGGGGAAGAGGTGGAGGCTGGACGGGGCACCTCCCAGCTCAGCTGGCCACTTCATGCCACAGTGGCCACAGCAGGCAGCACGCCGAATGAACAGGCCTGTGCCAAGCATGTTAGGGCGCATGCGTTGCTCCTGCTGAGTGTCGGCTCAGTTTTTTCCCTTTTAGCCTTCTGGCGCCCCACAAAATTCGGCGTCTGCAGGCTAAAAGGGAAAAAACCGAGCCGACACTTGGTGGGAGTGGCGCACGCACCCTCGCTCGCTCAGCGCACTCGTTCGGTGTTCCCCGGACTCTCGCCTGGCACCCTCCAGAACGTGGTGCCCTGGTGCCCTGCGCCACTAGCCTCTATGGGTAAGACGGGCCTGGTTGGTGTTGTTCAAACTCTAAATTTGAAAGGGGGAATGTTTAATAAAAGATGAGTATATATTTTTTTATTTTGAAGTAAGTTGATTTGTGCACAACAGGGGGTGGGGGTGGGGAGAATACAAAATAGATAAGAGATCTGTTTTGTAAAGACCATCCAATTAACTGATCTGATTACCACTGAATTAAAAATGGTCCCACGGTACAGTCTGTGATGCTGTTGCTTTGCTAAAGTTAGAATGGATGGTAACTGCCTGGGAACCACATGCCATCTTTGAAGGAAGAAACATAGGTAGCTAGATTATTATTTTTTAAAAATAGAGATTAAGGATGCAGTTGTATTCTAGAGAAATGCATTAGTGCACAGGATATGATTTGATGGAAGACCCGCTATGCTGGATATACTGAGGCCACGTCAGGTTTGTTGGCAGGACAGTTCAGAAGTGCCGGAGGAACATTCCACCCATGGAACTGTTCTGCCAGTGAAGATATACTAGCAGAACAGCTGAAATGGGTGGCACCAGGGAGGCACACACTTACTCCAAATCTTATATTCTTTCAGGCTACAGCTGTGTCCCCACTGACAATGCTGCTATATAAGGAATTACCCACCCATTGACTCCACTTGCTTAAACAGATGAAACATTTGACCATAAATTGTGAGAGTTAAAGGTGTTCTGTGTACGTCACAGAATAATAGTGCTTCAGGCTCTCCTACTCTTAAGTGGTGAAAACTTTACAGGGCAAGTGTCTTTTGAAGGAAATAGTACTGATTATCCACTATTTTTTCCAGGCCATGGTTGGACTACTGAACTAGATGAGCCGTTGATCTAATAAGCAAGTCTTTTGTTCTTACTTGTGACTTGCAGTGTCTTTGTAGTGATTACGTACAAAGGTACATGTCGATCAGGCATTTATAAGGACATAGAAGCAAGCACACAGGCAGGAAGTGCCAGTCCTAAAGTTATACAGTGGTACCTTGCAAGACGAAAAACTCGCAAAACGAAAGGGTTTTTTGTTTTTTGAGTTGCTTCGCAAGACGATTTTCCCTATGGGCTTGCTTCGCAAGACGGAAACGTCTTGCAAGTTTGTTTCCTTTTTCTTAAAACCGTTAATACAGTTGCGACTTGACTTCGAGGAGCAACTCATAGAACGCGGTGTGGTAGCCTTTTTTGAGGTTTTTGAAGACTTTGGTGATTTTTGAAGCTTTTCAAAAACTTTTCCTTTTTTTTTTTAATGATATTTATTAAAATTTTCAAAGGATACAAAAATTACACAAGAACAAAAAGTAAAAGTACAAAAGATAAAAATACAGAAAAAATAGAAAATACAGAAAAAAGAATAAAGAAAAAACAAAACAAGTTCATTATTTTCGGACCCTTAACTGTCATTACCTTCTTTCTTAGACCTCCTCCTCCTCCCTTCCTTTGTATTCTAGTTATTAATTATCCCAGCAAATCCTTTCCCCATGTTTCATAAAATTCTATCATTACCTTACCCTCGACTAATTTAATCCTATCTTTCTATAATAAAGTAAACCTTAAAGTTTAAAACTTAAGTCTTAACCTTACCAGCTTCTTATGATCATAATAATAATATTCTTTCATAATTCTTTATGCATCTTTACTAAAGCCAGGTAATTTCTTCCAACATTTTTCTATCATTCATCAACTTTGTAAAACATTCTGATAATAAAAAAGAAAAAGAAAGATATAAACAAGTCCAATCTTTATCCAACGTCCCTTTCTCCTGGTTCCAGGATTTGTCAGTCCTTATTAACCCGGCAACCTTATGTCCGAGGCCCTCAAGTCACTTCCATGGCCCTTCCGCAGCTTGTAATTTCCCTTGTCTTCTCGTGATAACTCCAGCTTGACAATGTCTCTTGCTCGTGGTAACTCCAGCTTAGTAATGTTTTTAACCCTTCTCGTCAGATCAGACCCTTTTCCATATTCATCGCTGCATTCCATGTAATATTTAAAAGCATGTTTCAAGGGCCCTCCAAAGTTAAGAGCCCCCACAGTCCCAATCATATCGCAGCCCATTGCCATATTTAAAAAGTCCAGACATCCCAGCATAGGGGGGTCAATCCAGCCCCCCATTTCCAAGCCACACCGAACTTTCCCTTTCCAAATCTGGCTTTTTCCAAGTTCATTTGTCCAATCCGAAGGATCATACTCCTGTTGGGTCTGTTCTGTCAAAACACACTGCTGGTTTAATGCCACAAACTCCTGTTCTGTCAAAACACACTCCTGGTTTGAATCCTGGGTAGGCTCCACATGTTTTACCACAGTCTGATCAAGACATTCCACTGCCTGTTTAAGATTTCTAGTCGAAATGACCATCCAGTTCACCTTATCATGTAGTTCTTCCAGTAGAGCATTTGTTTTGTAAAGAACGCGCACCAAGATTTCTGAAAACATTGCTCTGCACAATCAAACACTTTCCCACGGTTATTTTGTAACCGATGTCAATTCCTTGGAGTTAGTTACAGTTTCAAAAGCTCCCCCTAGGGGGAAAACTTATATTTGTTTTTGCTACAAAGTTTCCCCTTTTTTCCCCAAAATACATAGGATACTTTGTCCATATATATTCCTTTAGAGTGCGAAAGGGAACAGTAAAATCACCAAATTTCTCTTCTTTTAGCTGTCTGTCAAAAAACAATTATCTTGGTAAACTCACGTCAGTCCTGACACCCCCGCTCCAGGATCAGGACGGAGGAAAATAACTTCCTTTTGCAGTTACTTCAAATAGTCCCAAAAAAAAATATTCCCAATTTAAAATGTTGAAATCATTCTTTTAAAAACGATTTTCTGAGCTCTAGTGTGAATTGCCTTTGCTTTGTTCTATTTACAAAAGAACAGAAGGGTGACTTCCTGTTTAGCCCTTCCCGCTCCGTACCAAATTCAGTAGATTTTTTTTTTTTTAAGTCCAATTCTGTCCTTTTCACAAATCTTTATTTAATATCCCATTTGTTCAGATTCTAAGTACTCACGGGTGTTTGTTTTAAAGTCCAAATTGTCCCAGGTAAGAAGACAGCGCTCTCCGGCAGCAGCTATGCGGCTTTGCTCCACGGAAATAGCGATTGACTCACAGCACCACGCCGCTTCCCCCTCCTCACTTCGGAGCCCGTTAGTGGGTTCCTTAGCGGATTGGGGGGGCGCTAAGGGTGCCCGCCGAGTCCCACGGTCACAGGCTTCATCCGCCTGTGATTTTGAAGGGGTGCCCGCTTCGCCGTAGCGGAGTAGACCCTGTTTACCGCGGAGCCAGTCCCTCCAGTTCAGAGGGAGTCCGCCATTGCCGGTGGCGCCACCCCGGAAGTCCCTTTTCAAAAACTTTTCCGAAGCCGTGCTTCGCAAGACGAAAAAAACCGCAAGACGAAAAAACTCGCGGAACGAATTAATTTCGTCTTGCGAGGCACCACTGTATCTGCAAACCAAAAGTTTCAATCAGCTATGTCCTTCAAAACCGAAGCCGTTGGACAGGCCTCTTTGTTTGCACACCCTAGGCTCAGAACATTTACACTTGTTCCAGTTCCATCACCTTGCAGATGGGTGTGGCTCACACTCCATTCCAAGGCGACTTGACAGAAACTGCTGTCAAATAGCACTGATGATTCATCACCTGCTGTCAAGCAATGTTAAAGGTGGCTGTTGCTGTACCTAACAATATGGTTGTGACAAAACGTGGGAAGGAACTCGTGGATCATCAAACCCAGGCCTCTGAAGTCACATGAGGTAGGAATTCCTACCTCATGTATTTTTGTTGGAAGAGCTAAATGCGCTTCTAAAAGAGAGACAGTGTGGTGTGTGATGTAGGACTAGGACTCGGGTTCAAATCCGCATGCAGCCTCAAACGCTTTCTGGGTGATTGGATTTCTATCTAAAACCACAATCTACTGCTTTCTAAAGAAGAGGAAAAAAGTTAACATGAAGGAGCAGAGGCCCTGATTTATCTACCCACATTTCTTGCAACAGATAGCCTTCCTTAGATGTAACTTTGGGAATGACTTTAATAGCTATTTCCCTTTATTCATGGAGTCCTCCTAATGTAGGGGTGGGGGAACCTGTGTCCAGTTTGTGACTGGTGCCCACTGGGGACAGCTGGTGCAGAAGGCAGGGATACCAACTGTAATGGAGCCAGAACCAATGGCAAAGCAACTAATTCTCATTTTATCCCCAATTAGTTCCACAAGAGGGGGAGACTGAGGTTGTGCACACGCTATACCATTAAAGCACATTCCAAGCACATTCTTTCCCTCAAAGAATTCTGGGCAGTGTACTTCATTAAAGGTTGCTGGGAACTGTAGCTCTATGAGAGTTATACTACAGTGCCCAGAATTCTTTGAGGGAAAGAATGTGCTTTGAATGTGTCTTAAAGGCATAGTGGCCATGCAGCCTTCGGGCAACAGACACACTTGAATCCACTTCAGTTGTTCAAGCGTAAAGATCTGTTATGCCAGGGAACCTTTGGCCCTCCAAATGTTACTGAACTACAACTCCCATCAGCCCCAGCAAGCATGAACAGTGGTCAGAGAGGAGGCCCACTAGCCACACTGACTATGTTTTATCTCTACTGTTGGATGCAATAAGCCCCTGGATGCCATTTGCTGGTAATCACAGGTGAGCAGAGTACTGGCACACTCAGGCCCTACTGATTGGCCCCCATGGGAACAGGATGCTGGACCAGATGGGCTGTTGACCTCATCCTGCCGGGCTGCTCTTATGTTCTTATGAGTTGTAGCTTATCAACATCTGGAGGGCCAAAGGTCCCCCACACCACTGATAGGCACTTGAATCAATCTCACAAACTAATGAGAGTCAAGAATCACCCGCAAAAATATTATTGGCACAAAAAGGGAAGCAAGAAGAATCACCAATGAAAGAAGAATGGCAAATGAAATTAATGGACTATGCAGAATTAGATAAATTAACAGGAAGGATTTGAAACCTGCGGGATCAGAGATTCTTAGAGGACTGGAGTAAATATCTGAGCTATTTGAAAAGCAATTGTGATAAACAGATTACGCTAGTAGGACTGCAAGAAGTTCTGTAAGGAGGACTTTGTGAAACATTGCAAGGAAGACTTTGAAAAGAATTATTAGTTAAGGACAATTAAAAGTAATGGAGAAATTAAGAAATGCAGAACAAGTGATAAAGAATGGAAAATCTTCAGAGGTTGTTGACAGAAGTCTAAAATATTGTATAAAATAAGAAATTATGTAAAATGATTGTTGGTACTTATATGTGATATATATATATATATACACACACACACACACACACACACACAAACACAAACACAAACATATCGGTAAAAAGGTAAAGGGACCCCTGACCATTAGGTCCAGTTGTGGCCGACTCTGGGGTTGTGGCACTCATCTCGCTTTATTGGCCGAAGGAGCTGGCGTAAAGCTTCCAGATCATGTGGCCAGCATGACTAAGCCGCTTTTGGCGAACCAGAGCAGCGCACAGAAACGCCGTTTACCTTCCCACTGGACCGATACCTATTTATCTACTTCCACTTTGACGTGCTTTCGAACTGCTAGGTTGGCAGGAGCAGGGACCGAGCAACGGGAGCTCACCCCATCACAGGGATCCAAACCGCCGACCTTCTGATCGGCAAGTCCTAGGCTCTGTGGTTTAACCCACAGCGCCACCCTGAGGTTGGTGGGGCAGCATCCAGTTCACCCTAATGGCCCAGCCATCAACTGCCAGCCTCATCCAGCATGGCCAATGAGCAGAGATGATGGCAGTCATAGTCCAAGAACGTGGGGGGAGACGGCACAATTTCCCCACCCGATTTGAATGCTTGTTAGCGTGTTCTCTGAAAACTCAGTGAAATTAATAGTTCTAATTTCAGCGCAGTCTAAGACATAACTGGGAAAGGAGATGGCATTGTGTGCAGACTGGAGAAACTGCTAGTTATACTTCCTGCCTGGAAGAAAAGGAGGGGGGGCGGGTAGAAAGAGAAATCTCCAGGCATTGCATGAATTTCTGAAGCTGCAGGAATCTCCCAGGTGGTGCTCAGTCCTGTGCAAAGTTGGCTTGAAAGCCCAGAAATTAGAATCAAATAATACAGTCTTTTATTTGCCTCCATAGAATACTGGCTTTTTCCTGACTTGCCCTCAAAGTAAACTCTAAACTGCCATGACTTGCCCAACAATCCTGCAGGTATTTACACAGGCAGATTGCCACACATCGCCTTCCCTCTCTTTCTCCTTCCCCTTCCTTTTTTGATATTTTTATTATGACACTTAATAATGCATTTTCCTTCTTCCTGCTCTTGACACAAGAAAACGTATCACCCATCATTTCTGGGAATGCTTGTAGCCACTTTATGTGTTTATTTATTTATCACATTTGTACCACACCATTTATTCCCAAATGATCTCAAGAGTGGTTTACAAAGATTGGTCCTAAAACAGTCTGAGGCTGTATGCACTCTATACTTTTAAAGCATCTATAGTCTGTTGCAGGGGGGATTATAATTCTGTGCACCGAATTCTTTGAGCAAAATAATGTACTTTGAATGTGCTTTAAAGACGTAGTGTGTACACAGCATCAAAGAAGAATTCCTCCTCCCTTTAAAAAATAGACTCTTGTGGGTTTGGAAAGTGATCTAGATTGTCTGTGGATCACATAGAAAAAAACAAGTGCAGTGGAATCTTAGTTCTTGAACGGTTTAGTTGACGATCAAATCGGCTCCCGAACGCCGAAAACCCGGAAGTAAGTGTTCCAGTTTTTGAACGTTTTTGGACAGCTGAACATCCAATGCGGTTGTCGGCTATTGTTTCCAGGCGCCTGCATCAATCAGAAACAGTGCCTTGGTTTTCAAACATTTCAGGAGTCAAATGGGCTTCTAAACCGGATTTATTTCGAGAACCAAGGTTCCACTGTACCTGCTCTACATTGATTCTAGAATAAAATGTCATGCGTATGCACTTGTTGATAGCTGGGTCAGTAGAGCATGATACTCTTAATCTCAGGGTATTGGGTTCAAGCTCCACATAGGGCAAGAGATTCCTGCATTGCAGGGGGTTGGACTACATGATCCTCATGGTCCCTTCCAACGCTATGATTCTATGATTTACAACACACAACAACTTCAAAGCACATTCAAAACACATTATTTCCCTAAAATCATTCTGGGCACTGTAATTTACTGGTCACAGAGTTACAGTTCCCAGCAACCCTTAACAAACTACAGTGGCCAGAATGTTTTGAAGGGGGGGAAATGTGCTTCAAAGGTATAGTATTTACACAGCCTAAAAATACATGACGTATGAGGAAAATGGAATGGGAGGGAGGAGGGGAAAAAACGAGTTCCTTAACCTACAGGTCACATACTGCAGTTATACTGGTGAAATAAAATTTACATAATAAATAAATACTAATAATATTTTACTTTCTTGTAATTTTATTCTTCCTGCTTTTATGACTGTTTTTATTATTACTTTGAACTTGTTGTTTGAATAAAAAATTACATACAATTTATACAATTGGATATAACTTTATACACATTCATATGAATAGACAAGGCTTCCAATAAAAACAGGCAGAGCACATGGCACTTTTTTGATAGCAAAAGTTATGCTTTCTATTCTTAAAAGTACAGTTCTTCGCAAAGTAATTTATTGGATTTTGGAAAGGGGCTGCCCTCTTGTGGCAAACTTAATCTCTAGCAAGTGAATTCTTTGAACAATTTTTCTCTTTAGACTTTTTTACAAAGTCATTCTGATAGGCAGAATGCCCTCAAATGCCTGGCTTGGCTGGGTTATGGACTGTGCAACCCACTCACCCCATTCTGCAATATCTCAAAACCTGGAAATAAATATTGTGTAAGAATAATGGAAGCATTTGAATTGAACTTGTATGGATGCTGGTAGAAAGTGTTGAGCCCACTGAACAGGAATTGGGAACCCGTGGTCCTCCAAGAGAGTGTTGGACTCCAACTTCCATCATCCCTCACCACTGGCCATGTTAACTGGGGCTGAGGGGTGTTCGTGTGCAACAACATTTGGTGGGCCACAGGATGTTATAGAAACAACACATTTTTTTCTACATAAGGCATATTTGATCATACTCCTGATCATATCTGGGCCCTTGGCTTTTAGAAGCTAAAGAGGCAGGCCTTCTTTATTCCAAGAGTGGCCATTTAGACTAGGTATATGGCAAACAAAAGACAAATATGGTTGGTATGATGTCCAGAAGATACTATTGAAGTAGCTTGGCTTTTGCAGCTGGTGCAATTTCCAGTAAGACTGAATCACAGAGCTTTTCTGCATATGTGCCAACTAAAATAGCCCTTATTTCTCAATCCTGCACCTTGATGTCAGGAACCATCATCAAACAAAATGTGGTTATAATATCTTAAGAGGGGTCCAAATGCACAGCAAACAAACAACTTTCAACTATATATGTAGAGTAGATTTCATTTATATCTCACCATTCCTCCAAGAAGCTCAAGATGGCATATTATGTCCCCACTCTTCCCTATTTCATCTCCTCAACAACCCTGTGAGATAGGTTGGGCGGAGAGCTTCATGGCTGTTTGGGGATTTGAACCCTGGTCTCCCAGGTTCTATCATTTGCGAGAGGCAGCAAAATGCATTGGGATAGCCTTGATTCCCTACACCTGCTGAAATTCCCTCTTCTACACCACCCTTAAGGCTACAGGAACCCTGTTCCCTTTTTCAAAGGCCAGCACCAGCTAAGACAGTCATGAATATTCCTGTTTTCTGCTACAAAATACTGGCGAAGCGTATTTACAGGCATTTTATTCAGCATTAGGGCAAAGGAAAAACATGTCTGCTCCCCTTCATGTCCAAGCAAAAGGCATAAGGCAAAAGCCATAAACACAATGGAAGTTCCCAGCAAGCGGTGCTGGAATGTAAACAGACATGTGACATACAACAGCTCCACACATCTGTTTAGGTGGAACAGAACATCGCTATCCTAACAGGCAACCCACACACCCCAAATGTGACAATTCTTATCCACTGTCTGCCCAGTGTTCTTGCTTGTTGCCGCTGACACTAAGCGAGAAAGGACAGGTCCAAAAAATAAGGCAAGGGGCATAGGGGAGGTTAGGGAACAAGGCTTTGGAGAATAATTCCAACCAGTCCAGGGGTTACAACTACAGGACAGGAGCAAGTCCCAGCTTTCCCTCCTCCCACCCCATCTCTTAAGGGTGACCTTTAATGTTCAGTCCTTCCATGCAGCATGCTCAGCCCACATCATGCTCCTCTGGTTTTTTCTTTCCTTAATTTACAAATGAATTGTTTTCCTGCCTACCTGTAAAGGTAAAGGGTAAAGGGACCCCTGACCATTAGGTCCAGTCGTGGCCGACTCTGGGGTTGTGGTGCTCATCTTGCTTTATTGGCCGAGGGAGCCGGTGTACAACTTCCAGGTCATGTGGTCAGCATGACTAAGCCGCTTCTGGCAAACCAGAGCAGCGCACGGAAACACCGTTTACCTTCCCGCCAGAGCGGTACCTATTTATCTACTTGCATTTTGAGGTGCTTTCGAACTGCTAGGTTGGCAGGAGCAGGGACCGAGCAACAGGAGCTCACCCCATCCCGGGGATTCGAACCGCCAACCTTCTGATCAGCAAGTCCTAGGCTCTGTGGTTTAACCCACAGCGCCACCCGCGTCCCAAATTTGGGGACTGTAGAGTCCCCAAATTGTGCAGAAACCACCTGTGTTATCTGTAGGCAGCGTCATTTGTCTGCTTAGCTGATGGGTGCTGACTACAGAGTTCAGCATTGAAAGGAAGAAGTGTGTTGGGCAGGGGCAGGGGGCAAAATATTTTGGGACATCTCCAGCCTCTAGCAAGAGTTCTCTTGCTTAGTACTCCAAACAGGTGTAACAGGAATCTTGAAGGGCAACAGTTCCCCTGGCACACTGTTTATTTAAAACAGAAGTACGCTTTAGACCAGGTGTGGGGAACATTGGGGATTCCTGGTGTTACTGCAGCCCCTATCAGCCCTGGCAAGCATGGACAATGGTCAACGATTATGGGAGTTGCCTGGGTTTGTTTTGTTTTTTAAAGAGAAAACAAAATGCAAAAGAAAGAGGAATTAAGGAACATAAGAAAATCCCAAGCATGGAATCAGGCACATGTCACAAAAGATTCATACAAGTATATACTACACATATCTAACTTCTTTCATAAAGAAATGTTATATTGCCCAAATGGCTTTGGCAGCTGCTGATTGTAGATTGCACATCAAGAGGTAGAAGTGTAGAAAATAAAACTCCGCCAGATGGCGCTGAATGACTGTGGTTTCTCTTTGCAAGATTGCTGTAGTCCAAATATTCCTACATAGGTTTGCCATACATTCGGGATTTCCCAGATGCGTCCGGAATCGGACTGTCAAAATGGCGTCTCGGTGGATTTTTACCAAGTTGGCGAAATGTCCAGGATAACCTGGACGTATGGCAACTAGGGTGATTTTTTTAAAAAGAAAAATGCTGTAAAAATGTTTTCTCAGCAAATGAGACAGGCAAAGAGCGAGCATGCTGTAAAAAAATGACTTTTTTGGGGGGGGAGGATGTTTGCCTTTGTAAATGCGAATCATCCAAAGTTTTCAGCTGTTGAACCACAGTTTGATGAGCAGCAATTAAAAGAAACACAAGCCCTTTGACTTTGACATAGTTGTGAAATGGTGATAATAAAAACAATTGAGGTACACTTCTCTGCCATTCTGGTCCCAATGTGGATAATGGGAGGCACTGCAGATGCTTCTCCAGCTGTTGCCACTGAATACAGACTCCAAGTGACAGACCAGAAACAAGATCTTGGAATGATAGTTATAGCTCAGCGAAGATGTCAACCCAGTGTGCTGGGGCTGTCAAAAAACAGATTCCATACTAGGGATCTTTGGGAATGGAATGGAAAATAAAACTGCCAGTGTCATGATGCCGTTATACAAATCTATGGTGCCCCTGCATTTGGAATACTATGTACAGCTGAATGGCAACATTCAGATTTCAAGAGCAAATTGAAATTCAAAAATCTAAATATTTAAATGCTTTGTAATGTCTTTTAAAAATGCTTCTAACGCCCAGCATGTGCAATAAAATGTATATGTGCCTATTCAGAAGTCAGTCCCATTGAAGTCAATTGGCTTACAGCCAGGAAAGTGAGTACAGGATTGCAGCCGGAGTGATATAAAGTGGACATGAGGAAATATGTATACTGCCCTTCACCTGTAGATCTCAGGGAGGTTCACAACATAAAAATACAATATAAAAATGTAAACTACATAATAAAAACAAGAACAAAAAAACCCTCTATAACCCCCCTCCCACAAACACATGTAAAAAGGGCAGAATATGTTAATCAACCAAAGGCCAGGTTGAAGAGAAATGTTTTTGCCTGGTACTTAAAGGTGTATAATGAAGGCACCAGGTGAACCTCCCTGGGGAGAGTATTCCACAAATGGGGGGGGGCACTGCAGAAAAGGCCTATTTTCCTTTTGCTGCAGCCTTCCAGATCTCCTGCGTAGGAGGCACATGAAGAAGGGCCTCAGGGGGTGATTGCAGGGTCCAGGTTGAAGAGAGGGGTGGTCCTTGAGATATTGTGATCCTGAGCCATTTAAAGATTTATGGGTCAAAACCAGCACTTTGAATGGGACCTGTAAACTAATTGGCAGCCAGTGCAGTTGGGCCAGGATCGGTGTAATATGCTCAAACTGTCTTGCCTCTGTGAGCAACCTGACTGCTGACTTCTGCACTAGCTGAAGTTTCCAAACCATCTTCAGAGGCAGCCCTATGTGGAACACATTGAAATAAACTAACCTAGAGGTTATCATAGCACAGAAGACAGAAGGTAAGGTATCTCTGTCCAAATATGAATGCAGCTGGGCCACCAGCCAAAGCTGATAGAAGACACTTGGTGCCACTGAGGCCACAACAGGCAACAACAAAGGATCCAGAAATACCCTTAAGCTACATACTTGCTCCTTGAGAGAGAGTATAATCCCATCAAGAGCAGGGCCCCCTCCCATCCAACCATTTTGCTCCCTCAAATTCCTGTGGTGGCATTTGAAGTTTAAATTCATCATCAGACATTGAACTTCACAGTAAATACCTCCTTGGAGGATCACACTTTATCCTTAGATGCAATCACGTGGAGACTCGGAGTTCAGGAAAAGAAGAAAGCCAAGTTGATTAAAGGAAATAGATACATGTTTGATCTAACAAAAATGGAGATGGAAAGAGCCATGCTTGCTCTTTGCATGTCTCACTTGCTGAGAAACAAAGATGCCTTATCTCTCAAGAATGACAAAGAAGTGAGAAAGAGGAATTGAGATCAGCACACCAGAAGTGTCAGGAACTGTGCTGAGGAGGGCTTTGGTCAGGCACCTCTTTTTAAACTAGATCACTAGGTGGGTGCACACCAATTATAGAACTCACTTTGTGTGAAATATTTTTTTATGGAATGCTAAAAATGTGTGGACTGTCCCATTTGCACCCCTGCCCTTGAGCCATTTTTCCCCCTGGAGGTTGTTTTTCCTAATCAGTTGAAAGCTTCTTGCATTGAGAAAGCTTTTTGCATTGAGAAAGATGCTTCCCCAGAAAGCTTCCTCCATCATCATCCAAAGTGACCCATTCTTTCTCCGACCAAGTGAGAAGGACCAACCACAAGGCAGAACCAACTCATTGGCAGACAGGCTTACAAAGTTACTACAGTGCAAATCAGGGCAGGCTTACGTGGGAGGAAATTTCAATGAACTCAGTGGGGCTTACTTTCGAGTAGACATGTCCTGGATTGTGATATAATACAGTCTCCCTATATTCCTATCAAGTGCTCTTTCCAAAAGCAGTTTGCTAAATAATCTTCCCAGAGGGACCATCATATTATCCAGTAGTAGTCATACTAAGTAATTCCATTTATATTAATGTGCATCACTAGCTTATGTCCATTAATTTCAGTGGGTCTGTTCAGAATAAAACTTAAGTTTCCCCAAGCAGCAATTATGTTTTGGGAAAACGTGAATCTCCAAGGTAGGAGCGGAACACAAAAGTTGACTCTGCACCTGATATTTTGTCCCAAATTATGCAATCTCGGCTTCTTTCCGCAAAAGATAATGTAAAGATCGATTCAACTCAATTAAAGGTGTATTTATTAAAAGTAGGACCGCAATGAACAGAACAATAATGCTCTTCGGTGTTCCCCTGAAGCAGGAATTCTCAGGCTGAAATCCAAAGCACAGTTACCGGTAAGTGCAAGTAAATCACACTGACTGCAGTTGATGTGTTCTGCAGCCCTGTCCAAGGCTTGTTTACTCTGAAGCTGGAGTCTCGTAACAGCCTCTCAGCAGCCTGTGCCTTAGGCTTGGAGCAGTGGCATAGCATGGGGGCAATGGGGACAGTGGCCAAGGGCACAGAATTCTGAGGGGTGGGACTTCCAGGTTGGCACCACCGGCAATGGCGGAATTCCTCTGATCGGGAGGAATTTGCCTCGTGGAAATTCGGGTCTGGCCGCCACGGTGAAGGCGGAGACCCACTAAAAATCACAGGCGGTTGAAGCCTGTAAACGTGGGATTCAACGGGCATCTTTTGCGCCTCCCCTACCCGCGGGGAAACCCGGTTTCGGGGATCCGGAGCGATGTGGGGTGAGCGGCGCTTCTTCCACGAAGCGAAGCCGCATAGCTGTTGCCGGAGAGCGCTGACTTTTTCCTGTGGACAATTTGATCTTAAAGCAACTACCCATGAGTAGAGTGAAGAATTTGATTTTTAAACGTTTTAATTTGGCACCGAAACGGGGAGGTTCAAAACAGGAAGTCCACCTCCCCTTTTTGTAAATAAGACTGAGGCAAAGAGGCTGCAAGCTAAAGTCTTGGAAAGCCCATTGTAAAGGACTAAATTCTCATCAGTAAAAAATATTAAACCCCCCTTGGAAGCAGGAGAAGAGGGGGGAGGCTTTGGATTGTATATCCCTGCAGGAGTGAGTGAGGAAGTTAAAATACCACCGTTCCGAACCTGGAAACGGGCTGCCAGTAAAATCGACGTGCCTTGGAAGGTTCATTGACAGCGAATAGAACGTTCGGTGACAGCTAGCATAAGAGAGATACATTGTTTCCATTGTCTTCGTCTGCACTTAAAAAGGAGTAAAGTAACGGAAAATTGAAACAATCTTACTGAACTTTATTTAAAAAGGAGGAAAGTAACTGAAAATTGAAACTAATTTTGGATTATTGAAACTGTGTTTAAAAGAGGACATACTGACCGATACAAATACAACTCGCTTTCCCCTAGTGGAAGCTTTTGAAATTGGTTACTTGATAGGAGCTGGGCTAGGGGATTTTCCAGCTGCAAGATAAGAAAGTGTGAGACTTTGGAATTGACCTTGAATCTTTTAAGTGTTATGGCAAACGGAAAGGAAAAAACAGACGGGATGTCGACAGAGGAGGCCTTAGTGGCTGCATTATTGAAAATAAACGATTCGCTGGAACAACTCCACAACAAAATAGATGCGAGAAATGTGAAATTGGATGTTGCAAATATTGAAATTGATTCATCTGTAGAAAGCTTAAATAACTTGGAACAAAAGGTGAATGCTAATTCAGAAACCACTCAGAAACTGACACAGGAATCTACTTCGATATGGCAAACTGCAGATGAAGTCAGGGGAAAAACCCTTGCTGCTGAATCTAAAATAATACAACTGGAGAGGAGAGTCCCATCCATACAAAGACAACCTGACGAACATAAGTTGACATTCGTTATGATTGAACTTAAAGAAGAACGGATGAATTTGAGGACCAGAGCCCTATTTGAATTGGAAAAGGAAAGCTTGACAGAGTTTCAGGAGGCGATACTAACATTGGTTGAGAAAGAGAGGTATTTGGGGGTTGACATGACTGCCAAAAATGTGAATCTGCTTAAGGACAACTGTGAAGGATGTTGGATCGAAGAGAAGGGGGATTTGGAAATATGGACAAATCAGAAGTTGTCACTGTTGGGCCGAGTTATTGTGGTGGGGATGAGGGCTGCTGTGTTGTTGGGGATGTTGCTTTTGTTTCAAACACTGCAAGCTTTGGATGGGATGGAGGGTCTCAGGAGGTGGCAGAGGGATGCTCCTAGAGTTGTTTGGCAGGGCAGAAAGCCTCGAGTAAAACTTAAGATATTGATGGATGCCAAAGAAGGAGGAGGACCTACCCTGCCAGACCTTTAAATTTTGCTGTGAACCATCTGCTTTTTGCTGGTTGAGAGAATGGTTGCTTTTTGAAAATATTGAAGCGTTGGACAATGGCAGATGAAATTGATGGACTATATGGAATTGGCGGAAATGACTGGCAAGATCCGAGACCAGGGTGAAGAGTCGGTGGAAGAAGATTGGAAAAAGTTTAAAGACCATTTATAGAGACATTGTAAAATTAAGGAATGTTAGAAAAATGTTGGAATGAAATTATATGGCTTTAGCAGAAATGTCATAAGGAATTAGGTATAAATAGATTAATAGAAAATTAAAGGAAAAGTATGGCAAGAATGTGTTAAGATAATTATAGAACAGAAAACAGAGTAAGATGGAAAGGAATTGCTGAAACAAATAATAGAAGTGGAATACAAAAAGGGAGGTGGGAGGAGGTCGCTGGAAATAAGTGAATGAAATATAAGATATTGAAAATGTTTGAGGTGATTTTAAACTGTTTTTGCTTGTTTTTATTTGTTTTTTTTAGTCCATGTAGTGTTTTTGTATTGTATTTGCATTGTTTTTTCTTTTTCTTTTTCTTTTTCCTTTTTTTGTTTGTGTTGGAAATGTTAAAAAAGTAATAAATATCATTTTTAAAAAACCAAACCGAATTCTGAGGGGCCCAACCCAGCACCCCTGTGACAGGCTGCCTCACCTAGGCTGCATGGCTGCCTCAGAAAGGCAGGCCGCACCTGGGCTGGGCCTTCAGAGCCACAACAGTGCCTCCTTCTCCTCACAGCCAGCTTCTTCTTCTTCTCCACAAGTCCTTCCACAATTGGGACATTCCGGACCGGAGTTTATCACGGTGTGGATTTGCCAAGCTTGCCTTCCTCTTAGCACGTTTCTCCCTTGCATCCTGAGTTTGAGTGTCTTCAAAGCTCATGACACCTTTGGTAAAGGCTGTTCTCCAAGTGGAGTGCTCGCAGGCCAGTGTTTCCCAGTTGTCAGTGTTTATACAGTGGTACCTCGGGTTAAGAACTTAATTCGTTCTGGAGGTCCGTTCTTAACCTGAAACTGTTCTTAACCTGAGGTACCACTTTAGCTAATGGGCCTCCTGCTGCTGCCATGCCGCTGGAGCACGATTTCTGTTCTCATCCTGAAGCAAAGTTCTTAACCTGAGGTACTATTTCTGGGTTAGCGGAGTCTGTAACCTGAAGCGTCTGTAACCCAAGGTACCACTGTACTACATTTTTAAAGATTTGCCTTGAGATAGTCTTTAAACCTCTTTTGTTGACCACCAGCATTACACTTTCCATTTTTAAGTTTGGAATAGAGTATTTGCTTTGGAAGAAGATCATCAGGCATCCATACACCATGACCAGGCCAACGAAGTTGATGTTGAAGAATCATTGCTTCAACACTGGTGACCTTTGCTTCTTCCAGTACACTGATATTAGTTCACCTGTCTTCCCAAGTGATGTGTAAAAAATTTTGGAGACACAGTCAGAAAAGAGACACCCACCACTAGGTGGAACTCCCACCAGCTAGCACCCAGACTTTTCCCTGGTCCTTCTCCAGGGTCTCCCTTCCAGCATGTGTCCTTGGGCATAGCATGTACCCTGTGATGAGAGCATGGAAAGGAGAGCTGTCCACTTGCCAAGGACCCACCGGTGCCCACCCTCGCACTGTGCAGCCAAGGAGAAGCAGCTGGGGAAGGGCTGCGCTTGGCACCTCAAGCTGCTGTCCACCACCCTCCTCCTAGGCCTGCTGCAGCTCTGGCGCTGTTGGAACATCACTAAGTCCAACAAGGAGCGCCAGCCACAGCTCACACTGTGAGCTCTCTGAGCTGAGAGGGAGAACACAATGATTGGCAGGTGACCTCAGTGAGGAACAACCTCGCAGGGGCTCAAAGAAGTATCCTGTTGTCTTCTGCATGATCCCCGCATATAGGTTAGGGAGCACCATCCTTGCCTTGACCCAGGTATTGTCTTTTTTTAAAAAAATGATATTTATTAAGAATTTTAGAATTACAGAAAAAAACAAAAAAGAAAACAAAACAGAAAAAACAGAAAAAAAACAAACCACAGTCAAACAATACAAATTGATAAAAAACAAAATCAAAAAATAAGAACAAAGCATGTAACACAACACAATCAAAAAGCAAAAATAAGCCGCAAACATTTAAAAACAAATCCAATATTCTCAAATCCTTAACTGTCATTACCTTCTTTCTTTGACCTCCTTACTCATCCCTTTTTGTATCCTAGTTGTTAATTGTCACAGCAAATCCTTTCCATTTTTCATAATATTCTGTCATTACATTACCTTAATCTATTTTAACCTTATCTTACTATAAAAGACCCTAAAACTTGAAACTTAGATCTTATTTATACCAATTTCTCATAACCATAACATATTCTTACATAATTCTTTTAACATTTTTGCTAAAGCCAGATGATTTCATTCCAACATTTTTCTAACATTCATCAATTTTATAAAGCAATCCTAATAAAAAAAAATTTATTCCAATCTTCATCCAGCGTCTCTTCCTCCTGGTCCCGGGTTTTGTCAGTCCTTTCTATCCCATCAACCTAGCGCATTAACCTGGTAATCTTATGTCCGAGGCCCTTAAGTCTCTTCCATGTCCCTTCCACGGCTCTTCTTCATATTTATACCTGTACTTTACTTTGTCTCCTGCTCCTTTCACTCGTGGGAACTCCAACTTGACAGTGTTTTTGACCCTTCTCGACAAATCAGTCCCTTTTCCATATTCCACACTAAACTCCATGTGGTATTTAAAAACATGTTTCAAAGTCCCTCCAGAATTAAGAGCCTCCACAACCCCAAACATCTCACTGCCCATTGCCAGACTTGAAAAGTCCAAACAGACCCAGGTATTGTCAACGCACACTATGCCACTGGCTTGGAGCCTGCATTTTGTGAGCTGGTGAGAGACCTTGCACACCAGATCTCCCCTCCAGCTACAGACTCGCTTCTCTCCATTGATGGAATTCAGGTTCAGTAGTTTGCTGCAGAGCATCACATTGCAGCAAAAGCTTTTCCTACATGTTTGGAAGCTGCGAAGGAAATAATCTGAGATCAAAGCTCTGCCCTCACCTTGGGCACTTTGGCCTAGCTAGAATGTACCCTTGAGCTTTGACTGTTCCCATTGCTTCCCTAACATGGAAGTTGAAGAAATGTGCATTGAAGCTCTGAGTGTGCAGAAGCGCTGGCTTTTTCTGAGTCCTGTACTGGATTATCCAGTAGGCAGGCTAAGCACATGCTGAGAGTGCCAAGCAAAGCAGGAGCAGCTGAGAAAACGATAATTTATTTTTGAACTAATCTGATATTAAGAAAGAAAGAAAGAAAGAAAGAAAGAAAGAAAGAAAGAAAGAAAGAAGTCATCATGGGGAAAATCAGAAATTCGCTAGATGTCATTACACACTCTTTCCACTATTTTTCTATTCTCTTTTTATAATGTATCCTAAACCAGGAGGTATCCTACTAAAGAAATAATGTGTGGAAATCAGAACCTGACATGTGCTGGAACAAATCATGTATTATTTTATTTTACGGTTTAGTATTGAGCTTATTTTGAATTGCCTAAAATCTTTCTAACCCAGCCCTGGCTGAGTATCATCTTTCTGTCTTAACTCTACCAGGAAGGCAGCCTAACCTGGAACCTGAGACACACGGCACTCTCCCTTGGCGTTGTCATGAGTGTGAAATGCCTCCAGCAACTGTCTCAATAGGGGGCTAATTGGCAATGGGGGCTAATTGGCTATAGAAATGTAGGTGATTTCAGAGCTCAATGAGCTAATCTCTGTGCAATGCACTTCGTCTGGAAGAGTCTGTACAGAGAGAGTTCAGCCAGCCCAGATCAAAGGGGTCACGGAGTATTTTGTTACAAACAGAGCTAGTAGGAAGGGTATGAGTTTACTCAATCTCAATGCCAGGCTATTTTACACTCTAGGCAAGGCTAACTAACTAGTTGCACCACCATGACGCCCCATTCAATTTTCAAAAACAGTCGTCTTGTAGAAAAAAATGCAAAGCACAAAGCTTGAAACTGTTAATTGTATTTTAAATTGCAATAATAAATAATGCAACAATCTTTGATTATGTTTCTCAAAGATAAAAGAGCATGTAATAGCGCACAAATAATTTCAAACAATCTTGTGAACTGTGATGTTAAAATTTAAGTCTTTTAAAAGTTTCAATTCCAAGCACATCAAAAATTTCTTAGAGTGTTTTCTTTTCCTTTGCAAATGTGTCAACAATTCCTTCAAGTTCATGTGCTGATGTTCAGCCATGTTCTATTAATATAATTGACAAGCCTATCAGCCTTTTTTGCAACATTGTTGAGCGTGTGTAAGTTTTTATAAGTTCGAGTTTTGAGAAACTGTGTTCACCACTTGCCAACTGAAAGTGTGAGAAGTAATCTTTGTGGCAGCATAGACTTTGGAAACCTTCCAGCTATTTATATAAAAGTAAAACATTGCCAGAAATTTATAAAATATAAGAAAACCCAATCTTTTCTTATGTGTGGTCCTTTGAGGTCTGTCGCCCTAGGCGGCTGCCTCTGGCCATGAATTTGAACTTTGCTTGGGCGAGTCTATCCCGAGAGATTTCAGCCTGCTGTATTTGGAACATGTAGGAGCTTGACTCACGTTATCTCTTCATTGAGGAAGACAATCGAATCAGAATGATTGGCAGCCCGTTGCCAAGCCTCAGTAGCTGACTGAAAACTTGCTAATTATACTTGATTAACTCCTCATTGAGGGACGTGGGTGGCGCTGTGGGTAAAACCTCAGCGCCTAGGACTTGCCGATCGCATGGTCGGCGGTTCGAATCCCCGCGGCGGGTGCGCTCCCGTCCTTCGGTCCCAGCGCCTGCCAACCTAGCAGTTCGAAAGCACACCCGGGTGCAAGTAGATAAATAGGGACCGCTCCGGCGGGAAGGTAAACGGCGTTCCGTGTGCTGCTCTGGTGCTGGCTCGCCAGATGCAGCTTGTCACGCTGGCCACGTGACCCGGAAGTGTCTGCGGACAGCGCTGGCTCTCGGCCTCTAGAGTGAGATGAGCGCACAACCCTAGAGTCTGGCAAGACTGGCCTGAACGGGCAGGGGTACCTTTACCTTTACCTTTAACTCCTCATTGCAACACAAACCCACTTCCAAATCTGCATGGCTATGGAATTGGCGGTGAAGGGCCTGAATCGGCCTAATCTAGATCCTCTCCTATCTTCCTCAACATTCCCACAGTATTAAGGAGCCGACACAATTTCTATTCCTTCAACGAGCGATTATTTTTATTTTCAATTACCAACAACAGAAACTATATATTTAATTAATGTTCTGTAAACTGAAATGGCAAAGCTGTATTACAACTGAGAACTAACATAAACTACCGTACACATTAAAGAAAAAAAATACTGCAAGGAAAGTGCTATTTGTTAGGGAACTGACTTCAAACAACTTTACATATGGTTTGTTCTAACCTACCGACACTTTCTTAAACTTTCACTGACCATCTCTCTATGAAGAAAAGTCGGAGTGTTTTATTAACCCTTTTCGGGTTAATACACACACCTCAATATGCAATTTCGAGGGCATTTTATGCCAAATGTGGGGGTTTTCGTTTCCAAAAAGAAAATGGAAACATAGTATAGGTGAAATTTTGTAACAATGCCCTGAAGGTCCACTTATGTGTAGTGCGCAACGTGAGAGAAAAACTCTTGCTACAATGTGATGGTCTGAGGAAACAAACTACACTTTATTAAACTTGAATTCAGTAAATGGAGGGAAGCAAGCAAGCCCCTCTGGCGTACAAGTCTTCTCTTGCGTCCACCGGCTCACAATAGCACGATCCTTTGACCGCGTCTTCCAGGAAGAAAAAAAAATAAATGCTGAAGAGCAGCGGTGTGAACCTGACATCTCCGGAAATTTTTGGCATTGGAGAGAAAATGGGTGTCGCTCTCTTTCTTTTAAATGGTTTTTATTAAAATATTTTATCGGGTAACAAAAGTACAGGCAGCGTCTCTGTTGTGAGAAAGGGTTTCAAGCAAAGTGAGGTCGAGAATTGGGGTGCAAGCTCTATCGGGTTTAAAGAGGAGCGACCAGACGGTAGTTATTAGTTTTAATTATTGTTGCTTAATAAATTTACAAGATGCTCTGTACCGTGAAGCCATCGAGGGGGGGGGGGTGTTACAAATTTTAAAAAGAAGAAAACACAGAGACAAAAGATAAGTTCTAAAAACTATAACATTGTTTCAACAAACTCCCAGGACAACAAAACCTTTTTTCTGGCTATGCTCTTAATATTCCATAAATGACTGGGCCATACTGCAGGGGAAGATTCCTGAAACCAAAAGGCAGGACCCAGGCGCCAACTTCCCTAAGGGACACAGTGAAACTTGCTTCTGAGTATAGGATTGCAAATGGAAAAACTAAAGGAATGTTGAAATAAAATGCCGGACGGGAAGGAAAGTATTCCTCAGGGAGCATCTTCCAAAGAAGCCATAATTTCTTTGCACCTGACCACAAAAGCTTCTGCCACAAATCCCTCATTTTCCCCCATTTAAAATATCTGTCTCCCTTTGCATACTTTTTAATAAAATATTAAGAAATAATTAAGCCGCATAATAAATCAAACCAAACCGAGCAGTCAGCAAGATTTCCAGAGTCCATCTTGAAATCGTGGAAACATTTCAGTTGCAGAATTCAGAGTGGACAATCAAATTGTTAAATGGACTGGTTGTTTTTTTAAATCACACCCCCTCCTTCCAATCCCTAGGGAAGAGGTGGCGAAGCTGGAGCCCTGAAGATGTGTGGGACTCCATTGCCTCTGACCACTGGTCATGCTGGCCGGTCCCGATGGGAATTCTAGTCCACCCACACCTGGAGAGCCCCCCTCTCTGCATCCCTGCCACGGACTGCCCCGCCACCCCCTAGAAAGAGTGATCCGGGCTCCTGGGGTTGTTCTCTGCTGCCTACCCCCCACCCACCCATCTTCCAGATCGGGACTCCGGGGACGCATCAAGTGAAAGGCCAAGGTGCGGATTCCCCGTTTTTTTTGGGGGGGGGGAATAAACAACTCCCCATTCAACAGTTTCTGCTCGGTTTCATGAACCTCGCTTTGTACTCGGTTGCAACCCAGACGGCGCTTTTGTCAGCACAATCGTTAGGCAGGGCCTGGTGCGCAGGAGCCAGCCTAGGGGTCTTCGACGCCCCCAATAAAATATTTGAGAAGGCTACGCCCACCACCCAAGTTGATGGGCACTGCCATTCAAAAGGGGTGTGCGCACACCCCATCATGTGATTGATTATGTAGGGTGGGGCTTACCTCCCCCCCCCCAAATATTTTATTCAAGTTGGCACCCTTGTTGAGAGGAGGATTAGGCAGCTAAAATAGAGATACTTAAAGAAGCCCTCCATGTACGGATGCAAGGAGGGTTTCTCAGTTGATGCTTTCAGAATTCAATATTTGCCTCTGAACACACACATCTCGACATCTGAAGAGAAGGCTGGATAGTGCAGGTGCTTTTTAAAAGTTAAAAATAAATAAATCTCCAAATAACCCAAACAACAAAAATAGAACTCAAGGAGATAAACACACACACAAATAAACAGAACAGACCTACATAGGATGTCATGGTACAGGTGAGTGTTAGTACAAACCAAATTGTGTCCTCCCAGAAAGTGAGAGCCATTCTGCCTCCCTGGAAGACTGCAAAAATCCTGTGGAAAAGGACTTGAACCACCTGCAGCTTCAGATTACTGTGGCTGGAGATTGGAGGAACAGGGTTGCAAGTGAACATCAGCCAATGGTTTAACTGCCCCTGGACTCCCTCAGCCCCTTCACAAAATATGCTGAAAGGAATTCAAACGCGGAGGATGAGCAATTTGGTGGCCCATCTCTCCACAGTCTTCTACAGCTGGGTCAGTTGAAGGCAGTACTTTCGGATGACGCAGCCGAGTACTCATTTTACAGCGTTTATCAACATAGTTCAATATCTTCCACGTCTGTTGGTCCATAATAAGCTCCCTCTTTCTTTAAATGAACAGGAATTTTCTGGAGGAGTGGCTTGCACATGTGCCTGAAAATAATAAACCACTCATTCTCAACAGTTCCCTAAGAACAGGACTAAAACCAGCCTAGAAAACATACAATATTTGCTTTCAGATATTGACTTTATTTATAGTGGCGGTCTTTTTTTCTTTTTCTTTTTGCATTGCCTGCTGCAAGAATCTAGTGAGCTTTCAAGCCTCACGCAGGCTGCTCTTCGAGCCAATCCTACACTGCAGGCCTGCTGTGAAGGTAACATGTGCAGGTCAGATCCAGACACCCTACAGATGAATACAAGAATCTTACATAGGCTCACAACAAATGTAATTATTCTTTTTTAAAAATATATTTTTATTAAAGATTTCTTAGTTTACAAAAATACGTGCATTGTCTCTTTTTTCAAGTTGTGTGTTCTACAGATCAGTTTCATTTGTTGTGAGACATTAGCGTTGCATATAGTGTTAGGTTAGGAAGAAAAGTGGGGGAAAGAGGGGGAGTGGTGAGTGGGGTGGGGTGCCAATGCTTCTATTCTTCTTAGTATATGTGTGTTCTCTTACTATTCACTTGTTGTATTTCCTTGGTGAGAGCTTGAGGGTGGCCTAGGCTGTGGTTGGTTGTCTTTGGTTGGCTGTAGTGAGCTTTGTTTTTGTGTGTGAGTGTTTTTGGATCAGGTTACAGATTGATTCATAAGCTGTTGGCAGATTCTTGTCTTATTTGGCTGTGTACAGTGGTACCTCTGGTTGCGAATGGGATCCGTTCCGGGTCGCTGCAGGACGCAACTTGAAGCAAATGTAACAAGAGGTATGACTATGTGATTAAGGGGAACCATAAAGGGTGAATGTATCTTCTTCTATTTGTCCCCGTGTCCGTATAAGTTTATTGGTTAGTTTTACTAATAAGGCTGTTTCCCATACTATTTGATACCATTGGTCAAAGCTTACTCCTGACAGGCCTCTCCTGTGTTTGTTTATGACGCTTCTGATAGGTGGGTTATGGGCTCTTTATGATATGAATGGGCATTATCTTGGACGATGTTTAGTGGGGCCAGTTTCAGGGTGATGTCTAATAATTGCTTAGTTATTTTGCATATTTATTGTATGATTGGTGTCCAGAATATATGGATTTTGGGACATTCCCACCACATGTGGAGGTGCATCCTCTGCAGCATTTTTGTGAGGTTCCTGGGTGTATTAGCGCTAATTTCCATGGTGTTAGGTACCATTTGAGAGTTTCAAAGTGAGTTCTTTCCTTTTCGCTGATACGGACTTAAAGGGAGGTTTAGCCCACATTCTGGTCCAGTGGGTGGGGTTAATCTCATAGCCTATGTCATCCTCCCTTTTTTATTATTACATTGAGGGGGTTTGTGGGATTTTGGAGCAGTGTTTTCTATATTGCTGATACCCTCCCTTTGCCATGTTCCTTTGTTGTTAGGAGGTGGTTTTCAAAGGTTGTCAAGGGCTTAGTTGCTACCAATTTTTACTACTACTGGATTGTTTAAGAGAGCAGGTAATTATTCTGTAGAAAATACAACTGGAGAAAAAGAATGCACGCACATTTATAAACCAAGAAAATCTTTAGTAAAAATTATTTAAAACAACGAATGCTTCAATAGAGACTGGTTAGCTTGGCAACTACTGTATATCAACGGAACAAGCCTAAACATCAGCACTTGACTTGAAGAAATTGGTGACAAAATCTGCAAAACGATGTGCCTGGAATTGAAATTTAAGAGACTTAAATGTTAACATCACAACCCACAAGATTATGCATAATGATTTGTGTGCTAAAACATTATCTTTCTCAAATACAAATGGAAATCACAAAATAAAATTAGTAGTTTCAAGTTTTGTGCTTTCCCTTTTTACTACAAGACACCCATTTTTGAAAACTGAAGTTAGCAATGTTTTATTCATTTACCTCTTTATCTGATTTCAATGCCTGCTAACATCCAACAGATCTCAAGGCGGCATACAGACAGATACATAGAAGCATCACAATTAAAACCAAAATATACACAAAATACTCTGAAAAGTGAGAGGAGGAAAAAATGAGCAGAGAAGCCTCACCTTCAGGTGGCCAGTGTGTGTGTGTGTGTGTGTGTGTGTGTGTGTGATGCGGGCTTCTTGACTGGCTCTGCTCCTTTTTCCGGAGGGGGGGACACACCCCAATGACTGAGATGGGAGATTCTTTCCATGCCTATAAAAGGGCCCTGTACCTTCTGCACCCACATTTCATCCCCACCACTCCTCCTGATCAGAGAAGCAGGAGATGGATTTCCACACCTTTGAGAATGACCTCCACCTCTCTTCCCAGGAGACATCTGCTCCTCTTCCACCTTCCTCCTCTCACCTTTGAGGCCAAGAGCAGCTCCAGACTGGGCAGGGGGCAACTTAGGGAAAGCGCAGCCAGCTTAACTCCCCACTTTTCTCGTCTGCAGAGATCAGGACGACGCACAACCGTCTTCGCTCATTAGACCGGAGGCCGAGGTTTGAGTTCTTGGACTTCCAGCTGGACGTTCTGGAAACGACGTTTAAGGTGCGACCGAAGCCTGGTCACTATAAGAGAATGTTGCTGGCCTGCCTCACTGAGATCCCTGAGGATCGCATCCAGGTGAGTTGTGGGGGGAGAGATGGTCCCAATTCTGCCGGGAAGAAAGGCGAGAGGGGAGGACGTCGGGTAGGGTTTGGGGGCACAGGAGGAGAACCGATCGGGAGCTCCCTTCCAGCTCTGCCTCTTGCAGCCCCTGGAGCCTAGGCGCCTTTCTTGGGACGCCCGTCCCCTGTGCTCGATGGGCAAAGGAAACTCCCCCGGGGACCTTCCTTGGCCAAGGCGAGCAGGGCTAAAGAGCTTCCAGGGGGGTGCTGCTCCTCCCGCCCAGGGCGGCTGCTCCTCTCCTCCGGCCTCACCTTCCTACTTCCCTCAAGGGCAAGGAGTGCAGCGAAAGCAGAGCATGCCAACGTTGCACTTCTTGTGGGATATACACACACAGAGCACTCAAGTCCAACATTTCCTGTTTGTTTCTTGATCCTTCCATCATGTGTTGCATTTTGATGATCATGCTCTTAGCCAGCGGCACATGGCTCATCCTTTACAGAGGATTGAAGCCACAAGGTAGAAAGTTTGAAGCTTCTTTTCTCTGCAAATGTAACTGCAACTACAAGATAAAGCCTGACGTTTGAACAATATCATCAACTGAATGCAAGTAAACTTTGCCATTACTTAAAAAAAGAAGAAGACTGTCGTGTCATAATTTTTTAAGAGGAAACTAATGGGGAAATTTACCAGGAACAATCCAATCTGGACAAAGCCAGGCTGGATTACTCAATTTATATGATTCTAACGAATCCATCAACTTGCTTCCAGCAATATGCAAGGAAATGTGCTCTGCTACTACCTCACTAGCGTTTAGTGAAGAAGGATAATATTTAATCAATATATCCTCTCCCACTATCCACAACATTCCCCCACATCTGGCCAGTCCTGGTGGGAATCCTGAGTCCATTAACAGGGAGGGGTGGGAGACTCAAGTCTGTTATCTCTGCTTTCTTGAGAACACCTGTGCTCATGCTCCTCCTCTCATTCCTAACAGCTCTGGTTCTTCAACCAGAATCCTGAGAACTGCCCTCCAGAATATGTGTCTTCCAGAGCCGCCTTTACACCTGCCTCTCACGTTCAAAATGTCGGCCTGCCATTGCCTCCCCTTCCTCCAAGCTGTGGCCTATCACTTCACCTACCAAGAAATATTCAGCCTCCAAGCTTCAGCCTGTCACCAACTCAACAGTTCATAGCAAGGAGCCTGTCAGCCCCTCAAATCCCAGATCAAAATAAATTTCATTATTTTTAGCCTTCCGGAGGACTAACGTTTTTGTTGGGGGGGGGGGTAGCAATGTCAGAACTGGTCCATGCAATCGGAGAAAACCACCCTGGGAGAAGCAGATATGCAAGGAGGTGGCAGAGGGAAGTCTGCAGGGCAGCATTTCTGTGCATGCTCCTCCAGAATGAGGAGGGGGAAATTACCTAAAGGGCCCACCTTGCTTGAGGTTTTTTCCTTGCTTGCGTTTGCTTTTGGTTGGGGGGAGGGTTTCCACAGGTGAACTTCAGGGCAGGTTTTGTTTTTGTTTTGCATGGGGAACGGGGCAGTTTGGGAGGGAACACAGGGAAAAGGTCAAAAGGCCCAAGGATTTTAACTGCGTCGCACTCAGGAGTGTAACTTGGGACTGATTGGGCTGGATCTCCCACCGCCTGTGAACATTGGTCACCCTGGCTGCTTCGGGTGGGAGCCAGAGCCCAAGAACATGAGGAGTTTGGGGGCTCAAGTCTGCCAACCTGGTTTCATAAGAGCACTCCTGTGCTCACACTCCTCCTTACATCCCCAACAGCTCTGGTTCTGGACCTGCTGGGCAAAGGCACAAAGGGCGAATAATAAGAATTGTTCTCTGGAAGAGGTGTCCACCTCCAGACCCTTATTTACACCCACTGCTCTGCTTCCTATTTTAGCCAGCTAAATTACCCACCCATATCTGCATACCTTGTGCATTTTCCACTTATTTGCCATCTTAATTCAACTGTAAATATTCAACTGGTACTACCAACAGATAAATTTTTTTCCCCCCAACTAGGCTCCAGGGGTCTATTGAACTTCACTAGGCAACAGGAGCAAGAAATGGATTCACACATCTTCCCAGTTCCAGAAGAGACTCTCCGCCTCTACATTGTTTCTCTTCCCTCCACTTCACAGGGTTCCTCTAGCTCTGACAAGTATCTAGTCCTCAAGACGGGGCTGGTCAAGGGAGGGAGGAAAGCCAACACTTCTCTTCTGCAGCTCAAGGGATCCCACAACAAGGGATTCTGCACTGCTGTGGATCAGGGTCATTTGACCTGAGGAAGAGGACAGCCTTCAGCCCTTTCCAGCTGGATGTTTTAGAGATGATCTTCAAGGACGTCCTCAGAGAAGAGCATCACCGAAGCACACTGTCAGCCAGTCTCAACAGCCAGACCCAAAAATTTCTAGTTAAGAATACATTACACTCCTGTCTGCCATTCCTTTGACACCACTGAAGTTAGGAATGGCTGTGTCTATCTTTCCCATGCTGGAAGAGGATGTCCACCTCTGCTTAGAAGGAGAGTCCAGCACCTCCTCCATCCACCTCACACAGTCCCCTCCAGTTCTGCTGGGCCTCAAAGCAGAGAGAGTAAGGCAACCTTGCTAACCCAGCTTGCCCCTGGCAACTCTGGGCAACTGAGAGCCACTATAGCCCATTGGACCAGAGTGACAGGAATCAGAAGTCCAGTGTCTACGTCCCACTTCAGCTGGATGTCCTGGAGGAAGTATTCAAGGAGATTCTGGCTGTCCAAGGGAGAGAAGAGATGGCTGTCCCAGCCAGACTTACTAGGGCTTTTCAGAAGCAGAGTGCCTCCTATAATCACAGGTGGTCCTGGAGAACCTCTTTCAAGGGAGGCTAGTGAGCTGGTGGAGATTCCACAGGGTGCAGTTCTGGTGAATGGAGGTGAAATTCATTCTCCCGCTGCCTTGGGAGATGCACAAGATCTCAGTCTCCATCCTTTGGGCTTCAATTGAAGGAGTAGAGTTTTTAGAGCAGGAATGAAGCATCTGAAGAGAAGAATTTGTTGCAGAAATAAATTGGTGCTCCTTTAAATGCACATTCCAGGAGAATATGAGGTTCCATGTTCACCTAAAAGAAGCACAAAAGGAAAACAAATTATTAGGGAGGGTAATGAGATATGGCTTCCACTCACCTCAACATTGAAATGCAGGTGCCCTACAGATGACTAATTAAGCAGTATGCAAAATGTCCAAATAATACTATGTATTGATTATAGATGCCAAAGAAGATGGGAAGTAAAGATTTGTCCATGGTTTCATAGAAGCTAGAAAAAGCTGTGAGATTCTCAATATACCTATTTCTCTGTGAACCTTCTATGTTGTACTAGGACCAGCTCAAACTTACAAAAACATGTACTAAGTTGCTGGTGACTGGGAGATGAAACCACAGGTTTCTGTATTGCCTCAAGGTGTTCTGGCACTTTCGTCCACTCCCTCAGCCCTCTTTCATTCCTGGGACCCCTTCCTCCACCAACAGATCCTCAGTCCCGGGCTCATTATGCCAATATAGGGTCTACATTTTGCCCCCAACCCACGCCTCTTTCCTCACAGGAGTGAAACCTGGAACGCCAGACCCTCATCCTCCCCTCCTGCTCTCACACTCACTCACTGCCCTCGTTCACAGACCAGATACACACATCCCCACTTTCCCTAAAACACCCCCACGCCCTTCTCACACACTTACAACCGTCTTAATGAACCAGAATACCCCCAATGGATTCCTCACAGTCTCAGAAACAGCTCCCCATTTCTCCCCTCCCCACTCCTCTCATCCCCTTGGCATCGCCACTGAGCCCATGGGGAAAAGTGCGAATTGAAAGAGTGACGGGCTGTACACTAGATGAAATAAACTCAGTGTAGAGCCATCGGTTTCCTTGTGTTTAGTTCAACTCTTAGTAAAAAACAGTCAATCATCCAGTAGGAGTCCGTCGTGCTCCTCCCAAACCCCAGGCTATATATATTTTATTGACGCCATCAGTCACGCCTGATAGGCTGATTCAAACTTCCCTCCTGGAGCCGGATTGGACGGCTCCTAGGAGCCAATCAAGTTACTGCATTCTAGAATCCTACCTGCCTAAACAACAACAACATTGTTCTGGGATCCAAGCTCATCACATAACTCTAGAGCAGGAGAAGTCAATCACTCTCTTTCCATACCAACCCAACAAACAGCTAACTCCTGTCGACTCCAGCTTTTGGTCAAAAGCCACAGTGTTCTTGGGGAAAACACGCAGGTTGCATTCCAATAGTAGACCCTTTGCAACTAGTAAAGCTAAACCATCCATCCCCATTCATTTCAATGCGTTTCCCCCAAGAAAGACAGACATTCCTTATCACATCATAGTTTGACTGGGCTGGAGATTGGAGGAATTAATTCCTTTAGAAACAAAAAGCAGAACAATTCAGCAAACAGAATGTTAACGGCAACTATAACGTTTCCATTGCAGAGCACGGGGAGAAAAAAACCAGCACTTACTGCGGATCCTCGCGGTGGACTCAGCAACCTAGGCGCCCCAGCAGCAGTTTCTTCGCAAACCGAGGACCGGTTGAGTCTGCAGCTTTCCTCCCTGGAGAATATAAAGGGCTGAACCGGATTGGCCCCAATTAGGTCCAGCTGAACCGGATTAACCCAAATTGGATCCCGGTGTGTCCGGGAGAGGCTCCCTCCCGCAGCAGACAGGAAGGGGACGCCGATAAAGTGGCAGGTGACCCCTGCGAGAGCTCCGAGTGCCAGGACTGGGGCGGGGGGCGCTTTAAGGGGATGTTGTGCATACAATCAATGAAAAAGGGCCTTGCCTCCTCCCTGCAGTCTTTGCACCCAGGTGTGTCTTTTTGGCAGCCCAAAGGGGTTTATGGAAGGTGTGTCCCACGGAAGCGCGCCTAGCATCCTAGTCTCCACAGGTGAGCTTCTCAAGCTACCTAAACAGAGAAGCAAAGCCTGTTGAACTTCCGGGAATTAACTCTTGACTAATCAGGCTTAGGGTCGTAGTCGAAAGTGCACCCCCAAAGTTTCTCTATCTGACCCAGGCCATGCCTCTCTCTTCCCCATTACAATCTGCAAAATGGCACTGGACTACTTGGCAGGGTTGTTGTGAAGGCAGGAAGGTCCATGACTGCAACTTCTTCTACAGGCGTCTTCTATATATATACCTGTCTAGTTTGGGTCAATTATTTCTGCCATGGGAGCCAACTCCTAGAGGGGTCAAGAGGTTTTCGCTGCCCAGAAAGAAATATTTGAGGGGGTCGGTCCCTCCCAATAAAATTGATGCGCATTGCTATTCAAGTAGTGTGTGTGCACCATGTCATGTCATCGGTTATGCGGGGCGGGGCTTACCTGGGTCCCCCAATACTTTATTGAAATTGGCACCTCTGATTGCAGTGCTCTATTCAGACTAGTGGGGGAGCACCAGGGATGTCAAACTGAATAAAATAGGGGGGCAGGTAAGCCCCGCCCTGCAAAATCGACCACAGTACACGCACCCCATTTGAATGGCAATGCCCACCAACTTTGGGGGAGCAACCCCCTCAAATATTTTATTGTCGAGACCTGTACGGTAGGGTTGGCTGAAAGAGCAGGACTGGGTCAAGGCTATGAGGTTCATAATTCTATCCAGTTCCCCTTTATCAAACCACTAAGGCTGCAATGTTATACTTTTTTACCTAGGAGTCAGTCCCCCTGAGACAGTATGGGGTAGCGATGAGCGTGCTTGACTAGGAACTGGGTTCAAATTCCGCACACTCGCCTCCAAGCCTTGAAGCCCGCTGGGTAAATCAGGGCCAGTCACTGCGTCTCGGCCTAACCTACCTTGCAAGGTTGTTGCATGGATAAAATAGCAGAGCATGTATATACAGCACCTTGAGCTCCCGGGAGGAAAATGAAATAAACTCAGGAGGACATTCTGAGGGTGACAGCATTGTGCTAGGAAAGATGGCTGCTGCCCGTTCATTTACCAAAAACATTTCTATTTTGGAAACGCTTTGTAACATTTCCCCAGGAGAAGTTTTAATGAGGGTCGGGAGCGATAGAGAGAGATGGGGTGGGGGCTTGTCCTTCGCCCCTCCCTTAAACAGGGAGTCTCAACTACCCTGTAAGTTCGGGTTGGTTGGAAGAGCAGGAATGGTCCCAGATCAGCCAGTGAAGTTGATGGTTCTTCTCAGTTCCATGTTTTCAAACTACTAAGACGCATGCCTAGCAGGAGCGCCACTGCACTGTGCTGGAAAAGGTGGCTGCCACAGGGTCAATGTCAATAAGCAGTGTGCAGAATTTCCCCTTTTTATCAACGAATTACCCACGGAAATGAGACGCCTGGGTCCTGCCTTTATGTTTCAGGAATCTTTCCCTGCGATGTGGCCCAGTCATTTATGGAATCTTAAAGGCATAGCCAGAGAAAGGTGTTTGTTGAAACAATGTTATCGTATTTAGAGCTTATGCTTTTAACTTGTACGCCCCTTTGATGGCTTCACACTACAAAACAGCTAATAAATTTGTTAAGTAACAATAATTTAAAATAAAAACCGCTACCAATTCTCGATCTCACTTTGTTTGAAACCCATTTTCAAAACAGAGATGCAGTATGCACTTTTGTTACCCAATAAAATCTTTTGATAACTCTTTTTTAAAAAGGAGAAACCCATTCTCTCTAAAATGCCAACATTTATGGAATATTAAGGGCATAGCCAAATAAAAGGTTTTATTGTTTTCACAACTTATGCTTTTTATGTTCCTTTCTCTTTTTATCTTGTTCGCCGCTGCGATGTCTTGATGGTAGGTAGCAGCTTATAAATTTGTTAACTAATAATAATTTAGAATAGTAACCGCCGTCTCTGTTTCTTTAATCCGGATCACTCAAGAAGTTGCACCCCAATTCTGGATCTCGCTGTGCTTGAAATCCATTTTGTCGCAAATGCCAAACATTTCAGGTTCACACTGCTGTCCTTCTGACATTTTCCTCACTTGGGGACCCAAATTCCCTCACCTGAAAGGAAAGCCTCCCCCAAAGGCTTCCTTCATCCCCATTTAAAGCGGTCCCTATTTATCTACTTGCACTCGGGGGTGCTTTCGAACTGCTAGGTTGGCAGGCGCTGGGACCGAACGACGGGAGCGCACCCCGCCGCGGGGATTCGAACCGCCGACCATACGATCGGCAAGTCCTAGGCGCTGAGGTTTTACCCACAGCGCCACCCGCGGAAATACAACAAGCAAATAGTAAAAGAACCCATACAAGTAACGCTGACACAAAACCCCACACATACACAAAGCAGAATAGAAGCATAGCCCCCTCTTCCCCCCTGTTTTTTATTCTTTTCCTAACATAACAATGTATGCAACAGTAATGTCTCACAACAAATGAAGCTGATATGTAGAAAACACAACTTGAAAAAGAGACAACGCACTATTTTTGCAAACAAATTTTTAATTTTTAATTAAAAAAACTTCCTTCAAGTTCATGTGCTCAGGCACGTTCCATTAATATGGTTGCCAAGCCAATCAGCCTCTTTTGTAACATTGTTGAGCGTATGTAAGTTTTTACAAGTTTGAGCTCTGAGTAACTGCGCTCACCACTTGCCAATTGAAAGTGTGAGAAGTACGCCTTGTGGCAGCATAAACCTTCGAAGCCTTCGAGCTATTTATATAAAATAAAAGTAAAATATTGTCAGAAATTTGTAAGATTTAAGAAAAGCCAATCTATATAATACTGTGCTCCTCAAAGGTGTGTGCTCCTTTGAGGTCTCTCGCCCTAGGCGGCTCCCTCTTGGCTATGAATATGAACTTGGCTTGGGCGAGTCTATCCCGAGAGATTTCAGCCAGCTCTACATCAAAGCGGTCAATGAATATTTGGAGCACGTGAGAAGGGGGTTTACTCCTGTTATCTCTTCACTGAAGAAGACTGCACTGATCAAATCAGAATGGCCGGCAACCCGTTGCCAAGCCTCAGTAGCTGATTGCTCATTAGTACTTGAATAACTCCTCATTGCAACACATATCATCTTCCAAATCTGCATGGCTATGGAACTGATGGCGATGGTCTTATCTAGATCCGTGATGGGATAAGGGATGCCAAATGCAATAGATAAGGCCAAATTATTTTTCTGGGCTAGGTAGAGAATTTCTAAGAGAAACGTGATTCTTCAAAACCATCTTGAACACGCTCGCCTTGCAGTTTCAGCGAGGTCTACTTGGGATATTCTTCCAATTAACTCTGGTTTTAAAACGGCAGTCTGCATTGCAAATGGCTGCAAACCTCCGAACAATATCCACACCCAAACACCCCACAAATGGGAGTTTTCTCTCCTGGATGACAGGCAGAAATTCAAAAGGGCAGTTCTCTCTCCTACTCCATTCCACTCTTGATTTTTTTAAGTTAATATTTATTAACCAAAAAATTAAAACAAAAAAAACTACCTATGCAACCTTCATCCAATATCGAGGGGAGCTGGGGGAAGAACACCGCTATAGTTCCTGTATATCGGAGGCCGATTAGAATATAGATTACAGACCCCATGTAAATCTGTTTGCGGTAAAAGATGAGACGCTTAAGTTTGTGCAGTAAACGTTTGCTCCAGCATACTAAGGAAACAACCCGATTTATATCCCTTTAATAAGCGATTGTTTTGTTTTAAATTACCAACAACAGAAACTATATATTTAAGTTATAATGTTCTGTAAGATAAGTTAGGGTTGCCATATTTCAAAAGGTTGCTGAGCTGCTGCTGCTGCTTTTTTTTTAAGAAACCCTTTTAGAATAGTGATTTTAAGTTTTTTGAGTTATTTCCGCTGCTTTTTCCATCGCGTTGCCCTACAGCCGATTCGGCAATATTCCCCACCCCCAACGCCATTTTTACAGCTGAAAACCAGGACTGAACAAGACAAAGCTTTATTACAACTGATAACTAACGAAGCTACCATTCACATTTTTAAAAACCTGCAAGAAATGTGTTATTGGTTAATGAACTTCCCTGGGTGGAAACAAAATAAAAAATAAATAAATTCCTTCCAGCAGCACCTTAGAGACCAACCAAGATTGTTATTGGTATGATCTTTCGTGTGTATGCACACTTCTTCAGACAGGAAAGCTCATACCAATAACAAACTTAGTTGGTCTCTAAGGTGCTACTGGAAGGAATTTTTTTATTTTTATTTTTATTTTGTTTCGGCTACAGCAGACCAACACGGCTACCTACCTGTAACTAGTTCCTTGGGTGGGTTAGAAGACTTTCCCCAAACATTATGTGGTTTGTGCCATCCTTGAACTTTCACTGGCCTTCTCAATAAACACACCTCAATATGCATTTCGAGGGCATTTTATGTCCAATGTGGGTTTTTTGTTTCCAAGAGGAAAATGCTAAATTGTACTGTACCTTGTTGAAATTTGGGAATACAGTATAGACGGACTTCTGTAGCAATGCCTTAGAAGGATTACCCTGAAGGTCCACTTATATGTACCGCACAATGTTGTTGTGAGAATAAAACGGCAGGAAGAAGAACCATTTTCAGTTCATTTTGGGGGGGGGAGTGGGAATATAATGCAAATGTGGGAGTACTGGCAGAATGTTTGCTTCAAAAGTCATTCTCGCCCTGCCCTGCCTTATTTTACCCTCAGTTGCTGCCTTGGTCTTTACTGGAGCAGGAAAACTTTCAAAACTTTTGAGCTGCTACTGCTGCTCAAACCTTCACCAAAGCAATTAAACTGTGTGTGAATAAAGTACAACAGTAGTTGACCCAATCTGGACAGGTATAAAAAACACCTTCCTGCCCCCGCAACAAAGACCCATCGAGGCCAACAACATCCTCTTCTCACTGGGGCCAGTCAGGGGCCCATAGAGAGCTAGAAACTACGTGCTCTCCACACCGGCGACTCCCAGCAAACTGAGAGTCAAAGGCACGGCGTCTTTTACACAGAATGTAGCCCCCTACCTATTTAAACCTTAGCTCAACCTTCCCCCCCTTCCAATCCCTAGGGAAGAGGTGGCGAAGCTGGAGCCCTGAAGATGTGTGGGACTCCATTGCCTCTGACCACTGGTCATGCTGGCTGGTCCCGATGGGAATTCTAGTCCACCCACACCTGGAGAGCCCCCCCTCTCTGCATCCCTGCCACGGACTGCCCCGCCAGCCCCTAGAAAGAGTGATCCGGGCTCCTGGGGTTGTTCTTTGCTGCCTACCCCCCACCCACCCATCTTCCAGATCGGGACTCCGGGGACGCATCAAGTGAAAGGCCAAGGTGCGGATTCCCCGTTTGTTGGGGGGTGGGGAAATAAACAACTCCCCATTCAACAGTTTCTGCTTGGTTTCATGAACCTCGCTTAGCATTCCGTTGCAATCCAGATGGCGCTTTTGTCAGCACAATCGCTAGGCAGCACCTTGTTTGCAGCTACCTCCTGGCAAATAGAAGGGGAAGAAATGGAGGCAGTGAGAGATTTTACTTTCTTGGGCTCCATGATCACTTCAGATGGTGACAGCAGCCACGAAATTAAAAGACGCCTTCTTCTTGGGAGAAAAGCAATGACAAACCTACACAGCATCCTAAAAAGCAGAGACATCACCTTGCCAACAAAGGTCCGTATAGTTAAAGCTATGGTTTTCCCAGTAGTGTTGTATGGAAGTGAAAGCTGGCCCATAAAGAAGGCTGATTGCCGAAGAATTGATGCTTTTGAATTATGGTGTTGGAGGAGACTCTTGAGAGTCCCATGGACTGCAAGAAGATCAAACCTATCCATTCTGAAGGAAATCAGCCCTGAGTGCTCACTGGAAGGACAGATCGTGAAGCTGAGGCTCCAGTACTTTGGCCACATCATGAGAAGAGAAGACTCCCTGGAAAAGACCCTGATGTTGGGAGAGATGGAGGGCACAAGGAGAAGGGGACGACAGAGAACGAGATGGTTGGACAGTGTTCTCGAAGCTACAAACATGAGTCTGACCAAACTTAGGGAGGCAGTGGAAGACAGGAATGCCTGGCGTGCTCTGGTCCATGGGGTCACGAAGAGTCGGACACGACTAAACGACTAAACAACAACAGCCTAGCTGTTCTGTCCGTGCGATATACAGGGATGTGGGCGCGTGATCCTTGCTATTTATTACATTTCTCTATTGCTATCTTTGATGCAGATCAGGCCAGCTCGACCAACAGCGATTCCAAAATACTGTATACACAAGATACACTCAAAAATAAGGAGGAAAACTTGGAAAAAAAGATCTCCCCGAGGTCCTTAGGGGGGCGGGGGCTCACCTTCCGCTCCAGGGGGCACCTTGGCTCCGCCCCTCTCCCCAGGGAGGAGGACCAATGGCTGAGCTGGGAGATCCCGCCGACGCCCTTTCGGCGGCCTAGAAAAGGACCGCCCGCAAGTCTTGCGCCCACATTTCAGCCGCACCACCCGAGGAGAGCAGCGGGAGATGGCTTTCCGCGCCTTTCAGAACGACCTTCCCCTCGCTTCGCAGCAGCCACCTGCTCCTCTTCCCTCCTCTTCCTCCGGCTCCAGTAAGTATCTCAGCTTCGAGGCCAAGAGCGGCGTCAGATGGGGGCGGGCAGGGGGCAGCTTAGGGAAAGCGCAGCCAGCTTAACGCCCCGCTTTTCTCCTCTGCAGAGATCAGGACGGCGCGCCGCCGTCTTCGCTCATCGGACCGGAGGCCGAGGTTTGAGTTCTCGGACTTCCAGCTGGACGTTCTGGAAACCACGTTTAAGGTGCGACCGAAGCCTGGTCACTATAGGAGAATGTTGCTGGCCTGCCTCACTGACATCCCTGAGGATCGCATCCAGGTGAGTTGCGGGGGAAGAGATGGTCCGGGAGGGAGGACCCGATTCTGCCGGGAAGAAAGGCGAGAGGGGAGGACGTCGGGTAGGGTTTGGGGGCACAGGAGGAGAACCGATCGGGAGCTCCCTTCCAGCTCTGCCTCTTGCAGCTCCTCGAGCCTGGGCGCCTTTCTTGGGACGCCCGTCCCCTGTGCTCGACGGGCAAGGGAAGCTCCCCCGGGGACCTTCCTTGGCCAAGGCGAGCAGGGCTGGAGAGCTTCCCGGGGGGCGCTGCTTCTCCCTCCCAGGGCGGCTGCTCCTCTCCTCCGGCCTCGCCTTCTCACTTCCCTCGTGGCGCTCGCTCTCCTTCCGCGATCGGCCCCCACCCAGACCTGGTGTCGCCGACGGGGCCTTCTGGGAGCCCCGTGGGTCCTTCCCGCTCCCTCCCGGCTGGGTCTCGGGGGTCCTCTTCCGGGCTGGGGACCAGCGGCCTCCTTCGGGGGAATGAATGAGGGCCCCCTCGGCATTTTGTTCGAGGGGAGGGAAACCGCCCAGGAGAAACAAATATGGCGGGAGGGAGGCCTCTTCCTCTCCTCTAAGGGCGTGGAGATGGCGCAGGGAAGGCTGCAGGGCCCTTTTCTGGGAGGCCCGAGGAGACCCCCTCACGGAGCCACCTTCGAGGTCTTTAACTTGCTTGCGTGGGGGGCTGATGAATTTCAATTCAGGTTTTTTCCCGTTGCATGGGGAATTGGGCCAGTTTAGGAGGGAACATAGGGGAAAGGATAAAAGGCCCAGGGATATTATTGTGATTGAATTCAGTGTGTGGGACTTGAGACTGGATCCCCCATGATCTGGCCCCTTCTGGTGGGAATCCCGAGTCCAATAACATGAAGAGATGGGGGCGGGGGTTTCTTGAGAACACCTGTGCTCATGTTCCTCCTCTTATCCCTCACAGCTCTGGTTCCGGAACCGGCGGGCAAAGGCGCGGAGGGCAAATTGTGAAAATTGTCCTCCAGAAGATGTGTCCTCCAGGGCCGGCTTTACACCTGCTGCTCAGGTTCCAAATGTCGGCCTGCCAGTGCCTTCCATTCCTCAAAGCTGCAGCCTGCCACTGCACCAGGTCCAGCTTCCAAGCTTTGGCCTGCAGCCACTTCACCAGGTCCAGCCTCCAAGCTTTGGCCTGCAGCCACCGCACCAGGTCCAGCCTCCAAGCTTTGGCCTGCAGCCACCGCACCAGGTCCAGCCTCCAAGCTTTGGCCTGCAGCCACTGCGCCAGGTCCAGCTTCCAAGCTTTGGCCTGCAGCCACTTCACCAGGTCCAGCCTCCAAGCTTTGGCCTGCAGCCACTTCACCAGGTCCAGCCTCCAAGCTTTGGCCTGCAGCCACCTCACCAGGTCCAGCCTCCAAGCTTTGGCCTGCAGCCACTTCACCAGGTCCAGCCTCCAAGCTTTGGCCTGCAGCCACTTCACCAGGTCCAGCCTCCAAGCTTTGGCCTGCAGCCACCGCGCCAGGTCCAGCCTCCAAGCTTTGGCCTGCAGCCACCTCACCAGGTCCAAGCATGGAATCAGCACCCCCAAATGCTGGATCAAAATAAATTTTGTTATTTTTAGCCTACCAGAAGACTCTGTAATGTTCTGTCTCCTCCAGGGCCGGCTTTATACCTGCTGCTCAGGTTCCAAATGTCAGCCTACCATTGCCTTTCCTTCCTCAAAGCTGCAGCCTACCACCTCCTTGCCAAATCTCAGCATAGAGCCTGTCAGCCCCCCAAATCCCAAATCAAAATAAATTATGTCATTTTTAGCCTAACAGAAGACTCTGTAATGTTTTTGTTGCGTGAGAGGGGGAGCAATGTCAGAAGTCAGTGCAGTCAGAAGTCTTGTGGGTGTCCTTGGGGCAGTTATTTGCTCTCATCTCCACTTTAAACCATGCAGGTGTGAGAATGTTGCGGATAGGAGAGGATGTATTAATTAAATATTATCCTTCCTCTCTCATGCTAGTGAATTATATGGCAGAGCTCATTCCTCTTTACACAACAGGGGGCTAGTTGCAGATTCATTTGAATCTCTTTAGTCAAACAATCCAATCCAGGCATGCTTTAGCTTGTAATTATAGACTATACTACACTACACTGTAGTGCAGCTTCCATCTTTGTATGGGTGGGACCGTGTGCTTCTGGCAGAGAGCCAGCAGACTGCATCAGAAGCGCTGGCATAAATGGAAGAGAGTGGCAAAAAAGAAAGATGGTTGTGTGACTGGCCCCTTTGTAGGGTCTGCAAGGTCACATGCGGGGGGAGATGTACCAGACCTGGTGCAACAGGAAACTCTACCTTGGCTGGAGTAACATCCCCGTGTCTGTGTCCGCTCTAGGGAAACAGAGTCATGAGGAGGAAGCACCTCATCTTGCAAACAAGGAGGGCAGGTGGAATTTTTAAGAGGTGGCTCAATAATCATCCCAGGGCCTGGGTGTGGGGTCCAAGAAACCTTGTTTTTATTTTGCCAACTACATTGTTTTCCTGACCTTCCTTTCAGGGGATCAAAGCGGCATACAAGTGTATAAAATAGAATCCCTGGTGGGGAAAGAGATGGGAATTTATGGCAGAAATAATAGCCTAAGGCAAATAATAGCATGGCGAAACTTGGCCCTCCAGCTGTTTTTGGACTACAACTCCCCTCATCCCTAGCTAACAGGACCAGTGGTCAGGGATGATGGGAACTGTAGTCCCAAAACAACTGGAGGGCCAAGTTTGGCCATGCCTGGCCTAAGGCAACTCAATGAGCCAATAGCAAAGATTCTGAAATGTTGCTTTAAAATCTTACTTTTCCTTGCTTGCAGCAGAGAATGTGGCTGGGTTATGTATGTAGCCTGTTCTTCTGATATTGCCAACATTTTATAGAATTATTTCCACATATGGAGTCATTCACCACCACCCCTGGTCTAGCTTTTGCACCTTTTTCAACTCTCCCTTTCCCCCTCTCCATTAAGCCCCTGTATATACTCCTTGTGTGTTCTATGACAAACTGTGGTTTAGGGGTGGGTTCAGGAGAAGCTTGGGGGTGGGGGGAGAGAAACCTCTTGCTCTTCCTTTGCGCTTCCTGCCTGACTTAACACACGGGAGAAGTGCTGGCTGTCCAGCGAAAGGTGGTGGCGGCTGCTGCCCTGTGCAGGAACTTGGCCTCCACTCAGCTCCTTCCCACAATGAAGGCATTGGGCAAAGGTTGGGTCTAACCTCAAAGTGCCCACAGACTTCCAGTTCCTCACTGCTGCAGTGGCGGCTGCAGCAGGGAGAGAGGTGGCAGAGATGACCTGTAGCCATTGTATCCCCTGTTGCTGTTTGTACCAATGAATGTGCATCCTTATCTTGCTAAGAAGCCATGCCTGACGCACCACCCAGTGGATCCCTAGGTCCTATTGGACAGGTGAGAGAAGAGCAGTCCAGTCATAGGCAGGTCCAGATAAATAGCCCTGAGAAGGGAACGCACTGGCTGCTGCCTTGCCCTCTGCTGAAACTGTTATTCCATAGCTCTCAATGACCATGACAAAGAAACTAAATAAAAATGATCAGGCAGTAAACATTATTAAAGCAAGCCCATTTTATTGACATAAAAATTACCAGCAGAATTTGCACTTTATTAAATTTCTATGCCACCCTTTATTCAAGGATCACAAAGTGGTTTAGAATACAAAAATATATAAAATAGTAAGAAGCTGGCGTATATTGTTTGTTACTATGCTATGCATTTTTGTGTTTTCTGTTTTGTAAACTGCCCTGTGAGCCCTAGTCAAAGAGCAGTACAGTACAGAAATTTAATAATAATCTTGGCAGACCATGAAAGCCCCCGCCCCCAGCTTCTCTGCTCAGTTCCTTCCCTGCCACCAGGCAAGAGGAGTGAGAAATGAATTCACACATCTTCTTGGTTCCAGAAGAGTCTTCACCTCTGTTGTTTCTCTTCCCTCCACCTCAGAGTTCCTCCAGTGCTGTTCAGCATCTAGTCCTCAAGACAGAGTGCTGGCCCTCTCCATGTCAAGGGAGGGGGGAAAGTGAACCCTGACAACCCACTTCTCTTCCGCAGCTCGGGGAATCCCACAACAAGGGATTCTGCAAGTCCCCAAACCCGATCACCACCGGAGCACACTGCTGGTTGGCCTCACTAGCAGAATTGCTTCCAGGTGCACAGAGGAGGAAGGGTGAGAAGGGTGGGAGGGAGTGGAGGTGGGAAGAGTCGCTTCTCCAGAGGTGACCTGGAGCCCTGGAACCCTTTCACCTCCAAAGGCAGGTGAACTGAGCTTTACTAACCCCACTTCCCCTTTGCAGCCCAGAACAACTCAGGACCTTTTGTCCTGGAGGCTGAGTGAGTCTAGAAAGTGAGAACCAGCCTGACCCCAAAATTTATCAGTTAATACATGACTCCTGTCTGCTGTCCAATGCAGACCTATTAGGGCTTCTCAGAAGCACAGAGTGCCTCCTATAATCACAGGTCCACAGTCGGTCCTGGAGAGCCTCGTTCAAGTCTTTCAAGGGAGACTCTGGTCTGGTGCAGCTGGTGGAGATTCTAGAGTGTGCTGTGCAATTCACCCTCCCTCTTCCAGAACCGAAGAGTGAAAGAGTGGAAGGCAAATGCTTGGAAGATCCCTCCTGCAGATCCCTCCAACGTGGATCCCCTGGGCCAACTGCCTCCCTAGCATCCAGGGTGCAACCTGCCTCTTGTTCAAGCTCCAGAGGAGTATTTTCAGATCACGATGATGGCGCCTGAATGATATAAACTTCATGGACTGCAATGCCACCACTGCACCTTGTTTAAACCCGCAATAAACCTTGCATTTTGAAAGTGTTCTCTGGGCCAAATTCCAAAAAGAGCCAAAGCACCGATTGCCAACCAATCTTCTCTTCTGCAGCTGGTGGCTGTTGGGAGCCGCAGTTTCCGTCGGGCTGGGCCGACATCACACCAGGAAGACAAAATAAAACATCCAGACCTACAGGCAGCACCAGAAGCCACCTTCAAGAAAAGCCTGTGTCCCACCTACGAGAAGCAGGCGACCCTAGTACAACACCTGAAGCTGCAACAGGGTCGCATGAAGGAAGCGTGCAGGCTGCCTCTTGTTCAAGTTTCGGAGGGGTTTTTTGCGTTCGCGATAACGGAGAGTCAGCTGAGGGCTACGGTTCTGCCACTAGACCATGTTTGATCCATCAAGTGAAGGTGTGCAGGTGGAAAGTGGTGCAAGACCCTCTGCTGCTTCCTGCGGGCCACAGAATGGCAGTGCTGCAAAGGACGACAAAGAGAACAGGAAAGAGTGACCAAAGGTGTATTCAGGTCACCTCAACATTTAAATTCAAGTTTTTGAAAGTTTGTGCACTAAGTTTGAGCTAGTTTAATGAAAAATGGGAAGATTCACGGACAAACAGGCATATTGGGAGCCTCACAGCTATCTCTAGCTTCTATGAAAACAGATGGACAAACCCTTACTTCCCATATTCTTTGGGATCTATAATCAATACATGGTATCATTTAATTGGGCATTTTGCATACTGCTTAAATAGTCATGTCCAAGGCACCTGAACTAAATTGTACCATATGTGAGGTTCCCAATGTGTCTGTTTCGCTGTGGATCTTCCCTTTCTTTAACTAGCACATTTTTGGTGAAATATATAAAAAAATAAAATTGTCCAGTCGCACCTTAGAGACCAACTAAGTTTGTTCTTGTTATAAGGTACCTACACGGCTACCTACCTGAATTTTTTTTTTGAGTTTGAGCTAGTCTAAGTGGCTGTTGATGGGGAGATTAAACCACACGTTTCTGTATTGCCTCAAGCAGTTCTGGCACTTTCGTCCACGCCACCTAGCCATCCTGTCCCACTTTCCCCAAGAAACTCCCTTCTCACACACAACCGCCTTCATGAACCAGAATACCCCAACGAATACCCCAGTCTCAGAGGCAGCTCCCATTTCGCCCCCTCCCCCCTGGCGCCCCCACAGAGCCCATGGGGGAAAGTAAGTCGGAATTCACAGGGTGACGGGCTGTAAACTAGAGCAGGAAAACTCACTCCACATCCAGCAAACCTCTCCACCTGCGGAAGAGGTTAGATAAACAGCTAACTCAGATGGACTCCAATTGCAGATCCAAGCCACATTCATTAGCACCCCCCATAGTTTGACAGGGATGGAGATTACAGGAACTCACAATTTCAAGAATAAAAAGCGAAACTGTTCAGCAAACAGAGCTATAACATTTCCATTGTGGAGCACGGGGAGGGAAAAAAAATCAACACTTACTGCGGATCCTCGCGGTGGACTCAGCAACCTAGACGCCCCAAGAATATAAAGGGCTGAACCGGTTGGACCTGATTGGATCCCGGTGTGTCCCGGGAGAGGCTCCCTCCCGCAGCAGACAGGAAGGGGACGCCTCCGTTTTTCAGGGGACGTCAATAAAGTGGCAGGTGACCCCTGCGAGAGCTCCGAGTGCCAGGACTGGGGCGGGGGGCGCTTTAAGTGGATGTTGTGCATACAGTCAATGAAAGAGGGCCTTGATGCCTCCCTGCAGTCTCTGCACCCAGGTGTGTCTTTTTGGCAGCCCAAAGGGGTTTATGGAAGGTGTGTCTGTAGGGACTTCCTTCCTCCCTCGTAAGCCCGCCTAGCATCCTAGTCTCCACAGGTGAGAAGCAAAGCCTGTTGAATTTCCTGGAATTAACTCCTGACTTACCTGGTTTAGGGTCATAGTCGAAGGTGCCCCCCCAAGAGGGGAAACTTGAATCTGCAAGGCAGGATCGGAATACAGCAGTTGACTCTGTGCCCGATATACCGTCTCCAATCATGCAATCTCATCTTGTTCGCGTAAATGAGAGTCTAAAATACGATTTTACTAAATACACGCACGCAGAGAGAGAGAGAGAGAGACAGCGAGAAATGGAGCAAACATTCTGTTCCGTGTTCTCTGGAAGCAGCCAGCAGGAATGTTCCGACTGAAATCCAGTTAACTGGGAGTAAATCTCATGGGCTGCAGAATCCTTGGGTTCCTGGATGCCCGAGCACCCACAAAATTCCTGATGAAGGGGCAGGGCACGCACAAATTTCGGTGCCAGGGCCATGCACGCTGCACGGCACCCACGGCCCGGGGCACTCACCTTCGCGGGGCCAAGTTGGCACTCCTGTTGATGCGCATCAGTCTATTATTTTTAATTTTTCGAAAGTTTTAAATGATTGTTGTGGTTTTTCCTTAGTGACAATTCTATTATTTTATCTTTTTTTTATAAACCGCTTTGAGTTTTTTTGTTGTTTCTTTTAAACAATCAAACCATGGGTGTAGCCAGGAGTTTTGTTGGGGGGGGGCAGGACTTTGTTAGGTGCGGCAGGACTTTTGTTAGAGTGGGAAGAACCAACGTGATTGGTCAGTTATTGTTTTACTTGATCTAGGGAGGGCAGCTGCCCCCCGGCTCCCCCTTTGGCTACGCCCGTGAATCAAACTATGTATATTTTATGACATTAGTAAATAAATAGCAGACTCTTTCTTCGGGGCCCGTTCTTAAGATGTCCCTTCTCAGGTTCATTCCTAAAACCTTGCTTTCCCAATGCTGGAGGAGTGTGGAAGGGGTTAGGCTGGGGCCGAGGTTGTCTGAAGTGGAGGCATGGGGAGGAAGGGAGAGGAGAGCCCCAAAATCGCTTGGCTGTCTATAGATCAGCCTCAAAGCGGCGCACGATAAAACAAAAAGAAGTTCAGTTAAAATCAAAACCCCAAAATCTAATCCAAAGCCAGAAGAGCAGCAAAGCGTTGACAGATCAGGCCCGGCGGTTGCCTCCTGGCTTAAGCCCCGCCCCCAACCCCCCCCGGGGGAGCCAGTGACGGAGACGGGACCACGCCCAATTTGGGCGGTCCATAAAAGGGCCCCGCGGTGCCTCTGCGCCATTCATTCATTTCCACCGGCGGGAAACGGATTCGCGCATCTTCCCAGGTTCGAAGAGGCTCGCGACTTGGCGGGAGAAGGCGGCCCTCTGGCGGGATGTGCCGACGGACGTCGATCTCCCAGGTCAAGGGGTCCCGAAGCCCGACCACCACCGGAGAACGCTGTTAGCGTGCCCCACCGACCCCCGGATCCAGGTGCGTGAGGAAGACTCGGGACGAGGCGAGGATGGAGGAAGACCTGGTTCTGCTGAGAACATAGCCAACTCCTCGGGGCTGAGGTCCCTTCGGCTACATGGGCGTGGCCATGGGGGGTAGGGGGCAGCTGCCCCCCAGCAAGTAAATCCATAAGAATACTTACCTATCTGAGGTTCTGCCCCCCTCAACCTGAAGCCTAACAGAAATCCTGACCACGCCCATGCTCCCCTAACATATTTAGGGGGGGGGGGCAGAACCGAGTTAGCTGCAACACTTATTCTTACTACTTCTCTCTCCCTGCCCCCAAGTTATTTAGTCCTTTAGTGTTGTAAAACTGAAAAACAAAGGGGTTGTTCCAGGCTGTCACCGTTAAAAGGGGATGCAGAGCCTGGCTGAGAATAATGGGAGTTGTAGTCTAAAACAAGGGCACTGGGTTAGTGAAAGCTGATTTAAGCAGATCAAACCAATTCCAGTTAATAGCACCACTGGTGGTGGTTATGTTAGTTTGGTTTGCCTGGAGTTGACTTGGGAGAAAGACACACTGAAGAAATTCTATTGTGAATATGACTCAAGATTGTATACTTTGAGAAATACACACAACATAGACCTCTTGACAGCAGCAGTTATAGTAGCAAATGAAGATTAAAAGCACAAATCTTATAAAATCAAAGTGGTTATTTCACAACCAAATAAGGAGTCAGGTCCTAGGATTTCCACAGGATTGTACAAAAATACAAATTGTTCCTCTTTGTGAGAGGAGCTGAACCTTGGAAAGAAACCACATACACATTGATCTTTTCCTGACCTCATTGTCTATGAAAAAATGAAGAGGTGTTTTACTACTGTTCTATCCACTAACATTGGCTCAGGCAACCCCCCCCCCCAAATAACAAAATTCAATTTTATGGTTATTTTATGCCACCAATGGTTTTGTTTCCATAATGAAAATGTTATGTGGTAACTGGCTGAAATTGGGGACATTGTGCTAGGTCTACTATGTGGTTGCTGCTGGGTTTTGCAATCTAGCAGCATATACATTCTATGAAATAAATATATAAATTGCAGTGAAAAATACACCGGGGAGTCTTTCACCCCCCCCCCCAAATTGGATGAAGTTCAAAGTCCATCTAAACATTCTCCACCACCTGTGCACACACCTTCCAAATCACCAGGCAAAAATGAATTTCTGAAAATATATTAACTAAACGTTTTAAAACTATTTCAGGCCTAATGCTCATGTTTCGCAATTTTAGTAAAACATTACAACTTACATAACTCAATGAGAATAAAAGATTTATGCATTTCTTAAAAGAACAGGTTTTGCTAAATATAGACTCTGCAGTTAAGTTTTGAAGCAGCACAAATACACACACAGAATACAGAAGCATTTTTAAAACTATACAAAATTTTAAATTGAAAATAATTGTTTACATTTTCTTTTTACATTAACATACAAAAGACCTCATTTTATGAGGCATGAAAGAATCAAAACATTGCTACAGCTATCTAAAAATTCAAATCTGGAAACAATTTATTACACTGAAGCTTTACAAGTCTATTCTAAATAAACAACTCAATACACCCTTTTTACAAGATTGATACTTCTGTGTACTCCTCAGATCTTTGCTTTTTATTTTTATTTAGGCAGTTCAGGGGACTGGCTATCCAACTGCATCATGAACTCTGTTAATTGCTTGATAAGCAGGTATCTAGTTTAAGTTTGTGCAACAAATCAATGGAAAAATATTACCAGTTATTTGTGTGAAATACCTTAACTAGAACACTTTGCCCATTATGGAGGGGGAAAAGCAAGTCATATCAATTTCTGGGAATTCAGCAGTCCTTTTCTACTCCTTCATTAGATTACTTTTATAAGTTATGATAAATAAAGACATTCAAACGATATTAATTGATTTACAGGGATTCCCAGTATCCACAAGTGTACAATAGCTACCTACCCACTCCCATTCCTTTGCATATCCTGCTGCCACTTTGCGAAAACAGGAATACACACTGCTTTTTACCAATCACAGTACTCTTCAGAAACTAAAATCAAAAGGCAGTGAGACACAAGTACTAGGCTTTCAAGAAGAGATTGCTATGCAACCTCTGTGTCACTTCCTTCTTCAAAACAGCTCTCAATAGTTGACAGAATAGTTGCAAATAAATTTAAAAGAAAAGTATTCTTGCTTCACATTATAAGAAAACAGGTCTGTATAACTTTCAGTTCAAAAACAACATACCTATGTACTTTTATAACTAAAGGTTAGCTGTTAAACAAGATACTGTATGTGCATAGCAAGTGATGAAGTCTATAGCAATGCTGGTAATTTTATGCTGGTTTCTTCAGAAGCAGTACAATGGATCTCAAAATATCCTCTTTTCCTATTTCTTCTAGCAGTTAGGATATTTGGTGAAGCTTATATAAGAAGGCTTTTTCATAACTACATTCTGTACACTTGGACGAAGGTGAACGTTTCTTTCAGTCTCTGTTGGTGTTATTTGCAGCAAAGGCATGTAGATTTCCCATCTGGCTGAGGCCACTCTGGATGTGTGCAACGTGGATCTCAACGTTATTTTGAAAACAACTAAAGAAAGAAAAAGTTTTCGTTTGTCAGCATCTCTGAAATGTTCAACATACTGAATGTATTACAGTCTTTCAGTATACACCCCCCTCCAACGTATTCTACTGCCCCTGCTACAGTGAGATCTCACCGCCCCCAACATTGAGTGTGTTCAGGACTTTTTTTTAAATCTGTCCTGGCTTTGGGGATATAAATGTTTTTAAACTCTTGCTGCTGTTTTAAATTATTTTTTCTAATTATTGTTATAATGTTGTTACAGAAAGCTTGTATTATAAGCTACCCCTGGGCTCTGCCCCCCCTTTTAAAAGGCAGATGTATAAATATAAATAAGCACACCAATAAATAAAACACTACAAGATATTACCTGATGTTGGTGGAATCTATGGAATTTTTGATGTCGTTTAATGAATCTGTTAAAGACTTAAACTCAAAGGAGTTTAGATCGCCTCCTTCTGCTAGACACTAGAAGAAAAGAAATTTTAAAAAATAGAGGTTCAGGAGCTAATACATGTTACAGCTGTTTACAAAATCCAAAAACTGTGGAAACTGCTCTGCCACTTTGTGCATCCTGCTTGTGTGGCGTGGGAGACTAAAGGAGGTTAGTGGACATTGATGAGGTCCTCAGAGGGTGCATAAACAGTAAGGGAGCACTACAGACTAGGTTCTGAGAAGGAAATGTAATGACAATCCAAGTCCCTCTGAAAATTGCTGGGGTGGTATGTATGGGGGAAGTTAGTTATTAAGGGTAGCAGACTTCCACACTTTTCTGAGGCCAGCATTACTGTTTCAGCATCGGGGACAAGGACAGGGGGAGTGAGCATATTACAGTATGCATTTTCATTCTCTCAGTACCATTTACCTTAATCTGCAGTAATATTGCTGTAAGCCTAGCAATCAAATCTGTCAGGTTTTCATTCTGAACACACGGCTGTCCTGTTGTTGATGTATTTGACTGTCTGACAATTTCCTGAGCTTCTTCTTCACATCTCCGTCTCAGATCTGTGGGATGGTCTGCAGGCTGTAGACCCTGATCTGGGGCAAGCTGGGAGATAAAATGAACATAGATCAAATTAGATTTCATCTGCCAAGAGTTCATCCAGGTTCTATATTCTAACATTATCGCTGACTTATATTCTGTTTAAAACTGAGAGGTTATGCTATCTAATGTAACAGTATCTGACTGAACAAGTTTTGCATTTGAACATTTTAAAAACACCACCACTCCATTAGGGACAGTAGCAGAAAATGGTAGTGTATAAAACTAATAGAATAGTGTCCAACGCTTCAGACTGCAGATATGGGATGCAATTTTTAATGACCCCTACACTTTAAAAATCCCTTCAAGCAGAAAACTAGCATAGAGTGGGCTGGAATAAGAGCTCTCTCGCTGATATACTAGCTTTTTATTTGTGGGGAAGCAATTAAATAGCATCCTTCACCTGCAATTTCAGTTGCTACTGTCCATTCTACCATATCAGAGACTTACTACCTCATTCTCTTGCATATGTATATCAGTTAAGTATTTCATTCAGTTATGTAGAAAATATGTGAAGAGGCTTCTAAACAGTTGAAGCAATATCAGTCAAGGTGAATTGGAAGAGTCTCTCTCTCTCTCTCTCACACACACACACACACACACGCACGCAGAAATGGGAACTGCAAAAAGTAAATGTTGCAGCAAGAAATGTCCTTAGTTTCATATGACCATGCCCTCCTCTTCTATGATTCCGTGTTCTATTCCCCCAATTGACACTCAGTATTCTGTGGTTACTGAACATGCTCAATCCTCATTGGACTGTTTGTGAGTTTTGGTTTTCTCTCTCTCAAGTTTCTACTAAAGACCTCTGCAAATGTAAGGCTTCTGCTGAGTGCGCCAATACTGCTCTCTTTCTTTGCAGTGGCCTCCTTTTGCTAGAGAAAGTAATGAAATCTCTAGAATCATATACCAACAGATATCCAGGCAGAAGTGATTCAATTATTACCATATTAATCCCCCCTCCATTCTTTTCTCAAAAAATATTACAGATGGTGGAGAGCATAAGGCCTGTAGTATTTGAAGCTCCCATTGTTCTAAGCGCATTTTGCGACAGGGAATTTCATTAGCGTGAGCAGTTTCTGAGCTCTGGGCGCAGTACTGTGCCTAATATTTCAGATTAAAACTGCCACAGTTGAAGAGACCCTCTTAAGAATATTAGGGGAGTGGGCAGGGGGACGACTAGACCATGTGAAAATTGAACATAAGATTTTAGCTGCAGTTCATTCATTTTCAGCTTTGTATTCTTGTTATAAAAGAGCGTGCCTAGACATTCCGTTGTTGCACCCATAACCAAGGTTTACGGTCCCATTTAGCTCCTAGCTTTCATATCTCAGTTTCTAACACCGTCTACCCCAGTGGTGGTCAACCTTTTTATACCTACCGCCCACTAATGCATCTTTCTTGATGGTAAAATTTCCTTACCGCCCAGCAGTGCTTGATGGAACGAGGATTCAGCCTGTGCCGTAGAACCCCCTACCGCCCACCTAGAATCCTGAAGCACCCACTAGTGGGTGGTAGGGAACCAGTTGACAACCCCTGGGCTACCCACTGGAGAGTGGCACTGTACGAAACAATGCCTTAATTACTAATATGAAAGAGAACAGTTCCCTATGCCTGCAAGTCATGGCAGCGTAGTGTAGTGGTCAGTGTGGGACTTAGACCTGGGAGACCAGGGTTCAAATCGCTACTCAGCCATGACACCCAGTGGGTTATCTTGGGCCAGTCACTATCTCTCAGTTTAACATACCTCACAGGGTTGATGTGACAATAAAATGGAGGAGGGAAGTGTATATGTCACCTTGAGGAACTTGGAGAAAAGAGGAGATATAAATGCAATAACAACACTAGTTACCTAGATATTGATTGCATTATACTAGGTCGGTATTTGTGTAGTGAGAAGGGCACTCTGCTCTTCACTTGGCCTCGAGAGTAGGGCTTATGTTTGGTTCATATTTCTTTAGCTTCCATTCCTTTTTCAGTAGTGATATTGTGTTACTAATATGGTGCCTTAATTATTTAGCCCTGTGCAACGTAACACTAATTTTCAGTAATGAGAGATAAGTTCTGGGGTTTAAGCCTCCTTTCTTTACTCCTAGTTGCAGATGTTGGCAGAGGACACGGTGAAATGAATTCTGCATGTGCTCAGAGACACGCTTATCCTTTTGCAGTCATGCTGCGGCAGCTTTCCAAGATTCAAAACAGGAGATATTCACAGTCTTCCCCAGAAATGCCAGGAATTGAACCAGGGACACTCTTCATGCAGAACTGAGGCTTTACAACTGAACTATATCAGTTTCTGAGGCTGCTATGGGTTCTTCCAATGGCTATAACCCTCTTTATTTGGGAAAGATAGAATAGCAGCATTTTACCTCATAACAATACTGTTGAACTTTATGTAAAACTTTGTTTAGATCCTTGTTCAGCTGTTCAAGATCTAAGACAATAGTTGCATATCTTCTCTGAAATTCAATGCCAATAGGCATTGAGTAGGATTTCTGTGCAAAGAAAAGAGAAAGAAAAGAATTAAGTGCACAAAGCAATAACTTGTTTATTTCTTGCACAATTAAAGCGAGATTTCAAAACAATTTGGTTTTGAAATAGTTTTGACATGAGGGCTTCTTAAAAATGCTTGCTGCATTACCTAGCCACCTTAAGAAAGTGTGAGAATGTATTTAAATTTCCTACAAAGATTTAATCAACAAACAAACGGAGAGTTCTTTCAAAATCAATTCCTGAAAATAATTCTGAATTTCTGATGTAGATATTTTCTGAACTGTATTACATTTTGCTTATTTTTAAAAATTTTATTACACCCTTCCCCCTATGGAAGTCCAGGGCAGCAACTGTGTGCCTATTGAACTGATGGATGCCCAAGATAGCCTGGGTTGAGTTCAGATTTAGTGCTGCTGAAATCCTACAAACAATTACCTGTCAGTTCTCAGTGGGATTTACTGTACTTTTGAGTATGCATGCATAGGGTTGTGTTGTAAGGTGTTTCAAATGGAGAAAGATTCCTACCAGGACTTGCTACAATTTTTTATTTGAACTGTGACAGCAAATATAAGGTCGCTCTATGTTTGTTGAATGCTCTTCCCCAGGGAGGCTCGCTTGGGACCTTCATGATGCTTTTTTAGGAACCAGATGAAAACATTCCCTCTTTGCTCAGGCCCTTGGCCAATTAAACAATCTATGGCTTTTTAAACTGGGGAGGGGAAAGAGTATTGCTTTTGTTTGTTATTATATTATGTATGTTTTTATCGTAAACCACCCTGTGATCCTCAGATGAAGGATGGTATAGGAATTGAATAAACAATAATAAAAGAGCCACAAAAGAACATCTTAGAAATATATAGTTCTTTCTTTAGGTCAATACTTAGAAAAGCTACTACTAAGTAGGAATTATTTTCAAGTACTCTCCCACTCTTAACTAGATCTGAGAGTTACCGTATTTTTCGCTCCATACGGCGCACGTGACCATAGGGTGCACCTAGTTTTCAGAGGGGGAAATCAAGGGAAAAAATATGACCCCCCCCCCAGCTCTGAGAGCAGCGGACAGGTTGCAGGCAGCCTGTGCGCTTCTCCTAGACTTTCTCCCTGCTTTTGCGGGAGGTGGGGGAATTCCCCCATCTCCCGCAAAAGCCCACAGGAGCCACACACCCTTTAAGGACCGCACGGCTCCTGCGGGCTTTTCTACGAGGAGGGAGAAGGGACTGACGCAGCCAGTCAGTCCCTTGTCCCTCCTCGGGGAAAAGACCCCAAGAGTGGCACGCTCTTTAAAGGGTGCGCGGCTCCTGCAGGCTTTTCTACGAGGTGGGGGAATTCCCCCACCTCCCACAGAAGCCGCACACTCTTTAAAGGGGCTGTGCGGCTTCTACTGGCTTTTCTAGGAGGTGGGGGAATTATACCACCTCCCGCAAAAGCCTGCAGAAGCTGCGCGCTCTTTAAAGGGTGTGTGGCTCCTGTGGGCTTTTCTATGAGGTGGGAGAAGGGACTGATGTGGCGAGTCAGTCCCTTCTCCCTCGTGGGGAAAAGCCTGCAAGAGCCGCACGGAGCTCTTGGGGGCTTTTCCCGCCTGCCTCCCCCCTGCGTTCGCTCCATAGGACGCACACACATTTTCCCTTGCTTTTTAGGAGGGAAAAGTGCGTCCTATAGAGCGCAAAATACGGTAAAACCTTCAAACTGAGGCTTGGAGGCTCAGGAGGATGGGGCATGGGGCCTTCAATCCAAATTCTGTTGCAGATCTTCCTTTGTTTGAACTTCTTTAAACAAGAAGCATATACCTTTAAAACTCCTTAAGCCCTATGTAACCTTTACAAAACAGCTGAAACAAGTATATATATATATTTACCAATTTTTCTGCTTCTGTGTTCATCTCCCTTAATTGCTTGATGTGTTCCTTCTTGATCATAAGAATCTTTGATAGTCTGGTCTGCAGAAAACAGAGAAAGCATATCAGAATAAATATAAGATCAGTGGATTGTAAAATACATTATAAAGTAAAAACTTAGCAAACTATTGTTGTGGATATAAATCAGACGACCAAGATACAAATTAAATGTACAGACAATATAATCTGGCTTTCAAAGATTTATGGAACGTCATTGCAGATGTTTGACAGCCATGTATAAAGTAATTAAACCGAATTTAACTTTTGGAGATGCTCAAAATCAGTACAGATAAAACTGAAAGAAAAGGATTTTACACTTACCACTTGGATAAGGAATTCTACTGGAAAACCACCTAATGTCTCACTATCTGAGCCTGAAAATTTGTTCTTCCAAGAAGACTGTCCTAGTAAAGGATCACTGTCCTATGCAACAAAGAAAGTTGCCTTAAGCATTTTATTTCATTCATTCTTATGTATTAGTTAACTATAGAATTTATTGAAATGATACTTTAATTTGCTTCAGATGGTTTAAAATGCAGCAAATTACTGAATGAATAAAAAAATTCACTTTAAGATACTTACTGTAATTGGTGACTGGAGGGAAGGCGTGTAATGTAACCGAGGAGGAGTCATAAAGAATCTAGAAGGTCGCTGTTTTTGTCCAAAGGCAGCAATTGGCATGGTTTCATGAGGTTCATTACTCTTTAAGTTAGAAAGAGGAAGAAAAGTTAAGCAGCATTCACTACGATTAAGAGTAACATCTTGAAAAAGAAAATGTATTTTAGATATATTAATAAAGTTGACAAAAATACTATATGCCTTTTATTCTTGAATTGTCTTGTAAAATAAAATTATGACATTCATCTGGGAAAAAAGAATTCACATGCTTGCAGACTTTTTTAAAAAAGTAGATATTACTTACGAGAACTTCATAATCTGGGATTGTATGTGTTCCAAGCCCTGACCTCTCAAAGGTTACTCTGTAAGTAGCATTAAGAGTGTCAACAGCATCTATCTGTCCAGTGAAGAGTCCATCATGAGCACCACGTAACCGTGCTAAAATAAAAAACATCCTCCAGTCTTAATCAGAGCAAAATATTGATGCATGCCACAGAAATCAGGTGTGGCTTCCTCTGCCTTTCCAGCCTGAAGCAGTTGCATCCAGTTTCTAGCTCACATCACTCAACTCTCAACTCTGGTCTTTTGTCCTTCTAATTAACAGATAGTTGAGGGAGAAAGGCCCACCCCGTGGCACAGAGCCATTTCCTTTGTTTCCTTAATGACCCATACTTAACAGGCTATTACCAGGCTGACTATTCCAACAACTGAATCTATGCTGGATCCAGGAATTAGAAGGGTGGCTCAGGCATGCAGCATCTCATAACACTATCTCCTCCCAAGAACAAGACATCTGTCCCCAAAGCTAGAATCATAGAATCATAGAGTTGGAAGAGACCACAAGGGCCATCGAGTCCAACCCCCTGCCAAGCAGGAACACCATCAGAGCACTCCTGACATATGGTTGTCAAGCCTCTGCTTAAAGACCTCCAAAGAAGGAGACTCCACCACACTCCTTGGCAGCAAATTCCATTGTCGAACAGCTCTTACTGTCAGGAAGTTCTTCCTAATGTTTAGGTGGAATCTTCTTTCTTGTAGTTTGGATCCATTGCTCCGTGTCCGCTTCTCTGGAGCAGCAGAAAACAACCTTTCTCCCTCCTCTATGTGACATCCTTTTATATATTTGAACATGGCTATCATATCACCCCTTAACCTCCTCTTCTCCAGGCTAAACATGCCCAGCTCTCTTAGCCGTTCCTCATAAGGCATCGTTTCCAGGCCTCTGACCATTTTGGTTGCCCTCCTCTGGACACGTTCCAGTTTGTCAATGTCCTTCTTGAACTGTGGTGCCCAGAACTGGACACAGTACTCCAGGTGAGGTCTGACCAGAGCAGAATACAGTGGCACTATTACTTCCCTTGATCTAGATGCTATACTCCTATTGATGCAGCCCAGAATTGCATTGGCTTTTTAGCTGCCGCGTCACACTGTTGGCTCATGTCAAGTTTGTGGTCAACCAAGACTCCTAGATCCTTTTCATGTGTACTGCTCTCAAGCCAGGTGTCCCCCATCTTGTATTTGTGCCTCTCATTTTTTTGCCCAAGTGCAATACTTTACATTTCTCCCTGTTAAAATTCATCTTGTTTGTTTTGGCCCAGTTCTCTAATCTGTCAAGGTCGTTTTGAAGTGTGATCCTGTCCTCTGGGGTGTTAGCCACCCCTCCCAATTTGGTGTCATCTGCAAATTTGATCAGGATGCCCTTGAGTCCATCATCCAAGTCGTTGATAAAGATGTTGAATAAGACCGGGCCCAAGCTATGGGTACAGTAAGGCGACTATTTAATGATAGAATCATTTAATGATAGAATCTACTATTTAATGACAGAATCAGAGTTCTGCATCAACAAATTCTGTACCAGGAAAGCAGAATTCTATAGCTAGTATAGTATTGAAAATTAAGTTTTAATTTCATATATTTTCTTATTTTGCACAATTTAGTCTGATTTTCTAAATGGGAGAGGAAAAGGCAGGTGTAGGACTATGACCCCTGTCCCTATCCCAGAGAATCCTTTCTGGCTTCTAAGATTTCACTAGGCATTGCTTGCCTAATGTAAAAGCCTATCTTCACATAGCTATGAAGGCTAGAAGCCTGCATTTTTCAAAATGGAAGATTAGATTATGAGGAAGCAGAATTATGTCCTTGTGAGGAATCAGAGAATACAAAGCCCTTATTATAAACATGGCAGGAAACAAACAAAACTAAAACCCCAAATGGTGGGCATTTAAAACAAAGCTGCATTCTTATTGTTCTATAATTCTGGACAAGGCTGGGACAGCCCATTCTAAATGGCTGGTAGAAAGACTAATGGAATCAGTAAGCAGAAAACTCCCAATGATGTAATATCATCACGCTGTGTTAAAGAAAATAGTAGCAGACAACAGTCATGGAAGTGACAGGGTGGGTTAAAAGGAATTATGGAAGCCAGCCCTTGATTTAAGTACATGGTCCTGTCAAAGACTAGAGAAGTTTTGCAAGAGTGTGCCGTGTATCTTATGACTACTTGGGTCATTTGAAATGCCAAACCTAGGAAGGTAATCCTGTTTACAGATGGTGCAGTACTAGCAGTGGAGATGTAAAAGCTTCACTCCTTTAAATAACTTCAAGTTAAACTACATCTTCAGAATTCAACACCAATTAAAACAGCTGTGTAATTTAGAGATGGGGAAAAGGTACCTGTAACTTTTGTTCCTATAACTAGTGGCAACGGAATTTCTTCTGGAAGATCTTTAAACTGGGATATATCTGCCACCTTCCGCTGTTGCAAAAGTCTAATTTTTTGCCGTTTCTGTTTTAATGCGGACCTTTCCTCTTCAAAGAATGCAGAAGAGCATCTGCAAAACAATTGTAATTTCTTTACTTTATGTTCATTTATTCAAACATCTTATAGCTTTATCCTTGAAAAGTATGGTAGATTGGGTTGCAACCAAACTCACACAAGGTCATCCGCTTCTGCAATGGGAATTTCCTCCCTCAGCCCTCTGGTGCAGATTTCACTGATGGGGGGTGGGTAAGTTCCAATGTGCAAGTGGAAGTCTTACACTTAACAGGACTTCTTGGATAAAACCGACTGCTTTTATACACTTTTTACATTGAGGGGGGAAATTAGTACAACAGAAAGCAAGTGGTACACAGACTGGAAAGGTCCCCCTGCAGGAGTATTTGACAGAAGTGGAATCTGTATATGCTGAAAATATAGTTTATCCCTATGTCTAAACACTGACACACAGAAACGATGGTTGTCGGTAATAAATGCAGTTAGATGCAATATGTTTATCCTTTCTTTGCAAAACTGAAGCCTGTCAAAACCAACTGTGCACTGAAGAGAAAGCAGTAATAGCTAACTGACATCTGTACAGACAAAAGACAGTGGTTATGAGGTTGAATGCATACAATTTGGCTATCAACAGTGCAATCTTATGCATGTTTATGTAAGTCCACTGCATTCAATGGGGATTACTCCCAGATTATGTGTATATAAAACTGCAGCCCAAGGTATCTAGATTTGAATTCCTAAAAAGGTTTCTAACCTTTAGAGCTGTAAAGTACTAGGATAGTTGTCTTAGAACAACTGCAAGAAGAAAGAAGCATGCTATAGTCATAAGAAACAGTTATCACATGGGTGATGTGTTTTGTTTTGTTTTTTTGCCTTGCCTTGCCTTGCCCATGGCTGAAATTCTTTCTCAATGCCATATAAACAGACCCTACTCTTTTGTTGCGGCTTTCTTCCTCAAGTCAGCAGGAGCTATTTGATTTGTGGGGCTATCCTTAAACAGTTTATCAACCCCAGGCTCAGAATAATAATAATAATAAACACATCCTAAAGAAGCTAGGGAAAATGGTCTAATCCTTTAGCATCTGTACTGGTTGTCTGTTATTTATGCTTTCTTATAAAGCTTTACTGGTCTTCATTCAGTCCATTACTCATCCTGATACCAGAATCAGATGAACATAAGAGACAGAACCTATTCCGAAAATCAGAATTACCTTACGCAGTGGTTTCAGGTAGATGTTTAAAAATGGAGAGCAATACAGAACCCTACACAACCCCATAACATAAATGTCAAGAAACCAATAAGTAGTTTTCCAGTGGTATCTTCTGGAATCAGGCTTCTAGGTATGAATGGAGACACTGTGTTCCCATTTCTCAGCCCTATGCATAAGGATGTCATGGTCCATGGCACTGAAAGCTGCCAAGATACTTAACAGGGTTATGCTCTCCCAGTCCAGTATGGGGAGGGGTCGGGGCACTTTGAGAATAGGATGCTGGACTAGAGGGGCCAGCGGCCTGGTCCAGTAGGCTTCTTCTTATGTCCTTATATATGCTAAGTTGTACTCCTCAAATGCTTTGAATTCATCATCAGGCTGAAACTTGGCTACATACTCAATTATGATTATGCAACATATCCTACATTCTTAAAATTACCCATTAAGCACCAACTTTTTAAAATGAATCATCCAGGAAACCCTTCAACAAAAACCACCACCACCAACTCCCCACAAAAACTCTACAGCTAAAGAGCCTTCAGTCTTTCAAGCTAATGTTTTACCTTCGTGGCTTCCCCATTAACCGTCTGATCTTTCCCCATTCAACTCTTGTTAATTTTCTGGTTTTCAGATTGGGAAAAGATTCTTTCAGGCAAACGCAGAAATCATTATCACCTTCAAAGAGTGGCCTATTAAAAACAATTGGTATTCTGTCATTATATTTTCAAGTACATTCAGAAAATGTATTATGACATGCCAACACAATTTTACCTCCATATACCTAAGACTAGAGAATTTTGCTTCCTAAATGCTTAAATTATAGTCATTTGTCAACTTGGGCTTAATATTAATTTATTCATTTTACAGGGAAAATGTTATAACTGAAATGTTATAACATGTTATAACTGAAAATTAAAATGTTATAACTGAAAAATATTTTGAAGCTAATGCAGTCAATTTAGAAATGAACAAGGCATCTTTACAAAAAAATACACTTTCCTATTTATTAAAACTCTGCCTTGCATAATATAGTTTACAGAACCATGAAAGTCATTATTACTCTTATGACTCCAGCAACTGTACTATTCAGAAATTAAAGTAATAAGCTTTGTAACATTAGAAATATTGCTTTAAGTTGTCACCAATATAAGGTAGGCAAAAATGATGATAAGAACCAGGCCAAGGTATATCTTAGCAAGAATATAGCAATTATTTTCTTATCTCTTTAAAAAACTTGCTATTGCAAAACATTTTGCAGGGAAACTGATGAGCAATATTTAATTCTTGTAACTGTATTAAAATCTGACAAAACCATTTTTGCCCCATTTTGCTTTAAAAAAACAACCGCAAGTTTCACTGCACAGCTATGAAGCAGCCATATGAAAATACAAATAGCTTAATTCCAGTATATTGCTTTACAATGCTATCTCATACATGCCTACACAGAAGAAAGCACCTTTGAGGTAAATGGTACTTGCTTCCATGTCTGCATAGGATTGTAATCTAAAACTAACAAATGAAAAGTCATACATACTTATCTATATTTGAGTAGAACCACTCGTAAATACACCATTTGTGTGCTTTAGGAAGTTTGAGTAAGTTACGTAGCCGCAAACCGATCTTCTGTGATGCCTTTTTGTCTGGTGTTGGCATTGTTGCAGTAAACTTCTAGATAATAATAAAAACAAAAACAACCAGAGATTAATAGAAATACTAAAAGAACAGAACCACAGAATTATAGAGTGGGAAGTGACCCTGAGGGTCATCTAGTCCAGCCCCTTGTAATGCAGGAATCTCAAGTAGATCATACATGACAGATGGCCACCCAACCTCTGCTTAAAAGCCTCCAAGGAAGGAAAGTCCACTCTAAAACCGCTCTTAACTGTCAGAAAGTTCTGCCTGATGTTTAGTTGGGATCACCTTTCTTGTAACTTGAATCTATTGGTTCAAGTCCTAGCTGAACCGTTTGTCTTAGTTTTTAGTTGCTGTTTTGTTAATAGTGATTTATAGATTGTAACTGTTTTACTGATTATTTGTTAATTATTTCATATGCTTTATGCCGTACTTGTGATGTTCTGTTAAGCTCTACTATGTTATTGTTATTTATTGTTTGTAAGCCACTTTGGGATTCATCTGAATGAAAAGCAGCATAGAAATGCAACCAATCCACGTTGCAAACTTGAGTTCATTCTGAGCTTTGGCCCACCTGACCTTCTCCTTGCAACTGTTGGCTACTCGTGAATACTCTTTTCTTCGTGATTTCTCATTTTTTACATGTCCTTCATAAATCTCAGTTCATCTGCAAGCTCCTTATGCAGCCACTCTGGTTTCTTTAAGTGCAGCCCACTTATCTTTCTTGTTGGAATTATCTGCCTTTGTCCCTTCAATCTTTCACCTTTAAGAGACTCCCATCCACCCTGGACTCCCTTCTCTTTGAGTATTTCTGACCACGGAATCTCACCCAGTAGTTCCTTAAGTTTTTTGAAATCAGGCTTCTTAAAGTTCAGAATGGATGTTCAACTACACTCTGTTTTCATTGCCTGTGTATAATGAAACCCAAGAGGACAATAATCAGTTCCTCCCAAGCTTCTGGGTACTTTCACTTTTTCGATCAGTTCCTCCCTGTTGGTGAGGACCAAGTCCAAGAGAGATGATCCCTTTGATGCTTCTTCCATTTGTCAGTGAGGCAATGGAGGAATTTGTTGGACCTTACATTCTTAGCAGAGTTTGAGTTCTAACAGATATTGCGGTAATTGAAGTATCCCATGACTACTATATTTCTCCTTTTTTGAATGTGTTTGGATTTTTGCAATAAACTGGAAACTGAGAAGGTTTAGTTTACCTATCAATGAATGCAACAAACTTTACAGATTAACATACCTGGGGAACCATTGCAACTCTCTGGTTTCTTTTGGGTGATCGTGTATTCATTTGCCTTTCCTCTTCCTCACAAAAGGACCGACTTCGTTTTGAACTTCTGAAGGGCTGGAGCAAAAAGAAAAATCTGACTCAATCAACTGAAAAGTTTCACAACGCGCTTTCCTGCAATACAGCAAACCCATGATAAACACGCAGAAGATGCTTCCTTTAATATAATAACATAATCTTGATCTATGTAGCACAGTTACAGACTTTTGTGGCCTCTAGTTTCCCTCACCTTGCTTATTTTACTTAGCTGAAAGCAAATTTACCTAAACAGCTGGCTTCCTTTTGTACAACTGTTACAGTACTCAACGTAATGTCATATTTTATACTGCTACTCTGCGCTTACGAAACCAGGAAAAATGTTTATTCTTAAAAAATTTAACGGCCAAAGGAAAGAAAACTAGAAGACTACTAATATAGGTCAGTGTTGCTCCTTACCATTTCTACAGCAGCTCCTGCATTCTTGCCTTTCCAAATGGGTGTTTTCTGCAAGGCACTGAATTTTTCATTCCATGTATTTGATAAACTTCCCTCTGTATTAAGTTATAAATAATAAATATTATTATTCCTATGTAAAATTAATATAATGTTCTGTAAAAATCCTTTACTCTACAAATGAAAACTTAAAAGTTTACCATTCTTAACATTAAAGATATAACCACATTGTAAAAAACTTCTGTTTAATTTTTTTAAATTATGTTATCTTTCTATTTTGAAAATGCAGCCGACTTCCCACTTAAGAATGAAGTGCTCTTTAGATATTCATTCACACCATGACTGAACTTTTACTTTCCACAAGTACAACAAATTAAAAATAAATGGTATGTCCTACCTTTCAAACTAACCAGAGCTTTTGCTGATGAACCTGAAATAAGTAAAAAAATCCAGTAAGGGAACAATATTTCCTGACAGTGGATTCACAGTTCTTTCAGCATTTATAGCTAATTTATTTTTCTTTCTTAATAGGGAAATGCCTTACAAATGTAAACAAGCTTCAGCCTGATCAGCTATTATGGCTTCCAACCAAGGAAGTATTAATTCAGGGAATATGTACTTCTGGGAAGATCAGGATTCTCTGTGAAAACATCCTCAGCAAGCACACAAAGTATTCATCAGAGAAGTGCAGCTATGACAGCTAAGTCAAATTCAAAGTATAAAGTATAAATACTAGTTGTGTCCAACTAGTATCCCTCCACTGAGGAAGGCTCTTTGATCCAGCAGAACCTACCATCCACAGAATAAGAACTGAGGTGATCTTTGGTAATTCCCCCTGCAGATTCCACACCATTTCCCATGCTGTACTGAAGGTTCCATAGCAGATTTGAGCAGGTATGGAGTTGAAGGGGGTTGGCATTTGTCTGTCTTGGGAGACAATGGAGAGTGTGTGCCTTTGGGGGTGAAGCCAAACTGTTGGAAGGTTGCAGTGCCTGCTGTGGCTGTAGAGACTGATGCAGGATAGACATGTTTTGTTGCAGCTGGGGCAGATGAAGGCATTGGATGTGCTGCTGCAGATGCACCATGGCATTTCTTCTTTCTGTGCTCCTTGCAGCAGGCATTCGTCCTCTGGTCAGTGCTGTGGACACACAACCTGATTGATTGTCTCCAGGTACTGTGGTTGTCTGCAAGGGATTCCCACATGGTGGGGTTAATGTTGCCAGTCTTCATGTCACATTTGCAGACATCTTTGTAAATGCCAACGGGCCTAGGTTGAAGGGAAAATCTCTGAAAATCACTCCAATTCCTCGTCTACTAATTTAAGTTCCCACTGGATCAAAGAGTTTTCTTTTGGTGGAGGAACACCAACTAGATACAGCCCAGAAGCATATTAACGCTAGGGTTATTTCACACATATAATGTCAAATTATTGTATGATGGTAAAGGAACAAGGACTGTGCTCCGTTGCCCTGGTCCCTTTGCTAATCCCCTAATTACTAACTTCCTGATATTCAGCAAACCATATTTTGTGGTTTCATCCAAGGAGCATGAATATAATCTCTTCAACTATAAAGTCAAAGTAAGCCAAAAAATGAAAACATGCAACATAGCAGTAATACACTGTTCATGCAGTTAAGTTGGTAGATGTGCTAAACTGGTAACCCTTTGTTCCATTATTTCACTACTACGATTTCAATATGTAAGCATCAGCACCAGCTGCCAGCAGTAAAAATGGCCTAATAAACAATTTGCATTAGGGACCTGAAATGGTTCAAACCTTGTTTAATTTAGATTGAAATAATGAGTTTATTTATGAAGTGCGAACATTTTTTCATGGTAGAGAAGAGGATACTAAAGGAAAGTGCTTTAGTATCTCCTTAACCTCCAATGTACATTCCAATTCTATCATCATTAATCCCTCTCACCTGCTTTCTATGATATAAACTAAGACATGATCTTCATACTCACTTCTAGCTGAATAACAAATTTCACATTGTGCTGATGAATAATTTGTAAGGGGAAATATTAGTGAAGATGTAAGGTCTTATCTTTACTAATATTTCCCCTAAAATTCATATGTTCATATGTACAGCATAGGAAGGACAACAAACAGATGAGAACTGGCAAAGCAATGTTATTCATTCTTTGTTTATCACTTCAATCCCTGTTATACCTTCAGCATGTAAGAAAACTGTAAAATAATATACATTCTTTTAAAGTGTTTTAATTATATCTGTGACAAGGTGGTAGGCCAGGAAAACAAACACACAGCAGGGAATAAGCTTAATAAAATTGTTACAAGTATAATATTTGTAGCAGATTTGAAAGTAAGGAGCATTAGCTGTTCAGATGTTTCGCACAGAAAAGCAAGATTTGCAGCTACTATTTTAGAACACCATCAAAATTGTTGAGCTTTTTTGGGGAAACCTCCCCCCCCCCAGTGGTTTTAAACTTTTTCCATTGCGTTGCCATACATTCGAGGTTTCTCTGACATTTTGCCAATTCGGCAAAATTCCCCCCGACACCATTTTTACACCTGAACACCAAGACATGTCAGGAATTTTCCTGACATATGGCAAGCCTATTTACTGTGGTGAATAAAACATATTCTAAACTTACTGGGTGATAACCAATGTTAGCCTTACTTACAAGTTGGTCATTGAATGGATTTAAGTCCATTGCTTTTGATAAGTCTACTATGGGTATGACTTAGCTCAGGCATGGCCAAACTTGGCCCTCCAGCTGTTTTGGGACTACAACTCCCATCATCCCTAGCTAACAGGACAAGTGGTCAGGGATGATGGGAACTGTAGTCCCAAAACAGCTGGAGGGCAAAGTTTGGCCATGCCTGAGGATATCACCAAATGTAAGACAAAAACACGAAGCGTTACAGTCATTCTGAACTGTAGTTATGAACTATAGTTATGACAGAATCAGTCAAGGTTATTCCTTCCTAACAGAAGGCCTTGGAAGTATATAAACATTCTGTATTAGGAGACGCATGTATGAAAATGTCATGCAAAGCAGTGATAACAATGGAGACATTCCTCACTGTCTCCTTAACTACAGTAGACATGTGAGTTGCAAGAAGAAAATGCTTTAAAAGCTTTACATCCCCACTGCAGTTCTCCAAATACACACAAAAACAGAACATGGCAATATTTCTACCAGGTAAGAACCTATTTTGATGGATAACATCATTGATTTGCTTGCCTTCATGGACAAGAAGCGAGCGATACATTTACAGGATAGTAAAAGAAACTGCTACTTTTCTAGATGCACATCAGCTTTTAGGGGGGAAATGCTATGTTGCCAAAGCTGCTGTAATTTACAAAATAAAAGCGTTCATACAAACTCTCCAACAGTCCAGTGCTATGTGCAAAGCTATTTGCCTGTGCAAAGCTAAAGAATAGGACCAGGTGTGTGGGATGCTGGTCCACAGAAAATTTGCAAACAGTTGTGATAAATTAGTAAACCCCAAACCTATCAGACTCTACTATAATGTAGCAGTTCAAGACAGTGTGCTCCAGTGGGACAGAAATACAGTCTTAGGTGTCCCATGAGTCAAATCTGAGTAGAGAAGATAGGCACCAGAAGCAAAAAATGGCAAATATTATTAGCAGTAGTTATTACATTTATATACTGCCCTTCATCCAAGGATCACAGAACAGTTCACAACACAAAAATGCAAAATGAGAACACATAATATATAAAGACTCCCAATAACCTCCCTTCCCATAGACACATTTAAAAGGCCATTAAATGTTTAATTACGCAATGGCCTGGTTATAGAGAAATGTTTTCACCTGGCACCTAAAGTTATGTAATGAAGGCACCAGGCAAGCCTCTCTGGGGAGTGAATTCCACAAATGCGAAACCAGAAAAGGATTGTTCTTGTGCTGCTATCTTCTGGTCCTTTCATGGAGAGGGCACATGGAGAAGAGCTCAGATGATGATCACAGGGTCTGGGTTGGTTCAAATGAGGAGAGGCGATCCTTGAGGTATTGCAGTCCTAAGCCATTTAAGGCTTTACAAGTCAAAACCAGCCCTTTGACATGGCCCCGGAAGCCAACTGGTAGCCAGTGCAGTTGGGCCAAGATTGGTGTAGTATGTTCAAACCGTCTTGCTCTGGTGAGCAACTTGGCCACCAAATTCTACATCAGCTGAAGTTTCCAAACCATTTTTGGCGGCAGCCCCATGTAGAATGCATTGCAGTAATCTAATTTACAGATTACCAGAGAATAGAAGACAGAAATTACGCTATCTTTGTCCAGATTAGGGGCACAGCTGGGCCACAGGACAAAGCTAATGGAAGGCACCCTGGGCCATCAAGGCCACTTGAGCCTCAAGTGACAACAAAGGATCTGGGATTACCCCCAAGCTACGTTCCTACTCTTTCAGAGGGGGTGTAACCCCATTAGGAGCAGGCGATCTCCTATCCATCCAGTCTAGGGAACTACCCACTAACAGAGCTTCAGTCTTATCTGGATTGAGTTTCAGTTTGTTGGCTCTCATCCAGTCCATTACTGAGGCAATACAATAGTCCATCGCATCTACTGCCATATCTGCAGATGTAAAGGAGTAGAGCTATGTGCAATCCGCTTAGTGCTGACAATGCACTCCAAAACTCCAGATGCTCCCACTCATCAGCTTCAAGTAGATGTTAAACAGCATAGGGGATAAAATTGAATCCTGAGGAACCCCACATTGAAGGTTCCACAGGGCAGAATAACACTCCCCAAGCATCACCCTCTGGAAATGGCCATCCAAGTATGACCAGAACCAATGCAAAGCAGTGCTATGCACCCCCAACTCTGACAGTTGCTCCAGATGGATATTATTGTTTATGGTATCAAAAGCCATTGAGAGGTCGAGGAGAATTAACAGGGACATATTTCCCCTGTTTCTCTCCCAAAAAAGGTCACCATGCAGGGCGACCAAAGAAGTTTCTGTGCCAAAACCAGGCCTAAACCCCTATTGAAACGGATCAAGAAAATCAGTTTCCTCCAAGAGCATCTGGATCTGGTCTGTGACTACCTCCTAAAGAACCTTGCCCAAGAAGGGGAGATTGGCAACTGGCCAGTAATTACTTAGATTTTTCTGAATCCAGGGAGGACTTCTTAAGGAGTAGTCTTACCAATGGCTTCTTTCAAGCAGGCAGGAACCACCCCCATCACAGTACCCTCTCTGCTAACATTAGTCAAGAGAGGCAAGAGCTCAAGCGGCTTGCTTGACCGATCCATATATCTTGTCCACATCCTCAAGCCTTACCAACTGAAAATCATCCAACACAACAGGACTAGATAGTGCTTTGGACACCCCTTGAGAGTCATTACTATAACAGCCGAGTCAAGATCCCTGTGGATGCAAGCGATGATGACACAAAGCAAAATCTTACTGACAACATTGATTTTCCCTCTGTCCCTGTGCAATGTTGTACAGTAACGATAAAAGATTGGTTTTACTCTCACAGATTAGCCACAGGTCCCAAGACTCAGATGTTATAATGCAATACAACATCACACACACCTGTATTTTCAAAGACCACAAGCAGAAGAGAAAGAGAGAGAAAGAAAGAGAGAGAGAGAGAGAGAGAGCGCGCAAGCTAGAAGCATGCTGATTAGATAGCCCACACACCAGTCTAGCACAGACCCAGATGAAACCAGTTAGGAAGGCAGTAACAATTAGTATGCAATACTGCAAGAACTGTACTAGAACAGCAGTCATTATTTGCCAGCACTACTGAATCACACTACCAGATTATGATCTTAGGCTACTTTCTTGATGGTAAGTTAAGTTCCATTACACTTGAACGGGACTTATCTGCAAATAAATGTTTTTAGAGTCAAGGTATGAAAGTGGTTGAGAAACGTTTATCTAACTAAAAAGCCTACCTACCTATCACTTTGTGAAGCTGGTGGAGAGTGGGATGCGGAAATTTAATAGAAAGCTGTTACACCACAAATGATTGAATAAGAAGACGATCTCAGCACCCTACTCCTCCCAAGTGAGCCAATTAAGTTTAGTTTATGTAGCTTAATTTACCTATTTTGCTTCATTTTTTTGGCTTGGGCTAATGGGAATTGACAGCTTTGTTCAGATGTTGATGCAGAACATCCGAACAGATGCACCTTTTGTAGAGGAAGGAACTTCTGACTTGAATGATTATTAGTAGCACTTAGCAGTTATTATTCATGTGAATGCAGTCATCACGCAAACTACTTATCAGCATGGCTGCACCAACACTACTTCCTCCAGGCGGCTGTGTCCTTCAGAATGCTCTTTGGGGGATATCTAGACTGGACCCATGTGTCCTTATAAAAAAAAATTCAGTTTACTGAGCAGAAACCTGCATTTTTAAAAAAACAAAAGATAAAGCTTTATGTTGTTCAATTCCATACTGCCAAAAGATTTGTGCAATAGGTTGACAAGCAACAGTTATTTAGATAACTGTGTTATCTAAATCAGTAGTCTTCTACTTTTTCAGACCAAGGACCAACGTTAACCCAAACATGCATTTGGAAACCCAGTTCTTAATTTCCCCCCTATATTTGAATGGTGGTAGTGCTGCTGTTGTGACCTAACTTAAATCAAGCTGCAACCTGGTAGTGGGTCCTGGCCTGCCAGCTGAAGGCCAATGATCTAAATACATGTTCATACCTTGTTAGTGACATGATGTTCGGAAGGTGGTTGCATGTGCTAATGAAGATGTATCTTGAGTTTTCTGATTATCATGCTTGGAGTGGGGAGGAAAATTCTTCTATGTCAGAGTAGACAACAAGCTGCAATTGCCTTCCTCTAACATCTGGCTTGAGTGAATTTTTCAAGATATTTGGTATATAGATGCACTGTGCAATTCCTTAGCGAGTGGTCATCTCTGACATGATGTTGATGCCTTCTGCTTGATGCACATGTTTATACTTTGGATCATGCAAGTTAATATGTAGATAGATTAGTGTTAGTTCAAATGATAGGCACCTGATTCAATATTAAACATACAAACAAATGCCTTGCATGTTCTCATTAAAGAATTCTCATATAGGTCATTTTCATATATGCATCTCCCAGTACGAAAAGCTTGTATATAAACATTGTGCATTCCCACTCATTAGTCTCACCCTATGAAAAGGAGTAAGTTTAAATCATAGAATCATAGAATCATAGAGTTGGAAGAGACCACAAGGGCCATCGAGTCCAACCCCCTGCCAAGCAGGAAACACCATCAGAGCACTCCTGACATATGGTTGTCAAGCCTCTGCTTAAAGACCTCCAAAGAAGGAGACTCCACCATACTCCTTGGCAGCAAATTCCACTGTCGAACAGCTCTTACTGTCAGGAAGTTCTTCCTAATGTTTAGGTGGAATCTTCTCTTGTAGTTTGGATCCATTGCTCCGTGTCCGCTTCTCTGGAGCAGCAGAAAACAACCTTTCTCCCTCCTCTATGTGACATCCTTTTATATATTTGAACATGGCTATCATATCACCCCTTAACCTCCTCTTCTCCAGGCTAAACATGCCCAGCTCCCTTAGCCTTTCCTCATAAGGCATCGTTTCCAGGCCTTTGACCATTTTGGTTGCCCTCCTCTGGACACGTTCCAGTTTGTCAGTGTCCTTCTTGAACTGTGGTGCCCAGAACTGGACACAGTACTCCAGGTGAGGTCTGACCAGAGCAGAATACAGCGGCACTATTACTTCCCTTGATCTAGATGCTATACTCCTATTGATGCAGCCCAGAATTGCATTGGCTTTTTAGCTGCCGCGTCACACTGTTGGCTCATGTCAAGTTTGTGGTCAACCAAGACTCCTAGATCCTTTTCACATGTACTGCTCTCAAGCCAGGTGTCACCCATCTTGTATTTGTGCCTCTCATTTTTTTGCCCAAGTGCAATACTTTACATTTCTCCCTGTTAAAATTCATCTTGTTTGTTTTTGCCCAGTTCTCTAATCTGTCAAGGTCGTTTTGAAGTGTGATCCTGTCCTCTGGGGTGTTAGCCACCCCTCCCAGTTTGGTGTCATCTGCAAATTTGATCAGGATGCCCTTGAGTCCATCATCCAAGTCGTTGATAAAGATGTTGAATAAGACCGGGCCCAAGACAGAACCCTGTGGCACCCCACTAGTCACTCTTCTCCAGGATGAAGAGGAACCATTGATGAGCACCCTTTGGGTTTGGTCAGTCAGCCAGTTACAAATCCACTGAGTGGTAGCATAGTCAAGACCGCATTTTACCAGCTTCTTTACAAGAATATCATGGGGCACCTTGTCAAATGCCTTGCTGAAATCAAGGTAGGCTACATCCACTGCGTTCCCTTCATCTACCAGGCTTGTAATTCTGTCAAAAACGAGATCAGGTTAGTCTGACATGACTTATTTTTCAGAAATCCATGCTGACTATTGGTGATCACAGCATTCCTTTCTAGGTGCTCACAGACTGTTTGCTTAATGATCTGCTCCAGAATCTTCCCTGGTATTGATGTCAGACTGACTGGGCGATAATTATTTGGGTCCTCTCTTTTCCCCTTTTTGAAAATAGGGACAACATTTGCCCTCCTCCAGTCTGCCGGGACTTCGCCTGTTCTCCAGGAATTCTCAAAGATGACTGCCAGTGGTTCTGAGATCACATCTGCCAGTTCTTTTAATACTCTTGGATGCAGTTCATCTGGCCCTGGAGACTTGAATACATCTAAACTAGCCAAGTATTCTTGTACTATCTCCTTAGTTATTCTGGGCTGTGTTTCCTTTGCTGAATCATTTGCTCCAAATTCTTCAGGTCGGGCATTGTTTTCTTTATCAGAGAAGACTGAGGCAAAGAAGGCATTGAGGAGTTCAGCCCTTTCTGTGTCCCCTGTTTGCATTTCACCATCTTCTCCTCTGAGTGACCCCACTGTTTCTTTGTTCTTCCTTTTGCTACGAACATACCCATAAAAGCCTTTTTGTTGCTTCTAACCTCTCTAGCAAGCCTGAGTTCATTCTGTGCTTTAGCTTTTCTGACTTTGTGTCTACACGTGCTGGCTATTTGTTTGAATTCCTCTTTGGTGGTTTCCCCCTTTTCCATTTTTGTACACATCCTTTTTGAATCTTAACTCAGTTAAAAGTTCTTTAGATAGCCACCCTGGCTTCTTTAGGCACCTTCCATGTTTCCGTCTCATTGGTATTGCCTGACGTTGTGCTTTTATTATCTCCCTCTTAACAAACTCCCAGCCATCATGAACTCCCTTTCCTTTTAGTATTACTGTCCATGGGATCTCACCCAGCACTTCCGTAAGTTTTATGAAGTCGGCTTTCTTAAAGTCAAGAAATTGAGTCCTAGTATCCTTGGCTGCTCCTTTCCGCTGTATAGTAAACTTCAGAAGAGCATGATCACTCGCGCCTAATGATCCTTCCACGTCTACCCCACTAACCAGGTCATCAACATTGGTTAGGACCAGATCTAAAATGGCTGTTCCTCTTGTTGCTTCTTAAATGATAGCCCCAAATCATATCAGACTAGAAAAAGCTTTCAAAATGACCCTTACACCTTGTCATGTGGAACCAATGGACCTACTGAGAATGACTAACATTTGATATCACCTAATACATTGAGTATGTTTTACCAATCATCGTAAACAGTAACCAAAATAACCCAACTTCCTTACTTTCAAATGTACAAATATAACTCAAAATAATTTTATTAATATTGTACAGTTTTCCCACATACTAATGATTTAGTTCTTTGTTTAATCTACTGTATAGCACATTAGACAAATACAATTCACTATTATAGCCTATATTCACAATAAACTTCAAAGTCATTGATAGTTTGTCCATAAATGCAATTTTATATAATTCACTGTTTTTCTTTAAGCTTCAACTTTTGCACCACCACACAGTTGTGAACTTGAGTGTATAGTATGTACATTATATCGCCTTGCATTATTTCCCGCACATTTGAACAGATCTTTGGCCACCACCTGCATAACTACTAAATGAGTCCATATGCAATAAGATTTCATGTTTTGTATTCATTTTCTTGTTTTCATATACAAATTTTCAGTGTATGTATACATGCAAACCTGCATCAATTTCCACCAATTCAACACAGAATACTATATGGAGGTCACCCAAGTGTTCCTATTCCTTAGAAAGAAGTTTACAGTGACATCCACAGTGTGTAACACCTCCTGTTAATACTTTGATTACTTTTTTACATAAACACAATAAAAGGTCAAGTGAATCTTGACCGGTCTCAGGGTGAATTTCTGTGGCAGTTCCCAATCCTTCATATAATAAATGCATCAGAGGATATGCATTATTTTTATGTTGATAATATGAGCCACCAGTCTTCTATATCCAGTGCTTACTCACTCTTTTTTATTTGCTTACATTGGCATACCACCCTATAGTAGAACTCTTGGAGCAGTTTACCTGTGAAGTTGCTTTACACTTTTGAGCTGAGAAACATTGTGCCTTCCATCTGCCAGATTCAACGAAAATGCTTCCTCATGAAGATATATACTTATTTTTGCTTTCCTGGACAACCTGAATGCCCCCTTCTCAATATACCATGCCACAATTTTCCATGGTGCAACATACATAGCAAGCCAACTCTAGGAAGCATATTCAAACCTGCGAAGTGATCGGCCACAAAACCAGTGCTTTTTTTTCCTAAAAAAATGTTTAGGGGTACTCTCATTTCCCTACTCATATTGAAATACTGCCCCTCAATGTGGCCAAACTTAGATTCACAAAATGTTTAGGGGTATGCATACCCCACAGAAGAAAGTACTGCACAAAACAATGCGCTACCACTACCTTGGTTCCAAATTCAGAGGTTGCTAAATTACTAGTTGACATACACAAGAGAAACAACAATATGGACCTCTCCTTTGTCACTTTCACTATCCTGCTGCTATGAACAAGAGGAGAGTGAAAAACAACGCTTTATTTATCCTGGTTAAGAAACTACCTTCCTAAGCAGCAGGACGTTCCGTAGTGAAAAAGGGTGAGCACCTAAACCACCCCCAAAGCATCGAAGGTTAGTGTCATGTCAAACCCCCGGGGCAGGATGCCCATGGCAGGTCAGAGACCTCCCCAACTGCGCTGTGGTGGTTGCTGTACCCTTTATTTCCACTGCCTCTCCCGGAGAGGTGCAATGTCAGTGGCAGCCACCTGCCCTGCACGCAACACCTCGCTGCCCGGCCTAGGGAAGCTTCCACGCCTCCCTTTCCTCCCCGGGCACTGCCCCGGCCTGCACCAAGACTGGGGGTGCAGGGTGCGGCTCACCCCCGACAGGAGAAGTGGAGGTTATATAACAGCGGCTTCCGGCCCTGCTCTGCTGTCCTCTCCCCGCCACCGCCTCCCGAAGAGGGCAGCTCCGGGGTGCGGGCGGAGGGGAGGCCACTGGAGAGCTGCACTAGGCCGGGCACTGAGGGAGGAGGAGACTGTGGCTCCGGCCCCGCACAGCTCCCACAACAACAGCAGCAGCAGCAGCAGCAAAAGCAAAAGCAGCAGCAGCAGTAGCGAGCGCCGCCGGCGGCGGCAGCCGGAGCAACCTGGGCGGCTCAGGGCCGGGAAAAGGGAGCAAGCGGAGGGTCCTGTCCCCGGGACCGCCCTTTGAGGAGCGGCGGCGTTGGAAGGGGCCGAGCGGCGGGACGGAGCGAGGGGCGCCGCGGGTCGCTACTCACTCTCGTCAGGCAGCTGATCCAACTCCGCCATCTTGAAGGAGCCGCGCCGCTTTTTCAAAGGCTGCCTGTCGCGGTGCATTGTGGGGGAGGAGACGGAGTCCTCCAGCCCGCCTGGCTGGCGGAACCGGGGCGGCAGGGGCGCGCCAAGCCGCTCAAGCAGCCCGCCCGGGCCACCGCCGAGGTGCCCGCGAAGGCAGGCGCGGCCGGGAGCGCGCTCCGCTTGGCTACAGCGCGGCTGTCGGCTCTCTTTCGTAGTGGCTTGAGAGAACTCCCAGAGCCAGGACTGGGAAGAGCGCTGGCTTCCCTGCCGCCCCGGGTGCAAGGGCTCCCCCTCTGACACGCGTCTTGCAGTCGTGGGCATGGTTGGGGCTGATGACGCGCAGAGCCACCGGGCTGTGCATCTCGTGCTCTGTTCTCAGGGGACAGTTGGGTGTCGTGGTGCGGGGCGTAAGAGAAACCCCCGCTCCCCTCCCCAAGCAACTTTATAGGTACTTGTCGGGGTGGTACTTTTGGTTGTTGCATTTTGGGTTTTTTGTACAATCCCGGATGACTATCTTAATTTCTGGGCACCGCATTCTAAGGAGGCTGCGGGGTTTTGTTTTCCGAAGAGGGTGAGGGACTTGGAGACCACGTCAGACGAGGCTGGTATATATTTAGCTTGGAGAAGAGAGATCATTAAGAGACGGCATGATACCCATCTTCGGGTATGCTGAAAGGCTGCCCCACAGGTGTTGGAGCACACCCTGTTTCCCCACAGCGCAAAACTTTGAACCGGTGGGTTCAAATGACAAGAAAGGAGGTTATGAATAATCCGAAGGAAGAACTTCCCGACTGTAGGAGCGATTCAGTTCAGTCTTCTCCATTGCCCCTCCAACATGGTTTTTTCCACTCCCAGAAAGAAAGAAAGACATGATAACAACTGCCTAGAGTAGATCTTTCTGCAATGCGTGCTGCCCTTGAATGCTAGTAACATTTCTTCAGGACTTCTCCGGGGAGTCAAAGGGTAGCTTCCGTTGCTAGACTCAAACTCCCATCATCCTTGGCCGTTGGACTTGCTGGCTAGGGCTGATGGGAGTTGGAGTCCAATAGCACAAGGTCCCTATCGCTCAACTAGGGCGACCATAGATTTGCAGTCTTTGTGGAATATGGGAGGGGCTGTGTAGTAAGTAACCACAGTTGAGATGTGACCAGATTTGAACACTTTACGTTTATAAAATATGATAATTCTATTCCTTATAAAATGGATGTAATTTGTCCTATGAAATTTAGCATGCAGAATCTCCTTGGGGAAACATACAAGCTGTCTGCATTTTGGAGAAATCTGATAAAGAATGCCTCAATTGCAGCATTTTTAAAAAAAAGGTATTTCTCTCCCCTCCCTTATACTATATAGGGAGCGAGGGAAAGAGTTACATCAATGATTTCTGGTACATTATTCAATTGAATGTTGGGGGTTTTGCCTATGGTGGTCTTCAAGTGGAAGCTAGAAATTGGAGCTGTAACTAAGGACGGAACAAGGAATTCTGCCTTTAATGTTGCTGTCACAGCAGTGGGGATTTTTTCCATTTGATTTCCTTGAAATTTGAAATACCTCTGAACCTCTATGTAATATCTCATGCAAATTCCGTTAGGCTACGGAGACACAGGCTAAAAGCTGCATTCAGCTGTTAAGCTCACCTTGGTGACCTTGGATCAGTCATATCTCTGTTCGACAGTGGAATTTGCTGCCAAGGAGTGTGGTGGAGTCTCCTTCTTTGGAGGTCTTTAAGCAGAGGCTTGACAACCATATGTCAGGAGTGCTCTGATGGTGTTTCCTGCTTGGCAGGGGGTTGGACTCGATGGCCCTTGTGGTCTCTTCCAACTCTATGATTCTATGATTCTGTCTAACCTACCTCATAGGGTTGTTGTGGAAATAGGTTACCACTCTCATTTTATCTCCAATATTTAATAATAATAAAGCTGAAAGAGGCGTGAATTGAATGGCTGTGGCAAGTGTGTAAGCTTTTCCCGCTGTATCATTTCCCCTAAATAACCCCTCCTCCCCCAGAGCTCACCTGTGACATGTAGATTTTCCTGCCTAGCCAATAGTGGCAAGTGGGATGCTCATGTTGGTATAATGTGAAAATATCTGTGAAATTACACTAGCTGCTTAGTCTGCGTCTTCAGTTACCCTTCCCCCATGTCCAATGTTCAGGGTTAGGACGCCAGTTGTGGTGGGCCTCTTGAAACAGCCGAAGGCCACAGGCCTCAGCCATGACTAATCAACCCTCCACCAAGGCTGCATGCAGCAACCTGGTAGTGAATGGTGAAAGTGGTGGATCTCTCTCTGAACTTGGATCTCTTCAGTTTAGCCTCTAAGAGCAGGTTACGGTACTTGGTAGCATAGTTTACGATGCACCAGCATCTTTTAACTTTATGTATATAGTGTGTTTGGATTGTAGGCAATATAGTGTGTTTGGATTGTCTTGAGGCAATAAAGCACTTTGCACTGAATTGTGTGGGCAATGAGTTTTCTTCACCGTCAACTCTGGAAAGGCTGACAACTGGAGAAGACTCTGAAGCTTTGATGGACAACTACTCTGCTGGTCATACTGATATAGGTGTGGTATCCAAATGCTATCACCATTTGCCATCACATCAGAAATAGCCCACTAGAATGCATTCAAGCCTTACACTGTACTCAGACTTATCACTTGTTGAAAGTTGGCTTATTTGCAGATCGTGGTGGCTTTCCGAGTGTTTAATAATGAGAACCTAAAGCACAGGCAAGGATAAGATCACAGCTGTTCAATGTCCTCTGGCTCTCTGCTTCTGTTCTGTTGTTGTGAAGATAAATCCAATAGTTGACCCATGCTGAGTAAAGAGGAAGATTATACAGGGTGATTCATAATGAAGTCTACAGTTTCAATGCACTTTAAAAAAAAGAATGTAATATATCTTACGTTACCTGTAACAGAATTGTAGGGGAATGTTTATTTTTTTTAAAAGAAACAGATACATTTTCTGCTTGGAGGTTTTTCCCTGAATCGCGATGAAAAATGCAGTTGTACAACAGTTACAGATTCCGTTCTGCTCAATTCAAGAACACACCTTCTCCACTGCAGACGCAGCCATTTTGCCTGACTAGTCACATGACATGTGCGCTATCGCCTATGTCACTTCCCTCAGTAGTCGAACACTTTATGATTACATCTACCTCACGGTTCAGTTGTGGTCCATGTCGTCGCCTGTTAACTGTTTTACAGCATCTGTAAACTATACTTCAATATAAATCATCCTGGGACAATAAGCCAGCGGACACAGGCACTTACCCTAATGAAAAAATTGTTCCTATGTGCACACTTTACAAGACTGCATTGGAAGAAGGCCTGGGCAAGATGAGCAATCTGCTACTCAAGTGAGGCTATTGGTCCACAGACCAGTCACTGGCTAATATGCTGAATTTGCAGGCTTATATGTTTTGGTGTTCTCCTTAGCCCTAGGAATCAAACATCTTGGAATCCAAAGACTGAACTACCATTCAGGACTGATCTAGGGTAGAAAGTCTCCCATGTATGCAATGGGTGGATATGGCAAGGCTCTGCATGAGTAGAAAGCTGCTATGGCTACATGGTCAAATAGTTGCTCTGTGGTGGTTCTGGTTTCATGACAGCTTGGGCAAGGAGAGGTGTTGTTTTTCTGGCTGCCTGGTAAGTGGATGGTGGAAGAGGTATTGGGAGTACAGATGGTGGAAGGGGTATTGGGAGTACTGGAGTTGGGTGATGTCAAGGGTTACTTAGCTGTTGACACACATCGATTGGAAGCCGCACAAAGCAGCCACCTGATCACCGGGGCCTCATCAGTGCCTGGACTGACCACCTGGGAATGCCATGCAATACTACCTTCAATTCTGGGGGGCGGGGAGAGAATACAACTGATCAACTATTATTACTGTCATTGACTGGAGTTGCAGGCAGCATAATCATACTGGCTTTCGTTTCTACAGCTGCTGTTGTGCTACTGACTGCTGCTGGTTAAGGATAGAATTGTGGCTAATTTACAGAGGCATTATCCCTGGTCAATCACAGGATTGCACGAAAAGTAACTGAAGCTTTAAACATTTAGTATGAAATTAGTTTTTATTTTTACTTCAAAATAAACACGTTTAACATTTATTCATAATCGAAACTAAGGAAGGTATTTTGTAAAAAAACAAAACAAAAAAGATTTATAAACAATTCTAAGCTCCTCCTCCCTGCCTCACTTACAAAAGACAAAAATCAAAGGTGTGTTTGTGTGGCTGTTTTGTTTTTGGTCTGTCGGTTAAAAGTCACAGAATAGCCTTCATACTAGAATTGGCCAAAAAGAAGGAGCTGGGGAGGAGAGAGAAAAAAACCCAAACATTTTTCATAGTACAGTACTCAGTTTCATGTGTTTTTGCACATGTATTGGGGGGGGGGAGAGGACTCTTACTAAGCTGACTGACTAAACTTAGATTCAGCAAAGCCCTGCAACTTATTTCTTGCATCTCAGAAATGGGAGTAAACACTTCGATATTTCAAAAGGGTTTTGCATTATTAAATCCTTTAACACGTCTTCCAAAATACTTGTTCACCAGAGGGATGTCTTATAGTTGAACTTCAGTTTTAGCAGGTACTTCAGATTAACCTGAGCAGTATCGTAGACAATATATCTGAAGGAAACAATGAGTTAAGACTTTTTCTTTAAAAAATGTTTTCTGAAGGACATCAATGCAGGGTGGCTGCTGAAATGTTTGCAGCGCCAATGGGGAAAACCCATTCTTACTTACCTTTGTTACTGGTTTCTTCCATGCAGCCACATTCTGGGGCACACACACACACAAACAAACAAACAAACAAACAAACAAACCACTGTATGGATTCTTCTAAAATTTCATAAAGGAGCCCCTGATAGGTGGCTTCTGTCCCTCCCCTTGGATACAAAGTTTTTTCATGTATGTAGTTTGTCATATTGATCAGAGCACACAAAGTGGCACGCGCTTAAGAATACAAAATATACAATAAAAAAACCTTTCAACTGAAAATTAAAATAATTAGAAACCTCATTAGAGATTGCAACAACTCCCCAAAGTCTGGCAATACAGATGAGTTTTACCAGAAAAAACTTATGTGGAAACTGTAGGAGAGAAAAGGTCTAGTTGTAGGAGAGAAAAGGTCTAGTCAGCCTCTATAAAGGGGCACCATAGCTGAGGATGTTTCATTCCAGGTTGACATAAAACTGAAGGATGGGGATCAGAGAAGCATCACTCCTAAATATTTTTATGGTTTGGGTTGGGGCAGGGAGAGAAGTGTTCCCTTAAATAAGCTGGGCCAGGACATTTCCACCAGTAAAGATAAAAACAATCTAAAATGGGCCTGAATACAAACTAGCAGATATCATAGCTGCAGGAGCACTGATACTTTATGGTCCTTATTACCCAATTCCCAACTAAAATAAAGGATTCAAACCCCAGAGAGCCGTGGCTCCTCAGTGTAGACAATAGTAAATTAGAGGAACCAACTGTTGTCGGCCTACAACAGTTTTCTTAGGATCCTAAAGGATGCTGGCTTTTTAACAAGGTAGCTTTTGAACTGTCACCAGGAGGAGCTCTATGTAGAGCCAATACTTGTCCATCAAGTGAAGACTGAAGGAACAAGGCCCTTATCTCTTCCGGGAAGAGAACACCAATACATCAGTGTGCAACTGATCAAACGCCCCACTCCTGCACCCAGTAGCCCCTGACAAGCTTGGAGGGCAATCAAAGCACACCCACTGAGAACAGTTTTTAAAAAAATCTTAAGTACTAGTGGAAGGAGAGGGTGCTCCTCACTCCCGGTTTGCTTCACGACTCCTGTGGAAATCAAGGGGTTTGGGTGCCATGCTTTCCAAACTGCAGAATAAAGTTACTCACATTCAGTCTCATACTGATGTTAGGAGGTCAGTATCCCTTTCTGATGGTGGCATTCAATTGTCCGGAAGCAGCCATCAGCAGGCAGGCCAGCTCTGCTCTATGGCCGTGATTATCCCCTATCAGGGATGCTGTAGGAATGGATTTCTTGCACTGGCAGGGGGGATAAACTAGACTCACGTTCTGGTCCCTTCCAACTCTATGATTCCACGATCCTAGAAAAATACTGTTCAAAGGATACTCGTTATACAGAAGACAGGTATTGCTAACTCCTGATGGTATTCCATTGCCTAAAGGAACTTCTACGCCATTGAGAGAGGTAGTGGCTGTGGGATCTGGTGCTGTTTTGCCCAAGCCTATATAGGAGGAAAAGCAAACAAAATTGCAGCTGACAGATGCAAATATGCATTAAGCGACTTTGAACTTACCTGAATCGTGACAAATTTTCACTCGTTTCTTTGGTGTCAAGAAATCTACCGTGGATTCTGGCGTATTAGGCGACTGGGTGTATTAGATGACCCCCCAAATTGGCAGCTGCAATTTGGAGGGTCGTCTTATAAGCCCAGTTGCCCAATACGCTGGGCAGCTCCGCGCCGGGAGAAAGCTGCCTTCGGAGCCGCCACAGCAGCAGCGGGGGGCGGATACCCGGCGTATAAGATGACCCCCGACTTTTTAACCTCTTTTCTGGGGTTAAAAAGTCATCTTATACGCCGGAATTTACGGTATATAATATAGTACTTTGCTCAGGTGAAACTGGGAAAAGAACTACCTTTTAGATCCAGACTAAGGCTGCAATCCTAATCCTGGTTACCTGGAAGTAAGTCACATTCAACTGAATATGGCTTACTTCTGAGAAGACATGGCTAGGATTGTGCAGCAAATTTTTTTTTTACCGTATTTTTCGCTCTATAGGACGCACCGGACCATAGGACGCAACTTGTTTTAGAGGGGGAGAACAGGAAAAAAATAATTCTCCCCCTCTCTGCTCAGCACCCCTTCAGTGAAGCGGCAGGAGAAACGGAGCCCCTTCCATTTCTCCTCCCACTTCGCTGAAGGGGCGCTGCGCAGAGAGGGAAAACTGTGCAGCGCCTCTCTAGCGAAGCGAAGCCTGGAGAGCAAGAGGGATCAGTGTGCACCGACCCCTCTCACTCTCCAGGCTTCAGGCAGCTATCCGCAAGCCTTCGGAGCGCAGCGGGAACTCCTGCTGTGCTCCGAAGGCTTGCAGATAGCTGCCTGAAGCCTCCACAGCGCAGCGGGAACTTCGCTCCATAAGACGCACACACATTTCCCCTTAATTTTTGAAGGGGAAAAAGTGCGTCTTATAGTACAAAAACGGTATTTTGAATTTTATGCGTTTTTACTGTGGCATTCTTTAGAGTTTCATTTCATTGTGATTTTAGATTGTTGTAAAGCAGCCCTGACTGCTTCATGAGCATTAGCAAGGTGGGATAGGAGCTTTATGTACAAGTTCCCACATAGTTCCCGCTGAAATCAATGGGACAGGTCACTTGTCCTATTGATTTGAAGTCTGGATCCAATCCTATGTTACTGCTCACAAAGATTTACAACAGGATATTATTAGATATCCAGCCAATCCAGTTCTACTAGATAGCCACTAGATCCAAGCTTTTTGTGAAATGGGTTTCTATTTGCATATACCAGAGATGGGGGATCTTCTGCATCTCAAGGCCACATTCCCTCATAAGAACTACTTAGTGAGCTCTGTGACAGAGCAAGGGATTTCAACCCAGATCTCTCATATCCAGCTTTGAGGATGTATGCAGAGCATCATGTTGGCATCAATGAATTAGAATTTCCAATCTTATAATTTGCTATTCAGCTAAAATTGTCAGTAGATATATTTTTGGGTTTTTAAAACATATTCTATTGACCTAAAATAACTGCAGAAGTCACCAAACAGTTTGCAGATCTTTTCCCAACAAGTTTGAAGGAATTTGGCCAAAAGCCCAGGGCCAGCCTTGGCTACTATGGCAAATTTGCTTGCAGTCTTTGAGTCCCCATTTGTAGCAGCATTTCCAATGGGGTTTTACCTTTGACACTGTGTTTTCCTTTCGGCAGCTTGGTTATGTGGGATGCATTCTTCAACTCATACCTAGCAAACAGAGAGGAGGAGGACTTAGAGCAGTACATCGAATACATTTGAAGAAAAAGCCTTGCCTTTCCTTTTCAGTTTGGAACAGTGGTTCGCAGATTCAGCTGATGCACGATTTCACCACTTCAGAATGCAACCCTTTAATAAGACTCACCGTGATTTAAAGCCTGCCATTTGATGAACGCAGCACAAGCATTTATATTTTGCAAATAATCAACTTGGTGAAAGGGTTCTTAAAAATCAGTCGAGTTCCAAATTTGGATTTAAGATACTTTGAAGTTAGGAGTTGCATCATCGTACATGGTGCAAAAGTACTCTAAACACACTCGACTTACATGTTTCCAAGGGCAACTTCTCCCAGCAAGATTAAGCCAATCGGATCAGTCTGAGAGGTGTGACAATAGTTGGCACTCTTGGACACCATATCAGCAAAGTAGATACCTTTACCAAACATGTAGCCCGTCTAGAAGGAAAACAACGGTGACAGTTTAACAACCAGAAATCAGCTCATCAGAGAAGTCTAGTGAGAAAACAGAGGAATTGAGGACAGACTGCAACTTCCTGTTTTGTGAAACCTGGTTAAAAATATATGGATATTATACCTGAAGGAGTGCCTCCACCCCCATCATTCTGCTCGGACACTGAGGTCCAGCGCCAAGGGCCTTCTGGCGGTTCCCGCACTGCAAGGAGCAAAGTTACAGGGAACCAGGCAGAGGGCCTTCTCGGTAGTGGCACCCGCCCTGTGGAACACCCGCCCACCAGATGTCAACGAAATAAACAACTATCTGATGTTTAGAAGAAATCTGAAGGCAGCCCTGTTTAATGTCTGATGTTTTAATGTATTTTTAATCTTTTGTTGGATGCCGCCCAGAGTGGCTGGGGAAACCCAGCCAGGTGGGTGAGGTATAAATAATAATAATAACAATATTATTATTATTATTATTATTATTATTATTAAAGCTCTGCCTGGAATGGACCTGGCTACAGCTCTGTGGACATGTAGCTCCTTCCTGGGCATCTGACAAGATTTCCCACACTGGAAGGCAGGAAATGATTTTCTTCCAGATTATCTTTGACAGCAGTTTTACCACTTTGTTTTGTTTCCTTTTGCATTCACCTGTGTGGCATCCAACCCCACTTGCCTGATTTAGTCATTTGGGTCTCTGGTCCGTGGTCTGGACTGCAAAGGGTAGCCTTTCGGTCTCTTGCAGCCCTCCAATTAGGCAAACTGAGCAGAACCACTTTCCCCAACTTGGTACCCTCCAGATGCCTTGAACCACAACACCTTCTCTTCCCTGACTACTGGCTGTAGTGGTTGCAACTGAGGCAGTTGTAGTCTAAAACAGTTAGAGGGTACCAGATTGGGGAAGGCTGCAGTAGAACTGTACTGCAGGTTACAATGGTGATGGGTCTCAGATCACCATTCCCAAAGGGCTGGATTTATGGGGTGAGAATGAGAACCTCATTGTAAAGGCCTTCCTCTACGATGGATGCTTTAGCGGAGATTCTTGCATTGAAGGAGTTGGAATAGATGACCCTTGGAGTCCCTTCCAACTCTGCAATTCTATGATTCAATTCTGATGTATAGGGAGCTGTCTTTAAATTCTTCCTACTATGCTTGACACTTATTGGTATTGCTTAAATGTTATTGGTATGTCCGCTTGAATCCCTTGGATGCTTGCACTTTTTAAAGCAGCCTGCTATCTGGGATGTATTTCCTGTATTTCTCGCTTTTTTGTGCTTTTCTCATGGCCTGCTTTTATGCTCATTTGTCTACTCTTTGCTGCCTTGGGCGCTTTAAGTTGAACGAAAGGCTAACAACATTTTGAAAAGCTAGATATTATCCTTGGCTGTAAAAGCTTTAGCCACTTTGGACCTTGAAAGGCAGGGCAGAAATGGTTTTGAAATAAAATAATGCGTACATCTTGCCAGAATTCTGAATGTAGGGGAAAAGGCAGGCTTACACAAAATTACTTGGGCAGTTTGACTAGTATGCCTCATTCTCTCTCCACTTTAGCAGATGGAGACATGCTACTTGCGTAGACATATGCAAAAACATTCATATCCTGAGCTGTATTAGAGGAATACTTTCTTGAGCAATTATCTTAATGGAATGTTTTTGAAGGTTGTTTTGGCTAGCCTGAGCCACATTAATACGGTTTCCAATGGTATATCTCCAGACAAGTAGTAGATTAGATGTTTAGTTGTTCCCTCTACTTCTGATGTTCCGGTTACCAGGGCCATTGCTTACGCAGACTAAGCAGCACCAGTCGCCATGCAAGGAGGAGTTATCGGCAGGCTTGGGGGAAACTCCAAAGTTTGCAGAAGTTCAGAATCAAAGGAAAAATATATTCAGAACCTTTAGGACGGGGAGAGGCAACGTGGTGCCCCACAGATGTTGCTGGGCTACAAATTCCATGGCCATGGGCCATACTGACTGGGGCAGGTGGGTGTTGCAGTTCAGCAGCATCTAGATGACATCATACTGGCTACCCCCAGTGCGGACCGCACATGCTCAGTAGCTGACTGATTAGGAGCGGACGGAATACTGACTGATTGTTGGGGAGAAAAAAGCCTTGAAAATAGGTGGGAGTGGAAATCTGGGAGTATCCACTGGAGGAAGGCATTGAACAGGAACTCCCCACATGGCAACATTTTGTTGCAGGTCACACTTCCTTCTTTCTATTGTACATGGAAACCAAAAAGGGGTTTTTTGGGGAGAGGGATTAAAAGTTCTGTTTCTACACGCAATACACTAGCAAACTAGCCTTGTACATACCACAGGAGCTTCAGGAGGAGCTATTCGGAGACCCTGCGACAAGATGCCAGCGTAGTTGGTTGTGCGAGAACCGTGCCAGAGCAACTGACGGTTGTGCAACTCCTGGAATGGCCTATAACGCTGAGCTTCTCCTTCCCGCTCAATCTTGAAAATCTTCGGAAGGGATGGAGAGGTGTGGAGAAGAGAGGGAACGAACCATACATCAAGATATGTGATCACTGAAAAAACATTTCACAAGCTGCCTTATACTAAAGACCATTGGTCTACCTAGCTCAGTAATGTCTATGCTGATTGGGAGAAGCTCTTTCAGACAATGGTCTCTCCCAGCCCTATATGGAGACGCCAGGGACTGGACCTGGAACCTTGTGCATGCAAGGCTGATGTTTACCACTACAGCTACGGCTTGTCCTTGCTGCTGTGGGTTACAGTTCATGGCTAGTGAGCTTAACCATGAGCCTGATTTGGATGATACACTCAGCCAAGCCTTGAAAGGCAGCAGAAAGGACCACGGAGGAGCAAAGCGGCTGCCAAGTTCTTGCCCAGATGCCCACGTGCCCTCGTGTTCAGCTTAGCACATCATGCAGAACAGGCCACAAACACAGCACACACGTGGGCCTTGCCAGCACAAGTTATACACAAAATGTTAAATTCAGAATTCTCTGGGAAAGTTAAATCTTCCAGATTGCTTGAGATATGGAAATGCTTGATGCCACATTTCGTTTCAGCCATCTAAGAATTAAGGTGGCCTTGAAGGTTCGAATTTCCATACTTTAGACTTGGGTTTGGGGGGAGGGGGGAAAAAACCACTTGACCCAAAATGAACGAGACAGCTGCATGGGCTGGGTTTTCATGTGACCTGGGACTGGGGAATCCCAGACAGGCTATTGACCAAGAAAGAAGAATATGAAAAGAGAAGACTCAATCCCATGGCCCATCCCATCCTCAATCCTTAACCTGCAAAAACAAAACAAAATAAAACCCACAACTGTCCTGTCTGGATTTTCTAGGTCAGCATTCTTCTCCTACAGCCACCACCCAGATGCCTATGTGAAGCCCACAAGCAAGACATGAGACCTCCTCTTGCTCCCCAGCAACTGGCATTCCAACTGGTATTTATTTCCCACCCTTCACCCAAAGGTCCCAGGGTATATACACATATAGTGAGCAACTCACAGAGCCTCACTCACAGAAGAAGAGTTTGGATTTGATATCCCGCTTTATCACTACCCGAAGGAGTCTCAAAGCGGCTAACATTCTCCTTTCCCTTCCTTCCCCACAACAAACACTCTGTGAGATGAGTGGGGCTGAGAGACTTCAAAGAAGTGTGACTGGCCCAAGGTCATCCAGCAGCTGCATGTGGAAGAGCGGAGACGCGAACCCGGTTCACCAGATTACGAGTCTACCGCTCTTAACCACTACACCACACTGGCTCTCAGAAGAGCTTGTGTTCCTTTAGGTTTTCGCATATGGAATACTATTCTACACAAAGCTTAGTTCAGAACCGGTCATTTTACTTGTTTTATTGTGTGTTAAAATGACTGATTTTGAATTTAAACAATTATTTTCGATCCCCAGTCAGAACCTACCTCCATGACTTTCAAGTCATACGCGTTGTGGGTGCTTGCATGGGTATTCTTAACATACTGCTTTAGGATCTTCGCTTCTTCCGAGTCTTTATCTACTACCTTTGAAGGAAAATAATGGGGGAAAGTATTGAAAACCTGAAGTGAAAAGAATGCTAAGAACACATTAGGCCATTAAAAGTATTACACAATTTAAATGATTTCATGTTCCTATTGAGCCGGGAGGTTTGGCCTTATTTTGAAAGGGGACAATGACAAGAAAAAATACTGGTTCAGCACCCATGGGTTAGGACATTTTCTCAGAGGTATCCTGTGGTTGATCCTGAAAGCCCAGCTGAGTGGCATCCAGGGAGTAGCAAAGACTAGACTGCAGACAGGACCACTTTTCCTAAGGCAGGAAATCTGGCTTTGGTGCTCTTCTGGCTCTTCTTCATAAACCTATCTCCTTTTAAATAGGGGTTCAGAAAGAGACAGCCAAGGCACAGATGGAAGGCCTGACCCTAGAGGTGTCTTTGAAGCTTATTTACCCTGGGAGTAAGTTGAACCCAGGTTGAAATTGTGTCCCTTGTCTGGTATCTCCAAGCAAATAACAAAATATGCTTTGTAGGTATAGCCATCCAAACTGCCTGTCAACACTGGGTGGGTGTCCTCAGCTTGTTTTGAAAAACAACTCTTTTGAGATATACAACAGCCTTGTTTCTGTGCCATGATATCTTACCTTGATATCTGTTTTGAGCTTTTCATAGTTCACATCTATTGGATCTTTATCCCCATCCTGACCCCCACTTCTGAGTAGGCTGTAGGCGACCTCAATGTCAAGCAGATTGTCCAACATCTCCACCTTGGACTTGATAAAACAAGAAGATGCGGTTATTCTTGGCAGCAAACACATTTCATGGCCTAAGGACTTAGCCCCAATAGATTGTGTGGGGATCTACATGTCACATTGCTGCTAAGGAAGTCGGATACAAGGTCAGCAGCAACGTCCTGTTAACAGTAAAATTTTTGTCCCAGATTTAAGCCTGTCAACATAGTTCCTCCCCTTCCACTCATTTCCCCCCACAAATCGATCCATGAGGTTTATTAAGCTAAGGGCTAGTGATAGGTCACCCACTAAGTTTTAAGGCAGAGCAAGGATATGAACCCAAATCTCTCTGGTTCAATTCCAACACCCTGCTCTCTCCGAGCACAATTCAAAGTGTTGGTGCTGACCTTTAAAACCGTAAACGGCCTCGGCCCAGTATACCTGAAGGAGCATCTCCACCCCCATCACTCAGCCTGGACACTGAGGTCCAGCTTCGAGGGCCTTCTCAGTAGTGGCGCCCACCCTGTGGAACACCCTCCCACCAGATGTCAAGGAAATAAACAACTATCTGACTTTTAGAAGACATCTGAAGGCAGCCCTGTTTAGGGAAGCTTTTAATGTTTGGTGTTTTACTGTGTTTTTAATATTCTGTTGGGAGCCACCCAGAATGGCTGGGGAAATCCAGCCACATGGGCTGGGTAGAAATAATAAATTATTATTATTGTGCTATGCAGATCTCTCTTTTGCCCTCTGCTCAGTGGGCCTCTGGTTAAGGGGCAGTTCACTCTCACCTGATGTCTGAACTCATCACATTCAGAGAGATTCCTGCCCCCCTCTTCCATTGCTCCATCCATTTTGTCTCCCCCTCTGTCCATTCATGCCCCCTAATATGCATCTATATTCCCTCCACCCCACCTGAAATAAGCCTGAAGTGTGCAGACTGCCCATCTGCTCTAGGAGTTGGTACACAATTTATTTTATTTCTGTGCTTTAAGGGCCAGCTGTCAAAACTAAATGCTGCTGTTTGCGCCAGAGGTTCCTCATCAATACCTTAATGTAATCTAGATTATTCAAGAGAGGAGGCTTCTTCATCCCAAAGTCATGGGGGATCAGAGTGTAGAAGCGGTTGGAAAGATCCAATATCTGTGAATCGGTGCCACCGTCAGAAACTGCCTACATAAAAAGGAAAAGCAACAAAATAAAAATAATAATAAAAATCAGCAAATATGTGTACCTGAGTGACTTCACTTACAAAAAGCTAGGCTTAGTTCAGGTCACACATTTATAACTTTAGCAAGAACAAGTTTTCTGGAAAACCAACACTTCCGTAAAAGCAGCTCTCCCATTTACCGTATTTTTCGCTCCATAAGGCACACATAGTTTTTAGAGGGGGGGGGAATCAAGAAAAAAAATCTTATTTCCCACCCCCCCCCAAGCCCCAAAGAGCAAAGAAGCCAAGACAGCGAGCGGAATCCATCCCGCTGGCTGTCTTGGCTTCCTCTTTAGCCACGCACAACCTCTCCAGCTGGGAGAGGCTGCGCGCGGCTTTGGCAGAAGCCAAGACAGCGAGCGGGACGGATCCTGCTCGCTGTCTTGGCTTCGTTTTTAGCTGCGGGGCTGGGGCGGGGGAAGCCCGAGCTTCCCCTGACCCCAGCCCCCAGAACAGGTCCGGGAGCGGCGGCAAGGTTGTGAAGCCTTTGGAGCACAGCGCGAGTTCCCGCTGCGCTCCAAAGGCTTCAGGCGGCTATCCCTGAAGCCTGGAGAGCGAGAGGGGTCGGTGCTCCCTGACCCCTCTTGCTCTCCAGGCTTCAGCGAAAACAACGCGTAGCCTCCGGAGCGTGGGGGTACGCTCCCTCTGTGCTTTGGAGGCTTCGCGTTGCTATCGCTGAAGCCAAAGAGCCTGCATTCGCTCCAGAGGATGCACACACATTTCCCCTTAATTTCTGGAGGGGAAAAAGTGCGTCCTATAGAGCGGAAAATATGGTATTTTCAATTCAATTCAATCTTGTTCACAAATCCATCCCATAGTGAATCAAGTTAATAGGGTTAGACAGGCCCTAAAAGACAGTTACATTTATTTGAATCTGTCTTACATTTATTTTAAAACAGCAAGCATGAACTCTTAAAATGCTTGCTTAGGACTTGAAGATTTTCCTTTGTAATATGCTGAACAAGTAAGCAGGGAGCAAAGTACAGACTTGGGCTCAATCCCAATATTTCTGGTCACGTTCTTGGGTGTGCAGTGAAGAACTCTTCCTACAGTAATATTAGGCCAAACTAGCTGACAGCGCAGCCCCACCAAATTTAACAAGAGAGTTTATAAAAGCTGTCAATCTAGCTTGACTTCCATGGAATGCCAAGCCATACACTTCAAAGGCTTCAGTACCGCCTCAGCTGAGAAATAATCACATAATCAAATCACACCCTTCTGGCACAGCCATTCTGATGAACAAGAAACAAGAGAAAGAGAATAGAGCAACCCTTTCACTATATAACAAAGACTCTTCATCTTACCTTCATGAAAAGGGAGGTTTAGGGGAAAACAGAAGTGCAATTTTTGGGAGGGGAGAAGCGCTAAGAATTCAAGAGTTCCCTCAACCATTCCAAAGGTGCCTTTTATTTCATCCTCACCTGATGCACCTCATTAAGGATGGAGTATGCACTCTGGATTTGTCTCTTGCTTAGCTTCCCCAAAGGCATCTTCTGGAGGTCAATCTGGCAATGAGATAAATGGAAGGAATCAACGTGAGACTTGTCGTTATGTGAAAACGTTCAGAGATTGCTTATTGAAAAGCTCAATGTCTTAAAGTAGAATGTTCCACGAAGAGAACAGATAAACTTTTTGTTTCGTTTTTTAACAAGTTATCTGTTTAAAGGTCTATTTAAGAGCTTCGCACTCTGAAGATGCCGTAAGTGCTGTATCACCTCAGTTTCATGTGGGGGACTTTCTCATTATTGAGTGCCGCCACCACTGACTACTGAACCCCATGGGAAAACGGCTAGTGTTAGGAAAGCACTGCTGCCATTATGACACGGTGAACAAAAGCGAGAACGACAAAGGGGTTAAGCCAAGGATGCCTAGTAACCTCAAATTCCACCATGGCTTTCTTCATGCTTTCCACATCAAATATCATCTTGATAAGGTCCTGGACTGCCTTAGGAAGCTTGGATTTGGTTCCTGCACTCACAGTCAGCTTCTTCACTGCTTCTTCATCCTAAGGAGGGGGGGAAAGACCATCAATATCTGTTTACACGTGCAGAGATTCTGAAGCAAGAATGGATTCTGATTAAATACTCCAAGCTGAAGATGTTCATGCAGTTTTCTAGTGATCTTATAGCTCAGACATTTCCATCCCTCCCCCCAAGCATTGAAAGCAAAATCTTAACACTGTGTTTTGAATCAACTGGTTCAATAGATTTTTTTCCCTGTAAAAGAAATAAGATTGATTTCCAGTTGCGTCCAATTAATTCCCCAAAATTCAGGGATTCCTTTTTAAAAAACACCATAATTTTCTTAATCTAGATTTCCAACATAAGCCTACAAAAGAGAACCATAAAACAAATATAAAACAGATCAAAAACATCAGAAACAAAAGCAGTTATTGTAGCAACAGTAAAAATACAAAAAGCAGTAGATATAAAATCAGTTAAAATCCTGGGCAATCTCCCCCCCCCCTCAATGCTTGGGAAATTCAAGTCCAGAGCTAGTACATTTGCATATTAGTAGTAGTAGTAGTTCTTGTCTGTTTGTATACAGCAAAATCGTTTATATTTGCCGGTGGCATATATTTTAAAGCTATATTTCTATAGCATGGGATTAACAATAGGTCAACAATGTTGTGAATGTTGCAAGCCCTTATGGTTGCCAAAAGACTTCTACTTCCAGCCTGGCAAGATAAATACCCCCCGACCTCACTGCCCTTGCAACATCTGAAGCTGTTGTGTTTTTGTGTTTTTAAAAAAAGAATTTATTTTTTAATAAATTTTGTGTGGGTACCTATTTCAACAGCTGGGGGGGTCTTATATCGACTCAAATGTTTAATTTTAGATGGAAGTTCACACATGCACATTTGTGTTAAAAACCTGCTGTTTGGACTTCTCCCAAATAATCATAAGTACTTCCTGTTTGCATGATCTCTGATACAGTTGTGATTTTAAACAGGGTCACCCAAGTTACCTGCCCATAGTCTATTTCCAGAGGATAGAATTTTTTGGGATATTTAGTGAAATTCTTGGAATGCCACGAGTTGCCCGTCTTTTCCTCATACAGATTCAGGAAGTGCTCAATGGCTTCTTCTTTCGATGGCATCTGCTCTAGCTTGTTGCTTCCAATGACTGTGCCAACACGGCCCCAAGAACGGAATACCCAGTATCTAAATTCAGAGGGAAAGGGGAGAAATTGGCAGGTAGAATCAACCTCGATAGTTTTCTCCATATATTGCTGGACCACAACTCCCATCATCTCTTAACATCCTGGCTGGGGCAGAGATATTTCCTGCATAAGAGTTTCTTCAGAACTCAAACAGCACACTTTGAACTGTACACAGCTTTTGATCGAGCGTAACAACAAAGGCAGATGCTGAACAAAGGAAGGGACAATCTAATCTTGATTGATAGGCTTGCTTGATGTCACCCAAGACAGATAAGATTGTCTACAAAGGGGTTTGAAGGTAAGGAAACTAAACAGTTTTTTCTGGGCAGAAAATAAAGTCTGACATTTCCATCAAAGTCAAAAGTAACAAATTAAAAAAGGACAGTGACCATTTCCCCTTGCTGCTGGGATTTAAGGTTAAGTTGATTCAGGTTTCTGGCTCTCCATTTTGTTTTACGTTTTTTTTAACCTGTTCTTGCGAGCTGCCTTGCTCCTTCCAACCCAACTGATGAGGGCCTGAAAGGTAGGTTGGGAACACTTTAATCAATCAATTCACAACAGCAGCAATAGGGGGTACTCCTGACTTTGTTGTGCCAGTTTAAAACCAACAGTAAGACAAAAACCTTTTTATTAAACTCAAACATAAATGGCACAGACTAACTCTTGTGTTTGCATTCAAGTCCATGAGAGTCTATGCCATAAAATAACTCTGTTACATCTTCAAAGGAGACACAGACAGGACTAAGGCTGCTGCCCTATGCAAGTATCAGCAGAGAGAGCCACCTAGTTCAATAGGATCTACTCCAAGGTAAGTGTGTAGAGAACTTAGGAACCCCCCTGCTGGATCAGACCAAAGGTCTATCTTTTGTTCAAGTCTCGCCAAAAAAATGATTCAAACAGAGGAGCCAAGCAGGAGAAAAATTAGCAGCACACTTTCTATTTGGGAAGGGAGGAAGAAAAGCAAACCTGATTTCTCGGTCATCTTCCAACAGCTGAAGCTTGTAATACGAATTTGTTCCTTTAGTAATATCTACCAGCCCAAGAGTGGCACTGAAGATTTTGCCACCTTTTTCAAAGACATGGGCAGAATCTTCCAAGCCTGTAAAAAAAGGCAGTCAACCATAGACAGGGGGAAACACATTTGACCCTTATCCAAATTATTGTTTTAACTTGAACACATAGCACAGAGATGCTGAAATACATCCCCTTTCCCTGAAGCACACACAGAGACATTTCAAAGGGGCTTCTCAACACATGGAATTTATTTACTGATGGTGTTCTACAACCTGTCCCCAATCCATAAAAGGACAGAGTGGCTGCACCCTTTCAGAAGTTGTGAAGAGGGAATTTCAGCTTACTACGCAAACTGCACTTGCTGAAATTCCCTCTTCTGGACAACTATTCAAGGTGCAAAAGTGTAGGAGTCCTGTCACCTTCTGGCAACCCTTAAATGGATGTAGAAATGGTCACCTGAATCGGGATCCACAGCAGCTCCTCCTTTAACTGTCAGCTTCATCTTCTTTTCCGATTTGCTTGTTCCTGGATCAGGAGAGGGAGAGATGCAGTGTTAAGCTGTATTTTATAGTGTTGTAAATTCCAACTCCACAATTCTGTGATTCTAAGCCTTCCCTCCACTAATCACCTCCTTAATTTCAGGAGTGAACCCCAAAACTGGCTTCTACCCTGAATGTAACAAATGCCAAGAACAATAGTAAAAAAAATTGGGAGTCCCATGGGTTTTTCACCTTGCTCTTCCTTGACCTTCCCGGTACTTTTCGTGTTCGACTGTCCGCTGGATTTTCCTCCCACGGGAACCGCTTTGTGCTCCTGCTTAACTTCAGCGCCCCAGGGAGAAAGAGCACGAAGCGAAAGCAGCTCCTGAAAACCCTTGCTGGAGGACTGCACATCCTGGAGAAATTCCTCAGAGACAACGCGCACCTGGGCCTCCTTCACTTCTTCCATTTTCTTGTTCATTTTCTCAACCTCCTCTGGAAAAGGGAAGCAGAGCACGCTGTGTCATTGTTCTTGCGATTTTCTTGCACATGCAAGTTATTTTAACTTACAAGCTCGGCTCTGCCCTTGCCAGTCCTGGAAGGAGCCTTTAAAAAAATCCCATATGCTCAGAGACTTTGCACCTGTTCATTGGGGGTGATAGAAAGCCCAGAGCACTTGTTCTTCAGATGTCCCTTTTATGAAGAGGCATGTAGTAAGACCACTGAGCCCCTACTGGTGAGGCTTGCTGATCTCCCGGAAAAGCAAAAATTCGACCTTTTCCTGTTAGGCAAAGATCAGAAGATGACCCAGATGGTCGCCAGATTCTGTGTACAGATCTGTAGGCACAGACCATCTCCCGACTCAAACTAGTTCGTTAAGAAAATCCCCAAACTTTGTTCCATGGGTAAATCTGGGTCAGCTCCCTGCGGTAGTTTATCTTAAAAGTTTTAAGTGTCTATATGCTTATTGCATTTATAAATTTTAAATTCATTGTTGTACATTGTTTTAATTGTTTGGTTTCCTTCTGGGACTGTACCCCAAGTGTGTTTTATAAGCTGGTCTCTGACCGTAATAAATTATATCTAACTTAACTTAAGAACCACTTCCCACAAAACATCCCGAAACAATTACCAACAAAGACATTGATAGCCCACAACCACAAAACATATAAAAACCAAATTCAAACCCAATGCAGATACTGAACAGCATAAGATTCTCTGCTCAAGAGGCTTGTTGAAAAAGGGTAAACATCACTAGGCACCAAAAAGACAGTAAGAGGTGCTCATCTGATATGTAATAAGAGGGTGTTTCAAAGGGTAGGTGGCACCACAGTAACATCCCAATGCCTGCACTAGGGCTAGAAGTTATCTGGTTTTCAACCTGATATATCACCAGCTAAACGCTGTGATATACTGATGTATCACGATGTCTGAAATAAGGATGGAGCTATATAGAGGCATTGACTGGCTTCACGGTTTTTCCCACATTGTGATTTTTGCACACAATGCACCACACACATCATGATTCGCGATATATTTCCAGGTCAAAAATGATGAAACCGATATCATAATAGGGGCTTCAAATTGGCTTCAGACAATATCTATCGCCCAGTCCTAGACTGCACTGTACTTCTTCTTTTCATATTAACTAGTTACCTCATCTAACTTCACACTTTTCTCCTACTGGGAGTCTTCCTGTTTCTTAACACCACCCATTAAGAGCATTACTCACTTTGTGAGCTGATGCACAGATCAGCTTTGTTCACAGTAGCCGTCACCTTTCCTCCAAGTTCCTCAATGACAGACTTGATTTCATCCTTGTTCTTCGACAGTTTTCCAACGATCAAAATCTTCATGCTACTTAACGGTTTACCTGGCAGTTCAAAGGTAAACACAGACTGTGTGATGTACAGAAGAAACACAGGAGACACAAAAAACTCTGAACATATTGAGAACCACCCCCCCACATCAAGGTTACCCAAATTTTAAGAAAATGTGTATGAATTGCTTAATTTATAGAGTTTATTACATGAAGTTACATGAAGGTCAAGTTCTTAATGACCACCAAGACTTTGCCTGGCACTGCCTACAAGCCTTAAAACTTGTATTTGCATCATGCAGGCTAGCCTCTTTCCACCCCCCCCGGCCTAAAGCCTTCCATATGTTTTGGATTACAACTCCCATCATCCTTTACCATTGGCTGTGATCGCTGTGGCTGATGGAAGCTGTAGTCTAGCATGTGATGGGCACCAGGGTTGGGGAAGAGTGTTGTAAGTTGTTAGTTTGGAGCTTCCCAAACTGTGTGTCACGACATGTTAAAAGAGAGTCGGCTGCAGTCTGTAGGTGTGCCATATGAACACTCCCTGCACTCCTCCTGGGGCTCGAAAAAGGGCTTAGTTTAACCTCCAGTTTGCTGGAAGAACTGAATTACTGTGTCGCGAAATGTCTCAAAAGTGGGTCACCAACAGGAAAAGTTTGGGAAGCTCTTGTGTTAGTTGCTATTAGGGGGCTTATTATGCTCCAGTTAGCCAGTAGGTGGCAGCAAGAGGACAGAAAAAGGCCATTTCTGCCCTGTGCTTTCCTCACCCCTTTCAGCCAATTCTGCAAACATTTTGGAAAGTTTTCTTCATCAAATCAGTTTCTCTTTAGTATGAACAACGCCTGCAGGTTATTTACCTGCTGGTGCAGCTGAGTTCTCTGTAATATGGGTAGCAACTGTTGGAGGAAGTGCTGAGTTTTCAGAGGCAGCCTCTGGAGGGAATGCTCTATCCTGCTTCTTAAATTTGAATTTCTTTAGATAAGCAATTTCTCGGAACTCCTGCGTTTTGGGTAAGAAAAGTTAACACACGTGAGAAGATCCCACAGGCTACTACAATGATCAAAATCAACTTAATTCAGAGAATAATATTTGCTATTGTGAAGATTCCTCTGCACTACTAGAGGCCTGCTTCTCTCCAGTAAATGTAATTCACCCTAGACTTAAAGCCACACACAATTTCTTTCAAGGGGTTTGGGAGCTGCACGGTCAGGGGAAAACAATGCTGTCCAGGGTTGTAAAGACTGTGGAGAGAATAACTGGGTGCACTCTTCCCACCTTGGATCAAATCTATGCTTCCAGGTGCCATAAGAAAGCTGCAGAGATAGCGCAGGATAGTGCGCACCCCGGAAATGATCTCTTTCAGCTTCTGCCTTCTGGAAGAAGGTTATACAGTGGTGCCTCGCAAGACGAAATTAATTCGTTCCGCAAGTCTCTTCGTCTTGCGAGTTTTTCGTCTTGCGATGCACGGTTTCCCATAGGAATGCATTGAAAATCAATTAATGCGTTCCTAGGGAAACCGCCTTCAGACCAGGTCCGGGGACAGTCTGTCCCCGGACCTCTTCTGAAGGCTGGGGGCAAGGGCTTTTCTTCCCACCCCCAGCATTTTAAAAAACCCCGGGACAGCGGAGGACTTCTCCGCTGTCCGGGCGATCTTAAAATGCTGGCGGGCGGCATTTTAAAATCACCCGGGACAGCGGAGGACTTCTCCGCTGTCCGGGGCAATTTAAAAGCCCCTGGGAAGGCAGGCAGGGGGACAAAGACTTTGCCCCCGCCAGCCTTCAGAAGAGGTCCTGGACCTCTTCTGAAGGCGGGCGGGGCGAAAGTCTTTGCTCCCCGCCTTCAAAAGCCCTCCGGGACAGGCAGGCAGGGGAGCAAAGACTTTCGCCCCCCGCCCGCCTTCAGAAGGTCTACCCCCCCCCGCCCGGCTCGGAGCACCGTCCCGAGGCCGGGCAGAGGCGGGAGGTCTTCCTCCCCCCGCCCGGCTCGGAGCACCGTTCCGAGCCGGGCGGCGGCGGCAGGTGTTCCCTCCCCCCGCCCGGCTCGGAGCACCGTTCCGGGCCGGGCGGCGGCGGCAGGTGTTCCCTCCCCCCGCCCGGCTTCGGAGGAGCCATACCGAGCCCCGCGGCGGCGGGAGGGGGGGTGCCCCCCCCGCCGCCAGGCTTCGGAGGAGGTCCGAGGACAGTGGGGAAGACGCGCTGCGCTTCCCGCTGTCCCTGAGATATCCTATGGGCTGTCGTCTTGCGAAGCAAGCCCATAGGGAAATTCGTTTTGCGAAGCGCCTCCAAAACGGAAAACCCTTTCGTCTAGCGGGTTTTCCGTCTTGCGAGGCGTTCGTCTTGCGGGGTACCACTGTAAAGACTAGGACTAGCCGCCTGAGAAACAGTTTCTATCCAAATGCGATTTTGGTTTTAAACACAGTGTAAGGAGTCTCTATAGGAGTATATTGTATTTAAAAATGGGGTATCAGAGTTTTTCGGGGGCTAACCAGGTTGGGATAGCAGGCTTGTTTGGTTTTTGAATGTCTTATGTAGATTTTTCAATGTCATTGTTCTGTATGGGACAATGACAATAAAGATCATCGTATCGTATCGTAAATACATTTTTGCTTAGAATTCCCCTCTGCATTCCGAACTCAGTGGAGGGGGGGGGAGGTTTTGCTGGGAATCTAGGCTGCACCCCCGTTACCCATCCCAGACAGGGCTCTAACCATTTCTGCTTAATAAAACCAAAAATCCCCGCGTTTGTGATGGCAGCATAGCCCAGCAGGCTGATTTACTGCAAGCTTGCTCTTTCTTACAATAAAGCACTGGAACAGATCGTGCCGGAGTTTTTGACGCCCTCCTTTGGCATCCCTGCGTCAAACCACTCGAGTACACAGGCTCCCCTTGGGACCTGCGGTTCAGAACAGGAATCGCTTAGATGCATTTGACCAACCCTGGGCCAACCAAAGCAAGCCTGGCTCTGCCAACTGTGGAAAAAATACCGTATTTTTCACCCTATAGGACGCACTTTTTCCCCTCCAAAAACGAAGGGGTAATGTGTGTGCGTCCTATGGGGCGAATGCAGGCTTACGCTGAAGCCTGGAGAGCGAGAGGGGTCGGTGCGCACTGACCCCTCTCGCTCTCCAGGCTTCAGAAAGCTATCCGCAAGCCGTGGGAGAGCTGCGTGACTTCGCGCAGCTCTCCCACGGCTTGGGGAGAGCTGCCTGCACCTCGAAGCCTGGGGGGGGGGCACTGAGCTCAGCGCGCCCCCAGGCTTCGGGCTTAGCGCAGCTCTCCCACCGCTAGCGGAGAGCTTGCCTGCACCCAGAAGCTTGGGGAGCGCTAAGCTCAGCACGCCCCAAGCTTCGGGCTTCGCGCAGCTTCTGCAGCCTAGGGCGCCCTGCGGGAGTTCCCGCAGGGCTCCCTAGGCTGCGGATAGCAGCCTGCTGCCTGGAGCGCGGGGTGCGCTGCAGCAGAGCGCCCCGCGCTTCAGGCAGACATCCGCAGCCTGCTGCCCGGAGCGCGCTGAAGCCGCGGCTGGGGGGGGGGGATAAATTTTTTTCTTTATCCCCCCCCCAAAAAAACCTAGGTGCGTCCTATGGGCTGGTGCGTCCTATAGGGCGAAAAATACGGCACTCCTGGAGATGGAGAGAGGAAGGGATGGAAAAACAAGAGAAGTCTCTGCCTCCTCCTTTCTCTCCTATCCACCAAGGCTATTGCTGAAGATGGAGCGAGGCGGCTGTGCGTGGGACAGAGCCAGTCCAGTTTCTCCAGGTCCAGCCCAAACCTATTTTCATCAGAACGATGGTGAGGGAGGCAGGAGAAGGGATGACAGTACTGGGCTGCACAGGGAGACTGTGTTTGTGTGTGTAGCTATTAAATAAATTAAAATATGCAGTTAAAAACATGATGCACTGCCTACCTTTGGGATTACCCAGTCTTTCCTTTTGGGAGTCTGCGTCTTGGCAACACACTTGGTCCAACCGGTAATGTAGCGTGTACAGTAGTAAGCGTCGCCCTTGAACACAAACTGCCCTTTGCACTCCTCGCAGGGCAGCAGAGCCCCAAAGGCCATCCCATCTGCAACACAGTCCAAGATCTAAAAAAGCCATGAAAAGACAAGAAGAAAAAAAAGAAAGAAGGAAAAGAGGAAGTATTTATTGCACCATACTATTCATAGATCACCAACTCAGGACCTCACTCTGCAGAAAGATGGCCTGCAGCTATACAGTGGTACCTCGGGTTAAGTACTTAATTCGTTCCGGAGGTCCGTTCTTAACCTGAAACTGTTCTTAACCTGAAGCATCATTTTAGCTAATGGGGCCTTCTGCTGCCGCAGCGCTGCCAGAGCATGATTTCTGTTCTCATCCTGAAGCAAAGTTCTTAACCTGAAGCACTATTTCTGGGTTAGTGGAGTCTGTAACCTGAAGCGTATGTAACCTGAGGTACCACTGTACATCTTTCCAAGTTTGGGACTCATGGGGCAGAAGACGTCAATGCTACTCCGGATTGTACAGTACTTTACTTTCCTGAAAGGAAGCTGCTGGGTCCGAAAGACCACAGTTTGGGAAGGCGATCTGCTGCAGGTCAGAAACCTGAAAGCCTTCATTGGCATCAGGGATGGGGAACCTGGGGCTCTTCCAATGCTTTTAAGACTCCAACTCCCATCAGTCCCAGTCAGCATGGCCAGGAGTCGGGTAGGATGGGAGGTGCAGTTTAGTAATATCTGGAGGGCCAAACGTTCCTCATTCCCAATCTAGTACCGCACACAGCCTCTCTGTGGGCATGTTGGGAGAAGCAGGGAAACCACACCTACAATTTAGGAGGGAAGAAGTCAAGCGCTGCCGATGCAGAGGCTGCAACACGTCTTATACTGTGGAGGAGGGAGCCGCCCTACATGGCTCTTAGCATCTCAGAATATTTTTATGACAGCAAGTTGTGTTTTTAATATTGTGTTTTATTAGTGTAATCCACCCTGGGACTTTAGGGTGAAGGGCAGGTAATCAATAAATAGCAATGATAATAATAATTGTGCAATGCTCTCCTCAGGGAGGCTCATCCAGTGCCTTCATGACATATCTTTAGGCGCTAGGCTAATACGTTTCTCTATAACCAGAGCTTTGGCTGAGTAAACTTTCTTTGGCTTTTAAAATGTTTGTGGGAGGTGGGTTATTGGGTGTTTTTTATTATCACCATGTATTTTGTGTTCTCATTTTGTGTTTCTATGAACCTCCCAGGGTGGATAAAAATCAATGATTTTTTATTTTTTTAAAATCGGATTTTTAAGAAAAATCTTTCTAATGATAGTTTTCTATTTATGTCACATTATAGTCCAAAGGCTATTCATTAGGAAATAAGGATTTGTTTTAAGTTTTTCATGTGTGCTAAAACTCAGTCTAAGAAAATTTATTATTCCAAAAATGAAACTTTCCTCTGGTTGTAAATATTAACATTATACCAGCAAGAATGAGGCTTTCCTTTAAAAATGATTTAAATCAAGTCTTACTGATTAGTGATTTAAATTGTGATTTAAATCGATTTGATTTAAATCAAATCCACCCTGGAACTGCCCTGTGATCTCTGAATGAAAGGCAGTATGCAACAATAATAAATGATGATGATGACTGTAATGGATTTAGGGGTTGCTCGTGCGTAAGTTGCCGCCACTGCTGGCGAGGTTACCTGGTTAAACCCTTCCTGACTGAACAGCCTCCAGCATCGTGACTGTCTCAGTCGCTGGCAGAATCCGTCAGTGGGCGTTTCTTGAACTTCTTCCAGCACAAAAATTCCTTGACGCCAAGTCTCCTCCTACTCTCCCTGCGCGGAGGTCTTCTGCGCAGGGAGGGTGTGGGCAGCGGAGTACCCGTACTCTCTCCGCTGGTCTCCGGCGAGGAGTCTTGGAGCCTCCTCTCCGATTCCCCCATCTGCCCCCCTTCTCTACTGGTGTTACGCTGATTTCCTTCCCCAGCGGATGGGCTGCCTCTCTCCCTACTGGGACCCTCTCCGCCATCCCTCTGGAGCCTTCCCTCCGCCTCTAGCTCCGATGGCAGTTCCCTGACAATGATGATGATAATGAACAAGCATAATGATCATATGGCGTATTCTATTTGCTCTTTTTGAAACTATTTGCTATTTTGAAACTGACAACAGGACAGGCACCTCAGAGGGCAGGAGACTGAACCAGCGGTTGGAAATTGTAATGAAGCAGTTTTTGGCTAAACATTAAAAGAAAATTCCTAACGAGCTGTTCAGCGGTAGAACAGACAGCCTCAGGAGGTGGTGGGCTCTCCTTTGCTGGAAATATTTAAGCAGAGGCTGGACAGTCATGTCAGGGACAGCGTGGCTGAATCCTACATGGCAGGCCTTGGACTAAGCTGTGGGCTAGAAGAGGTGACCTCCTAGCTCCCTTCCAGCTCTACAAATGTTTCCAGCCATCCGGAGAACGCGCAGTCACAAGAGCATTTTGACCCATTTCCAATTTGTTCGCCCTCAGAAGAAGAATCAAGTACAGTGGAACCTCGACTTACGTACGGCTCTACTTACGTACGATTCCAGTTATAACCTTCAGTAGGTGTTTTGACTTATGAACTTTCCTCTAGATATGAACAGAGGCCTTGCCAGCAGCCTGGAGCTTGCCCGGCCGGTTACGGGGCAGCGCTGGGGCCTCTGCCGCCAGGGAGAAGGCCCCCATCCCACCCCCAAAGCTGTGGAAGAGGTGCCGCCTGCAAGAGGGCGCACTGCAGCCCCACCGAGAAACTAACCTGAGGAAGTCCAGAGAAGAACCTGGCCTGGCAAGAAAAAAAAGTGACCCTGGCCGAAGTGAATCAGCTCTTTACTGACCCTTGCCCCACTCCCAGCTTGTAGCCAGGTAAGCCCACCCACCCTCAGTGCACGTAAGAAAAAAGATGTAATTTTTTTTCATCTACAATACTGTCTTATTTATTTTATAGTAGACTACATTGCTTATTGCCTTCATTTTATGGATCTATGGTCTCGTTAGACAGTAAAATCTGTGTTAAATCGCTGTTTCAGGGGGTGTTTTTCATCGTCTAGGACGGATCAATTCACTTTTCCATTACTTTCTATGGAAAAGTGTGCCTCTGCTTATGTACGTTTCTAGTTATGACTGGACCGCCGGAACAGATTATGGTTTTAAGTAGAGGTTCCACTGTACTGAATATCTCCTCTCTCAATTTTATCTTGTGAACCGCTCTGAGATCTTCGGGTGAAGGGCGACAAAATTAACACTTCCCTACATGCAGACGCAAACCACATTCTTCTTGAAGCTATTAAGAGTAGGGCTTTCCCTCCATAAACATTTCACTTTGTCAACATTTACCTAAATGTAATTAACGTGCAAGGAGTGTTAATACAGAGTAAGCACATAGTCAAAATGTCATCTACAGGAGAGCATCCAACTCACAGCGGATTCCCCAGAAGGAATGTCCTGCTTGTTGGCTTTCAGGAGCTCTTTCAGGTCGTTGGTGGAACAAGCTTTCTTCAACTCGTCTTTGATGTTCCAAATCAATTCTGTCTGTTCCTGTAGAAGAGAACAGTACAGGTAAAAAAAGATTTATTTCTTAATGGAACTATTAAAGTGCAGTACAGTGGAACCTTGGGTTACAAACGCTTCAGGTTACAAACACTTTGGGTTACAAACTCTGCTAACCCGGAAGTAGTACCTCGGGTTGAGAACTTTGCCCCAGGATGAGAATGGAAATCGTGCGCTGGCAGCGGGAGGCCCCATTAGCGAAAGCGTGCCTTAGGTTAAGAACGGTTTCAGGTTAAGAATGGACCTCTGGAACGAATTAAGTTCGTAACCCGAGGTACCGCTGCACATGCAAGACACATGGCAAGGAACATTGCAGGGGAAAAAGGGGTGCCCCATGTTGGAAGTGTAACAGCAGAGATCATTCAGTTTGCATCCTAACGGTTAATTCTGTTGTTAGCAAGTCAGCTAACAAAGGAGTGGAGGTTAGGGCTGGGCGATATCAGCTTTTCAACACTGCGGTATATCGCCAGCCAAACATTGCGGTCTGGCGATATACTACGATGTTAAAAAAAAACAAGCTGCATTGGCCTCAGCTTGCGAGGCGCCAGAGGAAATTGCCGCAGATCTCACCGTGGGAGCTGAGGCGGTTTCACCCCAGTGCCTAGGGGACTGGGACAAGGCAGCTTCTTTGTACAGCTCATCTGGGGGCAGGAGGGCTCCCCATCCCCAGAGCTCCCCCCGCTTGTGTGGGAGCCAGCGTCCGGCTGGGGGATCCTCAGCTGAGCAGTTTAAAGAGGCAGAGGAAGGAACAAACTGTATTGGTGCCTCACCAATGCAGCTTTTTTCTCACTCTGTGCAGTATGAGGCCAGAGTGGGATGGCGGTTTCACTCAGGAATATATTGTTGGGTGAAACCACCACCGCTCCTGAGTCTCCTGGTTTGTTTATGAGGTGCAGCCAATGTTTGTTTTTGGCTTACTGACTGTGATCTGCTTGGAGCAAATCTTGCATATATGCTTGGATTCCAAACCGCTTTGGGATAGAGGCAATGCAGAAAGGACAATCTCTGCTTTTATTCCATACGTCCACACTGCTTTTGAATTCCCCCACAGAAGGTAGTTCAAGAGTGTTTAGTCAGTGAGAAGCAAACTAAGAAACAAAGAGAAGTCACTGAGAAACGCACCTTCAGCAACTTCTCCTGTTTAGACTGTTTTTCTTTCTCCTTTTTTGGTTTCTTTTTTGAGACCACGTTGGCATCCACCTCATCTCCTTTTCTCTTCCTGGAGGAGAAAGAAAACTCACGTCAGTAGTTACTCAAAAGTTAGCCCATCAGCTCCATTTACTAGTTCTTGGGCAGCAGCAGTTTATGATGCAGTGGCGTCGCAACGGGGGGGCGGGCGGGCGGGCGGGGGGGCGGAACGCCCTGGGTTCCATGTCTGCAGGGTGACAAGTCGCAGCCGCATGTGGAGGATCCTCCATTCACGGCTGCAGCAGCGAGCAGAGAATTCCTGGCGCCAAACCGCTAAGTACAGCGCATGTGTGGCGTAGCACGCATGCGCTGCACGTAGCGACACTGCACATGCGCTGTATAGTGCTGCTCCAGCGCCGGACGGTGCCAGGATCCTCCGTTCGCGGCTGGAGCAGCGACAAACTGCTATACAGCGCATGTGCGGCGTCGCTATGTACCGCACATGCATTGTACATAGTGACGCTGCACATGCGCCCTACGTAGCGACCCCCGCCCCGGGTGTCACGACGTCTTCCTTCGCCCGTTATGATGGACTGTATATTTGGCATAGGCTTTCCCCTTCCTTTCTTTGCAGCTTTTACACGTATCTGTGAGATCTGTTTCAAGTATCCCCATCATCAAAATGCAAATCACGAAACTGAAAAGTGCCCAGAAATGGTTTAACACTTTGAGATACATTGCGCTAAATGGAAAATTGGTTAAATGTTGTTAACTGAAAACACCACACCAGATCACAGAAACGTTGAACTGTAGAGAATTTCCTCTTCTCTTTGTTCCTGTGCTGGGGGGCCCTCCCTTTCCTACTTTGATCTTAGAGATTGGTCAAGTGCTTGGGACTTCTGTCTCCAGTCCCAGATTGCAGTCCTAGAACACCTTGCAACCAGCTTTCTGAACAAAGAAAGCCCATCTTACCTACCCCTTCCTCAAAGCATTAGCTGAATAGCCATTTAAAAGGTATCTTTCTCCTCAGCTATCTTGATGCTCTACAGCAGGGATGGGGAAACTGCAGCATTCCAGAGGCTGTTGGACTCCCTCTCCCTTCAGGCCCAGCCAAGGCAGTCAATTTTCAGGGATGATGGGAGTTATAGACTAACCACATCTGGAGAGTCTTAGGTTCCCCACTTAATACCAATGGCACTAAGACTGCAGCCTCTTTCCCACTACTGAAATCAAAGCATTTCCCTTGATCATTTTCACCACACTCTTGCCAAAAGGTCACGAGGTCTTCTCGCCCTACCTGGAGACAATGGGAATGAACAGGGGACCTTCTGCATGCAAAGCAGATGCCCTATGACTCAACCTCTGGTCCCTTCCCCTAGGAATGAAAAGGAAGCGACTGAACTGCGCCACAATGCCTTGTTTGGTCTTCGGGTGCAAAGGTCTGCCTATTAAATGAGAAAGCTTCTTGAAAGTCCAGCCATTTTAGAAGACCTAGATATATCTCTGCTGCATGTGAACTTTTGTACAGAAACCAAGAATCTAAGTGATTTCAAACTAGCAACGCGATGACAAATGAAGCTGCTTTTAGCACTGACACCAAGCGAAGTTATTTTCCACCATGATTCTAGCACCGTTCTGTGCTTCTGTAGTAACCTGGCAAGCAAATGCAAATATTTCATTATGGAAGGGGTGCAGGAGCATTAATGAAAAATTACCTCCTTTGAAAATGGAAGCAAAAGCCCCCCACCCCGGAAGCTTTTGCATAGTCAAAGCCTCCATGATTAGGCTCAGTTGCCAGAGCAAATCATTTATCCAGCTTCAGTTTCCTATGCTGCTCTGGGTGTGAGGCAAAGCAGCAGCCTCAAAATAGACACGGGAAGAAAGCATGCAAATCTGATCCCTTGGTTGCAAGCAATAGCTGACGAGTGTAAACATGGCATAGAAGTGACTTTCCTAAGAGGGCCTGGGTGCTTTGTCTGGCTCACAATACCATCCAAGTGTTGAAGTAAGGCTTGTATATATATTTCATGAGCTGCAGAGCCCTGAACAGCCTCAGCCAGAAGTTGGGCATTTAGAATTTGTCCACACTTCCACTTCTCCCGTGCCTAGAAAGCAGGGATGTAAGTGGTTTTCTGCTTGCCCCATGCTTTCTAGGCATGAATCCGAGAGGTCTTCTATTTGCCCCACAGCTTTCTCTGGAAAACCCAACTATTTAACACTGAATCAGAGCAAATGGGGGAAAACCCCAGTTGACATTTGCTCCACTTCCGTGGCAGAGATCGGGTTTCCCCAGGGGAAAGAGAGGGATGAAAGGAAATCTGGATTAGCAACCGAGTGCTGTTTCTCAAACTTGGATCCTCAGCCGGACAACTCCTCCCATCAACACTAGCCAGCAGCACCAGTGGTCAGGGATGATGGGATTTGAAGTCCAACAATGCTGGGGACCCAAGTTTGAGAAACACTGGTCCTACACTGTGCGACCATCTTATGTTTGTAGGCACTAGGCACTCCCGCTGTACCAAAGGAGACCCTGTTAAGGGCTTCACACAAGCAACCACTGCAGCTTAGTCAAGACACCTTACTCCCTGTGCCACTAGGGCAGAACAACGGGCAGCCTATTATCTGTGACTATGAAGTGCCACCTTGCTGATGAGCAGCCCAGCATGACCAGGTAACTCCATGAACCAAGAAGGTCAAATTACAGGACTTCAGTCTGAGCAACTTGTCTCACAAGGAAGGTTAAGACTACCCAAGCCCCCTGTCTGAGCTGTCTCCTGGCAGCTCTCTGAACATCCTCTCTCCGGGGAGTGGAAAACTGAAGAAAGACCTTTTAAAGTTTCTGGCATTACTGTGCCTGACTCACAATTGCCTGAGCTACTGCTGTGTCGACAGAAATCCTGCCTTCTTTTGGCATACTCAACATACCCTTCATTCTTGACTGCAGGCAGCTGCTTTTTCAGAGTCTCTTTATCTTCAGCATTCAGGAGCCCAAAGCCTAACAGCTGAGAGGCACTAAAAGAGGCAAGAAACCCCAGATCTGCTCTGCGGCTGACGAAACAGGCTGGGTGGTACCAGTTGTCTATCATCCCCAACTGGGGCTTTTCGGGATGCACCATTTTCTTTGAAATCCTGATTTGACCCTGCAGGAGAAAGTGGGAGAAGGAGGGCGGATTAAATAAATGAGTGAGACCATACAACTGTCTGTGTTACTGGCTTCACGTAAGCCAAACTATGGCTTGTTGTGAACAAGCAAGCATGCTGGAACCCCCTTCATTCCTGAAAGTGCCACACTGGGGACTCAGCTATACAGCTGCAAATAAAATATTTTAAGTGTGCTATAAAGTGCAATATACGAATGTGACACTAGATGGCAACAGTGAGCTATGGCAAATTCAATGTATTTTCTTCTTCAAAACTTTTTTTAAAAACGCATTTTCACAGTGTTTTTTATTTGTGTGTAGATTCCATCTAGTGCTAGTCTGTCTTGCTCGAAACAAAGCATGAGCTGCAAAACTGGCCAGGATGTTCTCTCCCGGCACCAGCATGCTTGCATGTTCACAGTAAGCCATAGTTCGGTTTACCGTTATGTGCAAAAAGGCCAGATAATTTTATACACGAATTCACACTATAGTGGCTAAGTCAGCTCTTATACTAAACACGTGAGCTCTACAAGATTGTAAAAGGTTGCATGAGATATTGACAGAAGGTTGAGGAAAAATATGTATATTAAAAGACAATAATGAAGCATTTTGGAGAGAGAAATCTCATTAATTTCCCCCCTATTAATTAAATTAATCAGTGCCTCTAATTCGTGCAGAAAGGTCCACAACTACAGATTATGCTCTAAAAGGAGGCAATTTTTGCCAATTTCACCTTTAGCCCCCAGCCACATTATTCCAGAGAATTTCTCAACCCTCCACAGCACAGGAAGATTGGAACCTGCTTTATATAGAGTAAGATCATTAGTCCATCCAGCTCAGTAATGCCTACACTGGCTGGCAGCAGCTCCTCATGGTTTCAGACTTGGGACATTCCCAGCTCTACCTGGAGATGCCGGGACTGAACATGGGACCTTCCGCATGCAAAGCAGATGCTCAGAGAACGAGCTACGGCCCTTCCCAAAAAGGATTTATACATTACGAGTGCTATAACTCATATTACAGAGACACAGAATTGGACACCTATTTTACCTTTTCTATCTTCTGATCGCAGCCTTTGCAGGTGCTTCTGTTGGACTTTGCATATTCTGCGGCAAAATCGTTTAAACTTTTATCACTTTTGCCACCTCCCTCTTGGTCACCTTTGCCTGGAAAACAAAAAATATATATTTATATATATATATATTAGATAAATGTCCAGCATTTCCCTACATGGACCTCTGGGTAGTGAACATGGGTTAAATCTAACCCTGAAGAGACCATTCGGTATCTACGTCTGAAAAAAGAGAAGAGGCCGAACAAAAACAATTTCCTCCAGTCCTCAAGCTGAAAACTTGCAAATGTCCATGGCAACTACGTGGGAGGCTGATTCTTATTTACAGCTGGTCTCCTTGAATCCAGGACACCTTCCACGGATCTGGGGCAGCAACTAGCCCACAAGCCTGGGAACCCAAATCGCCCAAAGCTGTTTGATATCTGGGCTCATACAGCAAGCGGCTATCTCTTTCGAGAGTCACTAAACATTTGCCTACCTGTTCCGGCGCCGCCACTTTCTATGGACTTCTTAATTTTCTCCTGATCTTCCCAACGCAGTTCCGAGAAGCCGACCACGTCGGTGTGGGACACCAGTCGAGCCCGCTTCCAGAAACAGGAGAAGTGGTGCCAGTGGGGTACTTTGCCATCAAACATGGGGGACTAAGAGGAAAAGAATGGCAAGAATAAGAAAAGGAGAGGAAGAAACTCAAGTATGAACATGGCTATCCCATTTGGTGTGTGGGTGGGTGGAGGAACCCAATGAAATTCTGGCCCAGCTTATAATGTATTTTATAACCTCACCCCCTACCACAGCATCACCCCTCCATCCTTCATCATTTTACCGAAGCACTGCAGAGGCTGTTTAGTTACTATCCTGGCCACAGCTACACCTTAAAGCAGTATTATGCCACTTTAAACAGCCATGGCTTGCCCCCAAAGAACCCTAGGTACTGTAGTCTGTTAAGGGTGGTGAGAATTGTTAGGAGACCCCCATTCCGCTCACAGAACTACATTTCCCAGAGTTCCCTAGGAAGAGGTACTGATTGTTAAACCACTTCAGGAATTCTTAATTTAAACTCATTTTTAGTTTTATTGCAGCAAGTCCGCTTCTACACTACTTAAGAGGCTACAGTAATTAGGTGGCATAAAAACGGTCAAAATAAATATTGAATTAAATTAAACATTCTCCACAATTCAATCTTACTTTTAGGTCTGGGAACAGGTAGATAAAAGGTGGCAGGAAGAGGTTAATGCATTTCAGGGTATTCAAAAAATGGCATAGGCTTGGGAGATGGGTGCAGACATGTTGAAGCTCTCAGGTATCAAGAACACAGATTAGAGCAGAGTAACTGGAGTCAGAAATATGCCGTGCATGACCAGAATAAGTTTAAAACCAAAAAAAGAAGAAGCCTGAAGCCCTATGAAATATTCTGTCTTCTACTGACGCCCTTGAAATGCTTCACACAGGAATGTAATCTCATTTAGCTGATAAATGACTCCAGACAGCAGATGCTAGGGTTTTTTCATGAAGCGCCTGAAGTATTGTGAACGGCAGAGCAGAACATAGCGTAACCTCCCATCATTATTACCAAGTAATCCTAAACGCTCTAAAAGCTGAAACGTGAGCAGCGGCCTCTTCAGAACAACGTTAAGTGTCCTCAGGTAAAGGCTCACAAAGGAGGCAGCACCTCTCGTGCTTCAAGGCCCTACTCCAATGCAACAAGGTTGAGTTGAAACTGACACCCCACTCAATACCATTCTGATGCAAACTCACCCAGGGCCCCAGAAATTGTAATAGGTGGTTGGGGAGACCCACCTGTCAGTCACCAAACATCACAGGACAACCTCAAAGACATGCAGCCAGTCCCAATCTGCTGAACGGTATTTTCTGAAAGCAGAACCTCCCAAGAGGCTCACAGGCCTCCCCAGTTTCCTAATGGGGAACTCCCTAGTGTAGCTGATCCCAATAGGGTTTACTGTCAGAGAGACCCACTTGCAAAGGAACAAATCAGGGATACACACGAAGCTCCCAATTATAGTCATGCCTCTTGTTACGTTTGCTTCAGGTTGCACGTTTTCAGGTTGTGTCCCATGGCGACCCGGAAGTACCGGAAAGGTTACTTCTGGGTTTTGCCACTCTCGCATGTGCAGACACGCAAAATGACGTCACACGCATGCACAGAAGTGGCGAATTGCGACCCGTGCACGTGCAGACGCTCGTTGCGTTCTGCTCATGTTGTGAACGGGGCTCCGGAACGGATCCCGTTCGCAACCAGAGGTACCACTGTATTCCTTTGTGACCACATCCTTACTTACGAAGCCAGGTGTGCGCAGTTTGGGGAAATCACCTCATGGGTCCATAATTTATAAAGCACGTCATTTTTATTGTACATCTATTTTTCTAATTTGAATGTGTATCAGCAACATTTTGGAGCTGTGTTAGAAGCTCAGAAATATCTATAAGCTAATAGCCAAATGGCACCTTAAAGCTAGGTTGAGGTCGCCACAATGGGATGCCTAGGCACCTTTTTTTTTTGCAATGAAAATTATATTAATAATAATAATAATAATAATAATTTCTAAACCACTTTATATTTCAAAGAAAAAAATCTCAAAGCAGTTTCTAACACATTAGAACATCAAATAAAACAATACGGAATAAAACCAATTCAAGCACCAAGGAAAATATTTCAGATTCTTCTCTAAGTGACTTTTTGCTTTCCCCATAATTATTTAACTACTTATATAGCTGCCCCACAGCAGAAGTACTCTAGGAAGCCAGTGTGGTGTGGTGGCGAAGAGTGTGGGACTAGAACCTGAGAAATCAGGATTCAAATCCCCACTCAGACATGAACCTCACTGGGTGACCCTGGGCCAGGCTCTTAACCTACCTCACAGGGTCATTAACTGAGGAGGGGGCATAAACCATGTACTCCTTGGAGGAAAAGCTGGGATATAAATGCAATAAATAAGCTCTTCTGCTTAAGAAAACTGGAGGCGCCAGCCAGATGGAGATGTCTGTCGCCAACCTGGGATCCAGAGATCTCCACATGGTTGCAATTGGACCTGCACCAATTGCAAAATGTGCCTGGCACCTGGGGAGTTTCAAACACTGTTTTGGAGTATCGGTTACACAGGAACCTAGGAAGCTCCTCATAAGTCAGACCATTGATCTGACTAGAGCTCAACACTGTATGGCAGGGCACATTCCTAAACCTACCTGGAGATGCCTTCTAAATGCACTGAGCTATAGTTCTTCCTCATATAAATAAATGAATAACATAGGGTTTTAAGAAGGTGTCTTATACTGAGACAGACACTTGGTCCATTTAACTTGGTCCATTTACACTGACTGGCAGTGGTTCCTCAGGATTTCAGGATTCTTGGGAGATGCCAGGAATTGAAACTTAGACCTTCATTATTCAAAGAAGATGCTCTAACAATGAACAATGCAAATTGAACACTAAGAGTTTTTCCCAACATTTGTCATATTCAGAGCAGACCACCTGAAATTAATAGACATGACTGACTGACTGACTTACATCCATTACTTTCAACAGGTCTACTCTCTGAGTAAAAGTTTTACTACCTAATTCTGAGTAATTCTCTTTTCTCCCTAGCTTGTTTGTTTCTGAATAGGTGAAATTCGTTACCAATGCCATCCTCATACCAGTGTTCCCAGGAAGCTACCAGTTCTGACTGTTGCATTTCCTACAACTGCAATATGGAAAAAGGAGGAAATGCTGCTGTGCAAACAAATGAGGATGGCTGCTCAATGTTATCAGGAAACACCCTCCAACTCTTATAGTGGATGTTTTCCTGACCTAAGCTATTACTCACTAATGGCTAATGATCTTGGCAAAGAAAATGCTGTCCATCTCTCACAAAAGCAACAAAGCCCTTGCTGATAACACTGGAAGTCTCTTAAAAGGGAGGGGTGGGGAATGTGTAACCAAGTCATTTCAATACAACAGTTGTAAAATACTTCTAATTACAAGCTACTGCAGTTATAGGGTTGCAAGATTGCAGGGGGGCAGGGGCAGAATCCAAAATTATCTCCTGAACTGAGAGCCAACATATGCTCTCTCTCTCTCTCTTTTTTAAATAATATTTATTACTTTTCCGACAATTCAAACACACACAAAAATATGAAGAAAAAAGAACAACACAACACAATACAAAAACACTACACAACACACTAAACTAACAGAACAAAAACAATTTGAAAGAAAACATCGAACAATTTCCGTATCTTATATTTCATTCACTTATTTCAGTGACCTCCTCACACCTCCCTTTTTGTATTCCACTTCTGTTAATTGTTTCAGCAATTCCTTTCCATCTTCCTCTGCTTTCTATCTTTTAATTATCTTAACAGATTCTAACCTTATTTTTCCCTTTAGTACTCTATTAATCTATTTATACCTAATTCCTTATAACATTTCTACTAAAGCCATATAACTTCATTCCAACCTTTTCCTAACATTCATTAATTTTACAGTATTTCTGTAAACAGTCTTTAAACTTTTTCCAGTCTTCTTCCACTGACTCTTCTCCCTGGTCTCGGATTCTGCCAGTCATCTCCGCCAGTTCCATATAGTCCATCAACTTCATCTGCCATTCTTCCAGAGTGGGTAAATCTTGTGTCTTCCAATACTTCGCGATAAGTATTCTTGCTGCTGTTGTTGCATACATAAAAAAAGTTCTATCCTTCTTTGGCACCAATTGGCCGACCATGCCCAGGAGAAAGGCCTCTGGTTTCTTCAGAAAGGTATATTTGAATACCTTTTTCATTTCATTATAAATCATCTCCCAGAATGTCTTAATCCTTGGGCATGTCCACCAAAGGTGAAAGAATGTACCTTCAGTCTCATTACATTTCCAACATTTATTGTCGGGCAGATGGTAAATTTTTGCAAGCTTGACTGCCAACATATGCTCTCACTGGAGGAAGATGAACGATGCAGGTTTTGCCAATGCCCCTTCCTGCTGCTGCCCCAGGGCCACCTCCCACATTATTCTAGAGCATGGGTAGGCAAACTAAGGCCCGGGGGCCAGATCTGGCTCAATTGCCTTCTAAATCTGGCCCACGGACGGTCCAGGAACCAGCGTGTTTCTATATGAGTCGAATGCATCCTTTTATTTAAAATGCATCTCTGGGTTATTTGTGGGGCATAGGAATTCGTTCATATATATGTATATATTTTCAAAATATAGTCCAGCCCCCCACAGGGTCTGAGGGACAGTGGACCAGCCTCCTGCTGAAAAAGTTTGCTGACCCCTGTTCTAGAGAGCCCTTAACCTTTTGGAATAACTACACAGGGACCGGAAGGAGGAATTGGACCAAAGAACCCAAAAGACTTCCACTTCCTCAGTGAGAGAATTGTGTGAGTGGAGCTCTGCTCATGGGAATTTTGGATTCAACCCTGTATCTTCAGCTACACTGATTTTTCTGCTGTGGAAACCCAGACCTGCCTTGCAACTGCACACTGCAGAGGATTCTGGGTCATATTCTAGGCCTTAGAATCCAAGGCAAATCTATTCAGATCATGGTAATATAAAAGGTGCAGCAGATGAAAAAGTATTCCTCTCCCTAACTTTTCCTCCTCCTCCTCTTCTTATTTTGAAGGAGCTGAAAGAGACCTTCTGCAAATCCTTTGAAAAAGCTCTCACTCAGCCTCAGTAATCTCTTAACAAGAATCAAAGCTGTGCACTTTGCACTATATTAGCTGCAGAAGGCCATCTTATTTAAACAACTGAATGTTTTTCACTGGCTGCCTACTTGCTTCCCAATACTGTACAACTGAAGTTGCTGCTTTCGATGTTTAATTCCTAATGGACTTGGACCTTGTGCCCCGCACAGAACACATACTTTGGTATAATTCACCCCACTCCTTAATATCACATAACAGTCCAGGAGTTCCTACTTCCTTCCTTTCCAGTCCCTGACTTAATGTTATGTTCAAACCATGTTTTATGACTTGTCTTGCTCCATGCAAACCACAATACGAAGCTATGTGTTCTTCTTGGCTTCTGATGGTTTGCAATGCTGTGTGAGTGCAGCCTCTTGGTCTATCGTCTTACTGGAGGTGCTGCTGCACAACTTTTCCATGGCAGCAAGTTCCAAACAAAAGCAAGGAACTAGATGTGTGAGAACAAAATCCATTTAATACAAAAGTCCTGCTGACTAGGGGATCAGTTACTCACAACAGGGATCTGAAGTATCTGTGATGGGGTTACGCTTCCCCCTAAAGGACCAAGTTCTTGGTTTGTGGTGATCCTTAAACCTGGTGGATACTCAGGTGAGCTCCATGGTCGAGTGGGGATTCAAACCATTGTCTCTCAGGTTCTAGTTAAACACGCTAACCACTGCACATCAGGCCATTTTTTTAAAGAAGGCAGTTTAAGAACCATACTCTGTTAACTAGCATGAGTTCTGAAACATTCCCCCAAGCACTGATGTAGTTAATGTAAAAGGGAAAAATGTAAAATGAGGTGGGATTTCTGGTGAACAGTTGCCAAGCATCTTTTCCTCACTAGAGGAAGAGCAGAACCCATCAAAATAACATTGGGATTACAAAACTTAGAATAACTTGTTGGTCCCAAGCGCTTGTGCAGAGTAATTATTTGAGGAATTAATAAACAAGAATTATTTTTAAATTTTGAATACTATAAAAGTCTTTGAGGATTACCCAGCATATGCTAATTGAATTTCTATCATTTTCCAGATGTTTATACAGTGCTCTGTATGTTGACAGAGGTCTCTGAACCTTCCAAGAGAAATGCTTTCCATGTCTGATTTATGAATAATTGTAGCCACTAAATTCATAGCGGAAGACAATCTTTGAACATTGTCTTTTGAGTGGAGTAAGAAATCTGAAACCAAGGGACCTCTATCTGGATGCTTTTCCAGTTGGGAAAGGCTTGTGAGCAGACATGTCTTTCTGCTGGAGAAAGTTCACTTGTTTGCTGTTGATCTATGCCTGCCTGTTCACTTGAATTATTTGGTTTACTAGGCATTATCTTAACAGACTTGTTTCCAAGACAGTTATTCCTGCATGACCTAAATCTTTTGTTACCCACAGCAGCATGTGAGCAATCTATTTTTAGCTACAACTTTTTCTTTTAACAGAAGTCTGAGTCATTGCCACTCAGGTATGCCTTCACACCTTTCAGTTCTTGTTGCATAATCTCAGCTGTCAAATTGGCTTGATCAGGCTTTGAAACACTGATTTAACATGATGATAATCCAGAGCCTCCTTGGGCCAAAAAGCCATGTTCTCTTAAACTGCAAGCTCAGCCTATAATTCCAGAGCAGAGGGGAAGCTCCTGTCATGCCCCCAGACTGGAAACACATGTTTGTAGTCAGACATTAAAACACAGACCCCCAATTTGGCTGTAACAGAAAACTGATTCAAGAAACCTCAGAAGTACTGAACTGCGGCATATCAGAGTTGGGAGAGGGAAATGGAAAGAGCGGGCACAAAGCTGGTGAATAATTCTCAGGCTTCATACACTGAACCATGCTTAAGTAATTGTAATATTAGTGCTATACCATTACAATGAGATGTGTTCACACATTACATTCAGTGAGTATGCAACCTGTGAATACACCAGTAGTTGTAGTCTGTTTATCTGTGTACACAGTAGTTGCTGTACAAATCAACAAGTGTACATGTTCACAGAAATACTCGTGCATTGGTGGAGACCGTTTGTACTTGCATTCAATGCAGATTGTCTATGGGCTACTCATATTACGACTGTTTTCACCACCTTGTAATACTTACCAATGGTTGTGTTTTAAAGTCAGTGCAGCCTACCTTATTGGGTTATAATGTTAAGGTGCTGAGGCGTATTTATTGGAGAACTAACAACAAATTTAGTAAGTAATGCTACAATCCTATAGACCAGTGGCTCCCAATTAGCTAAGTACTGCAGAGTACTACAGACCCCCTTTTTTTCAAAAGCCAAGCCATGGACTTTTGAAAATGTTGACAAATCTATGGTAGTTATTGTTACGTGAATGGTGCTGCAGACCCCTGGGTGGGGAATTGGGAACCACTGCTAAAGACAAGTCTCAGGAACACAATTGCTCTTTCAGGTAAATAGGCATGCACAGGATTGAAATGCTACCGTATTTTTCGTTCTATAGGACGCACATTTCCCCCTCCAAAAACTAAGGGGAAATGTGTGTGCGTCCTATAGAGCGAATGCAGGCTGCGCTGCTAAGCCCAAAGCCAGAACAGGAAGACGGAGCACTGCGGAGCGCTCCGTCTCGCTGTTCTGGCTTGGGAACAGCCTTGCTAGCTTCTGCAGGACAGCGGGGTGAAGGCACCCCGCTGCCCTGCAGAGGTTTGCGCGCAGCCCTCCCCAAGCTAGAGCAGCGAGATGGAGGGCTCCAAAGGCTTCAGGGATCTTTGAGGCTGGCGGTGGGGGGAAGCGCTGCTTTCCCCCACCACCAGCCCCACAAGCTCTGGTGAATGTACCTTGAACGCACCTTGTTTTGGAGGGGGAGAACAAGAAAAAAAATCTTTTTCCCTGCTCTCCCCCTCCTATGATCCGGTGCGTCCTATGGTGCGGTGCGTCCAATGAAGCGAAAAATACGGTAATTATTTAGAAGTAGTGTTGCCAATTCACAGCACATGAGTTCTACAAGTTTTCTCATCACATATCTTTTACCACTGCTGTTACAACATTTCAGAATTTAAAACTAAGCTGGTGTATTATCAATATATGCCTATTCATGATATTATTTTGTTACATGTTATTGATTGATTTCTATGGAAGTAAACTGTCCATCGATAAGGGAGAAGGGGGTTGCTAGTATTAAACATTACACACAGAACCTCTGCCAAAATTCTAAACTTACTGCCCTGGGCTCCTTTGGAAGGAAGGTCATGACACAAATGTAATAAATACTTGCAAAACAAGAGAAATGGTACCCACAGAGATCTGATGAAAGCGACAACAAAGTATTGCCCAAGACAAGGCAAACTCTGCATAAAAAGCACAATTAAGTTTCCAGTTCTCATGCTTCTGGAGTACAGCTTGAAAACGTGTGACTGCATTATGTGACTGGGGGACTGGCACCTGATCTAATGTGTACCCTGAACCTAAACCAAGTCCCACAGAGTTTAAAGGAAGTTACTTTCTCCCTATTAAACCCACAGTATTTGTATAGCACATTGCCCATTTACCTGGGAGTAACAAGGTGCTTACTTCTCTCAGAAGCATGCCCCAAAGCCTGCATTGCAAGTCAACTCTCCTGATCGCCGCCAACCCAAGCGAGATCTTCAAGAGTGGCAACCAAGTTCTGATTTTGCACTTGGCGATCGGCTAGCTACAAAACCTGACACCGGCCACTCTGGGGCAGCTTTCCTCGCCGTGACCAAGCCAACCCCTTTAGCCATCCGGAGGTGGCCGAGGGAGGAGCACGCGGATGACCAAGCCATGGCGCAATCCTACGGCGCGTGTTACTTTATTTTTACACAGCTGCCTTCAGGTAAACGTAGCCCAGGGCGGTTCACCACGTTTTATCCAGGCGCCGCTCCATTCCCCTGAGTTGCTCGGAGCTTACTCTCGAGTAAGTGTGCTTAGGATTGCAGCCTAAACCTAGACCTGCACGCTGAGCTGCTCTGAGGCAGCGGGAGGAGGAGGAGAACGACGGGGAAAGCCCCTTCGCCCTGCAAAGAGCGAGGCCGTGCAAGTGGGCGGCTTCTCCTCCGAAACCCGCATGCGGCACATGGCCGGGTTGATCGGACCCCGGAAGGCTGCTGCTCCATCTGGCTGCTGCCAGAAACAAAGGGCGGCGGCGGCGGCGGCGGCGGCGGCCCCAGAGCAACCCTGGAGGCGCACCTACAAAGGCACCTGCGCCTCTGCAAGCAACGTGGCGCGGCGGGGCTGCCCGGAGCCCGCGGCGGCTGGTCGGGCGAAGTACCTGCACCATGATGGCCAGGCGGAGCGAGTCCTTGGCGATGTTGTCGCCGCATTTCTTGCAAGAAGCCCGGCCGCTCTTGGCGTACTCGGCCCGGTACATCTTCTCTGCAGGCTCCGCCATAGCTGCACCAGCAAGCCCGACCGAAATCAGCTCGGGCTGAGGAGAAGGAGGCGGAGGAGAGGAGGCAGCAGCAGCAGCAGCGGCGCCAAAAAACCAGCCGGATGGCTTCTTACACAGCCAGGCTCCCGCCCCTCGGAGCCGAGCGCAGAGCGATCGAGCCGCGCCCCGTCCAAGCCTTCTTCCTTTCGGCGATCGATTAGCCGCGCCGCGGCCAGGAGTCCTAGGTCTCGAGAGCGACCCCCACAAACTCTCCAGGGAGGATGACGAGGAATCGTCGCGCTCGGCTGGCGGAGCCGCGAGGGAAAGGGCCGGCGGTCACGTGGTCGGCGAGGGCGTTCTATGGAGTTGCCCTCGGCGTTTAAGGGCGTTCTCCCTTCTCCCTCGCTCTGCCTCCTCTGGGTGGCGGCACGTGCTTGCTCCTTTTTCGGTAGGCAATCCTTTGAGTAGCTGTGCCGTGACTGAAAAGCCCTTCCGGATGGAATGCTGCTAAAGTCAGGCTGTTGTCCTACGCGCGCATGTTCCTGGGAGTAAGAACCCATTGGGGTCTACTTCTGAGTAAATAGGGTTTCAGGTCACTTTCAGGTTGTGTAGAGCAGAGGGCAGGCAATCTTTTTGGGATGTGCGTGTTTGTGTGGTATGATCCAGTGTTTTGCTGTTACCTAGAAATCTTCCACGGTCAGTCCGGGAAGTAACTTTGTTTCTTCCCCTGCAGATTATTCTAGATTCCCCAAGCTTCCCCTGAAAATCAATTTCCTCAGGACATTCACATGTTATAATGGTTTACCGCAAAAATATCCTCGTGCATGAGTGAATGGTATTTCTGCTTAGCTAGGAGTTAGCATTATTTTTGTTATGTTTAACTGAATTTTTTTTACAAAACATCTCTTTTTTATATTTTTTATTTTCACAATAAACATTACATTAAAAAAGAACTAAAAAGACATAAAATAAAACAATTAAAACAGCTATGTACACTTTTAATATTAAATCCATATTTTGGGATTTCTTTGAATCCCCTGACTTCCCTCCCCTCCCTCCCCTGGTTCCTTTGTATTATTTTCATTTATGCATGTCAACAAAGAATCTTTATCTCTAATTACCTCCTAATTTAAACATTGTCCATAGCGTTACAAGTCTTTTTAAAATCCTTCTAATGTATTTCCTTACATTGATTTTGTATGTATGCAATAAACATTTCCCATTCTTTTTTATATTTGTTTTCTAAGATTTCCAGTTAGTTTAGACATTTTTGCATATTCTATTAACTAAATTTGCCAGTCTTCCTTAGTTGGGATATATTCTTCTTTCCAGTGCTGGGCTAGCAGTATTCATACAGCCGTTTTTGCTGTACTCTTTAGGTAGATCAGCTCCTGTAATTTCTAATAGAAAAGCTTTTGGTTTCTTAACAAAGGTTATTTTAAACATTTTTTTCCAATTCATTATATATCATTTCCCATTTTTAAAAAATAACCTTACATTGCCACCACATATTGAAGGAAGGTGAGGACAGGTGACCTCACCTAGGCCCGAAGTCACCCCCCACCACAGCAGGCTCAAAGCTTCTCAAAACTTTTCAGAATCATTTTCTCAGCAGCTAAGCATCAGAAACATTCCGCTCTGCTGTAACAAAGGTAGAGAACAGTCCATTGTTTCTCAGGCCTTTCTCATGTCTTCTGGCCTTGCTAAAGAACCACATTGCAACTTACTTTCTGTCCGGGAACCATGCCAGAACAAGAGATTGAAACATATCTGAACATGCTGAAAACCCCTTGGCTTCTCACCCCCCCCCCTTTCCTGGGAAGGGTGCCAAGAGTCCACAATCGTCCCAAGACAGCTTTCTGTTCATGCTCAGAGGAACTCGTGAGGGAGGAGAAAGGGGGAGGGAACTGGAAAGGGGTATATATGCTTGTGCACATGATTGTGAACTCGTGCATGCTTTTTGTGACTTATCACACTTGCTCCTTCTACCAGTTCATGGATGGTAGAAATAAAAGCCTTTTCTCCGAAACTATTCCTTGAGTGTCTGTTGACTCCCACTTCCCTTTCCCAGGCGCAATATTTTTCCCACCCGAGGGCAAAGCCTCATAAGGCTACAATATGACACGTAAATTTTATGATTTTTACGAAACATCTCAGTGCCTTCCAGTGGCCTTCCGGATATTGCTCAACTACAACTCCCATCATCCCTAACTATTGTCCCTTCTGAATGGAACCAATAGGAGTGGAGTCTAACAGCAACTAGAGGGTTACAGGTCTACTACCGTATAGAACAGCCCTTGATTTAGCACCAACTTCAGAAAACTTTCTGCAGAGACCTTCAGAGTTGTTCTCCCACACTATTAGGCAGAAGACAGCAGCTTTCAGTGCTAATGTCACAGGCTACTGGTTTTTGTATGTACACACACACACACACACACACACACACACATATATTGGAAAGCAACCAAAATGGAGACAATGGAGTGCACCTCCGGGGGTGACGTCAACGTGCTGCGTTAGTAGCACCAAAGTAACATGCCTAGGGCACAAGCCTGGGCAGAGTGTATGAAGGTCCAGACAACAAGACCCACCTCTCAGCCTTGCTGATGTAATCAAAAGGAAATCAGAACGGTATGTTTGGCACCAGCTTGACTGCAGGAGTTGCTGGGAGGAGGCATACAGGGTGCCATCCAACCATCTTGGGGACTCTATTCTGGATTTGTGTAGGCTTTCCTTCTTGGCCTCTTGAAGGGATCAGGTGAGGTAGCAGAGGTTAAGGATGAGTGTTCCTTCTAGATGGGCTACCTTCCCAGGTTGATAAGCCCCACCTGCTCTTAGAATCATAGAATCATAGAGTTGGAAGAGACCACAAGGGCCATCGAGTCCAACCCCCTGCCAAGCAGGAAACACCATCAGAGCACTCCTGACATATGGTTGTCTAGCCTCTGCTTAAAGACCTCCAAAGACCTGCTTAAAGACCTCCAAAGAAGGAGACTCCACCACACTAAACTAGCTGAACTAGCTGAGGGTAGCCAATGGGTCTCAAACCTTTGGTGAGTTAGGGACTTCCCCTGCATGCTTTTGGATAATATAATTGTTGTAGCACCAAATTATTATATGTATTTGTTCAGGAAATAGATGGATTAGGGAATTGGAAACTTTCTTTACAATCACCTTGATTTAAACCAGTCTGCTGAGGACCTGATCTAAAATGCATTTCTTATGAGAGAGTAAAAATGGACAAAAGAAAGGCAAAGTATGCAAGGCAACTTAAAATTACATGTTCTCACTCCCAGTGAAAAGCTTCAGTTCCCAAAGGTGCTTGAACATAACTTGAACTGATAAGGTGACCTAAATTCAGCAGACGCAGGCTGCCCTATTTATAAAGATCTGTCATTGAGAGATAACCAGCAGATGAGTTTTCATGATGCATCTGTTAATTCAGGTAGGAACTGTAATGGACTCTTAACAGAGGTTTTATGGATAGAGAATTATTTGGGGGGGTTGTGTCCATTGCTTAAACTAACTATGTAATGAATATTATAAATGGGGAAATGCATTAGCGGATTTGTTTGATTTGGTATTGTGAAGGTAATTGTGTATTAATGCAAATATTATAATGCAAATATGCTACTACTGCAAATAACAACAGTAACAGCCTGCCACCAGTATACAGGTTATAGGATTTGGGTGAAGAACAACTTGTAAATAATTGAAGTAAGTAATAAATAAACCTGACCGTGATAAGCACACCAGAGGGTCATCTCACTCCCTTTCTCTACCATGAACTGATCAGTCAGGTGCTATAGGAGGCTGGGAACCATTCTTGTGGTATCAGCTAAGCATCAATGACAGATGGCCATCCAACCTCTGTTAAAAAACTTCCACTGAAGTCCCTCACCTTCCAGGGGAGTCTGTTCCACTATCAAACAGCTTTTACTGTCAGAAAGTTCTTCCTGATGTTTAGTCTGAATCTCCTTTCCTGAAACTTGAATCTATTGGTTTGGATCCTCCAGAGCAGGAGAAAAGAAGCTTGTTCCATCCTCCAAGTGACAGCACTTTAGATATTTGAAGATGGGTATCCTATCTCCTCTCAGTCTCCTCTTTACCAGGCTTCACATACCCAACTCCTTCCAACGTTCCTCATAAGGCTTGGTTTCCAGACCCTTGATCATCTTGGCTGCCCTCTGCTACACATGTTCCAGCTTGTCAATATCCTTCTTAAACTGCGGTGCCCGGAACTGGAAAAAGTACTCCAGGAGTGGTCTAACAAAGGCAGAATAGAGTGGTACTATTACTTTCCTTGAATATACATGAAATAAATACACCTGCCACCCCCTGTATGCAGAGTCCTGTGACACTCCAGAACCAAAGAAGCATGCTCTGTTTTCCTTATCTCAAGAACCCCATAGGGCAGGCATAGACAAACTCAGCCCTCCAGATTTTTGGGGACTACAACTCCCATCATCCCTGACCACTGGTCCTGTTAGCTAGAGATGATGGGTGTTGTAGTCCCAAAACATCTGAAGGGCCGAGTTTGCCTATGCCTGCCATAGGGGATCCTGCAGGCACTCCCTAATCTAGATATGCCTGAATACTTAGCTATTTGGGACAGAAGAGTCTGGCTTGATGGCATCTTCCGCAAAATCTGCCTATGTTAGGAAGGGGAGAAATTTGATTATCTCTGCACTAGATGGCACCACAGCTACAGTTAAAATGTGGCACATATAGGAAACACTCCATGGTGAAAATGGAAGAGAGTCACTCTTGTATTCACATTCCTTCCTGAGGGCCAAAAGACCACCTTTGTTGAATGTGACTATGCATTGGCAGGTGTGAGTTTTTCTTAAATGATAGCAGGGCAGGAAGGAGAGAAAAGAGGGGGCAGAAAATACTCATTGCAGTGCAGAGGAAAATGGTCTAATGGTATTTTCACTTTTGCCATGTTCCAGATCTGAACTGGCCCCTCCAAGGATGTGATTTAACACTGATAGACGCATGCACAAAACAATGTTACCTTGGGTTAAGAACTTAATTCATTCCAGAGGTCCGTTCTTAACCTGAAACTGTTCTTAACCTGAAGCACCACTTTAGCTAATGGGGCCTCCCGCTGCCGCTATGCCGCAGCAGCACAATTTCTGTTCTCATCCTGAAGCAAAGTTCTTAACCCGAGGTAATATTTCTGGGTTAACGGAGTCTGTAACCTGAAGCATCTGTAACCCCAAG